CGGACACCACTGCCTCCCACACTGAGTCCTGTTCCACAATATCGTACATCTGTCGGCTCGTCAGCCCGTCCCAAAGCCTCTATCACAAAGGTTTTGGAATACATACCCAAGAAGAAAACGTGGCCACATACTATTTTACCGGGCGAGGAATCATTGAAAAGACTAGGTGGGCGAGATCAGGTATTTCATCACGCTTGACTAGACTGTGACAAGCTCGCTCACGAAATTTTAACAGATCTTTCTTGTTGATGACTCTGCATCCATGCGACCATATTGGAAAGAAGTCCAACGCGTTTTCGAAGCTCTGGCGTACCTAGTCAAAACCATGGATCCGGACGGCATCGAGTTACATTTTGCCAATAGTCCCGCGCACAAAGGTCGTGACAGAGACCGCAAGAAGCTCACAAAGAAATTTGAAAGGGTGAGACCATATGGCGAATGCCAAATGGGTATTGCGCTCAGCAACATCCTCCCGCTCTACTACCAAAACTCGCACCAGAACCCGACAAGCAAGCGATCGTCTTTGTCCCTACGAGCAGAGGAAAAGCCCCCGGTCAACATCTACATTCTCACAGACGGTGTATGGTCGCCAGATTCATACTGCGTTTCCACCATACAAGATCACATCACGAACCTGGCTGATAATTTGTGGAAGGCTGGCAAGTTACAGCATGTCGGTATTCAGTTCATCCGTTTTGGGAATGACGCGACGGGGAAACACCGCCTCGAATATCTCGACAACGATAAATTACAGCATTACACAGTCCCTATGGATATTGTCGATACAGAGCCGTCCACCGGCAATGTCTTCAAGATGCTCCTCGCGAGTACCGATCCTTCCTGGGATAATGACGATGATGAGCCCGGCGGCTGAAGGAAATAACACTTCCTAGAGGCGTTGCGACACTCGCGCCACCCGGACTGTCAGATCAGAGTATGTGCTCCGAGAAGCCTCTCTTTTTTTTTCCCGTTGCTTTGGGATACTGCGTACGATACCCTGTGCATTACGGCGTTTGGCGATATCGGTGTCGCGTTTAAGGTAAGACACGGCAAGTTCATGATCACCATGTTCAACTATCACTGTTGGACAGGCGGAGAACCCGAGTTACGTACAAAACATCGATACGATAATAACGAAACACCATGTAGAGATTCATGTGACGGTCCTTTTGAACTAGTCTATGCATACACGCACCATTCCTTCTTTATATAATGTACATCAATGTCATAATCCTTGCTTCGTACACCACACCGCATGCAATGCATCTCAGTTATTCCTCTTACTCTTATCCTTCACCTTCTTCGCCTTCTTCTTCCCATTTCCTTTCCCCTCCCCATCATCCTCACTCGCCCTCTTCCCATTCCCTTTCCCATTCGCAGCCGGCTCCAACGCGGCATCCGTATCCTCGTCCTTGACAAGCAACTCATTCAACGCATCATTAAAGTTCTCCATCTCGTATATCTCGCCAATCTTGACGCGCATGTAGTCGAATGCGATGGCGACCTTCATGTCCTTGTTGCGCACCTTGATGACACGGGCGTTTTCTTGGAGCGAAGACGAAGTTTCCTTGAGGAGAGAGGGTATGGGTTTTGCTGGGCCTGGGGCGGGAGTTGTGGAAGAAGGAACGGTGGGGTGCATGTCCATGTTGTCTGCGTTTTCGGTGGTGGGGTCGACTTCGGCGTCTTCGTCTTCCATGGGCACGTCTTCAGCGACTTCTTTGGGGTTGAGCAGAGGGTCTTCTTCCTCACCGTCTGTGACGGTTTGGAGGACGGGGATCTTTTGGTAGCGCTGGCTGAAATGCGTGAGGACTACTGTTTTCGCGTTCATCGCTGCGCCGATACCGAGTGCCTCCGAGGTGGTGGAGTGTTTCTTGGCCTTTGCGTCGCCTTGTAGTTCATCGTCGAAAGTCGCTTCGTGGATGAGGACTGTGGTATCTTGTCCGATCTTGGAGAAGTGGACGCTTGGTCTGCAATCGCCTGAGTAGCTGACTTTAAGTGGCTTGACTTGTTCAAGGTCTGCTGGCGAGCGCGGGAAGGTAATTGAAACAGCCATGGCACCGTGGCAATGCGCTACTCTGGAAGCTTGTATTTCCTCGAAACCAAACAATTTCTCATACTCTGCTTTCGGTACGGCCGGATTCTCAGACAGTGTCTTTCCGAACGAGTTCAGTATAGACAACCTCGACCCATTCTTGTATTCGTTGGGAGTGATTTGAAGAGGGAGAATTCGACTGTAGCCAAAGTCCTCGATGGCTGAATATTCTTTAAGCCATTGGAGCATGCCACTGTGGGACATAACGGCAAGACCGTATGCGCTAGGGTCTATGTTGGTCGCGGAAGGGTCTAGGGGCTGGGAATTTGGAACAGCATTGTGTGCTACTTGGTACCAAGCACGAATCACTGCTGCTGTTCCTAAGTGGTGATCGGCATGCAAGTGACTGATCCAGATCATACGCAGGTTCTTGAAGATATCGACGAGCTCTTCGTGAGGAAAGACTCTTGAAAGCTGACCCAATGTGTTCTCTCCGCAATCCAAGAGGTAGTTGCCGATGCCAGGAACCCGCACCAATGTAGAAGATACATTACGGTACTTGGACGGTAGGGCAGAACCTGTTCCGAGTGTCGTTACCTCAGTGTCAGGACGCGCTAGTAGCTTCCTCCATATCTGCATGTCTCTGCTTTTGCTTTTGACCTCCGCTTGAGCCTTTTTAGCCAATTCGAGAACCTCAGGTGAGGTTGCAAGTTCCACTTCATTGGGCACAAAGAGACTAGATATAGTGTTTTTCTTTGTGGCAAACTTCGGCATGAGATTAAAGCCAAAGCCTCGGTCAGCGCGGATAGCTCCGGAGGGCAATGGCGATACTGTCGAGATGCCAGTCCTGTATATACTTGTCTGCGGTACAGTAGTGTTGTCGAAAACGGGTGTGGAATATCTTGACGGATCAATCTGCCCAAGTCGCGTAGCTTGTCCCGCTACCGAGTCGTTTGCGATGCGATTCGGCGCAGTATCTAGAGACGATATTACGTGTTCTACGTTGTCCATCTTGTTCATAAAACTGAGTAGATCCGGATGACCTGCGACGCCTGGACCAAGCATCCAAACGATAGCTCGAATGTCAGTCATCACCTCTGGAGAGCTAAGCTCTTCTCGTTCAAGGGTGCCCTCAATATATGCGACTGAGGGTATGTCCAAGATGGCGATACCCTGACCAGGCCTGTCAGCGCCCATGACCTGATCTGGGGTAATCATCTCGCCCTTCGCGTTCGGTACCGACAGGCCATTGGTGAGCTTTCCGAAATCCGGTCCTGGTTTGACACCTAGCGCTTTTGCGCGTTCGACATCGAATTGTCCACGAGCTGAATGCGACCGCACGATGTACGAAACACACTCTGGTGCTGGCCTGGTTGGTGGTAGCGCCAGAATGGTAGCGCCAGGCCACGGCGTCCGGGTCCAGACTTTAATGTCGGGAAGAGGCTCTCGGCCCCCTGGCTTTGGACCTTGGTAGGGCTCATACCCGTTTTTATCGGGGTTGCGAACGTACATGGCAGCAGGCATTTGTACCTCAGAAATATGGCGTTCTACCAGTGTATCCATCTTCCAATTCGAATCGAACATGTACTTGATGGTCGCTGTCCGTATCCGGTCGTATCTCAACTCGCGGTCTTCCGGGCTCTCATTTTCGGGAGCCTGGAGTCCGTCAAATGTATTCTCGTGTTCATCGAAATACCGTCGCCGCGTCTCCATATCAGCCTCCGCTTGCGCATCAGCTTCAGAATTGCTAGGCGTTACTGAGAGAGCCCAAACTTTGATATTGTCGTCCTCCCATGTCGGAACTATAGCACCATTACCGTCTTTCTCGGGCGACTGCTTCACATACTCAGTCGCATTGATGGGTATGCCCTTCCTGAATATGAACCTCCGACACGTTGCCAGTGTATGCTTCAGGTTCGGTGGTCCGTATATGTCGAAGTGCGGCTTCGCGGGTGCTTCGCCTTTCTTTCCCCGCTCTTGAGCTAGGCGGAAGGAATCCATGGCGGTGGTGTAAGAGCTGGTCGTAGAGTCGGCCAATGTGAGCATCATACCAATCAATCCGCCCATGTTCTTCCACTCTGTCCTGCCTGTCAAGAAGAAATCTTGCGCCTTTAGCAGGCGTGTGCCCTGCTGCACCATCGCGCGCTGGGTGCCCTCTGCCAGGTTGCCGAAAACATAGTGCTTGCTCGCCGTCCGCAGTACGAGCGTTGTTCCTGGCGTATCCGCTGTGGGCGTTGTGACAACCTCAACGCTGCACGACATGTCTCGTGTTCTCAAGAACTCGGTTCTATTGAAGTCCGCAGAAGTCTTTGTTTGTGTGTTTCTGGATTCGGAGGATTCAAAGATTAGTGGTTGCGTAAGGTCGCATGAGGCTGGTCCGACTGGAGCTTTGGGGTCTTGATATATCAAACGTGTGACTATCTTCGCTCCAGCTGGGTCATGGGCCTTGGTGCTTTTCTCGTGTGTAGATGCAAGATCTGGTTGAGGATCGAGGACTAAGCGGCGGATCGTCGCATACGTTCGAATGGAATGGCGTAACCGAGGAGTAGCTCTTGAGTGGAGAGTAAAGGCAGCGAAGTTCGTATGCGCTATGGGCCGACCGTATCGTGGGCGCAATGCGAAGAATCGGACATTAGTCGTAATGGTCGTAGCTCGCTCTATGGCGCTAACTATGGAAGCCAACTTGACGAAGGGAGGGAATGACACGAGAAGCAACTATGTACAACCCTGGGGGCATCAGGGTAAGAGAGCGCATACAACAAGTCGAAATGATGCGCGTCACTTTTCGCGATGCGTCAACGATCAAGGCTAGATTTAGGCGAAGCAGAGGCCCGTGCGAACCAAAACCGAGCGGACTTGTTCCGCGACACTCTAATCTTTAGTCCATCGCTTCATCTTGACTGCAACACTGTTGTCATCGGGTATCATTATTCTCATGAACTAAACTACTGCTTTCGTTTCTCATGTTGAATTTCCGCTCTCCGCAAACACTTGTCGCCTAACCTATCCTAGGCATTCTTCTTCCGGAGCGCTCCACCATCCACAGTAATGTCCTGACCGGTCACGAAGCCCGCCTCGATGAGATACAGCGCAGCATCGGCAATGTCCTTCGGTCTTCCAGCTCTGTTGGTCGGGTGGTCAGAGACGTCCTTCTCACTAATCTGGCCTGCCCAGTCTGCCCCGTTCTCGTCGCCTTCTTTGCTCTCGTGTGCGACCTTGATGCGTCCGGGCGCAATGAGATTGACGCGTATGCCTAGGCTACCCAGGCTGATTGCCATGGAGTGCATCAAACCAAGCTGACCCGACTTGCTTGAAGCGTAGCCTTCCTGGTTTGGATCAGACTGATGCGCACGGAAGGAGCCGATATGGATGATGCATGGACCTGCAGGACTGGAGTTGTTGGCGTTCTGGATGTGTGCGCCGTGTTCAACGTCAGATGCTCGGGCTTTCATGTAGGGGACACAGGCTTGGGACATAGCGAAGGGACCAGTAAGGTTGGTGTCGATGTACGCTTTCCATTCATCGATGGTCGAGAGGTCCTCCATGGTCTTGCCATCCTTCCACTGCGGAGACGCGATTCCGCCGTTGTTGATCAACACATCAATGCGGTCGTTGAAGAACTTGGCCGCCTCTTTGACTTTGGCACGGATGTCTTCGACGTCACGAAGGTCGCAGATCGCCGAACCAAGCCTTCCATCGGCGTAGTACTGCTTGAGGTGGACCTTGGTGGTGTGCTCGAGCTCATCCTCATCAATGTCGAAGATGTAGGCGTGGTGGCCAGCTTCGAGCATCATCCGAGTCAATGCTCGACCAATGCCTCGTGCACCACCAGAGATGATAATGTTCTTGTAGAGCGCGGGTGCTTGAGCTGCCATCTTGAGGGTCTCAGAATGTGGGGTTGGTATTGTTCGGTTTGGAGACGTGTTCGCGGTGTGTGGACTTTGCGTAGTGGTGTTTGTTCAAGTACGTTGGTCTGACGTCACGCCTCAACACATCGTTTATCGCCACGGTGCGCGCTGCACGAGATCGTTAAATCGGGAATCTTTACGAGGATCCTATTTCTGTGGGCCCTACGCCTCCCAAAAATCCTAGGCTCAAGACTTACATTGTGTTGTGTTGTACAGTTAGTTAAGGGAAAACAATTTACCTTCCAAGTGTAGTAAGACTAGAGTACAACTTGACCATACATCAGGCCTTGCAGTACGACAATGAAAAGCAGTCCGCAGAACAAGTGATCAGATGTAATAATTGCTTGGTTACTATTATTCATTCTCATGAAATTTGGGGCCACCTTTGCCAATCATACATTGAGTGGAGAAAAACTTAATATTTTGAGCGTACGGCCACCTCATACAAGCAAGAACCTGAACAGATGTGCAGACTATACTATGATAGACCAATTATATAGAGAGGTCTGGCGTGAATGTTGACTCCAGGGTGTTCAGAGTTTTACGTGCATGAGATGCGGCATAATGGATGAAGCAGAGCCACCTTCATAGTAACATTTCTTGTGCAGCCGCCCCTTCCTGATCTGGATACACAGTCGGGGAAGTGAAAGTGAGTGATAAGAGGGTAGCTACTGCCTGAGGCCAACGATACTGCCTAGGAATGAACCCACATGGCAGAAGGTCGATCCTTCTCTTTTGAACCAGAACTCGGCAAAACACTCACCATAGCTTGTTCACTCGCTCATTCACACCTCACCAACTCTACGCACATCGCCACCACAAATACGTCTACAACATGGTTCGCGCCTCGACAGTCGCCGAATCCCAGTGCGTCCACTTCATGGTCGCTGAACACACTGCCAAGTTTACGGCTGGCATCATTGTCTATGCCTTCTTCGCGGTCGATGCCTTCTTCAAAATGGCGGGCAAGGACAAGCACCCAGCGATTTTGGCGTGGCTAGTTCTCATTCTGGTACGTATACTGAAGATAAGATTCGGTTCCGTAGCAACAATGAGTTCTAACACTTTTCAGTTCAGTCTATATGTCCTTACAGGCATCGTCCTCGAACCTGTACATGCGATATCCAAGAAGTACAAAGTCGACAATGCCACCGGGCTCCAATACATACTCAGTTGCATCTACCTACTGGCATTTCTGTCGATGTGTGCCGCAATGCGATTTGCAATCCCGAAAGGCTATCTACTGGTCTGGTCTTCCTTCTTTCTGCTACCGGTAAGTCCTGTCGGTAGAACCTGTATCGACAATTCTCGCTCTTCGTAGATCTGTCGTATGCTCTTTGCCCTCGCCATCGAAGCTACGTTCAGAGACTGATAAGTGGAATATCCCTGGCTGTGTATTCAGATCAACAAGGGATGACTTCAACCGGATATGCGCAAACTTGTGAAAGATGGGGACGTGGGAGATGGAAGCAAGAGATCACAAACAACTGATGGAAAGAATCATGTCACCATATTACACCTGTGAGTGAACATAAAAATCGCATCCATAGATCTTTTATCAAAACACGACAACCAAATCCCTCCTGACGCCAGTGAACACCGAGTTCCGTCAAAGTACAGGTATATGACCACATGCATGCAATCGTTTGAAATCAGAAAAGCGCCGTCAGCCTATTGTAGCTCAACATTCCGTCTATTGCGAACGCTGGTAAACACCAACAACCATGGCGTGGTCACGCTCGAAGGGCTCAAGGGTGAGCTGCTCCTTGGGCTTGATGCCCATCTCTCGTAGCTTGTTGACTTCCTGTGCGAAGACGGCCTCGGGGGCAGCGGTGGAGTCGATACAGTTGGCCTTGATGGAGATGACGATACCACCTCCAACCTTGAGGAAGAGTCCGGCGTTGAGACCGACGATACGGGCTTGATCGGGCTGGGCAACGTCGGCGAAAATGCAGTCGACCATGCCGACGAGCATGCGGTACTTCAGAGGGTGACGGGCTGCGATTTGTTAGCGAGTGTCAGAAAGACGGAATGCAATGTACATACCATCCTCAACGATGGGAATGACGTTGGTGCGGTGAGTAGCCATGTTGATCAGATCACGGCCGGAGCGGTGCGAGAACTCAACAGCGAAGACGGTTCCCTCAGGTCCAACGATATCAGCAACGTGGGAAACTGATGTTCCGGAAGCGGCACCGAGGTACAGGACCTTGGAGCCAGGGCCCATGTAGATGTTGTCGACACCACCCAAGATACCAGCGGCCAACTTGGAGCGGAAGGGGTTCCAGACACGGTACTCTGTGCTGGATGGGGCTTCGGTCTCGCCATCCTTGGGCGCGGTGCTGGCACCAACGCTGATGCGCTTCTCGCCGTAGACAGACTCGCCGGGGGTCAAGTTCTTGGTAACGAGGAGATCCTCCTTTCCGCGAGCGACGAAGACACCGGCGTGACGATGGCTAGAGATGTGGTTAGTAGCTGTCTCTCACGCTTTTGAGCTGGCTGGACTTACGGCTCAACAATGACCTTGGCTCCTCCACGCGCTCCTCCACGGGCACCTCCTCGGGGCGCACCACGGCCTCTTGGGGCTCCGCGGCCACGAGGGGCACCACCACGGCCGCCACGGTCACCACCGCCGCGACCACCGCCGAAACCACCACGTCCACCTCTGGGGGTGAAGCCACCGCGACCACCACGGTCACCACCAAATCCACCACGTCCGCCGCCGCCACGACCGCCTCTGTGAAAAGTCAGAACTGCGCTGCAGATGAACGTTCATACATGAGAACAGAGAAGCTCGCTTTCCCCAAGTCATCCTGGAGACAGCTCAGGAAGAACGAGCTTCTGCGTAGTGCGGAATGCGCATGCTGAGAGAGTAGACGTCAAGATACGCAGTATCTATGCAATCGCATCTTGCTTAACATGTCGCAGTTCGCGCATTGTTCATATTGCGATGGGATTTCGAGGCTTGCGGAAGTCGTACCTGGGAGTGAAAGCCATTGCTGATAGTTGTCGGGATAGTTCGAGTAGGTTATGGGATGCGAAAGCTACTGCGCGAGGTTAGTCTTGAGATGGCAGAGTACAAATATCAGCCCAAGTACCTCTGGGTGCTCTGTTCCACTATATGCGCGTTGACTGTGCGCGTTGAAGTGGCTGTGGGTACGGTATGTCGCGGTAGATGCGATGGGTGCAGCTTCGAAGTTCGCAGAGCTACATTTTTTCAAAAGTAGCGCCAAAACTGCGCAGCCAATCACGTGCGGGAGGCGCAAGCGGCCCGCTATAATGCCGTGGGCGCGACTTTGGCTTTTTTCGGTTGGGTCTGCCACTTAGTCATCAAGGCCACTTTCGCTCGAGAAGTCGTCGAAATTACCTACCACGTCGGCAGTCTACTACTAACAACAGCACAACTCGACAAAATGGTACGTTGGCCGTCGCGATCCACTGTCGGAACTTGCACGCACGAACATGGAATTAATTCTTGCAGGTTCGCTACGGTGCCTCCTCCATTGACGGCGCAAAGTCTGCTCGCGCCCGCGGCAGCTACCTCCGCGTATCCTTCAAGAACACCCGCGAGACCGCCCAGGCTGTCAACGGCTGGAAGCTCGACCGCGCCCTTACCTACCTCGGAAATGTCCTGGAGCACAAGGAGGCTATCCCCATGAGGCGGTACGCCGGCAGCACTGGACGCACTGCTCAGGGTGAGTAGCCCTACCCACGATTCGCACAAGGCACAGATGGAACATGGCAGTGGAGGAGGAACTTTGGGTGTTGGAGATGGAGTCGATGTTGGCAATTGCAGGAACACGCGCTGACTTCAGCAGGCAAGGCTTTCGGTGTCTCCAAGGCCCGCTGGCCCGTCAAGTCCGCTGAGATCCTCATCGGTCTCCTCAAGAACGCCGAGGCCAACGCCGACACCAAGGGTCTTGACACCAGCAACCTGATCATCAAGCACATCCAGGTCAACCAGGCCCCCAAGCAGCGAAGGCGCACTTACCGTGCTCACGGACGTGTATGTACACATCGGCCCACAGTTGCGCTCCCCTCTGACATACCTAGATCAACCCGTACATGAGCAACCCCTCCCACATCGAGCTCATCCTCACCGAGGCCGCCGAAGTTGTCCAGAAGTCCAACCAGACCCTCGAGCGCCGCATGAACTCCAGGCAGCGTGGCCGTGCCGTCCGCAAGGCCATCACTGGCCCTTCTGAGGAGTAGAGGAAGCAGAGGAAGTTGATGTTCCGGCGAAGAAAACGGTCAAGGCATGGGCACGGTTTGGGAGTCAATGAGCGATGAATATTCAGGGTCTTTCCACACTCGTCATGTATTCATGATATGGCACTTCGATTTCTGCGGTGTCTGGTCCGTAAAAATAAATAGGGCCAAGGCCTGTTCCCAAATGTTCAAAGCCGAGACTTCCAAGTCGCAAGTTCACGATGTTCGCCAGTGTATCTGATTCCTATACGATGACAGGACAACGGATGATTCAAGCGGTGCATCCCTCCCGAGGTTCGGCTGCAGTCGTCGACATCTTATTTCTTACAAAGGAGTCCAGTCTTTTACGCGTGCCCAAAACGGACTCTGAAGGAATGCGCTGCTTGTTGACATTCTCGTCAGTACGATCAAGAATTTTAGGAATGTCACTAGAGTGAATTTGCGGTACGACGTAGAGGAACATGGACTGCTCTGACCAGCTATGAGCGCATGCCCGAATTGACCTCCACATGCATCGATAGACCCTGAGATTCCAAGATTTCCCGTCGTGTGCCTGGGGCTGACCGCAGGCTGAGCTAGTCTCAACAGGCGTTAGCGTGCTAGGGAACTTTGGCAGCTCGAACTCAGAATACTAGCTAAGCAAGGCTCAACGGCCAGCTAAGCATGCATGCCGCTAATATCTGATATGAGGCTTGCTGCAAATCCCACATCATTTCCTTCGAGTCAGTTGCGGCCAGATACGATCTCTTGCCTTGTTGCAATTGCTCCGAGCCAACTTTCCCACGATCGATGACGCAGGCCCAGCAAGCCCAGGCATGGGCATGTACCTCGCCACAAAATGTGTCGAAAGATAAGTAGTCATGTATAGACTAGGATCTATCCGCTTTCAAACGTCTTTTTCCACAAATCTCTCTCTTTACTAGAAACGGCGACCGTTCTTACGTGCATAGCTGCATTCCCAGTCTTCACCTTCCACCTACCATCATGGCTCGCCTACACCAATCTACCCGCCACAGACGGCAAACCCCATACCTCGCCTCTCTCTACGCACTCTTCGCTACCGCCGCATACGCGCAAGACTCAAAACGCGGTTTCGCATTCATCGGCGACTCACACGTACCGGACAACCGGCTACTTACTTCCGACAACTCACCACTAGCATGGTATTACAACTGGTCACCATACCCAAACAGCGACCTCATCCCCGCGGACAGCCTAGAGTTCGTGCCTATGATTCACGGCATAGATGCCACAGAAGACGATAATACCGAACGCGTGATTGCGGGTTTGCCGCAAAGTAGCAAGCACCTTCTATCTTTCAACGAACCAGACGGCACCGAGGGAAGTGGTGGTAGCAGTATCAAGCCTGAAGACGCTGCAAAAGCATATATCGACTTCGTTGTGCCCTTCCGGAATGGCGACAAAGGTGGCAGGAACTGGTTAATCAGTCACCCCAGTACGACGGGTAGTCCAAACGGTCTTGACTGGTTACGGAAATTCAATGAGTCTTGCTACGAAATTGACTCCGAAAATGGGTGCCCGGCGGATTTCGTTGCTGTACATTGGTACGGCGCTTTCGATGGTCTGGCAGGCTGGTTAGGCACCTTGGATGAGTTCTACAACACAAATTCGACAAGGGATCAGCCATTGAAGCTTTGGATTACCGAGATGGCGCTTCCGCAACAGGATGAGGAGAATACGGTGGGCATGATGAACCGCACACTACCGTATCTTGATCAGCTGGATTACGTTGAACGGTACTCTTGGTTCGGTGCTTCCAGGACAGACGATGCAAACGAATGGACGGGCGATAGTGTCGCGCTGTTCGATGATGATGGTGGCTTGACTGAGCTTGGTGCGCTGTACCTGGGTAATCGATTCGAGGAGGGACAGAAGGGTGAGGGTGCTGAAGAGGATGCGGCGAGTGGCCTGAGGGTCAGTGCTGGACTGATGGCCGCCTTGTCTGTGTGTGCGGCGGTGTTCACGATGCTTTAAACGATCGTTACGATAAACCTCCTTTCTGTTGTAAATACCCTAGCGAAGTGTACATAGCAGCGATAATATGCAGTAATGGTTCTCGTCTTAATGTTATCTTGACATGTGGCACGCATTCTAGCGCGGCTGATCAATATCCGGTGAGGTCCGGCAAACTTTGCGAAACCATCACCTCCAACTGCCATATCACCACAGCGACGACACCATCCTCTAGCGCACAGAAATAGTGACGGCCACTCCTCGACTGCCAGGTTTCGGAAAACTGTAGCAACATCAGAACAAATCGCAGAGGAGCATTGGGATGGTATGTGGAGAGGAAGCTGCAGGAAACATATATCGCGTCGCGACGTGCCTCTTCCCATGTTTCACGCCAAGCCATGTGTAGATCTGTCGAAACATGCCAAACACTTATGTTGACCACTCAAACACTAAATACTTCGATGCAGTCGCGCCAAACTGAGGGCTCGGGCCCCAAAGCCATGATCCGATTCGCTCCTCTTGCTGCGACACTCGAGACACTATAGCCTGGAGAACCATCTGTCTACCATCTCAAACGGAGTATGAACCAAGCTTTCTCGTTCCCGAGATAAGCTTTTCTCAACAACGACGCTTACAAGGTATAACCGCGATTAGTATGTTCAACGGGCTATTCTTGTCTCGGTACATGCAGTTTCCTTTGTCGCCTGCATAGCCTCACCCTGTTTGAGCCTTGGCGGCTATCCGTCCTGATGCGCTCCAACCCTATATCGGACACCAACAGGTCCGAACATATGTGGCGCGACGGGAAATGCTTTGGTTGGTTACCCGCTTCGAAGATGTTCAAGGTGCAGCGCGAAATAGTGGGACAGGGTTGGAGGCTAAGTCAAGGGAGAGCTACATCCGTTGACCTGAGCACCTAGAGACGAGACGAGAGAACGGTTAATAAATAACAACAAACCGATGCCTTGGGCTTCAGTATCACCTCAAACCCCTGTTTTGTTTCCAGTCTTCTGTCTGATATACCTCTTCATCCCCTGCATCGATCATCCGACCTTCGTTCAGTCCTCCAACAACCACACAACATGCGCTTCTCAATAATATCGACCGCAGCTCTTCTAATAACAATTACATCCGCAGCACCTCTCAGCAAGCGCGACTTCTCCCCATTCCCACTGGTAAACGGCTTCCCGAACCCCTCACAAGACGCCATCCTCCAAATCCAAAAAGACGGCCACGGCACTCTACCCAACGGGCCCCCACCACCCACCCTCAGTCTCGATGGCACCACAAACCTCAAGCTAATCGCGCTCAACGAACTCTTCGAAGTAGCCTTCTTCACGGAATTAATGACCAATGTAACCTCCAAACTGCCCGGCTACGACCTCGGCGACCGCCAAGGCTACATCGTCGAATCGCTCAAAGCCATTGTGAATCAAGAAGAAATGCACGTCCTCAACGCCAACGACGCTCTAAAACACTTCAACCAAGCCCCCATTGAAGGCTGCAAATACAACTTCCCGGTAACCGACTATGAAGGCGCCATTGCACTCGCTGCAACGTTTACAGACCTTGTCCTCGGCACGCTTCAAGAAGTCTCCGAGCTCTTCGCTCGCTCCCAGGACTTCGGTCTGGTACATGCGGTGGCGTCTGTGATAGGAAATGAAGGCGAACAAGAAGGTTTCTTCCGCGCAGAGCAAAAGAAGAGGCCAAGCGCACAGCCTTTCCTGACAACCGCATCGCGTGATTTCGCATTCACTGCTATCCAAGACTTTGTCGTGGAGGGCAGTTGTCCGAATATCAACACCATTCCGCTCAAGCGATTCAAGCCTTTGACAGTCGAAACAAAGGATATCAAGGCCGAGACGCAGAATATGAAGTTTTCGTTCTCAATGAAGGATGCGGGTATGTTTGAGATTGATATGCTCAAGTTGGTTTGGATCAATGGGCAGAATGTACCCGTTGCGAAGGCGCTGCAGAATGTGAAGATGATGGATGATAGGGTTATGTTCGAGGCGGAGTTTCCGTTTGATGAGTTTGTTATGGAGGGTTTGACGCTTGCGGCGGTGACAATGGGTGCGGATTCTTTTGCCGGGGCGGGGGAGGTTGCCGAGAAGACGGTGTTTGGGCCGGGGATCATTGAGCTGGATTGAGTGGGGGACGAGGTGTTTGGTGTGCATAGCGATGGTGTCGGTCTTACGCCGAGGATAATGTTGCTGGTGTGTAGATAATTGTAATGTCTTGTATAGCTCATCCCATATCCGTTCTGACCCCTAGTTTTTGTGTGTGTATTTTGTATGTTCTTGCGACGGCCTAGGTCGCCTGAGTTCCACTTTACAACTCGCTCATGGGCGTCGCTAGCAAAGTCTTTATATCAACCGTTTCCCTGAAGCTCTTCAAGAACTCTCTCATCGTACTCGGCAGCTTTGGTTTGTGCCAAGTCCGCATGATGCTCATTATGTATTCCTCATCAGGCTCCCGGTTTCTATTCAGATAGAACAGCGCGTGGCCTAGTGGCATCCAAATAGCCATGATACCCGTTACGCCGAACTGCTCCTGAAGGAAGTAGTCGACTGACTTCATGATCATTCTCGCAAACGGTCGGGGGTGTGGGCGATCCGGGTGTGAGAGTAGGGGGTCGGTAGAAGGGTCGATGCCTGTTGCGATGTCGAGGGATGAGTATAGGAGAAGAGCTGTCAACCAGTAGCGTACTGTGACACAAGCTATGTCGATGTTGGGAAAGGTAATTGGCGTCGCGTTGCTAACAAACTCAGGTATGTAGATGGCGTTTGCCTCCGCATTAGCCCAGGCTTCGAGCTCGAAGTGCAGTGTCCAACACTTTGCTATTGTGTATACTTGCAGCCCTTCTCTTTCTTGTTCACTCATACATTCGAACTGTAGCTTGTCCACAGCGTTCAAAAGCTCGGGTATACCGCAGAGGACGTCAATTAGAACATCGTCAGACGACTTGGTCCGGCCTCTCCAAGGTATCGTTTTCCATTCTTCCTCATTGAGTATGGTTGGTTTCCTGCTACGGGTGGCAGGCCCAAGTAGCCGGTATCTTGCATTAGTGAAGAGTCTATGCGCTGCGTCGTTTTCTGCGAACATCTCCGGGCCACGGCTGACTATCATGGCTAGCTCGCCTTCACAGTGACTGAGCCAGCTCTTCGCCTGGTTGGTCGTGTTCGCTTCTGCGCCGAACAGCATATCGAAGAGAGCCATGATTCGCGGTACAACAAGCAGTGACTCGCTACTCGCTCGAACAGGGTTTTGTAAAGCAACTGCTGTTTCCTTGAGAGCTTTGCCGTACAGTGTTCTTCCTTGCCGCGTGAGAGCTTCATTGTCCGAAGTCATCCCAAGCTGCGTTATGCCAACTGCCAGAGCAGCCATCTGCAGTGCTTCATCACGCGTACTAAGCAAGGGTAGCAAGCTAACAAACTCCTTCGCGTCTGTGTTGGTGGTGTGGATTACGCCCTGTGGGTTGTACATGTTCAAGAAAGTCGCAATAGTCTTCTCGCTGTAAGCAGACCTCGCGAGCGCATCTGGCAGCATAATTGGCATCGAGATGGAACATGTTTTCTGTGTTCCTGGACTCGATACAGGGTTGAATCGCATCATCTGCATGCCTTGGCGAGGTGGCTGTCCGGGAGATTTCTCAGCTGTCGCGTGGCGTCCTAATCTTGGTGCAGGACGGGTAGGCCCGCTTCCTTTCTGGTAGATGAATATGCGATCTGAGTCGTAGCCTCCGCATGCTATCCCGCGTTCTTTGCATTGACCGCACTCAGGCTGGACTAGATCGCACTAACATACATCAGCTCCGCATTTCGAGTGTTATTCGTGGGCGCTCATACTTACGCCTTTCTTTCTTTTTCGGCACGTCACACAGCCTTTGGAGCGTCCTGGAACCCCCACCATCTCGGAAACTTAGAGTAGGCGCGTACACGCAGGATTTTGTCCACTGTCACTCCTGTTCAGCGCGGAATGTTCCCTATATGGACATACATTGTCTGCCTGCTAGCGTAACGGTGAAGAAGCGCAGTCTCGTAGGGCTGTGAAGCGCCTGTAGTAGCTTCAAGTTTAGCTATTGATTGGTGCGCACTTGTCTATGACGACGGCTATAATGCTTGGGAGGTGGCTTGTATGATTTCCACGTTGTCAGACCTCAGGCGTCCCACTATGTCATCTCAATCAACCAATGAAGGTCGCTCGCGCCTTACCCTTTCTGGCTGATTCTGCGACAACTCGCGCTACTGCAGATGGGTCCTAGCTTTACCGCCAAAAGGCACTTTACAGTGGTGGATGTAGATCGAAGTAGCCATGCGATATCTTGACTACCATTGCGATCGTGTCGAAGCCTCGTTAATCGAACAGGGTGGCTCGTCGCAAGGAGGACCCTTTGCGGGGTCATTGCGCGCTGGGTACCTTCCGCTGACATAACGTCTTCCCCTGCATACCAGCGCGAAATGTTCTCAATACAGCATGGTGATCGTCTTCACAGTGTGTGGTCAACTGGTATAACATGAAGCCAACTCTCTCTCGAAGATGGCATACACTCAGCAACTATCATCACCTCGACTACTTTCAATCAGCACCCACATATAGCACTACAAACAACACGTCTCCATCAGCTACACTACAACTACCCATCTCTCGAAGCCCACCATATCATCCTGCTCCCTAGGGCTCTGGCATCAACTGTCACAATGGTCGCCTCCCCACCCTCCCCCAATTTCTTCACGAAACGCATAATCCACCCCCTCGGCTTCACAAAAACCTACAACTTCTGGCTCTACTTCATCTTCGGCGGCGCATTCGTAGGCTTCGCCCTAGCCCGCTTCTCCTACCTCGACTTCTCGCGAAACTTCTGCCCTTCCTCCGGGTCCTCCTCCAGTGGCAATGGCGCCGCGCCCGGAGAATGCTACTACTACCTCAACTTCAGCCAGTACAAAATCGGCATCTTGTTGCATCTCGCTGGCGTGCTACCCGCGAGTCTCCTCGCTGTGCTGCAATTCACGCCGTTTATTCGAAAGAGGTGGATTATCGTTCATCGAATCGGAGGCTACGCTGCGTTGCTGCTTTACCTGGTGGGCCTCGCTGGCGCACTGATGATCGCACGGCATGCATTCGGCGGCGGGCTTGATGTACAGGCTTGGATTGGACTCGCTGGGCTGGCATCGCTGGGCTGCTTTATCGTCAGCTATATCAACGTCAAGAGGTTGCAGATTGAGCAGCACCGAGCGTGGATGCTTCGGGGCTGGTTCTACGCCGGCACCATCATCACGACTCGACTCATCCTGATCATCGCCGCGCAAGTCATCGCATCGCAAAATTACTACGTCGTCTGGTCCTGCGCAAAGCTCGCCGCGACGATCGCCGGTGACATGGATCTAGCGTCTTCGTACCCTGCCTGCGCAGCCTTCGTCAACGGCACTGATCCTGAGGCCGTCTCCAGCGTCGCGGCGACATTTGCGGTTGGGGGTCCGGAGAACACGGGGGCCGCGTTGAATGCGGGGTTTGGTATGGCGTTGTGGGTGTCGCTCGCGCTGCACGCTTTTGGTGTGGAGGTGTACTTGCAGCTTACGCCGAAGGAAGCGCAGAGGTTGAGGCAGATCAGTTATCAGAGGCAGTTGGAGGCGGGCATGCGCAATCCGGGATCGGCTGGTCTTACGGCAGATCGGCTGGGAGATGCGGAGAAGTGGGTTCCGGTTGAGACTAAGGAAGACGGTGTGAGCACGGAAAGGAGTGAGGCGACTGACTCTACTGCTGTGGCGGAGACGAAGTAACGACGGGTGCTATTTCTCAGGTGTTTTCGCATAGCGTAGAGCGTTTTGTTTTTCGATTGAGCTTCTGGGAGCGAGGCGTTAGACTAGTCATTTGTGTAGAACGTTGAGATATAATTCAGAATAACATTCAAAACTCCGCCCCTAATTTCGTTGAGGTTATCAATAATTCATCAATCGTCATGCCTGGCGATCCAACATCGCCATTCGCCACGACCGCTCACCAAGGCAACTGAAGAGGAGTAGACAGCTTGCTCTTCGGCCCCAATACGGGCTCAGCAGTACCAATATCACTAAACTCCTTGTTAGCTCACTTCCATATAATCAAATCAAATCAACAACAACTTACCCAGGTCCCCTCGGCGCCCAATACTGCCCAGTATGACTAATATCAAACAGCTCAATCCACTCCACCAGGCTCTCCGCAGCAACATCCGGTTCAACCGCCCCTCCCTCATCCCAGAACTTATCAAAGCCCACATTACGAGTCATTTCCGTCCGCATGAAGCCCGGATGCACCGAGACAATCGCAATACCCCTATCTCTCAAATCTATACTCAGCAACTTCATGCACATGTTGAGCGCCGCCTTGCTAGCATGGTGACCGTAGTTGCCGCCTCCTTCAGATTCGTGTCGCAGTGCTATACTGCCGCTTTCGGATGAGACGAAGACGATCTTGGAGTTGTTGTCTAGAAGCGTGCTGTTGTAGTTGGCGAGGGCCGTGACGAGGATAGTGGGGCCGATGGCGCAGATGGTGTACATGCGCTGTTGCGCGGAGAACGAGGGCTCCTTAAGCGATTCGGTGGCGAAGTAGCCGGCTGTTATGATGACGATGTCTAGATGTGGTATGTGGTTTGATTCAAGGAAGTGGACGAGATCGCTGCCGACGTGGGGGGATTCGAGATCAACGTTGGGGACGTATGTTATGTTGCTTGCTTTAGAGAGTCAGTCTGACATAGCATTTTAGAGTAACGACAGATCTCTCACTGTTCTCAGGAGGCTCTGACGTCCTCGCGGTTGCGAGAACATGGTTGTTCGCGTCTGCTGCGTATTTCTGTACGATGCTCGCACCAAGGCCACGGGTAGCGCCTACAACGAGTATGGTAGGCATCTTGGCGGTAGAAATAAAAGAACGAATGCTGTGAGATTGTCAATAGGAATTCAAGGGGTGAAATGAACGACTCAAGCTGAAGGATCCCGATGACGTAGGGATGGGTGATGAGATTGCGCTAAGATAAGGACGCGTCCCGAAGTCGCGTCTGGAAGCGCTCACCTTGTGGCATCTTTCACCTCAAACTTCAGCTGGCTTGGTATGAATGCATAGTGAGATTCTCGAGGCATGATCCGAACCAAGTGAGGGTCGTTTCGCTGATCGACACCGAGATCATCTGCGCATTGGGGTCAACCTTCCACATGTGCGACATCGGCGACCTTTGCATGTATTGTACGACGGGGTAGTCAGGGGATTGCTCGTAGATGCAGTGCTTGTAAACGTAGGTATGTAAGAACACCAGGTCATCACAAGTAACCGAAGTTTACATTGCATTATAGCTAACCCTCGTGTGAGGCTAGCACAGCACAACTCAAAACTGACCATCCGACTGCCAACATACAAAGTGGATGTGGAACATCAGCCAATCCATCGACACTGACCACGTAAGTGCTCCATATCAATGAGTAATAGCGGAAGTCGTCACCACCCAATGCATGTACATGCCCTTATGCAACAGCTTTTCTTCGATAGGAATTAAGGAATGGATAAGAGTTAGGAAACTGGATATTTGTAGACTTATCCTGACGCCGTGACAAGGATATGGGAATCGAAATGTGTATCTCATGTCCGGAGCGGGACTCGCTGAACGCCATACCAAAACGTAAAGACACAACAGAACAAATGAACTCGCGTGACGCAACAAGAGTTTGCGTTGGACAGGAGAGTATGATCATCACTGCATGCGTTTTCGCTTACGCACGTCATCTGCTTCATCCTCCTCACTGCGCTCCGCAGTTTCCGCGGGATTGAGGAGCGAGTGGACATTCGACGCCATACTAGATCGTCGAGTGGGTGGTCCAGAGGCGTCGATGCCTTTGAAAGGGTATCTAGCTCCCGGTAGTGTCCAGCCAGCATCCGCACTTAATGTCGACGGCATGTTGTCATTTGACAATGGAGGAGAGCCGTGTCTTGACAGTGCTTGTCGTGGACCGCGGGGTAATTGGTATGATTCCAATGCATCACGGAGCTGCTGGTCACCACCTCCGATAGGTGGACGGTGCGGTGACGAGGGCCATTGTGTGGAGTTGTAACCAGAAGCGTAGGGCGAATTGACAGCAGCGTTGGGTGGCTGCGGTTGCCAACCATGTAAGCGGATATCTGCCGAGGTGTGCCGCCTATATAGATTATACGGAGGGGAAGAAGTGCTTGGCAAGTTGCTCCCCAGGTTTGCAGCTCCCGGCTGCTGGACTTGTGGTGGAGGAGGTGGGGGTGGCTGATGGGAAACTGGGGTTCTGGCTGAAGATGGAGAGTAATTACCCGTGCCTATTGAACCGTAACGTCGCGGAGAAATTGCAAGATGCGCCGGGATCGGAGCCTTGTATGGAGCTTGCCGTGAAACGCTCGCCAAGGACCCTCTCCGCGACTCTATTAGATTGTCTTGTGGCATTTGCCGGGGCGAAAGGGGTGGGCCATTGCTGTTGTCTACTTGCATGAAGTAGGATTGGCGTGCGGAGAGAGGTGCATCTTCTGGTGGCTCCAATGCTCGGAGCATGTCTGTTTGTCGAGCAATTTCACGCTGCATCATGGCGACTGGAAAAGTCAGTGTGTGTCGCGCAGATAAGGTTTGAGCATTGACGCGTACCATCCCTATGGATAGGGTTTTCCGGGTCCGGCACCATCTGCATGATGAGGGTTGCAAGGTCCTGATTCCACTGTATAATCTATTAGCTGTTGTAGATTGGGGTCTAGACATTCGACATACTTGGTGGCATTTCATCATGCCCTCGGCTAGCACCGAGCTCCTTTGATTGAGGTATGCGCATGTGTCTTCTGATCGCTGCATGCGCGCATGCATGTCATAGAGGCTATGCTCGAGATTCTGGAGGCGTGACTCGGTGGGGTCCGGCATTTGCTCGACTGCCTGCCCAGCTGGTGGGCCGGGGGGCATTTTGGGCGCGGGGAAGGAGTCGCGATGGATGAGGGCGTGTCTAGAAGCACGTCGCTTGATCTCGCGCAGGCCGACCAGATCGCCGCGCTTAAAGTTTCCGTTGCCGTGCTTGAACTCCCATAGCGGTGTGTCTGGCGATCCAGTGTGGAAGACGTCGCTCACTGCGGCAGTACGGTCAGCATGTGATGCATGGCATGGCGGAAACAACTTGGACACGTACCCTTGTGGAAGCCGTACATGTTCAGCTGGCGCACAAACGAGGAAATGTTGGTGTGCTTGAAGTAGGACCTGGGATTTGTTAGTCAGAGAGCCTGAAGCGGCCGTGGCTTCAGGTGTACGTACGAAAGGACTTTAGAGAACTCGCTAGAGGGAGACATGACGAAACTCTCGTTAGTGCTTGCCCAGGAGATGAGGTGCTGGATGCTCTGGTCTTCGAGCATGCTGTGTCGTGTTAGTGTCGCATCGCGTGCGTACTGTTGCGGCACACGTACTTGTATAGCTTGTGTATAAAGGCCGTCTGGACGACCTTGGGCTGTTGTGCAGCTGCGGCAGCGCCCACTGCAGGCGCGGTGTTGCCATTGGGGGGCGAGGTGTTTTCCGAATCGCCGTTTCCTTCTCTTTGCGACTGCAGCTGGAACGATACCGTGGTGTTGCGCTCGTTAGGCGGGCCCATGGCCGACGACGTGGGCGTGATGTCCATGGGGTCCCGGGATGGTGTAAGCCTCGGGCTGGACGAGGGCAGGATGGGAATCGACTTGTGCAGGTTGGGATTGTGGGGATCGCCCGAAAAGGGACTGCGGCGGGCCTCTGCGACGGAAGCCATGGTGTGGGCGTGGGATGTGGAGAGCAGACGCGGTGTTGAGAAGTCGGGCTGTTGGGGCACAAGGGCCTGCTGCGTGCCTGGAGACGGGCGCACGGGGGTCGTGCAGGGGAAAGAGAATTGAGCTGCGTGCGATGGGCGCAAAGATTCAGGAGTGTCTCGAAAAATGCTTGAGGTCGCCTGGATGCAGGGTCCCGACTTGCGGTGGCAGCGAACGTGGGCGGGCGGAGAAGATGCGGAGGAGCATGCGATATGTGTGGCCGACGTCGCCGCAGAAGCTTCGAATCGGCGAGCGAGCGTCTTGGAAGCTCCCTAGGCTTGGGGATTTCTTCTAGCGCCTGCGCGAGCCGTAGAAATTTGGTTCCAGAAAAGTCGGCGTGGCAGACGGTGCCAGTGGTCCTTTGTCGGATCGGGAGCGGCCGTCGCTGAGGAATAGGAGCTCGCGCAGTCCGAGGGGTAGGTCCGAGCGCACTTCTACGACCACAATTCCAGATGCTCCGGAATACTGTGTTTGAGCGTGCAAGGCTTGGCGGGGGGGTGAGCAGAAGACAGGTTGGTGGGAAGACTGCAACTGCGAGACGCGGCGAGATATGCCGGCGTGTCGCAAGACTGGCTGCGGAAAGGAGGTCCAGGCACAGGGGCGTTGAGGGCGGAACGGTAGCGCTACCGCAGAGAATACTATGGGGGATCGCGATGTGGGAGCGTGCTGCGGGAGCATCTGGAGGCCTTTGCGCACGACCAACCGAGAGCCAAGTGTCATCCAACGCTGAGGGGGCACATGGTCATGTTCGTCTATCTATGTTCCACTGCCCTCAGTACTCTGTAGAGCTCTAGGCACGCCAGCGCCCGCCGACAGTCGCTACACCAGTCTATGGCCTGCCGTCCGGGTTGGCTGCCATGGTAGGGCAATGGCATGCAGCTCACGGCGAGAACTGACCTCCATGTCGCCGTTGCATGTGCCCGTGACCCCTGTCGTCGGCCAGCTGCAGGTCGAGACACTGAAACGTTGCTCGACCATAATAACCCACCGCTAATATCACTACAACGCGAACTGTTTCTGCTGCGGGGTCAGCATATAATGCGCCTCATATGCCTATGCTCCTCCCGAGTGCCCGTGATGCGGCTGCGGATGCGGAAGGGCAGTGGCACAGACTAGAATATCGAACCTTCGCCAGAGTTGCCTCAAATGCTGCTGGGTAGCTGGAGCCAACTGACTCCCTTGCCCATGGTCAAACACTGCTAGTACGACTCGCGAGCATTGACGCCATCCTCGGCTTTCACGCATCGTGTAGGCCAGGGAAGGGTCCAGGGTCTGCAGGCAGCCTACACGCACAGACGTTCTTTGATAGACGTCAACCACCAACCTTCCATCGAGTCAGCCTCGACCGACTTTCCCCAGCCCAGCCGTCAACGTTAGCTTTACCCGACGCTACCACTTGCCGTCACCGCACCAGTCCATCACCGACCGCTCGGGTGGCGAGTCGCTATCCTATCGATAGGTTTGCCTTTGATCGGCAGAAAAAGCAGCATGACTACCGTCTTCATCGATGCGTTTCGACGCATGCATGTACATGAGAGAGACCAGGCACTCAAGGCTCTAACAGCAGAATTATCGCCATATGAGTGGAGAGCACTTCACGCCACGACAAGTAGTCGTACCTTCCAATTCGACGTCATCGGTAACCTACCCGTTGAGCTAGTGGCTCAGGTATTCTCGCATGTGGACGTTGCTGCTCCTTACCGCTTGCAAAGTGTCTCAAGACGATGGAATAATACCCTCAAGAGCCTACACGTCCTCAAAGCAAGCCTCAATCAGTGGTGCCAAGGTACTGTCGATTTCCAAGATGCCGATTACGCTTTATGTCAAAAGAAAGCCTGTAAGATAAATGCCTTTCGTACCGGCAAGCCGCGTAAGGTTTACAAGATAACCCCCAAGGACGAAATAAAGGACATGTATTTAGCAGGAAATAATCTCATCTGGCAAAACCCTTTTACTGCTGGACAGGAAGCTCCGGAGCAGCAATCGCGATCTGTTTGCGTGCTCGATCTAGCAACATGGGATCTTCGGTTTCTAGGTGGGGAAGGTCGTGAACGAATCATAGACATCTTCGTATCTGGTGAGATCGTGGCACTAACAACCTGGACAAACATCTGCTACGTTCACGAATTGCATGGCAAACGAGGTTGCAAAACGTTCAGAGTACCAAACGCCTTCTACTTCTCCAACGTTGCCTGCCGAGGGCGTACTGTCGCATGTGTCAGCGTCAACAAACATCGCGCAGCGGTGTATATCTGGGAGTATGATTCTCAGCGTGGAATATCTTTCGAAATCAAGAATGAGCCTGGTACCATGTTCTGGAAGACCGATGCCCTGTAAGTGGATCTATATGTATCGCTGAGCAAGGCTCGTATTGCTGGGCGCCTTTGCAACTCATTCAAGGAAAATCCCAAACACCCTAGAGCCTACGTTACCGCTAGGTAGCCTAGTTCGCAGGTTTCTAGCTTGATGTAGGCTGCAGACCTGTTTGGCTTCTTCCTTGCGTGAGGTGCATGAAGCCATCAACGCGCGAATCTTCAACCAATATTATGCACGCACAGCTAATATGGGTTTAGCTCACATCCAATAGCTCCTATCGTACAGCCTGCAACCAGGACGATCATCATATTCACTTCTTATATGCACAACACTGAAGTGCCTCCCCACCAACGGCACTTTGCGTTCAGCCGTTATACATACAGCGGGGAATGTCTTGGTACACACCACGCAAGCCTCCCCGGGATAAACCCCATCTCGTATTGGTATACTCCCAACACCTTCGTCCCAGTAGACTACGAGGAAAACATACTCTCGATACTCATGCGGGACGGCGACGGAGTAACAGATACCCGCAAGTCATCCTTCCTAGTGCGCTTTAATGAAAGGGAGATGGATATGAGTGTGTGGGAAGGCTCGCAGCTATATGGACACGTCGAATCCACTTATACTGGCGGTTCCATAGCCTGGTGGAACGACACTTGCTACGCCGCGCTATGGGATGGGAAAGCCGACAAGCGTGACATGATTGCGCTCATGGGTGCGAACGACGGCAGCGTCTACAGGCCCATCATATCGGAATCAACAGACACAGAGCTACCTGAGGACTGGGACAAGACGAATGTGCCCGTTGTGCTGAACGAGAATTACGTTATCAGAAACGCTCTGGATAGGTTCTACATACTCTGTTTTGACGATGACGACGAGAGCAAGTGGCCAAAGGCGAGCGGGCCGTTCTTTGATGTGGGAGAGCTTGAGTTTTTGAAAGGGACTGATACTTAGCTCAAGCGCCCACGCTACTAGGGGTGGCTAGAATCTGTGTCGTGTTCTGCAAAGGATATCTTAGGGCAGGCGAATACAACATCTTGAAGCCTGTCTAGTTATCATGAAATAGTAATACATATACTGCAAACTGCGACACAAATCCTAGTTACCAATCAGTCGACCATGACTGAAGACGGATTCAAAGTGTGATATAATAGACCCGTTGGGTTGGCACTGCCATGTATGCAAAGCCATTCGCTCATTCAATATCTATCTTGCTATCCAATCCCATTCAAACTCCTATATATCCCATCCGTCCGTTAAATGCTATCGATCGAATGCCGTAAATACCACGATACTTTTCTCGTCATCGTCGTCGTCTCCCTTATGTCCTTCCACGGACCCAGACACGAACACGACAGACTATTGCTTGCCCTCTTGCTCCCTCGACAGACGGTCGTGCTCGTCAATGTCACTAGAAAAGAACTGTTAGTCAAATCCCCCAGAAGAACAACGAGTAAGAGGAAAAGGAACATACGTAGCCTCCCAAGGATAACAAATCCAAACATCCCCCACCGTCCTCGCCGCACTATACCTCCCCTTGAGAATCTCCTGCGGCAACGCCCCCTTCTTCGGCTTATCCTTGTTATGCAGCACAAAGATACTGAAATTCGTCTTCTCGCCCTCACGTCCCAGTTTCTTCACTGCGGCTTCCACATCTTTCTCCAACTCCCTGACCGCGTATTCCAGCGTTGTGCGCGTGTCGTCTACTTCATCGACGATGAGGACGTTCTTGCCAATCAGATTGGCCATCTCGAGCGAAGATAGGTCGAGCCATTGTGTGCGGGTTACTTTTGTGCCGGGGGTCTCGATGTCCTTGTCGGTGGTTGTGGGGAGGGTTTCGTAGAGGGAGAGGCCGATGGCTTGGATGGGGATGTTGGGGCTGTTTGGCTTTTTGAGGAAGGATCTGTGAGACGGGTATGTTAGTTCATGTGTCTGGTATGTACGGTGCGTGTGGGGTTGGGGTTGTAAAATACCGGAGGATGCGCGCGGGGACGTAGCCACCGCCGCCGATGGCGATCATGAGGTTGGGCTTGAAGTCATTGAGGATTTGATCCGCGGCTTCTTGGCACAGCTTGTGCACCTGTGGGGACGAGGTTTGTTAGCCATGTCTCACGTGTTTTGTTTGCTGCTGGGCGTTACGCAAGGGTTCGAGGGTCGTAGTCGCATGGACAGGATACGGGATCGAGTCTCCAGGATCGCTCTCCATAATAGCTGTATGGCGCAATACCAGCCTCGCGTCGTATGTGTTGTGGTGACACAAAGGCAACTCACGCGCGTGCGTGCGCGGGGTGTCTGATCGCATGTGTAACATAGGATTCAAAAGAACGTACCTGATTGTATGTGACGTAAACCTTCTCGACCATTTTCGCGGTAGTATTCTGTAATATGTCTTCAAGTGTAAAGAGTGAAATCAAAGTAGAATGGCGGAGTGGAATTGTTTTTGCAAAAAAAGTCTGTCCGCCGCGGGAGAGTCAAGAAATGGTTACCTACTTAGGTAGGCAAGGCTAGAGCGGCGTACGCCGAAAATCTATGGTGGGGGATTAGTGCCCCGCAATCTGTTCCTGGGCCAATCAGGTGAAACGTGGTTGTGATTCACATGCGCGCTTTCGTTCGTGGACCCTTCTGCAGCAAGTCTTCATTCACAGCAAGCACCTGCAGCAAAGTGGAAGTGTTTCTAAACAGGACGAACAGGGTATATTGATTGACTGATGAGGGTCATAACATCGTAATCATTACCCAACAAAAAGCACGTCCATCCGATGCGATGCTTTGCTTCTGACAAGCGCTCCCATCTTCATCTTCATCGCCATCCCTTCTAGCTTTCTACAATCCCTCGCTCAAGTTGAAAAGCTTCTGCCCGCACAAAGGGTATATCGTGATTATTATACAAGAATGTAAAGCAAAGTAACCCAGAAAGACCACCTTCTCTTTTTTTGGTAAAACGCCGGATGATGAGGGAGATAAAACGCTGCAAACGTATATGTAAGTATGAGAAAAGCACGGCCGAGAGACGTTGGGCTCGTGCTGAACGTTCAGTTGGTTGAATGGTTGTTTGTTGATGGTGTGGGTGGGAGAGAAGTCTGGCTTCTTCACTTGATGCCCATTTGGCGGAACTTGCGGGATGCGCGACGGCGCAGGCGGTTCATGCCCATGGCCTTCCTGAGGCTGTCCCGATCGTCGTCTTCATCTTCTTCTTGTGGTATGGTGAGCATTCGTCGACCGTTTGTGGTTTTGACCGAAGTCTGGTGTGCCAGGATGTTCTGTTCACGCCAGAACATGCGCTTCTGGTCAATGACGTTTTGTGACAGGTTGCCGAACCCCTTCTTCACGAACGCCAGGTCGTGCAGGATGTTGGGGTCGAGGCAGCGTCTGGGCAGCGTCTGGACTGCCATGAAGATCTCGCCATCACCAGGACGGTACTTTTTGATTTCTGGTTCGCCCAGCTTGAAGATGGCAAGGGCGTAGCGGTACAGGGCACGGGGCCCTTCGTAGAGAAAGGAGTCCCAAACGCGAAGTACCGTCTCGATTGGCAGAACACCGACAAAGATGCTCATGAACCAGGAAGTGCATGAAAGAGCGACAGTGGGCTGGCGTTGGAACTTGGAGTTGGGATGAGCGTTGGAGCCGGCGCCGCTGTTGATGAGATCGGTGTCGTTGATTGATGCCCATACCTTTGGCAGGTAGTCCTTGATCAACATCATCAGGACATTGACCTCGGTGTTTGCCAAGCTGCGAGCGTGAGCACCAGGTAGATGGTTTTGCGTGATGATTGTAAGAAGGATAAAGACCTTCTCCTTGTCCTGCTTCAGGAACAAGAGAAGAAGGCCGGCAATGAAGTTGAGCGATTGGCAGTAACCAATATTAGGGTTGTTCAGGGCGAAGCAAGAGAGTACTTCGCGCAGGTCCTGAATCAACACCGGTTCGTCGTCGGACTCGCCGTCCAGGAGATCAGTCGCTGCTTCCGGGCGGAAATGGATGTTGTCGGGGAATGTCCTGTCGAGATCGCGCTCAATGGCATCTTTGTCATCTTTGTTGAGCTCATCACGGTTGACACGAGCTACCAGAGACTTGTACAGGCCGACATTTTCCTTTCGCGCAAGCACGTGTTGACCACCAGAATAGTACCACCACATCGCACCTCTCCACTCAGGAGGGTAGCCCTTGCGAGCATAGCGCTTGACCTTTTCGCACATTTCAGGGAACCTAGTAGGCTCATTCGTTGACAGACCTTGCTTAGCCATCAATGAAATCCATTTGCCTCTCCGGCGGGAGATGTGGTCTTCGTACTTGGAAGCCCATGCGTTGTACTCCTGCACGTTGATCTTATCGGAAGCCTTCTTGAATCCATAGCGATCTCTCTCGGTAGGGGCAGCCGTCTTTCGCAGGCCAGGTATTACGGTGGGGATCTGGTTGGGAGGTGCCAATGTAGGACCTCTCGGGGACTCGGGCTTGCTCTTGGCTGTCGTGAGCTGAGACATCATGCCAAGATCGAACAGTGCGCTCTTTCGGTCGAAGACACTCGTTGAAGCGCGACGAGGAATAGCCTCGTCTTCGTCCAGCTCGGGGAGCGGCTCAGACCTTTGCATGGGTGGAGACTGAGGTACATGGGAACTGGCAAGAGATTCACTGGAAAAAGTGCGAGGGACGCTTGGTCTCTTGCTATGTCGCTTGGAGTAAGCTTCGATGTTGGCCCAATCCTGGCGCGACATTCGCGATCGACTTGGGGGTAGTTGTGGAAGATTGGAAATATCACGACGGATATGGTCCAGCTGTGAGCGGCTACCCATGGATCTACTTGAGCGGTGGCCCTTGGCTTCCGTGGTTCTGAGGGCGAGAGCTTGCAATGTGACGGACACACGCCTCGGTGCTTCTTCACTTGTTCGTTTCACTGTACTCGATCGTTTCTTTCTGGACTGTTGCGTTGCAGCCTCGATTGTTCGTGGGGTGTATGCGGCCTGAAACGGGCTGACTTGTACCGAGGGTAGTAATTCGATACGCAGCGCCTTTCGCTCCGTCGGGTCGACATTGTATACCTCGTCCACATCCGAGCCGGAAGGAGGACGAATCGTCAATAGCTCCTTGGAATCCGCGTTACGTCCAAGTTTACTGTGCGTTGAGAGGCGTGTCCGATCATCCCATTGCTTGAGGCTTTCATTCGATTGAAAGGAGTCTAAGGAATCAAAATCGCGAGAGGGCGTTTGCGACAGCTCGGGGAGTTCCGCGTCAAGACCTACTGGCGAGGGGCTGTGCAGGTCTCGATCATCCTGCTCCATGATAGGACTACGATCCTCATCTTCTTCATCGTAGTAATATGAATCTAACACATCGCCAACGGCGTCTAGATTCTCATCTTCCTCGGCGATTTCTGAAGTCAGTATTGTTTCCGGGGAACCGTCGCGTTCCCGGAGGCGTTCTAAACGATCTCTCGATGGATCTCTGGAATAGACGCTGTTGTGTCGATCACTGGCGATGGAGCTCCGTGCGGTGACAATACTGCTTCTTTCCGTGCCACTAGTTTCGAGTACACTGGATGACGCATTCGTCCAACCGGATCTGAAACTGGCCCGTGGCTCCTCACCACGAAACGGTCGAGGTGGGGGAGGGTAATAGTCTGTGTGAGACCAGTTCGGAACACCTCTATTCGGCTTGTAGGTGCCGGATAGATTTGAGCGTTCGTTGCCTCGGTATTGGGCGTAGTCGGGGATCGAGGTCACGGATCTCAGAGGCGGTGTTGGATGGAAGTTTTGCTGCGAAGAGTTGGTCATGCCACGAGGTCTGAGAGGGGAGCTGGGTGAGCCGGTAAGGTCTTCGTTGGAAGAGTCCCATGATGGGCCGGTCGAATTGACGGGATTGCTGGCGAGTGGGTTGAAAATAGCGCGGAGATCAGGCGAGCGAGGGCCGCTGTCCTGGCGAGCCATGGCCGGAGCCATTACGGGGGACATTGGGGCAGATACCATTCCTGCTTGCACGCCGCCGGGAGGGGGAGGTACGGCGGCATGGCGAAGTAGGGAAGGAGCGCGATGGCGTTGGGAGAAGCCGGGGGAAGGCAGTGCCGCAAGCGGAAGAGTCGGACTGTCTGCAGGCGAGGGGCTGTAGGCGGGACGCTCGTAGGGTGGCGCGTCTGCTGTGTCCATCTGGAGCTCAGCTGGGTGCTTGGCCCGGTGCGCTCCAAATCCTCGTCTCGCTGCATACGGGAGCTGTGGCTGCGGCGATGTCGGCGGTGTGTATTCCGCCGTGGGTGAGCGGTAGGGGACGTATGGCTCGGAGCTCCTGTCAGCGTCGGCTGCTGGAGAGACGCCTGTAGCGACACGTAGGAGAGCGTCGCCCATTGCGTGGTGAAGGGGTGCGGGTGTGGGTGTGGGTGTCGTGGGCGTCGGCGGGACGGGCGCTCATTCGACCGGGGAACAGGACAGCTCGGAGGTTGAAATTCGCGGTAACATTCTCGGGTGCAGGCGGCAGGCGTGAGGATTATCGCGAATCGGCGTGGGTTGGTGGAGGCCTGCTCTGGGGGCGCGGCGGCGGGTCGACGTGGGCGAGCTTCAGAGCTCTTGTGGTGAATGGGCAAAGCTAAAGAATGAGGGCATGCGAAGGATAAGGAACGTGACGTGCGGCACTGGCGCGGTGCAATCAGACGGTGGTGAGGGATGGGTGCCTGCAACGTGTAGCAGGAAAGTCTCCTTCAGCTCCCGCGCCTGGATCCGTCCGTTCACTGAGTCGCTGCCAAGACGCGGCGCTTCCCTCATCCCCGATTCCTGTAGGCTGGGAGGTCGCGGGCCGGTAGGAGCTTGGTGGACCTCAGCGGGCGTGTCAGAGGAGTTCGTTACTCTGACATGCAACGGCACAAATTAGGAGTGTTGCATAAGCGCTGCAACAAGTACCGACCGCCCGCCGCCTCGAGCAGGTATTCGCGAAATTGACGCGCTCCCGGCCAATGAGCGCCGCCGGGGATGTTTAGCCCGGGTGCAATAATCACGAAGCAATACACCGTCGACGACCTTATCTAGTCTGTACTGTGCCCTGGCGACAAGTCCTCGCACCCATCACACTCGTCGCGCGCTGCACGCCGGCTCTCTCGGATTACATGAATGCACTATTTGCTTTGCTGGAACACTTGCGAGGCGCGTGCCACACGCTTTGTTGCGTCTGACTCGCTAGCTTGGCCCTGCACTCACTGCCAGCACTGCGCTCGAGCTTCACTCGCATAGAGAATAAACTTGGACAGCTGACGGCCTAGCACGCAGCAATCTCAGTTAGGAAGTGCACTAGGCGTCGAAGCCTCTTGCGGGCTTCGAGAAGGAAATTTCCAGGCTCCCCCTTGTCCTGCCCTGCGGCTCGCTTCTACAGCACTGGCACAGACGGCTATGGGAGATTGGGACATGACGACATGTTGCGGTTGCACTCATCTTATTTGGCGAGCCCGAGTAAGTCTACCCTGCATAATCGCCCGATGCCTACCTAAGCTGCGGATGCATCGCGATCTGCAAAACATTGGATGCTTCTTCGCCCACACCGGTCAAGACGTGTTCCGTCCGCATGCAAATTTCGCCGAACGCCAAAGATGCAATATGTATCCGACGAGCCCTGTGCGACTGACTGCCTACTCTAAACGATGCCCATATCCGCCTGGCCGGTAGAGGACCCGTGACCCCTCACTTGGCATAGCGCTTGACCCAGTCCTTTGCGTTCTTCTCAAACTCCTTGCGGTTCTCCCGGTACTCGTTGGCGATGGACGGCTCGATGGCGTCGTCTGGGTTGGGCTCGATGAGCAGCGTCTGGATGAGGCGGAGGACTGACACCACCTTGTTTGGCGGCTTCCACTCGTCAGCGCGCAGCAGACCCAGGCACATGGACCCTTTGTCGTCGTTGCTGACGTTGGGGTGGTAGATCTTGGTTCGGAAGCTGACGACGGGTGGCTTGAAGGGGTATTCGGTCGGGAAGGTAATCTCGAGCTTGAAGTGGCCGCCCTGCAGGCTGTTAGCAAGCGCTACCCACGGCGCACGGAGGACGCATGGATCAAACCTACAGCGTACGCCGACTGGGCTGGCCCGTCCATCAACACTTCCCACTTGGTCATGTTCTGCTCGTCGAAGTTGATCTTCATACCCGGCGGTGTGTCAGCCATGCACTCGCCGTACTCCTGTGGCCCTGTTAGTATGGTTACTTCTGCGCCCGTCTCGATGTAGTGGCTCACCTTCATGATACGCTTCTTTGCTCCGGTGCTCATATTCACGGTTGGTTGAGTGAGTTGTTCGTAGGTTAGGCTGTGTCTCGTGCTAGAGACTCTGGTACTACACCGGGGTAGGCGGTGTAGTCAAGTAGCCAGGTAGAAACTGGTGCACAGATAAAGGAAGCACAGAGAGTAAGGATAGACTGCAACACAGTAACTGCGCTCGTGGGTAGGCGGATGCAGTGCAGTGGCAGGTGATTGACGTGAAAAGAGGGTTGTAGATGTGGGGAAAGTTGCCTATGGATGACGAGGGACCTCGATTCCTTAGTCAAAGCTCCGCACGCGGCCCGGTAGACGATCGCCTGCACACGTTCTGGTAGCAGGATCACGCTAGCATTCACACGTTGCGAGTTCCATCTCTGTCTCTTCTGTCTGCAACATGTTGTAGACTCCACTTGACGTGCGAACAAGGTGACGACGTCATACTATCACCAAGAAACACTCGTCTCGGTTCTGGTGCCTCATTCGCGAGTGCCGAACATCAAGGTGCACCCCCGTCCGTATATCTTATCAAGCCGCCCTGGTCCATACCGCACGTATATCTCCGAGACTGCACATCCTCGCGATCCGTCTAGAACACGTGGTTTTGACCGCTTAACAAGCTATCGTGTTTCAGCTTGGGCCTGACAGCAACGACAGCTTACGACGGGCACGCAGGCAGGCATTCACGCATTTGCGCCCTCCATCATAGCGCATAAGCGCTGCATTATACTTCGGAGCTCCGAACTTACTTCTAGGTTCTGTCTCCGTCGGAGGACGTCTTCCTAGACTTATGCGCTATGTAGGGCTGCAAGAATGGAGATTGGGCTCATTACAGACGCACACTCACTATTGCTGTGAGTCACAGACTGCCCAACGCCCAGATCACGTTACATCGCGACAGAGACGCGACGCGCACACCTGACGGCCCGATCAAAACGGCTGGACATGCAAACATCACTTCCCTGCCCATGCTAACTTTTCTCTGCGCTCCATATTGACGTCGCTAGGTCCAACGTCATACCGCTTGCCGTTGATGCTCGCTTATCGTCACTCCTCAGAGCCAGAAATCCATCATCTTCCATGTTTGGGAAAGCCTCGAATGAGCACTCACAACAATCAATGATGGCGCCTCGCAGCCTGATATCTACTGCATCTCGTCATGCAGCAATTGGCGAATAGCGACAACACTCTGCGTGACACAGCCCAGCGTGCCAGCGCTAGTTGTCCCAGGCGACAGGGGCGGCGACTTGGCATCGCCAGTATTTAACAGGCCGCAACCCCACAATCTTCAGCCTTTACGCCTCACGACAAGCTTGAGTTCGACAACCAAAGCGTGCTTTATCTTCACCACCAGTGTTGGTAGACTCGCTTAAGCTCTTCGGATCTTCAACGACTTTTCTCTCCCGAAAGGTTTGCGAAATCTGAGAGTTTCCGGAGCTCCCATCTCTCTTACTTGAACGCTGCGTCACTAACCTGTCCACTCTTTACGAGAAACTTCGTCGCTCGCTACTTCGATTTCGCTCTTCGGTCAACATGTTCGGCAAACGCTCTTTTGCTAGCTCGAAGGAGAAAGACCGCTCAGGCAAGATTACCAAACAGCCGAAGAGATCGTTCCGCGATGCGTCCAAGCAGAAGGTGATGGTCGAGAAGCTGGATGCGCGCAAGGACAGTCCAATGATGGACGGTGGGTCACCATCACTCACCTCTGCCATTGTGACAGTGATCGTTGGTTCCGACCAGCGACTGTTCGCTGCGCACGAAGACGTCCTCTGTCATTCCCCGTACTTTGCTGAACTGCTGCGGGGCCAGTTCTTCGAATCCGCTAACCGCCGCATCGATCTGCCCACGGAGGAACCTGAGATCTTCAGCTGCATCCTTGAGTACCTGTACAAGGGTGACTATTACCCGCGCCTCGTCCATGACAAGCGCCGCCAAACCTGGATGCTCGAAGGTGCAGTTGCCTCACCCGACCCAAACAAAACCGGCGACCGCGCAGCCGCCGTCGAGCCAACCTTTTTCCACTCCGGCGTAGGAGACGTCATTCTGCGCGACACAGCCGTGTACTGCGCAGCCGATAGCTACGGCCTCGAAGAGCTCAAGAAGCTCTCTCTGCGCAAGCAGGGCCTGCAGAGCGGGATCGAGGTCGGAACCATCTTGCGCAGCGCACGCTACGCGTATGAGAACACGCCAGACAGCGACTCGCGGCTGCGCGCTCATTACCTCGCTCTGATTATCCGTAGTCGGAAAACTTTCAAGCGTAGTGGCACCATGCAGATGGAGATGGAGATGGGGGGAAAACTGTTCTTTGACCTGTTCGTGGCTATGTGCAATCATGTCGATGATCTTGTGGACGCGAGGTACGCCTTGCGCATCTTTTCTGTTCAAACCCCTCATAATTGTTGTCCTCTGTGATGTAATCTTCGTGCTGACAATCTCGCAGCGCCAGCGCCCGCGGCACTCCCAGGACCATCTAAAGACCCCTGATTCGCACACCCACTTGCCCGTCACCGTAACACCCGCAAACAAACACACACTCGCATACAACACCGGAGTACACACCAAGTTGCCAAAACATACTCCGCTCGCACACCCCAAATTGCCGACCCGCGACAAAACGTGAAAACAACCACAAAAACACGGAGTACTACCCATTCTCCCTGCTTTCCCTCGGCGTACCGTTGTATCATCCCAACTCATCTTTATCTCATCTTGCTCGCTCTCTTTAACTAGTGGAGTTTGCTCACCCCCATCACGTCCCCCCTTTGGCCCTTAATTCCAACGAACAAACAACATCAACGAACCTATTTCCCCCTTCTCCGCGTGCGGAGAGGGAGTACTCAACGACGACGAAACTGCGTTTCCTTTGTTTTGTGCTTTTGGGAATCAAGGCTTGTTGTACGAACATCATCAAAGGGAATAAAGAAGGGGACATTCATTTTTAGGACGCATTGGTGCTGCGTGGATTAGGAAGACATCGTGCTGGAGGACACCGCTCTCTGGTGGAGACGTGTCCGATGCGGTGACTGATTGGTCCGGACCGCTTGGAATGGAAGACTTACTGTGGAGGATCTGGAGCGGTGGTGGTAATGAGAAATTAACTTTGCCGCCACTATATTTTGTCCTGATGTTGACGTGATGTGATGTTTGATATCTACTCATCTCCTTCGCCTTCACAACTACGCAGATGCTACTTTGGTTTCATATGATATAGATTCTGAAGTATTGGTTTACTCTCTTTTCCCGTATAAGGTGCTCTATCTTTGGACCGGTACTAGAGTAAACATCGCAACGCCATCCGCTCAAGGTCGCTGTTTCCCCACGTGGCGGGCCCTGCATACACCATCCCGCTGCTGCCCCACCGAGGGGTAGTTAGGTAGCTCTTGCGGTTGGAAGCTATACAACACAACATAACACAGCTTCAGCATTCTCCACAAACACACCAAATCTCGATTCTCTCTCCCCACAGCAGAAGCCGTCGAGGAAGCCGAAAAATACAATCAACATGGCAGACGTAAACCTCAAAGAAGTCCACGACTTCATGATCATCATCGCCAAACAAGCCGGCTCGCGCATAACCTCCGCAACACCAACAACACAAGCCTCAGGCTCAAAGAAGAACTGTACGTAGCACTCGTCATGCCAAAACCCAATCCAATCCACAAACAAACCTGCCATGCTAACCCTTCTCTCCACCAGCCGTCGATCTAGTAACCGAAACCGACCGCGCAGTCGAAACCCTAATCTCCACCTCCCTCTCCACAAAATACCCCTCCTACGCCTTCATGGGGGAAGAAACCTACAAGCCAGGCGACACGCTCTCCGCCACTCCCACATTCATATGCGACCCCATCGACGGAACCACAAACTTCGTTCACCGCTACCCCTACGTCAGCATCTCGTTAGGACTCGCCATAAACCGGGAGCCTGTTGTAGGCATTGTGTATAATCCTTTCACTTCAACGCTGTATTCGGCGATAAAGGGCCAAGGCGCGTTTCTGAACGAGAGTACAAGATTGCCGCTAGCCGAGCCGACGAAGTTGGACGGGTTGAGTAGTTGTCTTGTCGCCGTGGAGTGGGGGAGTGATAGGAGTGGGAATGATTTTAAAGTCAAGTCTGAAACGTTTAAGAAGCTCGCTGCTACGAAAGAGAATGGTGGGGGTATGGTGCATGGATTGCGGTCGTTTGGTTCTGCGGCCCTAAATCTTTGTGGCGTGGCGAGTGGTGGGCTGGATGTTTACTGGGAGGCCGGATGTTGGGCGTGGGATGTTTGTGCCGGATGGGTTATTCTGAAGGAGGCGGGTGGTATTATGGTGGATGCGAATCCGGGGAATTGGGATCCCAAGGTGGAGGGTCAGAGGTATATGGCGGTTAGAGGGGGCGAGGGGCAGAAGGAGATTGTGGAGGAGTTTTGGGGGTTGGTGGAGGGGGCTTTTGAGGTTGGTACGTGAAGAATTAGATTTTGAGGTCATGTAGATTTCTGTGGTTTCTAATGCTTCTAACAAATTTATGACTCTGTTTTGAAGAGGGTCGGAGGTTCATGAACAGACGGTGTTACCAGGAATATCTATGTTCGAGGTAACATGCCCATTCGCAGAATGAAGACCACTTAGTATGGAAAGCAATACTCATAGTTTGCGGCTTAGCGATAGGAAGAGCAAGTGCATCTTGATCCTTTGCATTCAATAAGAGAATATACTACACCAGCAGTATATAACCCAAGACTCCATCTCATCCATCAGGACAGGAAGATAGCGACCGTAGCCAACCAACCAACCAACCCATCCCAATCCCAAGAACACCAAACACCGCCCACCATCCCATATATACAGTCCAGTCCACCAGATCCTCTTCCACTCAACTCCCAAACTCCCTATCAACCCTCCTCATCAACCCTAAACTCGGTATCCAAGCCACCCAATAGTATTCGAATAAACACTCAAGTTATCCCTCCAGCTCGCCTTATCGACCCCATCGACCGTAACCATCCACTCGCTCCCCACTTCACTCAGCGCAAAAGCCTGCACACTTGAGTCACCCTCAATGCTAAGGATGCGGTTCTGGCAAATACGCGCTCCACCGCTCGCATCCGCGCTCGAACAGCTAGTGCTGTAGTTGCGGAAGAAAGAATACAGTCCACCACCATAGATAAGCACGTTCTTTGAGTTCAAGACGCGAAGCCCGTAGGCTGAGGCGCCGGACGGGTACACGGGGTCTGAGTAGGCGGCGGATGTGCCGTAGGGTTGGTTGGAAGCGTCAGGCGTGGGCATGTAGTAAGGGGTTTCGGTTTGGATGAAGCCAGCGAAGATGTTGGAGGCGGAGTTGAACTGGTACTGGTAGTTTGCATGGTGCTCGACGCCGTTGGCCCAGAGCCACACGTTGGAAGCTTCGACGTGGAGTCCACGGCCGGTCAAGATGGTGATTTGCGTTGACCGCGCATCGTCCATGTCGTGGTCCGCGGTCCAGAACCAGTTGTTCTCGAAGTAGGCGCCGTTGGCTCCCTTGGTTACGTGCACGTTCGTGTGGGCGGCCATGCATTCGGCTTTGACGGAGCCGACGGTGGACGGGCACTGTGCGACTTGGAGATTTGTGCCTTTGGCGCCGCCGATGCGGGTGTGGACGTCCCAGAGGCCGGAGCCGCGCTCGGTGTTGAGGTTGTATTGGATTACGATGGCTCCTGGGGTGGCGCCTTGGGTTTGGACGATCATGTCGGACCATTCGACGCGGCCGCTCTCGCCGGGTTTGCCGATCTGCATGATGGGGACGGGGGAGTTTTTGTTGGAGAAGACGGAGCCCGAGCCCATGATTGAGGGGAAGGTCTCGCCGACCATGCGGGAGCCGGGAGGGACGTAGATTGTGTTGGTCACCCTGTAGACACCGTGTTCGAAGAAGAGAACCTGTGAGGATATGATTAGCATTGGATTGTGAGATGGTGTGAGATTGAAAGGGGACGTACCTTGTTTGAAGAAGCAGCCCTGTTGATGGCGTTCTGAACAGCCTGAGTGTCGTCGGTACGACCATCACCTGTAGCTCCACTGCCGCGGGCACTGATGAAGTCGCCAGAGCTGAGGTTCTCGTACTGTGGCTTCGACTTGGCGTAGTACTTGTTGCCATCCAAAAGGCCTCCTGGACGAGCAACAGGAGTGAAGGTTCCCTGGAACTTCTCCGGACCGTTCGCGTTGGGAGCATACTTATTGCCCTGACCCCAAGCCTGGATAGTGAATGTACCACCCTGAAGGACGGTAGCTCCGTTTCCTACGACGGCGTTGGGTACGTTGTTGAGCTTGATGTTCTCGAGCATAAGCTGTCCGGCACCAGTAGGGACGCTGTTTCGCGTCCAGGCCATGTCGACAAACTTCTGGCAGTTGGTGATCTCAGAGTCGATAATGACGACAGAGCCAACCTCAAGCTTGTTAGCCGAGCCACCGTTGCTCATGGAGAAAGCTGTGCCGCAGTCACTGATGGTAAGTCCAGCATACAACCAGCCCCAGTCCCAGATCTGTGAGATACCAGTAACGGCCTTGGAGATCTTGACGTTGCGCATGGTGAACTGCTGGTTTCCGATGTTCATGCCGTACAAGCCACCCGAGATGTCGAGGTCAGCCATGTGGCCACCAGATCCGTTCTCGACGAAGATACCGGCGTGAACTGAGTTTGAAGCCTGTGTCATGCGGATCTTGACATTCTGGATGGTCGTAGCTTGCGAAGCGGGCCAGTGGATACCCTGGAAGCCGCTGGTTGGTGCAACAGCAGTGCCATCAATGATCAAGTTGCGGATTTGCCTCAGGAAGATGTTGGTCGATGTCCTACAATAGGAAATTAGCGTCTATATCCATGAAGTCTGCACATCGGAGTTCTTACCAGCCGGGTGCACCGTTGTTTTGGTAAGGACTGGCATCAATGAGAGCGATAGCCTGGAGAGTAGGAGCAGCCTTCAAGACGGGAAGACCTCGGGGGTTGCCGATAAGCTGTGTCATGTAGTAGAAGATAATGGGCTTGCCAATGAGGTACGTGCCGGAGGGGATGTAGACGACGGCCGGGGAATCAGTGGCTGAGTCGCACACGCCGGGACCGCAACGGTTGCCGTCGGCAATGGCACGGTTGATTGCGTCGGAATCATCGGTAACACCATCGCCTATGAGGATGTTAGACTTGTACTGAAACGCAAAAAGCAAGTAGCTCACCCTTCGCTCCGTATTCCTTGACATTGCGGAAGACCTTGTAGGCGCCGTTGGCATTGAAGGCGGCCCTTCCGTTACCAGAGAGGTCATTCAGCCAGTAGCCATCCGTGATAGCAGCAACCCCCTGGATGCTGCTGATGTTGGAGGTAGGCTCAATATCATTCACTACTATCTGTCTGGGGAAGCGTGCTATAAAGTATCAGTAACGGAAGTATTCAGGCGGAACGGTCTTTGCTCACCGATAGCAGCACCCTGGATGCCGACTGCGCTGAGGCAGGCGAGCAAGAAGGACAAATGCATAGCCGCAAGTATATGCCAATAGATAACGGTATGTTCAGTGAGAACACAATGAGGAGGAGTACAAAGGAGTGTAGACTGTAGTAGCGAAGAGAAGTCTCAGAGGGAGATGATGATGCCTATTTAATCTCTCCGTTTGTTCACTGCTACACGTCGTGGTAGTGCGTGATAGGAGAAGAACCATACACCCACGCGATCATTTGGAGATCTGCCCCCCGTGAAGCCTGCCGACTGGCTAGCTAGCGACATCCGGTGATGAGATACTCACCGTCTACCACTTAGGAGGTCATAAGGCCTTGTCGAAGACTAACTCACTAGGCGGCTACCCCCGTTGCCGTTTGAAGGGTTACATAGCTTACTTCGGTCCCGGCTTCGAGATGTCTTAGCTTGAGTAACATGGTCTGGGGGAAAGGGAGGGTGTAAGTACGCGCCCTTCCTTTTCAAGCCAAATCTCCGAAGGGTATTTTGTGTGGTTTGGTAAGTTGAACAGTCTGTTCTATCCTCGTGAGCAGTGTGATCTACTTTACTTCTAGAAGTTGCAGTGGCTATCTAAACATGAATAGCTGCGGATGACGATGATGATCCAACGTGCTGCCCAACACATGCTGTGGGTGAGCTACAAGCAAAAGTTGTGAGAAGACTCAGGGGATGTGCAACTAACCTCGATGCAGCGTTGGTCACCGGGACGGCCCTACGCATATTATTTCCGTGAAGCGCTGTCCAGTGACTGAGCAAACACCGACCAAACCTTGGAAGCATGTGACGGACGCTAGTGCCAAGACCAGAGCGTTGAAGCCGGCAATTGGCTCCGCGGTGATGAATCTTAGAGACCCCAGATTTGCGCCGTCAACAGTAGTTCGCCACGAAGCCTAAATGTGGGGTAGTCTTAGGTAGAAATGCCATGCGTCGCACTGCATGAGTCTGCCCTATGATCTTGCCCTGCAGCATGAGCCTCAAGCGCGCGTGCTCATGTGTTAGTCTCTTAAACGTCAGAGCACTCACTACACACCCATAGTCGTGATGCGGTGAATGCAGGGAGTCTTGTGAGGCTTCCGCGGGACAAGCAACGTGAAGGCGAGTCCGACACTTTTCTTTTGACCTGCCTGATTGGAACAGACTTGTTTTGAAACGGCGCCAGTCAAAGATCGCAAATGACGGCGGCGAAGTCAGGCGCGTGAACGTTGGCCACGGAGTGTAGTGTCGTTTGCAGACTCGGGCATGCCTAGGTCTGGGCATCGTGGAACTGTTGCTGGTTAGAGGTCGGCCGAACGCCATGTTTGGAGACAATTCCCTAGGTGTATGCTTTGAGATTGCAACATAGCAAGCGCCTCATCGGATACCCCAGATGCACAGGAGCCGGGCCTAGGCGGCGGTCATGCACAGGGTAGATCATGTGGGTCAGGGTTGATAGATTAAAAGAATCTGGCTATGACCAGTCATGTGCCTAGACTCGACTTACACTTTCGGGCTATCTGCCACTAAGAGCAGGCGCCGACCCAGTAGCTTCGCACATGGCAAAATTTGAGCATGAAGTCGATAAAAAAGTAAATAGAATGTGCAGTACAGGAGGTCAAGCGAATGTACGCTTATAATTTCGGTCAAAGTCGGACAGTCCGTCCGTGGTGGAGCAGGTGAATAGCGCAAGCGATTCTTTACACGCCTGCCTAAGAGGGTATCTTGAACGAAACCATGAGAGTCGTAGTCTGGAATCGTAGTGTACCAGCATTCAACATTGCAAAAAGGGGTTGAAATGTGCGTTGACATACGTAACAGCTCCCTGTCTCTCAGACTTCGCGCAGGGTCGCGCGACATGCAGTTGTGTTGCGCGATGCCGTGCGACCCAAATCCCCACAAGCAGCGAATATGACAAATGGCCACGCGAGCGGTGCGACTTTGTAGATCAGAAAGTGTATTCATGTACAAACGTAGTACGCGCTGTGGTGGTCCATGTACTGTCAAAGTTGGTATCTGAATGCCCAGACATTTTGACGGGTGCCTCTAATATATTCCGTGGCACGTAGTAGTACTGTGGGGTCACTGCTTATTCCCATGCAAAGCGCATGATCATTCAGAGGTATCATAGCTTGGTTGAAAGTCTGATGAACATGCCCTCGCCGATGGTGTATATCGTACCGTTGCCGTCTTCGAGAGTCGCTCGAGCGTATAGTTTGCGGCCGCCGTCTTCTATTCGTTCGATCTTGGCTGTGCAGAGAAGTGCCTGCAGGGTTGGCGCTGGCTTCTTGTAGGTAGTGTTTAGATCTGCTTGTGCTCAGCTGGTGTTTCGGTGTTGATGCATGGTATGGACGAACAGGCAGTAACGTAGCTTGCGACTGGTGCGCGGCGACCATCCTCACTCGACCTTTGCGCTTTTTTCTCCATGACCGTCCCGATCAAGACGCCGGACATCTCGTCAAGCAACGTTGCTTGGAAGCCACCGTGTGCGATCCGTGGGTAGCCTTGTAGCCCATCGCCTAGCTCCACAATGGTTTTGATCTCTTTGTACGCGATGTCGCCTGTTTCCTCATTTTTCGGACAAAACGTAAGAAGAGTTTTTATTGTGCGATCAGTGCCAAGCGTTCCTGCGAAGAAGGAGTCTTCCCCTGATGGCTTTACTGATCGCGAGCTGGTCTCCATTGGCGTCCAGTTGGGGTCGTTAATCAAAGCAGCGGCCCAGGGAACAGACGACAGGTGGGAAATCTTGGCGTCCATGATGGTGTATTGATAGTCTTTGCAGTGTGAATTGCGTGTGCTGCCTTCGCGTTCATTGAGGACATGATTGCGGAGCTTGCGAGACTCTGGGGTAGCAAAGATGCCGAGGTGTAACGGTAGGACGGGTTGTGGGGAGCTTGGAGCTCCGCCGCTCAGTAAGCCATCAGCACAACCTCATTCGTTCATGACCACGACAGGCGTCAACGCTTCAAAAACTTAACTCCAAGGTCTGTGATTAATGGGTCCTAAACAGACTTCGAATCGAACAACAATTTGAAGAACTCCAAAACGCGCAGAAGCATTACGATCATCTTCATGTGACAACGCGCCTCACAATGCAAGACGTCATGCCCACGCGCTAGACACTCCATCAAGTGTTCCCATCACCAAAGTACGCCTATCTCTCAATGATGTAGCTGCGTAGCTGCCGAGGTACAGGTAAGGTCTAGATGTCATAACCAGCCTCTTTCCCCAGATTTCATACTCCGCGGTCAAACATCATCGTGATTCCATACCATACATCATACATTTTATCCAAAAGAAAAGCGGTCTCAGCAATAATGGTCGACACATCCCACTCCTCGTCCGTCCGCGGCACCCTGTCCAACCCGAAGACCAAAGAAGCCATGAACTCCGATAAACCCACTCCCCGTCTCGGCGACCACGTTAGTCTAAAGCCTGAAAACGATGATAAAAAAACCTTCCCTTCAAACGACGCACCTTCCTCCTCATCTTCATCCTCCTCATCCTCTTCATCCTCTACCCCACCATCGTCAGAGACCTCTTCCATCGGCGCACCCACACCCTCAACCCCCTACGTCAAATCTGGCACGTCAGCCGGCGGCGCTGATAAGAAGGCTGTTGGCAACGGCGGAGGTAGAAAGAAAGAGGATGGAAAGGAGGAGTTACCGCATAGCAAGAAAGTACGAGGGACGCTTGCGAATGATGATGGTAACAAGGTGAACAAGACCCAACTGGGTGATCCGGCGAGTTTGAAGGCGGAGACGAGCGATACAAAGGATATGGGGAGGCAGACGGAGAGGGAAGGACGGGATAAGAGTAGTAAGTTGTAGGATCTGTAGGATTTGTGTCGGTGAGTGAGAGAGAGTGGATGAGAGGGGGGATTGGCAATGTAAATATGACTGCGGAAATTCAAGTGCATTGACATCATTATTGGGTATCTCTCTAATCTAGTCTATATGCTCCAACCACCACTATCATACTTCTATACAACCGTCTATGAAACCATAAGCCCGACACTCCAGAACCTTCCATCTCACTGCCCAGCCTCCGTCCTTTGCGGTGCCCACCCCTTGAGCCAACTCCTCGCTCTATCCAGATCCCCACCTTCAGCCTCCATAGCAGCAACACACCACTCCAACCCATATCCACCCTTCCCCTCAATCCCCTTCTCAGCAGCAACCATCTCAGCCAACGTCCTCGACTTCTGCGTCCTCTCGTCAACGCAAAAGTGCAACGGGGTATCATACCCCCTCCCGTCCATTCCCTGCAAGAAGGGCTTAACAAGCGGAATAGCATCTTTAGTTGGAACGGACTTATCTTCCTGGCCCAGATTCTTACGACCAGTACGACAGTATTCGTTCTTACACCACGCTTTTCCGCATCCAGTCAGGAGCTGGGAGAGATACCGACGCTCGATACGGCGTCGCAGTGCTTTGCCTTCTGGGTCATGGAGAGAGACGTAGAGAGGTCCGAAACAGACGCTGCAGAGGCCGATTTCATTGCCTGGACCTTGACCTTTGCGCGTCCCGGCTCGTGTGTCGCCGGCTTTGTTTGCGCCGTCTTGGGTGCGGCCGCAGTTTACGTTGCGGCACATGCGTGGTGGTGGACGGGAGAGGCGCTCTAGGTCGTGGTGCCGGAGATGCGTGTCCATGTCGCGGAAGCGCACAATCTTGTTGCAGAGATGGCATTCGGTTGTTCGGCCTCCGTCTGCTAATTCGTGGGGTGTGAGACCCGAGAGGAGTAGTTCGGGGGATTGGTCGTTGGGGTCGCCTTCTTGGGGGACTTGGAGGTGGCAGAAGCGGCAGAGTATTAACTTGCCGGGACATACGGTCGTTTTGTGATGGGAGAGCATAGGCATTGATGGGAATTCCATGTCACATGTTGAGCACTTCTGCGGCGTGTGGTAAAGAGCGTCATGCTTTTGATGGCTCAATGTGGTGTTGCCACTGAATGTATCGTGTGGACAATGCCAATGGTTCTGGAAAGCCGGCGATCGCTTCTGGAAGACTTGGCCACAGCCTTGGGGGCAAAGGATGTTGTTCCTTAGACAGAAGTTCTCGTGCAAAAATAGTGAGCCTTTAGGCACTACTTGTTGGCAGTTTTTGCAGATCACTTCGTCTGGTCCCACCGCCTTTGCATTCTCAAGCGCCTCGTCCAGTCCATCTGTTGCTTCTATCTTGGGATCGAAAATCGACACCCTCAGACGGAAGGGTTTGGGCGTGCTCGAGGGTGACTCGGATGGGTAGGCATGGACGGAGATCCATACAGCTTCTGCATCGTCAAGTTCGACATTTGTAGGTTGCAGTCGTATGCGTTTCGGATATTGACTTCTAATATTCGCGAAGACATGCTCATCTTCGCGTGGACGGACTCTTTGTCGTGACGAGTACGGACTGACATATAGGTCGATCTCATCCTCGTCTTCTACTTCGTCTAGAAGGATTTCCAATCCCTGAGATCTATCCCAAGATGTCAAATCGTAATCGATGTACTCTCCTTCAAGCACTTGTCCAGGTTGCGCGTTGAATATGTCGACCGCGCCCCCGGTGGAACTGCCTTGTGATGTTCCAGGAGCGCGGTGCATCTTGGCAGCGATCCTCTTCATCGTCTCGCGTGCTTGTTCTTCGTTCAATGCCTCAATATCCACCTCCAGGTCTGTGTCGACCACGCAGATGCCATCTCCTTCGGGCTTGAAGCCGTCTACGAGGAAACGAAACTCCTCGCGCTTCCCATCAACTCCTCGACCACCGTCTATAGCCAGGACCTCGCCGTTCGTCAAGGTTGTAAAGTTGGATCGTAGGTGCTCTTCCAGGAGCGACTTCCAGTCTTCCGGGTCATAGCCAGCTTCGAGAGGCCGTAACTTTACAAAGGTACCCTTGGGCAATTGTTTGGCATGTACTGTAATCTTCATAGACGCAGCATCATCCGTGCCGAGCGGAATTGCTCCATTTGACATAGCCACGTCATCTTTTTCCTGGCCATTTGGGCTGGCATTCCTAGAGGGCTCTGCCGATTGTTCTTTGATTCCCAACGCCTCTTTCAAAAAACTGCTCAGCACGATCTCGCCCTCTTCCGCGGAGAACTCGCGTATTCCTGCATGTACAACTCTGCCATTATCTGGGTTGACCAAGCGAAAGGTAAGCGGGTGAGGCAGTTGCTGGAAGCGGTCCTGCGTTTGTGCTCGTGCGTGGCGCTCGGCATTAAAGGTGTATGGGTTGAAAGGATCGAAAGCGGTGATGTGCGGTCGGTTCGCATCGATGTGAACGACAGGTGCCGCGGCAAGGAGCTGCTCTAATGCCGATGGAGGAAGGAGTAGTTTGTCGCCGGGTAGCGTGCTTCGCGTCGCATGTGCCAGTTCGTATTGAGCGGACCACTTCAGCTCTGCCGGCTCTGCTTCCGGGTCCATGGTTGTTTTGCGTCAGGTATAGAGATGTAAAGGTAATGACTGTGGTGGGAACACATGAATGAGGGTAGGTTGTGGTTCAGAGGCGTGAAATGGCTGACATATGCGCCGTGCGACTCGAAGCTTCGGTGAATGCCTGGCGTCATTGCGCTGCTCTCCTCGCCTCGCCTCGGCCCGCTAGGCTTATCGATAACCCTCGCGTGGTACCGCGTTAAGATACCGCCACCGTTGAAAAGTATGTAGCAAAGACCCCGTTTCACCAATCGTAGCCGTCATGTATATTCTATATTTGGCCTGCGATCTTTGGCACTGCAAACGATCTTTGCGCCGATACCACTGCGAGACGGTGACTAAGCTTCTTGGACACATTGACAGAGTCACGAGCATACCTGAGTATCTCGCAACATACAACCCATATACGTGTAGACGTGTTTGAATAATTGATCATAATTGATCAACAGGAGGACGCATCTCTAACAAACATGGCGAGAATCTGTCCGGGCATCTAAACCGTATTTGCATCGTCTATGCCAATGCTCCGGTGAGTTTCGATATGTCGATTCATGTTCTAACCGGCCAACGTGGGGCGAACATCCCCCGGCGGCTTTGCGCGTCGCGTCGCCTACCTGACATCTCGCAGCGACTGTTTTAGCCTGTTTCCACTCGACCACCAAGACTTGCAGCGCGGGCTTGGCTGCAAGACGTGTTCCAATCTATGCTTCATCGCGGCCTGATCTTGCAGGTCCTATGCAGGAAGCTTTGCGTGTCCTGCTAACACGCCTCTTGGCAGGGTCTTGCGCTTGCGATCGCCGCAGGGAACGAAGCATCGGCGGTATCCCACGCACCCACAACCCCATCTCCTGCAGCGTCTCAACCTCGATTAGTCTTTCCTTTTGCTCATCCAACACACACCTGCAGTGTCAGATCAGTGGCACGTGCTACTCTGCCCTGCTCTCGCCCTGTGTAATAAAGATTCGGTGAGTACCCATCTAACCTTTGGCCAAACTTCTCTGGTTGCATTCCCCGAGCCCTCACCATGGGCCCTTCTACTTTCAGTGACGACCTTCCTACATCCCTGGCGGACCTGCTTTCCAACACCTTGATCCTGCGCCAAACTGCGCCGTACCTGCCAATATCTGCTCTCCGTAACCTATCGCGAACTTGCAAATCCCTACACCATGTTGTCTTCCAGTCGCCAGAGGCCTTTCGTTACCTGGATCTCTCCCCAGTGAAGTCTGCTATTGTACCTTTCGATGGGCCTCTTGATATCGGCGGTACCAGTTTCCGCGCTGAGCGAATGGACGAAGCCCTCACCGAAGACGACTTCTACAGCGGCCCGCTACGCCACATCTTCAACAGACTCGAGAAGCTGCATGTCCTACGCAATGTGCACACGCTCGTACTAGACGGGCTCAGCGTGACAGCCGAATTGGTCAAGGAACTACTTACTGAGGAGCGCTTCAACGTCCGTATACTCTCGATTCGCGAAGCCAAGCATTTGAACGAGAGGAAGCTTCAGCAATACCTGCGATATGCGGTCCGACCGTCCAGGCCTGCGGGTACGCCTCGAGTCAAAGGCATCTACATCTTTGGCACCCGCGATCGAACACCGCGCCCTGCGTCGCCCGTCACGAAGAAGCCTTCTCCACATATTCCCAAGGGCGTAACGACTTCACAAGGGGCGCAGATCGGGGCGCAGTGGAACGAGAAGTCGCAGCAGGCCTTGGAAGCTGTGTTAGCGCGGACCGAGGACAAATGGTACCAGTCTTCTGGCAAGATCATACCTAAGCGGCCGTCGCCGGAATGGGCAGAGATTCTCCAGGCGTGCGAAGGCATCATCGCATTCGATGCCGTCCTGTGTAGAGGACCGCGGCACGACCCAGGCAAGGCGTACGTCAGAGATGCGACCGCAGATGGAGCATCTCACCCGTCCTCGTTCCTGCGGCCTACAGTAGCCACTGTCGCATTGGGCCCATCTGGCTGCGAAACATGCCACTCCTCTCCAGAAGGCCCAGCAGTATTCGGCGACTCCAGCCCGTCCCATCATCCATTACTCAGCCCAGTCCCACTGCACGGGTCCTCGGTCCGCGCCGCACAGATACCACACACTCTAGATGGATCCGCCCCTCCGCCTCTCATAGTGCGATGCGAGGACTGCCTGAAAGGACGCTGGTGCGAGAGATGTCACAAGTGGTGGGACGAGGACTGCTACACTGGATCGGTCACCGCCCAACGTACGGAATTACAGCAGACGGAGCTTACCGAGAGCTTCAAACCCGACGGGACCAGTCAACTGCTCCCGAAGCAAACCATCAAGGTACATATGGGCCTCTGCGTGGAACACTGCCTCCGTGAGGAAATGATGGCCGGAGCCGGTAGCGACGGGATGTGGGGATGAAGGACTTACCTTGGCGCGCGAGGAGCGATGCTACCATGAGGCCGTTACGATATAGTTGGATTCCGGAACCCGGAGCCTGGCTATTGGATAATTGCACCTGGAAATTGGCACTTGCGCGCCAAGGTATGTGCTCACTCTTTGGTCAAGAAACAGGCTGACGTGAAGAAACACAGGTTATCGGCGTGAGACGTGACTGTTTTGGCTGTGGCCATACGTGTATTAGCTGCAAGGAGCTTTTCATCCGCACCTGCGGGAAATGCAACAACGAGTATTGCCGTGAAGATAACGACGCGTCTTCTGACACCTTGGTTAGTATAGTTCAGCGAAATGCGTTGATCTTCATTAACTCATCCACAGTGCGACTGGTGCAACTATACTTCACGAAGGACCAGGGAGATGTATTGAGCTTGGCTTTCGCCGCTTGAGTAGAGCTTGGATACCTCCTCAGCCAACAGCAAACGTGCCGCTTGCTAGCACGGCTATCGCTGGGTTTATGATTTATGATTGATGACTTCCCTCCCCTCTTAGTATTAGGACTAGATACCCCCCTCAAATCTATGGACACAATTGTTGACGCTACGTCTTCAAATTAAGAATCGCACTTGTGTGCTCGTTCCTTCTTTCACTTATGTATCATGCAGGATATGGGCGTAGTTGGTCTAGCTCGTTTCGACTGCTCTGATTTTGTGGCTCAGATGCTTGTACAATCACTCTTCGACATGAAACCAGAACTAGATTTCGAAATGAGGGCGAAGAGTGCATCTACCAATAGTTTGAACCATCGTACCAAGATGATGGACGACTGGGTGCGAAACCGCAAGTCAGTAACGACACGTCCTGACTTCGACGACTTTGTCGACTGTTACTGGAACAATGATTTAGAGGGGCTCGTCGAAGTGAACAAGAGCAGTGGAAGCGCAGATGAATTTGAGATGAAACGGAATGAGATAGAGACGCAGCGGCATCCTCTTCAGCACTATCACAACGACACGTTAAGCTTCATGCCGGCACAAAGCAACGAGAGACAGATGAGATGCTTGGTAGATTACTCAAGTTACGAGCATTTTCTCCTGGTTTTCGTACGCGATGATGAAGATAGAGTGGTGGGATTAGACTGGATGATGCAGGAGGGATTCAAGGCATTGCGGTACAACCGCATGTAATGGGAAAGTTGCTGTAGTAGTCTTGTAACAGACTCGAAAGCTGGAGAACAGATCTTGATAGGCCTTGTAGAATTCATAGCCTATGTAGGTGTTTTGGTAACTGCAGCTTTAGCTCTGCTTCAAACCCCCAAGTCAGTGCCAAGCCCCCATCGGCCTGTGGATGGTCAGGGCCGATGCACACGATGACATGTGGCTGCCACATTGAGCCTCAACATTGCAAACAAACAATTGTCTTCTTCCCACTTCAGCGCGCGAGTTCTCACTTTCCAAACCCAACACCCCCGTTTTACGCAATCTGTCCTTTCCGCGCAAAAATCCCCGGTGACGTCGTACCACATCTCTCCAGGACACGTCCGCTCCACCTCCGCCAGGCACCAGCTGCGCGACCTACCCAACGCCAGATCGCTACATTCCGAAAACTACTCTTCGTCGCTATACCTCATACACTCGGATATCAGACAATGGCGCAATACGGCTACGGACAAAACCCTCAATACGGCGCAGGAAATGCGCAAAACCTCCAATTCTACCCGTCCTCATTTTCGAGCCAGCCGGTATCTGGCCATTCCACACCGTTTCAGGCAAACTATGGCGCACCGGCAAGTCAAGCGTACCCCGCACAGTATGGCGCGGGGTTCGCTGCTCCGGGCGTGAGTGGGCAGATGGGTATGGGTGTGTCGGGGCTGCGGACGGGGTGGCTGGCGGCTTTTGGCACGGAAGGATACGACGGAGAACCACCGCTGCTGGAAGAGTTGGGAGTGAATTTCAGGCATATACAAATGAAGACGTTGGCTGTCCTGAATCCATTTGGCCGGATCGATCAGCACATCATGGACGACAGCGATGTAGCAGGGCCGATACTGTTCTTCTTGATCTTTGGCACATCGTTACTGGTATGGCGAAAGCATCAATATGGAGATAAGAGCTAACGTTGAGTAGTTGTCTGGAAAGCTTCATTTCGGTTACATCTACGGTAAGTCGAACGATTGCTTGAAGAAAGACAGCAACTAACAGCAGCAGGCCTGGCGTTCGTTGGCACGATCCTTCTCCACCAGATCCTCTCGCTCATGTCCCCGCCTGTCGTCGAAGCGACACCTGGAGACCACGGTCACCCGCATGGCTCACATCTCGGCTCCTCGTTAACGTTCCCGCGATCGGCATCGGTGCTCGGATACTGCCTCCTTCCTCTGGTTTTGGTATCAATGTTTGGAATCATTGTACCGCTTGATGGACTATTTGGATACCTTCTGACCAGCTTGGCCATCACATGGTGTTCCTACAGCTCCAGTTCCATGTTTACCGTTGTTGGTAAGTCGAACCTTCCGATGGGGCTATCAATGGAAACTGACACATTTCACAGGGCGCATGACTTCGATGCGAGGCTTGGTAGCGTACCCCATGGTTCTGTTCTATGGCAGCTTTGGTATCATGGCCATCTTCAGCTCGCGGGGCACTGGCCAGCTGGCGAAGGCGGCAGGACCATAAGAATATGGTCAAGCACATTTCAAGACGTCTTGACCAAGACATGTAGAACTTTTGCGCGTATGCGTACGATATTAAGAACGTAACCAAAAATAAATCCAAATATAGCTTCCAAATCATCTTTCGCTACATTGAGATGTCCAGCCAATCGGAGTACGCCTAACGTGCTTAGAGCGATGACGACGAGGACCCTGCACGAAATTGTTCTTCCCGATAATCTCCGCCACCCGTCACATCTTCTTCAGCCCTATATACCCTTGCTTGCCTCTTGTTTTCGCAGGAGTACTCTTTCCACACGAATACTCACCATGGGTTGGTTTTGGGCAGACACCGCACCCGCTGCACCTGCTGCACGTGTTGCGCCGCACGCCATGCCTCGAGGCAGCATGAGCAGTATGGAACCTCCAGTACGTACGTCCACTCCACACACACATGCGCCACTAACAACCCACCAGCCAGAATGCCCCATGCACAAGAAAGCCGTCCCGCCCGTCGTCGCCGAAAAGAAGACACCTGCGGGCGCCTGCCCATACGTCCCACCTGAGAACGGCTCTCCCAGCGCCTCCTCCCCACCACCAAAGCAAGGCCTCCTCTCGCGCCTCAACCCGCTCAATAACATGTTCTCCGAACTCTCCAACGAACGCGCATCCACCCAATCCGTCAATCTCCCCCTCGAGCGCGAAACCTCCACCATCCCCAAAGGCGACGGCTCCCTCTGGGAGTACCCCTCCCCACAGCAAATGTACAACGCCATGCTCCGCAAAGGCTACACAGACACGGACATTACAGCCGTAGAAAGCATGGTCGGCGTACACAACTTCCTCAACGAGGGTGCGTGGGCCGAGATCATGGGCTGGGAGCGGCGTTTTTCGCGTGGTCTTAAAGAGGGATATGAGATATGCAAGCAGGGCGAGGAAGTCGCTAATTTCAAACTGGGCACGCATGAGGATCCGTTTGATACGACGACTTGGGATCACAGGGATGTTCAGCCCCCGAAGCTACTTAGGTTTACGGGGCGCCCGACGGAACCTACGCCCAAAGCAACGATTATGCAATGGCTCGGCTACGTCATGCCTGAGAAATTCGGTACTGCGCCGCCGTTTGACCGCCACGATTGGTTTGTGGAGCGCTGCAACGAAAAAGGATGCAAAGAAATTCGCTACGTGATTGATTACTACGAGGGTGCGCCCGAGGCATCGGAGGCGTCGGGAGAGGAAGACGAACAACCAGTATTTTACCTCGATGTTAGGCCCGCGGTTGATGGGCCGGTGAGTGCAGCTGAGAGGTTGATTCGCACGGGCACGGATGTTTGGTGGAGGGCTAGTGGGGGTGTGGCGCGCGAGTTGAAGAAGTTGGAGGAGGAGAAGAGGAGGAGGGAGGAGGAGTGGGCGAGCAAGAGTAGGCGGTATAATTAGTTTGGGCATGGTTCGGATGGAGTAGGTGTGATGCATTGCGCGGCGTTTATGGGTTGGGAGCTTTCCCGCTGTACGGTTGGGTTTGTATGAGATATGGCTTTGTCGGTGGACTGACGACTTGGGCTGGAGAGCCTTTTTTTTTGGAGACTTGTTCTGTTACGCTGGTATGATTCTCTACTCTAGCTCTCATTCTTGTTGTAGTATTCTTTCAGCTGGGTTACGGATAAATGACGCTCATCTTGAATGCCAATCTGATTACTCTTGGTTTTTCCAACTGAACAGAACACATTAGTTAAAAAGAAAAATCATTTCCAGAGGTATCTAAGGCATGTATAACACTCGCTCATCCAACGTAAATACCACGCGTACAACTCCCTGCTCCTTCACTTCCTATGCACCCCAATAAAGGTCCTCTCCCCCCTATACATATGAATACTCCTACTAAAATGATCCTCCTCCTCTTCCTCCTCTTTAATCCACACGCCATCCACAAGTTTCGCCCTCACCATCTCCTCCCCATCCACGCCCTCCCCCGGCAAAACCCCGCCATCCCTCGTTTTCCCCTCCGCCATCCTCACCCCCACAGCCTCAACCACTGTATCAAACCCAGCCTCCACATCCTCCTCGCCCCACGGCAACGCATCGATGTCGATTTTGTTTTCGCGGCCGAGTAAACACATGATGATGACCATAGCGCCGGCTTTGGACATGACTTGATTGTGCTGTTTACACGCGTCGTCGTTGCAGCACTCGTTGCAGCCTTCGAGGCAGTGACATGAGGTGAGGCGTTGGCACGCCTGCTCGAGTAACGTGTCTATGAACTCGAATGCTTTGGTACTAATCCCGCTGCCGCTGGCACCGCCTTTTGCGTCGTAAAACGTCAGTCGTGCAGGACGTTTGCGTGTGGATTCCTTCGCCAGGAATTCTTTCTCGGGGACTTTACATTCCGTGCGGACGTCACCAGGCATACTTATCACGAAGTTGGGCATGAGAGACAGAACAGCGTGTTCCGCAGCATGAATCCCCGCCGCGATATTCAGCCTCCGCGACCTCAATATATCGAGTGCAGATTTCGGCACGTCGAGCCACATGCCCTTGCTAAACAGTATGATAGGTGGGTTATCAACCTGCACAGCATCCAGAATACGCCTTTTCTTATCGATTTTGAAAAAGCCATAGACGACTTGTTGGATCTTGATGGGGCCGTAGAAGGCTTTTGATCTCGAACCAGGGATACGCCTGATAGCTTCTGTTTCCACGGGATCGATGTCCGTGTAGTCGCGTTGTTGGGTTGTCCAGTCTACTTTTACGTATTCGACTTTTGCGAGCATGCGTTCTTGGCTGAATTCTTTGACGAGGTACGTGTTTCCTTGGTGGAGGAAGATGCCGCCGTCGTAGAGCGTGAAGAAGGCGCGGGAGGCTTCGAGTTCCTCGAGCACGGTGTTTTTGCCGTGGGTTACGTCGATTATGGCGAAGTGGTCTTCTTCGGTGTCGCGGATTGCGACCGTGCGTGAGGGTTGCGGGAGGAAGCGCGTGTTGACGTGGTAGAAACCTTCTTTGTCGCAGCGCATGCGCTCTCGTGCGATTTTGGGGAGGAGGGGGCCGAAGTAGGATGTGTCGACTGACACATTGATGGGCATCTCGTGGGCGGCGCATTGGACGTGGCCTTCCAAGACGAGCATGTTTTCTAGGTCGACTTGGAGTGCGCAATTGGGTTTTGTGAAGATCTCGTCTGGGTTCGACATATAGTACTGATCGGTAGGGAAGCAATCGCCGACCAGAACGGAAAGCGAGTCTTTATTTCTCCTTCCAGCACGACCACTTTGCTGGCGCAGGTTGGCAATAGTATAGGGGAATCCAACCGTAACGACAGCATCCAGGGAACCGATGTCGACACCAAGTTCCAGCGCACTAGTAGCCACGATACCACAGAGCTTTCCGTCGAACATCTCTCGCTCGATCTCCCGTCTGTCTTGCGGCGTATATCCGCCTCGATACGACATAACCCGAGCAATAACTTCCGGTCTTTCCAGGTTGGTAAGTTCAGTCTTGACAGCAGCAAGCAGCGCTTCACACTGCTTCCGCACGCGACAAAAGGCAATGGCTCGGATGCCCCTTAACATCAGTTGGCAGAATAGCTTCGCCGTCTCCGCCATACAATCGCCGCGTCCAGATGTAGGATCACCAGGATCTTTGAACGGTGTGTTCCAGCACAGAAACTCTTTGCGCCCGGAAGGAGACCCGTCAAAGTCTGTCAACTTGACCTCGTCAACACCGAAAATAGTCTTCATGTGCTCTTCAGGGTTGGCCACTGTAGCCGAGCAGGAAATGAATTTGACATGGCGGTTTCCCAACGCCGCGCATATCCTGCGTAGACGGCGCATGATGAACGCCATGTGTGCTCCAAACAGTCCGTTGTACACATGCAGTTCGTCTACTACCACAAATCGTAGGTTCTGAAGGTATGTCCGCCAGGCATCCTCTTGCGGCAGGATAGTGATGTGTAACATATCCGGGTTTGTGAAGATGATACGTGCCTCATCTCGAATGTAGTTGCGTTCGCTCATAGGCGTATCGCCATCGAACGTCTCAACCAGAACTTGTTCGAAACCCGGCATAAACCGCAACAGCTCTTTCATGCTCTTCCTCTGATCCTGCGCCAGCGCTTTCGTTGGAAAAATATACATAGCTCTCGTATTAGGCTCCTGTTCCAACTGATGCAAAACCGGTATCTGATAAATCAATGATTTACCAGAACTCGTTGAAGTAGACACAATCACATTGTGTCCGTCGTAAAGATTATTGATAGCCTCTGCCTGGTGAGCGTAAAGCTGCGTGATGTTCCTCGTGTTATACAGCGCGTTGACGAGGTTCTGCGACATGGCGAAGTTCAAGTCGCCGTAGACAGCTTCTTGTGGGTCGAAGACACGGTGGCCATCTGGCACAATCTGCCCAGTGTACCACTCAAGCGTCTTGATCTCGTTCAGGATATCGGGGATAGGCTTTCGATCCGCCGGTATGGAAGCTGGTATCAACGATCTATCCGGACCGGGTGTGGAATGCCGGCTCTCAGTCGATACCGGTATGAACGCTTTCGACACCTCCAAAATCTTCTCTACCGCATCCACCCCCTCCTCAGCACACTGATTCAGAAAACCATTGACCGCCGAAGTAAACTTGACATTCCTCTTCTCGATCAAATTCATCATCTGCTTCTGACTGTACACCGGCATCTTCAGATCCTCATTTCTTAACTTGGTCGTAGCCTTTGTCGGCTCCCCCGTTTTCTTGTGTTGTACCTGGCGCTTCAAATCGCCATCGATGAACTCAAACAGCAGCACCTCTTTATGCTCGCCTTTATCCGGTTCAGGTTCTAGTATCGCAAAGTCGGTTGTTCGCCTTCCGTGCAAATTATCTTCTGAGCCCATCAAATTGATCTGTAGCATTGCTTCGTCGACGTAGGCAAAGTTTATGGCCTTGGGGATCAGGGCCGTGATCTGCGCTACGTCCTCGATGACTAACTCTCGTTGGATGTTGGCTTCGACTGTGCTGCGCAGGTTTTCGAGGGTCGTCGCGAGGTGCTTGCGCGTGCAGAGGAATGTGTAGACGAGGCTTACGGCGCGGTGCACTTGAGCGAGCTTCGTGAAGTGGTCTGGCCATGGTATCGTCGTCTCGACTAGGGTGGACGAGTTGTTGCGCGCGAGAGCTGGTTTGCCGGTACCGTTCTTCTTGGGCGCTCGCCGTGGTTTCTTTCCTCCGTCGTGTGTTTTCGTGGGTACGCTCGTAGTAGTCGTGGCCGGGTCGGGCGCGTTGGAGTCGATCATTGAACCATCCGGTCCAACAATCCTGTGAACCTCCTTCACCCCTTCGCCCTCTGCCGCTGTTGTCTCCTCCTCATCGCGCGCTTTCCGTTTTCGCTTCCGTACAGTCTGGTCCGAGACGGTCGCAGCCTTGAGTCGAGGCATCGTGGGGACATGGTCGTGGTTCTGGACGCGCGCAGCGCCTGTAGGGGAACTTTAGTTCACAATCAATGACGCAATGGCGCAACGGCAAGAGTGATCGTGCATCAGGGGAAATTTCGCTTTCGTATTTGAAATATTGATTAGCAGGTCTGAAATTACGTTGTCGTCTATGTGTTCTACCTTCTAAAAGATTATTGCGACAACTTCGAGAAAGACGCGATCGTCGTTTCGCGCGTCGCCGCGCTCTCACGTGCGCTTCAATCCTGCACGCCTGCGGTTCGCTCCAGTCTAGTCTGAACAGTGCACAGCACACATTTCACAACCACATCACCAAACCACTCTCCGAATTTTCATAGCGTGATGAAAAGAGTCCAAGATGCATTAACACACCTATCCCCAGGGTATATGGCCAAAGAAGTCAGCATCCCGCCCACATATCCACCAACCCACTTCATCCAAGTAGCCACTTGCGAATATACAGAAGAGGTATCGAACAAGAACAGAAAGAATGAAGCACACTCCTCGCTAGAATGCAGTGATGTCAGAAAAGACAGACCAGGGAAACCATCCACAAAACTCAGAAACAACAACAAATAGTAAGCCATTACATCGTAAATGAGAAGAAGAAGAAGAAGAAGAACAACATCGCCTCGTCGGGCAAAGTTCCATCATCCATTTTTCATCAGAACATGTGGGTGGGTTGTCCGAGCACTACTGTGCTGCTCTACTCATAACGCCCCACTCGCACCAGGAAGAAGCATCTCAATGCACTTCGTCAGCAAGTTGCTCGCCTCATGCAACAACTCCCACCTCGTCTTCTTGAACATATCCCGCATGATGATGAGCAGACCAAGACAAGCATTGCGATTAGAAGTCTTGCTAAGATCCTCTGGTGAGTGTACACCACCAACACGGTTGAGGTAGAGAACCATATCCCTGACCTTGTCATCATAGGTGGGGAGTTGGTATGGTTCCTTGACCGGGCCATCGAGCGCGAAACCGTACGACCACACGATTAGTGTGGCGAAGTATAGTACCCATGGTCGGTTGAGGAGGTAATCGTCGCGTGCGGAGTAGGAGAAGCCAGCGGTGGACGGCGTATTGGGGTTCAGACTGTGGTCTCCGGCGACCATGACGTTGGAGAGGAAGCGGAGAGCGTAGAATGTGGCGTCCCGGGCTCGGGCAGTGGGGGCCCACATCTCCTTCATCCGACGTTGTGCGCCGTTGTAGTCTTGCGGGGTTATTGACCGCCCGAGAAGGCGGGGTGCGCCGGCGTAGATTTGGCAATCGACAATGTCAACGTGCATGGCCATGTGCGCAAGGTGGTGGAGCACAGTCCGGGACTCGAACACGTTGTCATCGTCAACACCTTGCGAGTATCCGTATGAGCTCGAACTAGGGCGGTCCTCGGATCGATTCAGTGAGCTGTCGAAATCTTGCTTCCAGAAATCAAAGGCCCGGGTTAGAGAGCCTCGCCACTTATCGCGACCGCCTAGTGCTGTTGTCACACCAAGCGAGCTGACTTGCAAATCTCGCTGGTTCATGTGCCATGATACGCTCAGTAAACCAGCCATGAGGATTGTGCGTCCGAACGAATTGGTCCGCACCGTCTGCCCATTGAGCGTCTTCTTAAGACCGTCAAGGAAAGACATTGGTTTGATGCCATTCGATGTCAGCGACTGCTCGACTCGTCCTACTTCAGAACTACTCGTTGCGGACCAGAGAGCTTCGTCACATGGCAGTGGAAGACGCATCTCGTGAGCGACCATGACAGCGCTGTGGCCGAACATGGTAGCGTGGATGCTGTCCATGACGAAGGCTGCGAATGCTGCCCTCCTAGTAGCCTCATTCGTGATCCAGTGGTTCCACCATTCGTCAGGCGTGTTTGCTCCACCTATTCCGTTGCTCTTTCCGTCCTTGACACTAGGAGGTGAATCCATCGCTGACCGTCCGATCAGCGAGCTTCCGCGCCTCATAAGCGTCAATGTCGTGGCATGATGGATGTGTGCTCGTTCGTGCAACGGGCGCGTAGAGTACATCTTCTCAAACACCTCGAGAAGGAGCAAACCCTGGAAGATCCATAGCTTGGCGGGTGGGCGGAAGTCAGCGTCCATGAACAGCTCCCAGCGCAGATGCCACGCCAAGAAGTTGGCTAGCGAAGCGCAAGCCTGTGTAGTCTCTTGACCATAATTCTTCTCCAAACAAGACGCTCCGAGACACATGATGGCGAGCAACAACAGCTCGGGGCAAGTGCTTGCGTTGAAGGTCGGCTTGTGGAGGATTGGCAGTTGTGGGTGGAAGTGTACCCAGTACGAGCTGATGTACGTTTGCATCATGTGCAGACTCAGTACGTGTCGACTGTCGTCTTTGTCGCCCTCCATGATATCCTCCTTTTGCTTCTTGACTGGCGCATGATCTGTTTCGTTGAAGCGCAGATGGATTAGGTCAAGGAGGTCTTTCCGCTTCTCTTCTGACAGGGCAGACTCGGGAAGCGTGGTATCTAGTATGCTATGAACAGCCATTGGATGTGCAGGCGGTGCAGGGTTGTTCAGATAGCCGGCGACTGAGGGGTCATAGTTAAAATACGGTGCTTGAAGACCAATTTGGGATGACGCACCAGCTACGGGGTTTACTCCGCCCGGGTAATCCATGGGCGATGCGCCTCCTGGGTTGAATTGATTGTCGTTGAAGAGCCAGGCGGCGAAGTCGTCGGCCATGGCGAAGGGTGACCGACTGTATCCATTGCCACCAAACATTGGTATGGCATACGCAGGATTCTGCTCCATAATGGCGTCGGAAACATTCTGCATTCTGTTGTCTATCTGACCTGTAGACTCGACACCATTCATGGGCGTCTGTCCAGAGGTGCCATTATAAAACTGATTCTCTTGTTCTCGAGAAACAGGGGTGCCGGCTGGCTGAGGGTACTCTGGTGGAGGTAAGGAGGAGAAGGGAGGAAAGTTGTTTTGTGATTGATACGCACTTGCGCTGTTTTGGTAGCCGGTCGAAGGCGCAGAGGGAGTATACTGGGATGGTGTAACAGCAGAGTTGAAGGGTGAGCTCGAGCCATACGAGCTGAGATTGGACGTCTGCGCGCGCAGATCGGGCCGGGTGAAGTTCCCATTACCCACATGTGGGGAGTTGTGGAGAGAGTTGCGACCTCCACTGTAGTTGCCCAAAGCGGCCGGACGCGGTGGGGGTGCAAAGTTTCCAGCGCTCTGGGACTGCATGTCGTAAGGCTTAGCTTCTGAGCCACTGCGGTACGTATCGTCGCTCACTGTCCTCTGCAGCGAATCCTGCCTGCTGAGCGTGGCAGTCGAGCCTGGAGACTGGAAGTTTGGCGGCGACATTCTGCTGCCCGGGCCTGTGTTTGAGGCTCCAGATGGCGGAGACTGCATGCCGAGTGCTTTGGGCGGCGGTGCATTCTTTCCGCCCAGTGCAGCCGTCACAATGGGGTTCAGATTGTGCATGTTGAACGTGTCCTTGCGCAGCAGCTGCGAGCCTCGGGCCGTATGTCTCTCCTTGTGGCGCGCGCAGAGGTCCTGGCGGACAAAAGATCGGTGACAATCGGGAAAGTCACAGTGGTAGATTTGCTTGGGGTTGTCTGTCCATGTTAGCTGTGTGAGGGCTGCTGGAGCCGCTGCACTCACGGTTCAGCTGATGGCGGTAGAGGTGCTCTGCGCGGGAGTAGCTCTTCCCACAGCCCTCGTGCGGGCACTCAAACTTCTTGTCGAGGCCCTTCCTGCTGCGCCGTCTCTTTCTCGAGGAGCCGTGGCCGTCACCGTCGCCCTCGCCCGCGGATCCATCTTCGTCGCGGTCGCGTCGGCGGCCACGGGTGTCGCCGCTGTCGGGAGAGGCGGGGGTGGGAGGCTCGTTTGCAGGGCCAACCGTGGTGTCCATCTTGTCTCGGAACTGCGTCTGGATCTTGCCCAAATCCGACGCGTGCGCAGCATGCATAGACAAGATTTGCGCCGTCATTGCCAGTGGAAAGTCAGGCCCAGTGTCGTGTGTCGCGACGCTGGCGGGCAGTGCGCGTGTCTGGGGCAGTTGGGAGTGTTGTGTAGCCTGGTGGCGGAGCGACTCGTGTGCGCGGTTGCCAGATGGTGTTGATGTTAGTCAAGAGGCGCTCGGCGATGGGCGTGCATGCTGCTTTGGGAATCACACGGCAGGCGAGATGCTGGGGCGGGCCAGAAGGGACGGCGTGGGCTGCGCAAGTCTTAATCGCCGTGATCCTGGGCGATGACCTGCAGATAGAGCCTCTGCGTGCAGGCGGGCGTGTGTGCTGTGTCGTCGTGGAGAGAACCCTGGACGGGGAACGTGGGGAAGACAGCAAGTCGTGGGAGGCAGCAGGACGGGCGCGGGTAGACTTGTGGGAATGGAATGGAGAGGGCCGATGCCGACTTGGGACGTCGACTAGAACTGGCACGACTGGGGACCTGTGACCACGCAGAGCGTCCGCAGTAGCCGCGATAAGAATTCAAGATCCCGTGGCTGTGGATAATGTCGTCTGCACTGCACTGCGCTGGCTGAAGTAGTGAGGGGTAGCTGGCTGCCTTCCGATGCTGCCAGCCTCCGCCGTCAGCAATCAACGTTTGAATGCACTCCAAGACGCCCGTCTGAATACACTGCAATACTGCAACTACACCTGCAGCCTGCTGGACCACCAGAATGTGGAGAAGCGAGGCCGGCGTGGGACGGGCGACGCGGGCGTGGGGGCTGCTCGAGCGCTGCATTTAGTTGTCCTTCTCCGTCGGCACCGTCACCACGTCTCGTAAACGCCATTCAAGTTACTGGTCGATAGCAGCGCGTGCCTGTTCATGCACCGCAGACTGCGCACCGACTGTATGCACAAGGCTGCATCAAGCATGCGGTCCTGCACGTGGAAGCATTCGACTCCTCTTGCTTCCAGGCCCGCTGCCATCCTGCCCACTTCTGAGACTGTTGATATCTCTGCATCGCGGTACTACCCATGCCTACTCCCTCACCCATCTCTAGACCCTGATTTACGCCTCTCTACACCTTGACCTCTCCTGTACACGAGCCCAACCACTCCAAATCCGCCCAACGCGCAACTAATTTCCACACCTCATCGCACGTGCGCCACTCGCACCGCTCTGCTCATTCGCCAGCATTTACCCAGATGCGAGTGCCCACTCGGCCCGTCGGCCACCAATTGATACTTGCAGCCTGGACGCCCTACCCCAGGATCGTCTTGCCGCGCAGCGCGACAAAAGACGCAGACGCATCTACGCACCACTCCCGCCAATGATGCGCGGCCCGGACGTCACCCTCTTCTTGCGGCAGTCGGAGCCCGGCGAGCATCGTCGCATCGGTATCCGCATTTGATTAATTTTGCATATAGGCATTGATTTATCGGAGGAAATTCAGGACAGATGTTGTTTAGTTGAGCCTCATCAGCCCTATCTGTCATGAACACCGTGTGACGAGACAGTTCACGCAGTGCAACATGGAAACGTGGAACGACCAGGCCGGCCTTGAGCCAAATTCGCCCCCAACCGCTGGACCAAGCTCTGCTGAGACAATTTCTCCCTTCCCTGTCACGCAGCTGTGGCTTACCGAGTGCCTCTCTCCCGCCACGGAGAATATGCAGTCTTGATTTGCTTTGCCTCCCTTCATGTTTCAAGGCCCGTATCTTGCTAAATCGGGTGGAAAACTCCCTAGGCCCTGCCTATACCAGTCTCGTGAGCTGACATGTGTCCTCCGCGGAGGCTATACACATGCGCTAGATTAGCGTATGTGCAGTGGTTGGTCCTTGAGGCTAGAGGTAAAGCCCGAAGGAATCAATGCATATCTCTTCGTCGATGACGCCCCACCATCACCATCTTAGATCCCAACTACTATCAGGTACTAATGTCTAGTAATGCGGCTCCTTAAGCCATATCATGCCGTGCCTGATATCTATGTGTGCTGATGCAAATGATACCATCCCGATCTGCTCTGCCAAGTCATTATCCCGTCCTACTCCTACGCTTAATGTACACGACGGCAGCTCTCTGAAATACTACCCGTTGAGCCTTGCCCGTGATAACCTAATCTTGAGCCTTTGCTCCACCCTCTTCATCAGCCGATTCTGCAGCAGAATCAACCTTCTTCGTTTCCTCTGACCCTTCAGCATCTGGCTTGCTATCCTCTTTGGCCTCAGTGACATCTTGTGACGGTTCCTTTCCGCCATCTTGGACGTCTGGAGCACTGGCCTCAGCGGTATCGGCAGTTGCTGACTCTGTGGCGGCATCGTCGTCCTTCTTTTCTTCTTCCTCGTGCGAGGTACCCGCTGCCTTCTCTTCGCCCCCGTCTTCCTTGGCTGCTTCAGTCGTGGGGTCCTTGGCATCTGCTTGTGTTATCTCCTCAGCAGCTTCAGCCTCGTCTTCGTCTTCGTCCTCGTCATCATCTTCGTCATCATCGTCTTCTTCGTTATTATCTTCGATAGCCGTAACGTCCCCATCGCTGTCGCCTTCCTCCTCTTCCTCGTCCTCCTGTGCTGACTCGAAGATTTGAGTGACTGGCCGCGCCTGAAGAACAGGGCGGTCCTCCTCTTCCTCATTCTCCTCTACAACTGTTTGAACGGCCGTGGCTCCAACTGATGGCGAATGCCTATGTCGCTTGGTTGTACCGGCTGTCGACAGCGAATGATCGGACATTCCGTCTGCCAGTGTGTTACTTGAAATCTCTGATGTCGAATCAGAGGGCTCTCGCTTCATGATCAGAGGTGGCGCTGACGGCTTGACCTCGGTTGATGGCTCAATGCCCTCGGCCTCAGGAGGGATGGTGTAGTTGTCCTCCGGTACCAGACCGTATACATCGCAGACCGTCTTATAGAATATGTATAGGCCTGTGCGCCCCTCGACCTTCCAAAAGACTTCTCGGTGCGAGTACCATGCGTGCGCAAAGATTCTGTATACACGCCTGAATATGTTGGTCAACTGGCGCATTTGCGAATGCTGTGTTGACGAGTCGGTTCCAAGCGCGAGCCTTGAAGGAAAGTGCTTGGGTGATGTGAGGGTGTTGGCCGCCCAGTCGAGCGTGTGGCAGCAGTAGTCGATGGCACAACATGACTTTGGCGGGTCGTGTACTGCGCAAAGGTACTGCCACTCGGAAGCGCGCATCTCGGGACACGTCAGGGACGAACATGGTGGGTCGTCTGCGAAGAGGGCGGTAATGATAGAGTTAACCTTTTGTATAAGGAAGCGGCACAGCTCGTATAGCCAAAGAGTCCTGTCCACATTGGCAGGTGATTGTGCTATCTTCAGTGCCATGTTTCTGTCTACTGGCACAGTGCCATTCGAGCCGGCGGGGTGCGTAAGCGAGTTGTGGAGGGCTTTGAGGTGTTCTGTAAGTTGAAATGCCGAATCAATCTGCGCATCTCGTCAGCCAGGCGCTGTCTTTAGGGTAGCATGCCTCCACGCACCTCTGATAAGTCTACCAGTGGCGGCCCCTCTGCCATATCCTCCGCCTTGGTTCCCGGTCTTATCCTCCGTTCGGCGGCATGGTCGAGGTTGCTGAACAACTTCTGCTGCTCTGGGGACGCGGACACGGGCGAGAGCTGGTCTTCTGGGATTGGCGGCGGGCTAGGAAGGCGCGGTGAAGCAGGCGACGTCATATTTGCGGAATGACGGGTAGTAGTGAGTGAATTGCTATCACAGTAGACGTCTGGCGACAGGTAGGCGGGGCGGCGTGTGTTGTTGATACCTGGAGCTTGCGAATGCAGGGCATGGGCAGGGGTCTTGTCAACTAGTAAATACGCGACGGCGCTAGCTTCATCGCGCGCCAGTCGGGATGGACCATTTTTCTACATGACTCTGCCACCCCACGACGTCATTGCCGTCTCTCTTGGCTTCCCAAAATCCCGAAGTAGCTGCGATTAGGTAAGTCATTGTAGGTGAATTGAATGCTTTGTGGGGTTGCACCGTCCTACGTATCTACCTTCTAACGACGTTCTCTATCTCACTCTAGTCTTGTATCTTGACGCTCTGGCACCCCTCCTCGACATTCGAATCACTATTTAGTAACAGCTTGCCAGCCATGGACGGAAACGTATCAGACGATGAAGTCCCCGCTCTAGTCCAGCCAGAGACCAACACCAAAGTCCTCGACGACCAAGATGAGGAAATACCCAATCTTGTGGCGACCTCGGAGGAGGCGCCCCAGGGTAAAGTGCCCATCACCATAGTTACAGGTTATCTTGGTGCGGGGAAGACGACCTTGCTCAACTATATTTTGACTGAGCAACATGGAAAGAAGATTGCCGTCATTCTGAATGAGTTCGGTGACTGTATGCTCACCTTCCACTAAGAATAAGACATCATTCTGACAGATGGCTTAGCAATTGACATTGAAAAGCAGCTCACTGTCTCCGACGCAAACTCTACATCCGCCCAACCCGCCCCCTTTGTCCCACTCGCAAACGGCTGCATATGCTGTTCAGTGAAAGACATCGGCGTAGCAGCCATCGAGAATCTAATGGAGCAATCCGGCCTATTCGACTACATCCTGCTTGAAACAACCGGTCTAGCCGACCCAGGAAACATCGCACCCATGTTCTGGCTCGACGACGGCCTAGGCAGCAGCATCTTCCTCGACGGCATCGTCACACTCGTCGACGCCAAAAACGTGCTAAAGAGCCTAGACGAAGGCCTCGGCGACGAAGAAAACATCGAAGAGAGAAAGAAAGCATCCCACGACGAACACGGCCCTCTACTCACAACAGCACACTTGCAAATCAGCCATGCAGACGTCATCATCATCAACAAGACCGACCTAGTTTCCGCGCAAGAACTCAAACAGGTCACCGAGCGAATCCGTTCTATCAACGGCCTCGCCCGCATCAAGACGACGACAAAAAGCCAAGTCCCGCAGCTTGAAGGTCTGGTCCTGGATCTCCATGCCTATGACGAAGTCACAGACACAGATCTGCAGTTCGCGAGTAAAGGGCATAGTCATCTCGACCCTACAATAACCACTTCAACCATCTCCTTCCCCGCGTTGACACGCGATCAAGTCGACAAGTTCGATCTATTCCTTCGCACTATTCTGTGGGAGGAGACGCTACCCGCTGAGACTTCACATAAGTCCTTTGAGATCCATCGTTTGAAGGGACGGGTCCCAGTCAAGGACGGCAAGATACTCCTCACACAGGGTGTAAGGGCCATCTACGATACGAATGAGTTTGATGCCAAGCCTGAAGATGGGGTTCAGGAGTCGAAGTTGGTTTTGATTGGGAGGGCTGTGGATCAGGAGGCGTTTAGGCAGAGTTTGATGGCTACGTTGGGTGGTGGGCAGTGATTGAGCTTTCATTTCCAGGAAGAATGAAGGTGGCGTAGTTCGACGGCGTTGAGGATGTGCTACGGTTGTTGTAGATGAAAAGTGAGAAGAGCGACTCAAATCACGATCTCTAGCGAAAGCGGTTTCCTCTCAGTACGCCGTTGCAGCAGAAACAATAGAGTGCGCCTTTGACACAGACTGCGGTCTGGCCCTGGTTCGGGCTGGCCATTTAGATGGTACTTTGGTATACGGTATGATTGCGATCGCTTTGATGTTGCGGTCGCAGCAAAGTATGCGCCACGCTTTAAGGAGAGGTTGAGATATCCTATCTGGCAGATAAGGCATGGCGATAATGAGCCTGATACCTAAGTAGCCTTCTCGTCAGCGCGAAACATCGCAATGCAGTAGCAGCCTAGTGGAGAACCACTACCCCGCGTCGCAACATCTCTGCCGACTTCGACACAATCAACTTCTACCGCACCGTGAGAATGTCTAAATACACTTACCAACCTCTCGACAGGCCAAATTCAGAGTTCCGATTACTTAAAATCAGCAAAGACCCTCTCACCCATCAGCCGCAATGCACCTTACAGAAGTACAATTTGATAGACTGTCCTAGATATACCGCCCTGTCATACACTTGGGGCGAAGCGGCGCCAACTCATAGTGCAGCAGTCGAAGGAGCGAATATCGAAGTACGCCAAAATCTGTTCGACTTCCTACACGCCTATACTACCGAGGTCTGGGGTAGTGCCGACACCGAAAAGCCGGTGTTCTATTGGATCGATCAGATATGCATCAATCAAGAGGACCTTGTTGAGCGCAGCGACCAAGTCCGTATCATGAACAAGATCTATGAGCATGCGAAATATGTGCTCGTATGGTTAGGGTGCGATTCTTCCATGCTCGAGGCAGCGCGTCAGTTGCGAGACGAGAAAGATGACGACGGGTGGGCCATTGCCACTCTACTAGCCCACCCATATTTCTCACGGGTATGGATCGTCCAGGAGACTATGCTCAGCGTAAACTCGCCTCTCATTACTTGCGGAGGGATTGAGCTGGATTGGTATTGTGTAGCCTTAGCGAGTATAATGGCAGAGCCAAAGCAAAGCTTACCGTTAGCCGCCTGTTTCACCATCCATGGATATGATCGTGTTCGAGAAAGGCGTACCCTACAATACTTTATCCGATTTCATTGTGGGAGTAAGTGCCATGATCCTCGCGACAAAGTCTACGGGCTGTTAGGGCTTACACCTGAAAGATGGCGAGTGCGTGTTGATTACACAAAAGAGGTGCTTGAGGTATACTTCGATGCGGTGGCGGCCCTGTTCGAAGAGTTGTTCGACCTTACAGATTCAGAGTGCTTTTATCCAGAAGACCCCACGTTTCTGACCAGTCCCCGGGATTGTTGCGAAACGCTTCTCGTTCTGGGCAAAGCGATGGGTATCACCCAACTACATTATCCTGGCCTTGATTCATTACTCGAATATATCCAGGACGCATACTTGAGCACAAAGATCCGAAACGTCCAGTACACTTACACGGGCCGCATATATACTAGAGTACGGGCGCAATCATCTTCCGAACACATCCTTGCGTCAGCAGCAGCAGCAGCAGCAGCAGCAGAAGAAGAAGAAGAAGAAGAAGAAGAAGAAGAAGAAGAAGAAGAAGAAGAAGAAGAAGAAGAAGAAGAAATCGAGGTCAGCTGGGGATCTATCACAGCGACGAGGCGAAAACCATTGATGCGTGATATCATCCCAAAGATGGGCTTGCAATTGGCAAGTACGACTGCAGAAAGCACGGCTGAGCAAGATGGCGACTCTTTGCCAACTCGAGATCGCTGGTGGTGCAAGCATGAAGGCAAGATACACTACTTTAATTGTTACTAATGAGGAGCGAATACATATCGCATGAGGGACAAAAGAGCCTTTCGAATGATATTACGCTTTGTAGGATCTCCGTTCCGACATTTCATCACTTATGAACTGTCCCTGGCCACTAGAAGCAATATTTATCCAAACATGGCGAAGCAAAAGAATGCAAACAACACATGTACCCTCGTTCCCATAGCATCGTCGAAAGAACTCAAATAAACACAACGATCAATTTCGCCCACTAAACTACTCTCAACCCCCCACCTTGAGTCCCCCTCCCGTTCCCATTCACCACCATCGCTTAAACAATACCCTTCTCATTCCCAACAACATTTGTCTCATTCCCACTCGACGCATCGCCATGCAAGTACGCCGCAAGACCAATCTCGTGATTAATCTCGGCCATGCGCTCCTGATCCTTGAGCGCCGCACCCTCACTACCAAAGATAGTGTCCATCTCCTCGAGCGTCAAGCGCTTCGTCTCAGGAACGAAGAACCAAATGAACGCTGCTCCGAGGGTGGTTACGAGTCCGAAAAGGACGTAGGTACCCCAAGTGATGTTTTCGAGCAGCTCGGGCGTGATTTGTCCGATGATGAAGTTGTTCATCCAGTTGGAGGAGCCGCCGAGGGCAGTACCGTAGGGGCGGGTGGATAGGGGCCAGATTTCTATGAGACGGAAATGTTAACATAAGGCTTATAGGAGCGTTTCGAGCGAGTGGAGATAAGGCTTACCAGCGATCAAAATCCAAGCACAAGGACCCCAGGAGTAACCAAAGTGAATAACGAACAACCAGACCATAACCACGGCTGCCCATCCCGCCGCACGGTGGTTCTCAAAGTTATCGAAGTTCTTGGCGAGAATGACGGCGATGACGAAGTGGGAGAAAGCCATGCCGAGAGCTCCAACTGCGAGAACGGGTTTGCGACCGAGACGGTCGATGTAAAGGACTGCGGGAATGGTGGCGAGGAACATGACGATGCCGACGACACCTGTGGCGAGGAGTGATTGCGTGGTTCCGACTAGACCGATTTGCTCGAAAATCTGGGGCGCGTAGTAGAGGACCTGGGGGAGTGTAAGTTAGTAAATGCTTCGAATGTAGTTGTCAAAGGGTTTAAGTGTCTACATACCGCGTTGATACCAGTCCATTGCTGGAAGAACATAGTGACAGTCGCGACGATAACCCTCTTGAACATAGCCTTCGTCTTGAAAAGCGAAGCAATAGCAACAAACTGGAGTTTGAAGATGTTCATAGTAGTCTGCTCGCGAAGATGCGGGAAAGCCTCAGCAACACTGCGCTTTTCGAACATGGACTGTGCCTTGATTTCCAGAAATTCCAGCTCGATAAGCTCGTGGTCGGCAGGGAGGTTGCGGAGAGAGGCCAGGTTGCTCCTCGCTTCTTCTTCGCGTCCATGGTGTACCAGCCAACGTGGTGAGAATGGCATCCATACCATTCCGATGATGAGGACGAATGCTGGAACAAGCTGAAGGCAGATGGGTACGAGCCATGCGGCGTTGGATTGCGTCTCGAGAGTGGTGCCTCCGATGTAGTTGGTTCCGTAGTTGATCCAGAAACTGATCATGATGCCAAATGTGATGGCGAGTTGTTGCAGTGCAACCAAAGCACCACGAACCTCACTGGAATGAGTTAGCATGTTGCTTAAGTGTTAGGCTGGGTGTTTTTGGTTGTACTTACGGAGGTGCACATTCACTGTTGTACATGGGAACGATGACGGAAAGACCACCGACTCCGATACCACTACGATTGATTAGCAAATGTTGAAAGATCAGTAATGATGGTTCACTAACGTGATGAAACGACCAGCCAGAATTTCCTCGTGACCACCAGAAATTGCAGTAATCTGGACCACAACACCAATGATGAAGATTGCTGTAGCGATCAAGATACCGTATTTGCGCGACATTGCCTCAGCGACGAAACCGGACATGACAGCTCCAAACCAAGCTCCAAGTTCCAGGATAGCAGTTAGCCATCCCTTCTGTGTTGGGTTATCAACGTAGCCGTCGGTTTCTACTCGATGTAAGCGCAAGCTGACAGTGGAAGTCACAAATACGTACGTGCTCCGAAAGATGGCATAGCCAGAATACCACTGAACATGCCCTGGTTGTATCCGTACAATACACCTCCAAGACAAGCGAACAGGGCGATCAGAAAGACCTTTCCGTTCTTCACAAGAGCCCTAGGACCACTGGCGCCCATCAGGGCCTGACGCCTTTGAAGCGCGGCATCGAAGCCAGATGCACCACCGCCGCCTCCAGCCATGATGATGCTCGATTACCGATAATCGAAACGCTTGAAGAGTTTGGCGAAAGTCTTGAACAAAAGCCGTCTGAGTAGTACCCCAGATTGCCAAAAAGCTTACGGTCCTTTACTCGGAGACCCCAGGCTTATGTATGGGGGGCCACAGAAGCCCGCACCACCATGTGCATAATCATCCAGTACCCCGGTGACCGTACCGCAGCACTGTGGGGAAACAGGCCTCCATACTCTTTCCAGATCATCGGTAATAAGAGCTGTTTAACCCCTTAAGCATACCAAGAGGAAACGGCTGCTGGGCAGCATGTTAAACACGGCTTGAAGAGCGCCAAGCCAAGGCTTCGAGCACACTAATTGGATACGGAGAGCAATGTAAGCATCCACCATTCTTGGCAGTCATGTGCCGTTCGTGCTTCATCCGCCGCTGATGTCGTTCGGTTGCAGTGGGCCGGGTGCCAAGGTGTATCCGGGGAGAGCTTTAGGCTAAATTGCCAGTCATGAGTGAATTCGTAGCAGCGGAGCGCCGACTTGACGAGGCTCCGAGGACTCCTTTGACGGTTGCGACGGCAGTTTCAATAGTGCGATCGAGTAGTGAGAGGTACGGACCATTGGTTCTGCACGTTTAGCATCACCGACTTTCAAATGTGGTGGCAACTGAATTCTAAAAATCGAACGTGAAGGCTAAAGGCGGAATGCTGATGTACGTAGAGGCATGTGCGCTTGGCATGGCGCTCAACCAACCCGATGTCCGAGTTGTATATAAACCTCGGAGACAAGATTGGTTGAAAAAGAAGGTATCTTTCTGATTAGCAGTAGCCATGTTTCAAGAATCGATCTCCGGAGCTGCAGCTGACGCTGTACCCATTCGTGGGTGCCGTCAGCGCCCTTTTCTATGTAATGATCAGCGGGGATACCGTCAACCCGCATGAAAGCTTCCGGAGAAATTACGAAAGCCTATTCAAGACCTATATCAGTCGAGCATGTCCATTTGAGTCGAGTTGGAGGTCGTGGGTGGAGTGATGATGAACAAAAGCCAAGAATGAAGCTCGTGGGGAAAGGGCCGAGGAAGCCCCATGCATGGCGCGAAAACGCGTACGACGCGCTTGCCAACAAATGTGACTTTACGACAACGATCAACTTCAACCCACGCTGCTAAACATCGGTCATCGGCCCATACAAACATGGCGGTCTCAATATTTCAGCGGAAGCGCGATTTTATCTACCTCGTCTTCTTCGTTGTGCACCTGCCCGTAATGCTAGGTAAGTACCGTGAAGGAATATTAAGGCTGGAAGCTCTGTCATACTGCAATAGCATAGCAAGGTTACATTAACGACGACCCGATCTTTTGAATCATTTTCTTTATCAGTTGTTCCGATGCTTCTGGATTTGATACATCACACCACCGCACACATAAATGGACTGACCAAGACTAACTCAACCACAGCATTCGACTTGACAGCCTACTACCCAATCCAAATCAAGCCTCTCTGGATGTCCTCACTACGCGACTGGTACATATCTACATACGGCGACCGCTTCTTCTACAACGCCCCAGCCTGGTTCCCCGTTCTGACCTTCCTTGAACTTGTCTACCACCTCCCTCTAACTCTATGGGCCATTCCTGCCTTGCTACGCAATGACCCACGCATCCCTCTCGCCCTGCTAGTATTTGGTCTAGAGACGAGCTTGACGACGTTGGTTTGCTTGGCGGAGATGCTGAGTTGGGAGGAGTTGACGACGGTGCAGAGGGGTGCGCAGGGGTTGGGCGGTATGTATGGAGGGTATCTGGCTGCGGGTAAGTGCTGTTCTTGATTGAGATCCCTCATGGAAGTTGTCGAAGGGAAATGTAAGCTAACACAATTAGGTATCTTTATGTCGCTGGATTGCTACGCAAGGCTTGATCAGATGATTGCAAAGCAACATCGAGGATTGGAGCCGGTTACGAAGAAGGAGTTGTAGTACTGTGATACACTTGCAGGAACGTCTAGAGATATGACGTTGACGGTGACCAGCTGTCACCGAATACAATCGGGGTTTTGAGACGTGTAGATGAGGCGAAGAGACGAAACATAACAGACAAGAACGGTCCTCTTTGACACAACCTCATCCACCAAAGACAAATTACACTGTGCATAGGACTAGACATGCAAAACTGCCTTTCTGTCATGTCTGCCATTCGGAAAGCACACTAGTCGTACACCTGAACGCCCAATTCTGATCTAATAATACAATAGCGTCGTTATACCCAAGCGCCACGTGCTCCACCGGCACTGGACGCACCCTTTTTGTAATACCGATCCTAAAGCGTGTGTCTACCGTAACGCCACACCCGATAACAGCCTCGTAACGTATACCCAACCCAATCGTTATCCCTGTAACCTTAACACGTATCGCAGCCTTAACGCCAGAACCGACAAAATCTAATAAGGAAAATAGCACAACTGTGCCAGCAAGCAAACGTGATTTTAACACCGAAATTATAGCAATCATACATGATGAAACGAGAAACGAGGGGGTAAGCCTTGTACGACTCGCCCGTTATCGTGGACACCGCTGATTGGAGGACATGGCCATTGCACACTACCATGAACATCATTTGACGAGGTCTGTCGGGATTCCTGAGCGACTCGACGATATTGGTGATATGCGGCGAGGGTGTACAGAATGCACAACGGACTGGTCGAGGCAGACGTTGTAGCACATAGCATATGCGCCTGGTTTCGGACCGCATATATCGGTAGGCTGCAGGTGTGTTTTCGTGGTATGCATCGATGTGGTACAGGGTCTTGATGTGTTCCTTCCAACAGGCCTGGACGTATCCACGGGCTCACATTGAGAATTGCCTGGGCTTTGTATGTCGACATGCGCAGAGGCGTTACCGTTGGAGAGTGGGGAAATGCAGCTTTTGGAATACAGAAAACACCGTTTTGGAGATATCAGGAAAATGGATGGAAAGCAAATATGACCCGAGAACACTGCTTTTTTTTTGTTAGTAGAATATCTTGACGATCTTTTCGTCGGCCTCCTCTTCGGCCAACATCCACAGCACGTTGGCCTTTTTGGCCGTCCCGCACCTCTCTTCAAAGTCTTCACCGAGCTTCATAACGCAGCTGAAAGCCAGACTCCAACCGTTGACACCCGCGGCGTAGAAAGTTTCCGCAACAGCAGCCTCTCGGCTACCACACTTGACAAGCTTGTAGATCTGGCGACCGTTGAAGTGTGCGCCGTGAATGAATGGATCAGCTGCTTGACAAGTGCTGAAGACTAGACAGTAGACAAGCGGTGTGCTTTCAAGTGCTTCTGACTTGGCTTCAGTGCATTGATGGCAAGTTCCAGCGTCATAGCCGTCATCAACAGGATGGTCTGCAACACACTCAAAGATGTCGTCGTCGGTCGGTGTCGTCATGGCAGCTGAAGCCCATACCTTTGGCGTCTCAAGACTCACTGGCCTGGCATTGTGTAGAGGGAGTAGTTCACCCGGTGCCCGTCGGTTCGCCTCGAGCGTCTTGACACTCCTGAGAAGTGCCCTTGTAGGCTTCTCATACCAAATCTCAGAGCTTCCGTACTTGAGCAACCACTCGTACTCCTTGTAGTCTGCCGCACTAGCCGGATGAAGTGTCATCAAGACGTTGCGTCTGAAGGGTCCGATTCGGAGTACGCGGCTGGCGAAGTCGGAGATGGACTCGTTGGAGTACTGCACTTGGATGAACTGATTCGGGGTATGCACTTCTTCTCCTGCATTGTATGGGTTCATGGTCAATGCGGGCGGAACACCGGGTGGAGGGGGCGGGGGCTGGTATTGATCAGCAATGCATTGATCAGATCGCGTCCTGAACGTACTGGGGGAGGAAGTGCTGAGGTCATCATCGGAGCGTTCATGAAGTCGGATAAGCCTGGTGGTGGTGGAGGCTGCTATTGTCAGCTTACGGTCATGCTAGAATAGGTATTTGGTATATCGCGTACAGGAGGTGGAGGAGGAGGCGGCTAAACGACACAGTCAGGTCATGCTTTCATTCTCTATCGTAGTACCAAACTTACTGGGTGAGGTACCTGAGAATCATATCTTCCAGGGCCAAAGTGACATTCCATCGGCGGTGGTGGTGGGGGTGGTGGTGGAAATGGAGCAGCTTGTCCTGCAGTAGACACTCCCAGACTGCTTCCCTCATGCTCCGTCATATCTTCACTGTTTGAATTCGAGCTGAGAGACAAATCAGAGCCTTGACGTTGCCGTGATGCCCCACTCTCAGTCACCCGCTCTTTCGTGTCCTCCTCTATTGGCATAGATGGAAGGCTGCGTTCGAAAAACCCTTGTTCGATTGGAGAGGAAGTCATTCTTTCGACAGAACGAGCGTTCTGTTGATATGGTTTGAGGTTTGCTTGTTTGCTGTCTGGTCTAGGTCCCGGAAGCGGTCGGGATGACGAAAGAATGGGCATGGAGGGCGGGTGCTCGACGAAGACCATCTCATCCGATTCCATCTCGTGAAGATATGATTTTTGGACAGAAATTGATGGTTAAGTTGAATGAGATAATCGTCCCGATGTTTATCAAGAGGGCTGTTACACGTTATAAGTCGAAGGCGTACAAGAATGATATAGCCCGCTGAATCACTAGACTAGACGATCCAAAGTATGGGAGGCTATCTGCAAGTGAATTGCGCGAGCCAGCGCAGACGAAGCCGTGATCAAATAACTTCTCGAGCCCTGTAGGGAAACAAGGCATATGGATTATAGCATGCCAGACTCTTTGTGCCACCAATTGTTTACCGAAGGTCAAGTCGACCGCAAGGATGTTAGCGGAAGTATGGGCCATTGAATGAGCTCACACACTCTTAGGTCCCAGAGGTGTGGTGCAGATCACCTTGTCAATACAGGGTAGTACTGCTTTTGTCCACGTAGCACTGCAGGGTGCGTGGCGGAAGGACTGTGCCCACAAGTCTGAAATGGTTTATCTCCCTGATTTGATTGCCTCAAAAATAAGACAATCGTGCTTTGTACCATCTTCAGGCAGCCTGTAACAGGTTACGTTGCACAGGATAGTTCCATTCGGTAATTCCGTTTGTTGCTTCACTTTGTGGGGAAGGCTGCGGTAGCATGTCTCGAGTCCATGCTGCTACGCGTCGATTCCACAAGAGCGAACTAAAGTCCGCTAGCGGAGCTGCAGCTAGCTTGTAAGTACATACGGAGGTCCTACCTATGATTCGAGGCCGTCGGCGCTTGGACGATATCCTGATGATGCCGGTTAAGTTGTACATCTCGAGTCAGCCCGTTCCTCTGCCGCTGGATCCTTCAATACTACGAGCTTGCATGCATTCCACTGAGACCATGTGATCAAGACTTGGATTTTCATCTCTTGAAATAACTGATAACAACCAGGAAACCCTTCATCAAGTAGGCGGTGAAGAGGCTAAAAGTTCAACCATATTCTGATGGAATGCGTAAGCGGTCTGCTAGCGATAAGCCAAGTGAACTCGAGCATATTTTACGCTTAGGAGTTCAGCCATGCATGTTAGTACCCCCTGAGGTACGATGCCGACAACCACTGCATAATGAGTCGGCTAGAGACGGGGGTGCCGGACATGGTTGGTGCGGATCCGGGTTCCCCTCGTTCTAACCGTTCCGACAGTCCGATTCTTGATCCCGGACGAGAAACGCAAAGATCTCGATGATAAGAAGTGTGGGTGAACTTTATCGTTGAACCATAGATACAAGAACGAACCGAGCCGTCTTGTCTGTGGATGGTATGCGGGAACAACAGCCATATGCAGTGCTCATGTAGGCGAATCGCGTGTCACACCGCATCCTCATTCCTCTGTGCCAATAAGCAGCCTTTGCGCCGAGTAACTCTGAGATTTTGAGTGATGAAACTCGACAGGAAGCTGCTCAGGAACCTAGTGTACATAGTCCCGAGGATTCGTAGTACTCGGCCTCAAACGTAATTATGGGGGCTGGGTGTATGCAAGGTACACCATTGCCGAGACGAGGCTGAGCATAGTAGAAGCTCATTGGAGAGGAAGCTATCGTGTTCGACTGGTATGGTATCGACAAGGCTCATCGACGATCAACGATAGACCTTGGACAGAATTGCGAAGCAACTGCCTGAAGTGTCCTTCGTGGCCCTACTTGCTACTTTCATCGGTGCCGCAGATTTGTGACCCCAAACAGCATAGTCAAATGGATGCTCAACGAAGCGGAGCAGGATCGATTTGAAAGACCCTGTTCATCAATTCTGAATGACGGAACAAAGTTGAACGGAAAGCTGTTTGAGAACGATGCCATGGATGGGAGAGTCAAGGAAAGCCCTCGTAGGCTAGTGGTCAGCTTGACGGGCTTGGTGCCACAGGACGCTTAAGGAGACCTCGGGATCAAGAGACCGCAGCGGCTTACGAAAACTATTCAGAAGCTGTCCAAACGAAGAATGAAGCTTGAAAAGACGGAAATGGAGAGCAAGTGAGGCAGGCGTATGCAAGCCCTGTGAAGATTTTCATGCATGTGATTGCCTGGGTAAGAACAAGCGACGGCGGCAAGAGAGACTTGGAAACGCGCGTAGGAGTGCTCTTATGATAGGAGACCGATATAGCAAGAAGCAAGTGATGTGAGAAAAGCCCAGAAACACATGAGGTTCAAATAAAGATTGCAGGACTTCGGAGCCTACTCCAGGCCCTAGTATCTAGGTAGCCATGTGGGTTCACACGTGACACCATCACGACGCGCCTGGTGCCAAGCCCTGGAACAACGATCCGCAGCGTCATCGCAAGCTCGCAACTCGCGACACCACGGCGAAACCATCTCCACATCACAACACCCGCTTCCTCTGCACGCCCCACACCATCCTCGAAGCTCGAACAGAACCCGATCGTCGTATCGCCAGAAGCAAACCCCCGAACACCATCCCCCCAGCGCGTCACCTCCCAATCCACGACCTACAATGGCGAACGGGTTAGTTCCGCGCAACGAAGCTCTCCAGTATGCCAGCCACTAACATAGCCACAGCTGGGCACCAATCATCGGTCTCATCGTCACCGTCGTCTTTTGCGGTGCCGCCTGGTTCCTAGCTCCCAAAGGCGAGAACCAAACGTACGTTTCCACCATCTCTTCGTCCAAGTCACCACCCAAGTCACCACCCGCACCCCCAAAGCCGTGCCTACGCGACGAGAATGAGAACTCGCGAGAAAAGCTGCTGGCTGTGTGTAAGAAGCGCGGCGCAGGCGATGGGAGACGAGTCCGTTTCAGCAGTGAGAATGAGACGAGCAAGGATATCAACGACAGCGAGCTAAAACGAGCATTTTGAGGTGCAAGGAGCACGAGAGACACCTTGGGCTAACTCAATCGGACAGGGTCTGGCGATCTACGCTCGTTCTCTCTGCCGCAGCCATGTATATCATGTGGGCGATTACTTTCCTCGCACAACTCCACCCTCTTATCTCGCCTGTACGAAACGATTTGCGACCGGAATACAATGGAGGGCGCTAGGAAAGCAAGCCTGTGGATGCTAGGCGCGAGCGGCTTAAGCATATGCACGTTGTGAGAATGATGGCTTGGGGCGGTCTGGACGAGGCCATAATTGGAATGCAGCAGGGGGGCATATGCTGAAGAGATGCATCATGCTGGAGCAGCTGTGTTTTGTCTAGCAAGCCGCGTCTGGAGCCATTGGTGAAGGACAACCAAAGCAGTGCATAACTGAACAATTGAGCGCATGTGTATAGTTGGTTTTTGGGCGTACTACGGAGTCTTTCTCGATTTGTACAAATATCAAATGGGGTATCATTGCTTTACATTCAAAAACGCCCACTCCCAATCTTCTCGTGCTCCATAAATCAAGAAACACTAATAAACCTACTTACCCACTCCCAAACACCCCCCAAGACAGTCCACTCCCTCCAATACCCCTCCCACCCCGTCCCCAACCCCGCCGCCCTCAGAATCCCCCATCCAACAGCCGTCCTCAGCCCCGCCCCAATCCCCACCAGCACGCCCGCCCTGACATACCCACAATCCATGAGTATCTCCAGCGCCGCAATATTATTCACGATAACCGCCCAACTCACCGCCGTCGCCGAGCTGGGTAAATCGTAGTCCCAGATAATAAGCAGGATAGGAAATAGCTTCGTGCAGCTGCTCACCAACAGCGCAGTCGACAACGGCGTCGGCGAAGCGAAAGTAGGGATACATCTCCGCCAGACGCGGCGTAAGGTCGAGCTGGGGAGGCGGCCCGCGTCGAAAGCGCAGAGGAGGCGGATGGGGAGGTGGAAGGCCAGTGTGCAGAGGGTGACGAGGCAGAGGAAGAATAGGTATTGTAGGCCTAGCGGGTGTGCTTGGAGGACTACGGCGTTCGTGATGCCGTCGTGGGGTGCGACGAGGGGGCTCGTGGATGTCGTATTCAGTGCGGGTGAGGAGGGGGAGTAGGGTGTTGGGTGGTACGGCGATGTAGGTGGGAGGGGTAGTTTTTCGATTCGCGCCCAGGTTAGGTAGACGTCGAAGAGGAGGAGAAGGATGCCTAGACGGAGTATTGATCGCTGTCCTCACATTAGTCAAACCACATCTTCCTTTAATACCTCCACTCCATCCATGCCATACAGCAGGATGAATAGGAATACGTACATCAAACCCCAACCGTCCCTCATGCTTCCCCAACCGATTAAACAGCAAATGCCGGTACACCTCCGCTTTGATCAACACGAGGTCGATGAACAGAACTACGAAATCATGTTCCACGTATTTGTCTGCGAATTTCTTGCACACGGGGCATTGGGTTAGGCGGACGCCTTTTCCGAGGGCGCGGTCGTCGGCTTTGGAGTAGGTTGTGTAGAGCGTGCGCACGGGGGTGCGGCATGATATGCAGATTGGCATTGTGTGGAGGGTGATGGGATGGAGGGTTACATGGCGTGATAACGCAGACGAAAGTGTTCGTTTGTTGCGACGAGGGTGTGAGATGTGGGGGTTTCGAGTGCGCGTTGGAGTGTTGGAGAAGCTGCGCAGTGACGATGTTTGGGAGAGCTTTCGGCGCGGTGTTAAGCTGGGAACATTTCACTAAAGTCCGAACAAATTCCCAGTTCGCAAACCACCGTTATCAAAAATCTTACAAAGACCATCAGATATCCTTCCATTATAATACTTCATTCAAGAATACGCTAGCCTTGATTATGCTCCGCCTTCGTCTTATGTCCTACAAGATGGGTTCAAATGCTTTTACGCCAGTCACCATCCCAATACTCATGCAACCTATTCAACGCCTCGCGCTGCAAGAATGCTAACGAAGTGAGAGAAAACAACCCAAAATACACAATCATCGCTTTCTGTATATCTTCACAAAGCTTGATCCCTGGCTCCTTCTACTCCTGCCTCAGGCGATTACTTCTCAACGCGCAGCTTCCTCGAGGACAGCACTGAGATCCCGAGCGCGTTGGATCCACGCCTGGTCGTCCATGTCGCGCCCCAAGACGTCGCTGCTTAAGATGATGCGCATCACTTCCGCTAGACCGATGGCGTTCTCGGGGCCGCCGAATAGTGCGCCGGTTCGTCTGCTTACTGCACCCCATTGCTCCACAAGGTAGATAATCCACTTAACGAGCAGCTTGCGGTTTCGGCCAGCAAAAGGCTGTTCTTGCGCATACCAAAGCGCTTCCAGTGTGGCAACCAGGCTTTCGAACGGCGCGTTAAGTTTGAGGAAAACGTCGATGGGCCATGTAAGATTGCTGTTGAGTGCGAGGTTCTGCGCATTCGGCGCATTAGCATCGTGTACGTAGAACTCGAGGTCGTACTGGAGGAGAAGTTGTAGGACAATATTGACGGGGAAGACATTGTCGTTGAGGTTGGTTCGGTGACCAAGGTCCTCGACCTTCAACGCGACAATTTCCCAAGGCGCGCCCTGTCGGTCGGCGAGAGCGTTTCGATGAGTTTGGTCGATGAGGTTAGTCCATGTCGACCGAATGTCTGGCACACTGCGGTAGTCGGCGGCGTGATATATCAGTAGACAGATATCGTAGTATGCCGCTTGGTCAGCGTAGTCATGGTAGAGCTAGAGTATCGTTAGTCAAGTCGTCCCTAATGAACTTCCACATGAACTTACTTCGTCAAGCGGATGGATCTGGCCGTTGAGGTGGTCAATGACATCCTCTCTCCGCTTACCGGAAAGACGCTCATCGCCCTTGATCCTCTGCAGCACATCGTCTTGAATGTTGGCAATGTCTAAGTGGTCAGTGATGTTTCGTAGGAGCTCCTGTCTTGACTGCCTGTTGCGAACTCCGTTCTCTGCGAAACCGTTCATCCGCGTAGAAGCATTTGCCTTTGCGCGCGACAAGTATTCGATCCTCTTTTCCAGCGTCAAGGGTAGAGTGCTCTTGGCGAGTTGGTACTGAGTCTCAGCAGCGCTGAGGTAGTCATTGTAGTGGGCGTAGTAGCGCCACAACAGGTCTGCGTGCGCCAGGTTCGTCTCAGAGCTTTGTCGTAGGTAATCGACAACGAAAGGAGAGTTGATCTCGAGCAATCGCTCAGCCCAGCCGTTTTGCATGTACCAGTCGTACAAGTAGTTTTGGAAGACCTCGTCGTCTGAGTTGTTGATTTGCTCATACGCTTCATGCTTGCGACGGGTGACCGGGGAAATGACACCGTCAGGCACCGGGCCCTGGGTATTGTAGGCCTGGTCCACGGCTTCGATGACGTTGCAGATCAATGTGTAGCAAGAAGCACGCTTGTCGAAGTATTCTCGACGCGCATCATTCGGATCGACGTTATGGTCGCTCTTGTCTCGTACCCAAGACAGAGCTTTGTTACCCCGATCCCACTCTTGCGCGACCTTCAAAGCAAGTCTAATAGCACCTAAGTAGCATGTTAGTGGTGCCCAAGAATGGAGTGTCAAGTAAACTTACCCGCATAGAACTCGAGTTGTATGTACTGATTGACTGTAGCAGCCAGGTTCTCGTAACTCAGACTCTTCGCCACTTGCTCGAACAATCTCAGACTGTCATTGAGCAGGATGCGCCCACGTTCGGCATTCGCACCAGAATCGGCAGCCTTCTTCAGACTCTCCTGTGCCTTGAAGATGACGACGTCGTCTGAGCTGCAGAAGCTGCCACACTTTCTCCGCAGTGCTTCAGCAACAGATTCGACGTTAGAACCCTTGGCGATGTTACGGTTCACTATAGCCTTGACCAACTCTCTTGCAAGCTCTTTGCCTTCTTTGACAGAGAAGAGACCTTGGAAGGTGAGTTGACGCACTCGCCCCTGTAATTGAGGATCCGGCAGAAGGACCAAGATGTCTTCTACGCGCTCCTCGAAGAGCACCAGAACGAAAGATATGCCTTCAACAATGTTGTTGATCATCTGCAACAAGCTAGTAAGCGCTCTGTTCTCGCCCTGAAGCTCAACCTCTTCTTGTCGCGACGATGCGCGTCCAAGCGCCTCTGGACCGGCCAGACCTTCAATGAAGGATCTGTTTGACTCAAGGAACTCCTGAAGTTGAGCCAACGAGCGTTGCACTTCCTGCAACTTGGTGATCGGATGTGTCGATGTGAGAACAGGCCCGGTGGGAGTGACAGCCTCCGTGATGATTGGCGTGTTCCAGATTGAACGGATAATGCGTGACACGTACATGGCGATACCATCGTGTCTTGGTGAAGCGCGGACATTCTCTACACTCAAGCCTTCGACGGTTGCGCTCTCTGTCAAATGTGCTTTGCCGCCAAATTCGATGAACACTCTGCGAGCGAAGTCAATGACCTCAGGATCAGTGACCTTTGCAATCCGTGAATCGGGTCCCACATCCGAGCCTTGACCGCACGCAACCGCCAGAGCGGTAGCAGAAGTCTCAGCCAGACCGTACTGCTTCGCCAGCTTGCGGATGTCGCCTTCAGCACCCTCGTGACCTCCATTCTTCACAATAGAAGCGAAGATATCCACAAGCCTCCTTCGTCGAACCGTTTCGATACCAGCTGATGTGATGATGGCGTATTCACTTAAGGGCTTGTCAAATTGGGTCGAGAGCTCATTGCCAAAGCCGAGAGGTTCGTTCCTTGCTGAGAAGGGCTCTGACACCAGACCAATATCCTGCACTCTGCCCATAAGTTCTGTGAACACACCGGTTTCGGTGTATCGCGGGGGCTCTGAGCTTTCGCGCTGGCCCAGCAATCCAGAGTGTGGAGCTGAGACGAACATGTGGTGGTTTTGGTCGTTTGGCGCTAGAAGGACGAAAGAGAAGAAGGCGCCGGGCGCGTAACGGGTTGCGACAGTTGTCTCTCTGAGGTATCTCGACTCGAATCCAACCGCTGTACCACCCTGGTATGGCTGTACCTGAGTCGAATTGCTCTGCTGGGAGGGCTGACCGTCGTTGGGCGGGAAGCGAATGTGTCGTAGTTGCATACTGTTAGGAGCGCTTGTGCTATTCGAATTCCATTGTCCTCCAGACGTTGTGCTCAAATATAGCCTACAGCCAGAGGATGTGATGGCCATCAGAGACAAGTTGTCCGCTTCCGTGCTTGAGATGGGGGTTAGGCCAATAATCTGCATCTTGTCCAGGACACCAGTAGGCCGAACAATGTGCCCACACATTGTCTCGATTTGTGTTCGTGTCCGGGTGAGGGAGCTCTCCAAGACATTGGGCGCGCGCATATAGTAGACCTTGATGGTGCCGTTGGTAGAAAGCGTGTATAGAACGTTCCGGGTGTCATCGATGACCATCTGCTGAATGCCGGCCTGTCGCGTAGGCCCGTAGAATGGTAGCGTGGGTAAACCGATAGAGGTTGTGACGTGGTTCGTCTTGCTGCACTTGCTGGAAAACCACTTGTCCTCCTGCTGGTAGTTCAGCTCGTATACGTCCTCGGTCTGGCCGTCGCCGAAGAAGATGCGCCCCGTTGTTGACGAGCCGGCAATCGCAGTCACGTTGATCTTCCTGACCGAGGTCGACAGTCCCGTCCGATACATTGTGATGCCATGCACGCCCTCGGGTCCTCGCTGGCACTCGACCGCTATCAGGAAGATGTCAGATACGGTTGCGACGACAAGGAGGTATTCGATGGTGCCAACAAAGACACCGGGACGCGGTTTGACGAGCTTGACGCATGTGATGTTGCTGGGTTGCTCTTCGAAACCGACAAGTTCGGGGTTCGGATGTGTGTAGTCCCATAGATAGACCTGGTTGTCGACGACGACCCAGGCGTGGTTGATTTCGGCGAACAGGCCCATGCTCGTTGACATTTGCGTGTGGTCCACCTGCTCAAAGACGGCTTCTGGGAGTTTGTAGGACCGCAGTTTCTGGAAGGGCGCCCAGGCTGGGCTGTTAGGGATCTCGTACTCGCCAGAAATACCCTCTACACGACCTTGTTAGCATCTCACCCAGCTTCTACCGCTATACCTGACTGCTTACGTCCAATGTACGCCTCTAGCGCGGGAAACCTATTGTCTCGGTCCAGCATGCTGTTTATGGTCCGCGATGCGCGATCGATGGGGCTCTCAGCCGGCGGTGCAGGCAGCGCTTGCTGTTGCTGCGGCTGTGGTTGCGACATGGAGCCTGTTCGTGTGAAGCCCGGCCGGTTGGGCGCGGGCGTGTTGACGAAGGCGCCGGGGGTGGGGCGCTGCGGAGTCGCGGGCGCCATCTGGAAGGCCATGATGGATTCCGTGTAGAGACGAAGGGATGCGCTGGTCGTGGCCCGGGTGAGAGCGAGCTTCAGATGGAGGTTGGGGGAACGCGCCGGTGAGATGGCGTGCACATGAGCTGCGCGCGGATGCGTCAATAACAAGAGATTAAGAAAAGCGCGCCGGGAGAAAGATCAAAAAGGTGCTCTGGCGCAATTGCGACGCTGAGGCTCAGGTACAAGCTGCAAAAGTGACGGCGGTCCACAACAAAAGAGATGCTTGGCGCGCAGGGATACTAGCTGTTCGCGTCTGAGCGCGTTAGCAGCCAAACTTTTGTGCTTTCGACTTTGAATGTTTGATTGACGACGTTTCATTGCTCAACACATTCGCGCTCCAGCACCTCACATACACTCTCTGTGATCGCTCTTTCTGGTTGTGACCGCTCCTGCCTCACACAACTCCCACACTACAACGCAACAACACTCGTCACCCACCATGTCATTATTTCGCACCGCAATGCTGCAAAGGCAGCTCTTCACTCCCGCCCGGTCTCTATGCGTCCGCTACTCGTCTTCTTCTGCGTCGGAAAATGTTGTACTTCCTCGCCTGCAATCCGACCTCAAGACAGCCATGCGCGCAAAGAACAAGCCTGCACTAAACACAATCCGTGCCCTGCAAGCCGAAATCATAAACGCATCAAAGACTGCCAAGCCAATCGAAACCGATGGAGCCCTCTACTCCCTCGTTCAAAAGCAGATCAAAGCCTCTTCGGCCTCAATTGAAGAGTTCCGAAATGCTAAGAGGGAGGACCTGGTCGAGAAAGAGCAGGCGCACTTGGATGTGTTGAAAGGCTATGCACAGGAGATACCGCTAGTGGAGAACAGTGAGGTCGACGCGTTAATCAAAAGCGTGATCGAAGGGCTGGAAGAGGGCAAGAGGAGTTTTGGCAGCGTCATGGGTAAAGTCATGGGTGGTCTCAAGGGACGGCCATTTGATCTAGAGTATGTTACCAAAAAGATTCAAGAAGCCGTTGGGGCTAAATGAGCGACACAATGCATTGAGTGGGCTTGGACGAATTGTAGGATGACTGTACATATATCATGTAGACTACGGACTCCTCTCTAAACGAGGTAACGAAAGAGACGGCCAGATTACGATACCGAAGAACATGCATCGATTATTGCTTTTCCGTGGGGTTAGCAGATCCGTCATCATGGACGGTACACATGTTACTTTGCGGGGTATCGCTACCACCCGGTCTGTAAGCCTCTAGAACGTGGCAGCGGTGACAACCCAACATCAAAGAATTTCGCCGAAAGCGTGGGAACTTCTGTTCACTCCGACGCCCAACCTGCAGCGTTGCAACGCAGTGGGCATCCGTGGCTGAGGCAGCACTAGGCGGTTAACTGCGCCGCGGTCCGCTTCCAAGCTCGAGCCCTGACGTCACCGCCTGCCAATGCTTTTCGATTTGCGGCCATGCAACCCATCCAATACGGCCGGCGACCAGGAACTCACGGTAAGGATAGCCTGGCGTACTCACAGTCTTTGGGCAACAAGACCAAGTATTTCCTCTCCCGATCATGGCGAAGAAGATGTCGAGATCTCACATGACAGCGGAAAATGCCCAACATCTGCCCGAATCCACATTGATTCACATGAAACTGAACCATGGGGAACTCCGCGACAAATGAGAAACCATGTAACACCAGGGGTGCGTCCCTCCAGTCATGGCGCCGGTTAGCGCCCAGTCCAGATGCAGCCCTGGCATGATGCGCGAGCGCCGATGACGAAGCCCGTCGCGAATCCTGCATCTAAAGTTGGTCGCACCCACCCACCACCAAATCTTCGGCAGGCTTTGGATCCAAGACACTTATATTCTCGTGTGTCCGCTTGTTGCGCCGCCGTCAATCTGTCGCAATCCCGTTGCCGTGCCTTCTAGCGCACACTTTATTCTCTTGTGACATCTTCCGACACATAACCGGCAGCCCCGCACCATACCTACTCCTACATCACCACCCATCGACGAGCTGCACCTCACCACCCAATATGTCGGCGTACCGCTCCTCAACGGGCAATCTGGACCGTTTTGAAGAGCCGCCTCGTGGCGGTCCCGAGCGATGGGATCGCGACAGGTTTGAGCGCATGCGAAGGGGACCTCCTCCTCCGCCACCACCGGGCGGAAGTGTGGCTGGCGGTAGTAGCCGTGGTGGTCGTGACGATTATGATCACTACCGCTTCCAAGAGCACGATCGCTTCCCCGGCGGCCATCGCGACATCGATTTCCATGAAGACCGCGCACGCCGAGGCCCCGCTGTCATGGAGAGAGAACGCTACCACGAAGAAGATCGTTTCGACCGCCCTCATCGCCGCGCTCCCTCTGAGCTATTCCACGAGCCGACTCCCTCTGAGATTGCCAACCAAGCACTTGCCCCCTACCGCCGCAGGTCCGTCATCGACAAGGATATCAACATTGATATCGACATCAATGAGCGCCGGCCAGCCCCTCGCCCGCCCAGGCCGTCACGGCCGCAGTTCATGCGCCGTCAATCATCTCTCGATACTTTTGACCGCAAACCTCTGCCCCGCTATGGCGATGTAGAGAGGTACGAGAGGTATGAAGACCACGAGTGGCGTCCTCCAGCCAATGTTCCCATTCCACTTCCTATCCGCGAGCGTCGCCGATCACCACCTCGTCGTTTCCACGAGGAAGATGATTTCGAAGAGATCCGATACGACGATCGTGGCGGAAGGGGCCGGGAACGAGAAGACTACCGCGAAGTTGAAGTTCACCGCGAGAAGAGCCGAGTCCGAAGGAGCAAGAGCGTAGCAGCCAAGTCGACACGCAGCTCTTCTATCTCCAGCTTTGAAGAAATCCAGCCGTCCCGAGCCACCTGGGGCAAGAAGGGCAAGACGAGACTCCCCAAACGCCTGGTCAAGAAGCAAGCCGTTATCGACTTGGGCTACCCATTCGAGGAAGAGGTATGCCACTCGCACGCATTATTGGAATGCCACTAATCATAACAGGACGACTTCATCATCGTTACCCGAGCACTCGAGAAAGAGCACATCGACGAGGTCATTAAGATCAGCGAGAGCTACAAAGAGGGTACGTATCCGACGATGTCCTTGCAACCTTTTCTAACCGTGAGCAGAGAAAATCACATACGTCTACGAGGAGAAGACGGAGGAAGCCCCACCGCCACCACCTTCAGTTGCACCGCCAGCATCAGTCGCACCTCCCCCACCACCCCCTCAAGAATTCCAACCTCCGCCGCCATCCGTAGTCCACGCACCCCCTCCACCCCCACAATCAGTATACCAACAACCCCCACCCCAAGTGGTATACGCTCCGTCGCACCACACGCCCACTGTCTACGCCCCCTCTGAGCGCGCTCCCTCCCCCTCCATCCACGAACACGAGCGCTACGTAGAAATCGACCGCTCAGCCGCCATCCACGGCCCGGCCACCGCCTTCCTCCCCGAAGGCCGACAGCTCGTACGCCGTGACGACAGGCGCTCCGAGCGTGAAATCCGCGACGAAATCCGCTTCCTCGAGGAGGAGCGCCGCATGCTCAAGTACGAGCGCGAGGGCGACCGCGAGTATGAATTCGTTGAGCGTACGCCCCGCAAGGAGGTTATGCGCGTTGACAGAGACCGGAAGGGTAGGTTAGCCCTTGTTCGCTCGGCCCATTAGACACTTTGAACGGCTCGTTGATTCTTCTGGTAGTTCTGGTTCGAAAGGATAAACCGAATCCTAAGATTGTGGCGTTGGCTATGGGGGCGCTTTCTTAAGCCTGGGATTTCAAGATTTTGGAGTGGAAAAGGTGGCAGGGCATCTGGATGCTTCTGCTTGGAAGTGGGAAGTGGGTGTCGATGGGGCTATTGGAGCAGCATTTTCTTCTTCATGTTCTTTGATGATTTTACGGCCGGTTATTTGGATTCTTCTTCTTCTTCTTCTTCTTCTTTTCTCACGCTCTATTGCACATGGGTACTATTTTGGCTTTGAAAGGCGCGGATATACAGGCAAATGTCATCATGCTACGAGTTATGTATGATAACGAATGATTATGATCACAACGTATTTTTTGCATATGTCCAGTCTATATACACCGTGCTTTTGTTGAGCCTCAACTGTAAGCCTCTATGTCCAGGAACTCCTCATCTAGCATATACTACACATCAGCAACTCTCAAAAGCCTTGCTCTGGTACGTTGTCCCACTGCAGATAGATCCCAGAGGTGCCACATAGCCTCACTCCGAATCCCTCACAACACGTGAGGATCTACCTCCACAATAGGCCCAGTATACGACTTCTTCGCAAACAACAAATAGTACGCTATACTAAACGCCGCCACCGACCCCGTCACCACACCCGCCCAATTCATATGCACAAGATCAGGTCTGGGCTGACTAGGCCAGAAGCTAAAGAAGATGATAAGAGTAAGATAGCAGATGGCAACAACATTATTCGCAATGCCCCACGCGCCCTTGAGACGCCACGGGCCCCAGGTCAGACTGCGATCGTACGCTTCGTCCACTTGCGCTTCGTTGAAGATGTGAAGCGAAGAGTCCGGGTTGTCGAGGTCACCGCGGACGCGGCGCCAGAGGAGGAGACCGATGGCGAGGAGGTAGGAGAGGTAGAAACCTTCTAGGACGAGGGAGATTGTGCCGTTGAAGGCGGCGCTGTTGCCGATGTTGATGAGGGCGAGGAGGGCGGCGAAGACGGTTACGACGAGGATGGACACGACGGGAATGGTGCTGCGTTTGTCGATCTGTGGGGATGTGTTAGTGGATGCATCCAGGTAGTGTGTGGATAGAAAGGTGTACTTACCATACTGAGAGCGCGAGAAAAAGGGAGACCGCGGTCTCGGGCAAAGGACCACGTCATACGAGACGCAGCTGCAAGGCATCCCATAGCACTGCAGAATTCGAGTAGGACGATGATTGCGACCATGACTGTAGCACCGGCCTCGGAACCAACGGCATTCTTAAAGATGCGGAGGAAGGGTGCGGTTGTCGCTTCTTGGTCGTTAAGTAAGCCTGTGATATCATGGGCGCTGAAGAGAACGGCGAATAGCATTCCTAGTGCCAATGTGCCGTTGATGACGAGACTGAGAAGCATTGAACGTGGAACGTCGGTGCTGGCGTTTTTGACCTCTTCAGACATCTACTCTATCAGCAGGGGAAGACATATTTGGAGTGTTGGGCTTACATGAACGACTGAGTCTGTTCCGACAAATGCCAAAGCATTGCCTTGTAGTCCTACAAAGAAGGCCAGAGTCTGCGTGCTCCATTCTCCTTCATTATGAAACATTGTGAAGATCTTCTTGGCCGAATTGTGGCTCGGTGGAAGGTATACCAAAGGCACCAGAATGCCGAAGAAGCCAAGGATATGAGCAATGAGGACGACAACTTCGATCGTGGGAAGCGCTCCGCTTATAAAGACGTTGATGAAGACACACAAGAGCAGTATACCCCAGAGGAGAAGTGTGCCGTGCCAACCTTCGCGGACATATGTGTTGTTGAGATCGTTCAGACTGACAAGCTGCAGGATCAAATCGGCTACAAAGTAACATACGGAGGTAAGAGCTGCTATCCAGCCGATGACAGTGAGCCAACCTAGATTATTCAATATGATTATAATGGCTCTGAGAGTAGATGAACATACCGGTAACGTAACTAAAGAACTTCCTGTTTGATCGTGGCGCCAGTAAAGAGACCCAGTGATACTGGCCACCAGCAGACGGGACGGCGCTTGCAAGTTCACCGATGCAGACGAAGACGGAGAAGTTGCCCAGCCATATCAGTATAAAGCCGTAGATGAGACCGGCAGGCCCACCGCTGTAATCACATCGTCAGTTGCTGCTGACTTCCTCTACAGATCGAGTACTTACTTGAGGAAGCCTATCGAAAAGATACTGCCATGACGTCAGCGAAGTGATCTCTGTCACTCACGTCCACTTACACAAGTAAAGTCTCCCAAGTACACATCAGCCCACAAGAGAGACCTGTCATCGACACCAGTCCGAAGCGGCGCTACCATGATCAGCCTGGACAGGCATGATGTCAATACAGAGCATACCTTCAACACCTGCTTCTTTCCCACTTTCGCCAGTTCATATCTGTCGTGATCGAACTGTTGGCCTCTCCCTTCCGAAATGGAGCCCCGGCCCCTCGGCTGCAGAAGTTCATGGTTAAACCTCTGCAGTTCGATATGCTTCTCCATGATAGGATTCGTTCCAGCTATTCAATCCGCAGCGTGTTGAGCAACGAGACGGCTACGACCACAGTAGGTAGCAACAGATGTCGAGCAAGCAGGCAGACCAGGAAAGGAAAGAAGATACCTAGAAAGTGTGTCGTGATACAGGACGCATACAATGCAAGTAAATCTTGACGTATATCTCTTCCACAGGTAACGTGCGCCATGTGCAAATGTCCACGGGTGGATGCGGTAGCACGGTGATCACCGGCAAAGGACGGTGGTGGAGGAGCACTAGGAGGCGGTCGCTCGGCAATGCAACTAAGCGTCCGAGTGAAAGACACCAAGCCAACGTTTCTCACAGCAAAGGCAGTTGAAGGCTCTCTGCACTGACGGCGGCAGCTCGCAAGTCGACGTATCGCACTGCAGTCGTAGTTTCAGAGAGTACCCCACAGTAAACCGGGCGTTGATTGGTGCTTGGGCTGCTGGGTTGCACCATTGGGGTGCCTAATCTGCGCAAAGCGGTGACATGCATAGCTGCACACCCCTTGTTCGCATTTCTCCAGGATGGCCGAGGCGAAATTAAACATTCCCTGGTCTCCGTGTGTTTGTCAAACGGCATGGTCGATGCTGGAACGGACAAATGCGTGTCTGCACCGGGGCGTCGTGCTTTGCATATGCCCAAGAAAGAGGCGTTCGTAGTTTCCGAACTTAGTAGAAAACAATGTTGGCTTTCAGTTGCGAAAAGGGGTTCAGAGCGTCATTCGTCAGTGCATGTCACTCAGCGTGCAACGATGGGCCACGGTAGTCTCCCATCGGCATGCGGATCGAGGGTAGAGCATGCGGCAAAGGGTCACAACAACGGCTGTCATACCGTTGTAGTCGAAGGTAAAGACCTCCCCGCAGATTCTCCGTGACACAAATTGGACGATGAGCGGCGCGGTGGTTGGAGAATGAGGCAAGACGGAGGGTGGCTCCGGGGTTCATTCCACGTTGTGTGACGCTAGTTAGTCATCGCCCATGTGGGAAGCCCCTTCCTTTCTCCGTGCACACAGTTTCGATGGCTATCATGACGCGTCGCGATATCTTTTCCAGCGTTTGAGACGACTCGCGTGTTAGTCTTGCGCCGAGTAGATGCTGTGCGAGCAGAATATGGGTTACCAATATCCATTCAGGGCGATCTGAATGCGGCGCCCAGTCAACTTGTCTCTTGCAAAAAGTCCACTGCCATCATCTGCATGCTTCAACGTGACTCTCAGACATCGCACTGCTATCGGGAACCTGCGCAGGTGCAGCCCAGGCGTGTTGCATCTCGATCTACTCTTGAAAGCTGACATATGCAGCCACTGGCATGCCGCATCACATCTTCTAGTAGAAACCCATTTGCGGCATGCTACGGGGCACGAAAAGCCCCAAACCGTGCACGACTTCTTGTTGACTGGGGTAAGCGTAGGGCTAGGTCTAATGATGGGCTTGACTTCAGTCTTGGCCCACATCGACTACAATCCATGGTCGTTAATATCGTTCTAGCCTATGAGCTTTTTGCATTGCAGACTTGCAAGTAAGGGACAGGTCAGCTCCGAAGATCCTGGCGGATGGTAGCATACGATACTAGCTGGGCCACTGATCTTCAAGACTGGAATTTGCGGGTGAGCCACGCGGCAACTGGCACTGCGGAATGTATACACTGCTCGAGCTTCACAGAGATACCAAATCGCCGGTCCCTTGGCCGCAGCTTTACGTGTATGGTATCAGAGTGTCCAAGTAATCCTGGACCAGTACTGGTCACCAGATCTTTCAGTCCCTTTTTTATACTGTTAAGGATCAGGACCATCATGGGAAAGCGAAACCATTGGGTTACAGCACATTCTCAATGGGTATAGGACTCTTGATGCTACCGCAAAATTACCCCAGCTAAAACAAATCAACGCAAAATCGCAATTGCATCACTGGAAGCATCGCTACGCTTTGGATCTACCTCCTCCCACTGTGCGCTAACAACAGTAGTCTTCAAGATCTTAGAAAGGCTCCCGGTGCTTGCAGTCTCCCATCTCTTGTTATCCCACTGCTTCTCGACCCCATGTTTATGATATACAGCCGTTATCTCGACATCCATCTCGCCGTCAGGTCGCGGGGGGCCTCCAGGAATACCCGATGCAGAATTCGCATGTGTCGTTCTATTATGCGACAACATTGGTAAGAAGCGTTTGAGCCCGCCGCTTTCTACCTGACTCTTACGGCTATGTCTCGTTCCGCCACCGACTTTCGAGGCAACACTAGAGAGCTGGTACGAATCGCTTTTATTCCGGGAGTAGCCGTGCTCTGTAGTCGTGCCCCGGCGTCGTATCTCGTCGGTACCATAGAGACCTGATGGGACGGACTCCAGGAGCGGTCGTAGGTAGGGTACGCATGATGTGAGGATGGTGATGCACTCAATGATCTGGGTGACGAGTGTCCATTTCCAGAGGTCTTTCGTCGGATTGGGTGAAGTGAAGCCGTGGAGGAATATCATTTGGACAGCTGATGCTACGATGTCACTGTGGCGCGTTATTAGGGGATGACTCTGAGAGAGAATCATGTAACTTACAGTGAACGTGCACCGAAGAACGTCAAGATAGTAACTTTCTTGCTCATGCTCATTTGCAGCGTCATGATAACATGCACTGGGAACAGTATGAGGGCCAGGTCCGTGAGTATGTTCATGACGCCCACGGTCTGCCAAAAGGCGGCCTCATCAAAGTGTCAGCAATAGTCTTGGGGATCGCAGAGATCTTACATACTAAGTTGAAGCATCTCTCATTTCCCCCAAGAAAGCGCCATGGCTCTGCAGCGCCGCACTGAAACGCCGATACCAGTCCGGACAGGATGCTCCAGGAAGCGATGAAGACGGTGAGTAGCAATCCTAGGTTCCGATGTACTTTTGAGGTGGTCAAGATCTTCAACAGCGAGATGATGGACATTTTCGCGAAACAGAGAGTTGCAATGTACAGCAGCTTGTTTGCATACTCAGCCTACAATATGGTCAGCTGAACATCGCATTAGTCAAGGGTTACCAAGATGCTTGCTTTCTGATACGCCAAGATCTGGCCGTCCGTCAACAAGTGAATGTCTCGTCCAAGACCATTACGCGTCTGGATACTGACAGATACACCAGACCCGATAGTAGCAACCTATTGACCATCAGTCAGTACACTCCCATCTGAAACACTTGAGTAGCGCGATCAACAACAACTCACCAAAGCCAGCAGGACAAAAACATCGTCAATATCCAAGCTCCTCCTCAGAGCACGCTTGGTAACAAGCCTAGTCAGAACCGCCGACGCGGAAGTAATCAAGAGAACCCACGTAACCACATTGACGAACGGACCGACATCCGCGCTGCTTCCCGGTTGGCGCGGGAGAGGATGGTGGGAAGAAGCAAAAAGAGATAGCGGCATCATCGCATCGTATCCAAGTCAAGGATATCAGATACCGACGGAACAGCGACAGGCGCGAAGTGACTGCGCCTGTAACATGTAGCGGGATATTATGCGTGGGCCGTCACGGGCCAGGATAGATAAGGGAGGGCGTGCAAACAGGTCGTTTGTTCGTTTGTATGAAGACCAAGCTTTCTGACGTATTTCTCCGTCTAAAACTGACATGGACTGCAAGCAATGTAAGATTGCGAGCTGCCACCGTGAAGGTAACCTGCATCTAGGGCTCACTGACAATCAACATAACACACGCTGTCATTATCCGCCCACTTTTTGGGGGTGAAACACACTTGCAAATGAGCAAGGTCAGTTGGAGTGTGAGTAGGCTGGGGGGAACAGATCTGCTAGACTTGGAGGCGGTCGTACGGTGTTGCGCAGGTGTGGACACGGGGGAAGACGAGCGTGCAAGGACGACTAGACTCTTGTGTATCCTCGGTTAGATATTCTTGCTGCTTGCAAGAGGCTTTTGTGCTACTGGGCCAGAAAGTCGGGTCGGGTTAGGATTTGACGGTATGTTAGTGAAAGGTACACGCCGGGAGCTAGGGGGGTAAGCGGCGGAGGAAAGCCGGTATGTTAGCTTGCTAGCTAAGATGATACTCGTCATCATACAAACGCTGGTTAGCTCGCTCTAGGATCTTCCACAGTGGTGTGACCTTTGTGACACACCAGGCTCGGCGCGGTGTCACGACTGCCTGTTACCGGGCGATTGATGGTCAGTTTTCCAGTGCTGCAGTGGAACATTTGCCAGCACATATCCTGTGCAGTGTTCCATTGATACGCGAGCTTGTAGTCGGGCGGTCGCTACACGGGGGCGCTGCCCGCCAGATGATGGTTGCTCGCAGGTCATTGCATGAAGGCTGGGAATTAGCCAAGATGGATCGGCATGTCCAGGGCTGAGCAGGCAAGATTAAACAGTTGAGAACTCTTGAGTAGTCGTATTTGATTATGTTGCCATAGCGGCCTCCGTGGTTCATGCAATGATACACAGGGCAAAGACATCCGTCCCTTTCATGTGCGTATCGTAGGCGGCATGCTTGCGTGAAGGCGGATGTCGGAAGCTACAATCGTTAGCTACACGAAAGAGAGGGACCAAATTGAAAAGGGTCAATCGCGTGCCTTGAATGAGATCACTCAGATGCTTCTGTCGACAACAATGTGCTCGGCATCGACAACGGCTCTGCCACCAAGTAGGTGTTTGATGAGGTCTTTGAGCTTCTTAATATCCTCTGGACTAATTTGGCTGATGTCTCCGAGTGTCGGTTTGCCATGGTCGTCCCAACCGACATGATGATCGATGGGGGCCGGGTTTCGGGCGACTTCATTGATGTCTGGTACGGCTCGGGCAACGGAATGCAGGGGTGCTGGAGCTGCAGCGGTGCCCATTGCAAAGGCAAGCAGCGGAATTATAGCGGTCGTGGTGTACATGGTAGGTAGATGGTGGTTGATGTGCTTGATGGGTTCTTTTGGTTCTGCGTAGGGTCAGTGGGCACACGCGCTCGAAGACGTTCTTGCGCGTACCGAAGACAATGCGAATGGAAACGGGATGGATATAACGATGAATTTGCTGCTCTTCGCCTTGAAATATATGTGTCGACTGCTACGTACCTCAGCGTAGTATCTTCGGAATCGTTACTTCTCGCATGTAATCATGCCATCCCGAAGTTTCAGACGCGCATTTCTTCGGTGTCGCTTAGCCAATCTCTATGGTTGCCTCGTTATTGCCGGGGTCGCACTGCGCTTTCTATCTTCTCGGTGCACGGCCATCGTAACAATGCAGTTGACTCGGACCGGTATAGAGAAACATTGAAGGCACAGAATATCGGTTGACCATGGAGTTGGCCGCGGAAGTTGCCTGACGCTTTTCGTGGCCAGAGCAGACCTGAGGTACGTATCCTTCCGATCCATGGCGTTCGAACATTAGTGGCTGATGCTGATCATGTGGTGTAGCCTCCATCGATATTGAGCTGCATGTTCATCGGAGCTTCTGAAGATAAAGTGGTCCTTGTTACCACGATTAAGTTTCAAAACAGGTACATTCGTACTTTAATTGGCGCAAAGATCCACGAGCGTTGCCACAACAGCGATTCCCGAGGGACATCCCAACCACGACTTCAGAAAACCACGAATTCTTCTTCGTTGTCATACAGCTCATACGCGTCTTTGTGTCCACGATACTGGAAATAGGCCTCCTGGAACTCCCGGTAAGGCGAACCTGGTGGACAGAATGCAAAGTTTTCCAGTGTGTTGGTCGCTTCGTGATAATCGTCAAACTCGTAGCAAGCATGTTGGTCAGGACGTGTGGCCCATGCAATCAGCTTATCCCAATCACGACATTGTCGGAGCTGGCCTTCGCCCGAATGGTGTGTAACAGGAGCTGGTATCGGCGTGTCGTCTGCATTGCACATGACGTCCTGCCGGAGGCCGTCAAGACAATGGTAGATGTGAAGCAGATTGAAGAGCTGTGGTTTGTCGCTGTGCTTTGAGACGATGGCTTTTCGGATGAGTTTCTGATGCCATTAGCGGATGAATACAAACATGATCATATATACTTACAAGGCAATGAAGATCGTGAATTCCTTTGACATAGTAGATGCTTCGCTGAGTGTCCCATGGAAACCGAGTAGAGTTAGGTAGACCGACACGTTTTGCGAATCTATCGTCGAGGGAGACTGCCATAGCGTTGGTATCAATAGCGTCCCATGCTGCTTCCATATCACTATCACTGGCGTTTGGATGCCAGTACTTTGTCGACGCGTGATATGGCACAGCAGTATCGTAGGCTAATCCACCTTTGAACTTCGTAAGCTAGCATCAGACCGATCAGTCTGTCACTTACTGTAATTGCTCTTGGCCGGACTGTGCGCAATGCGAAGCTTTGCGTTATCCATCACCAGGAGGATGTTCGCTGAAAGAGAGAGCAGCAGGATAGACATGTACGCCACGAAGCTTCGTGTGTTGGTTGGGATGATCTCAGTGCTTTTGGAGTTCCAGGAAACACCATCCTTCTCTTCTAACTCTGCGAGAATTTCTTCCTGTTCATCACTGCACACTGGCGCATATGCTGGAGGTCGTTCCATTCTTCGATCCGCTTTGTGGAGTGAATGGAGAAAGCAAGCCTCCGCGGCTCCATAAGACGGAACGAGCTCATTGGGTGTCACAGAATTCGCCTCGAGTGTCACAAACATACGTCGCAAGCCAGTCCCGACAACACCATACCCCAATCGCACCGCTCCGAGCGCGGACCATGAATGAATAGCGACGCGACCAGCCTCGGTCCATCGTTACATCGCCGAGAAATCTGTCTTGCGGCGCACATACGATCGAGGAAGGTCGCAAGCATTTGGAGGTGATGATAGCGATACAAGTGCTACCGAGTGGCTGGATGTGTGTAAAAGTGAGGGGCTATCGGGGCAGGTGTGCTGGGGCGAAAGAGTGTTACTTGCCAGCCTCGCCAAGACGCTAAATGTGTCGACGGTACCTTCCTTGTTGGGATACTTCACCCTAACACGGCAATCTACGATGTCCAATACTTGGGTCAAGCTATATCTCCGATTGCGCTGTCAATGCGCAGCGGCGGCGAGGTAGCGCACTTGCAGACTACTTTACCTAGCCGATGTCGCCATGGCTTGACGCAATCGCCAATCCGCTGCGATGGGACAACGATACGTGATTCGGGAGGCAACGACGAAGCAAGAGCTGGATGAGATACTGGATGTCATCTGGGCTGCGAACTACACACCTTATGAGCCGTTCATGCAACTGTTCTTCCCGGTCCTTGGCTACACGAGCGCCCATCGCGACATCGCCGTCGCCGAATCAAAAGAACGCTTCTGGAAACAACACCAAGAGGATAATTCCAGCCACTGGTTTTACGCTTACGACACAGTTACTAACAAGACTGTCGGCTGCTCGCAATGGGTGATATCGACCGTCAACCCATTCGTTGCAGGCACACCGAAGTTGACTGCGCCATGGTGGCCAGAGGGCGAATATCGGAGGTTCTGCGAGTCAATACTCAATCAGGTGTACAGGCCGCGAGCGAATTGGATGACGCGGCCACACTGTGGTAAGTGGAGCATTTCCTTTCCCCCCAAACGCGCTATTTCCGGATGAAGAAACGTGATTGTGCGAAAAGTCGAAAAGATCTTCTTCTTGCCGCTGACTTAGTATTAGCACTCAACTGGATGGCGGTAGACCCTGCCCATCGGAATCGCGGTGTTGGCTCTCTTCTCATGCACGTTGGTATTACACGAGCGGACGGACTTGATCTCGAATGTTGGATGGAAGCTTCTGCCATGGGGAAACCGCTTTACGAGAAGTTTGGATTTCAGTCTCTGCTGAAGATTGCTTTCGACAACGAGAAGTCGGAAGCGAGCGACGAGTGGAGGAAGTGCGCGCATGAGCTGACGCCTCCGCCAATCTTTGCCATGTGGAGACCAAGGAAGTCGTCTGGGGCAAGCCCCCAGGGAGATTTCCAATTGCCGTGGTCGCTAGGCACCGAATCATGAGAATCTGGATTCAAGTGGTCGGAAGAGATGGTAGTACAGCTGACGGGGAGCTTGGTTATGTGTGGAAAGGATGCGATCAGATCGAGCCATCGTAGAAGTTAAGCAGGGTCAGGCGCTAGCTTTGAGGGCGAATGGGTGCCGAGTAGTTGTGTTGGAGCAGCGAATGAAGTACAGCACTTTGCCTGTGTGAAGCATGAGCGGAGTACATTTCCTAGATTATGACATTGAAGTGAGACGCATACCAATATACACTTTTGTTGATTGCGCTTGCCACCATCACGTCCATCCATGGCCACAACTACAATTTCGTACACACTCTCGATGGCTGGGTGTGTTACCACCTGTAGTATACCGCTGTGTTAGCCTTTGTTAGATCAAGAGCGTAGTCTGGCGCACCTCGACTTGTCCTTGTTACATCTCTTCATCGACCCCGCAATGACTTGCTATCCGGCAAGCTGGCAACAGCTAACGGAGTATTTGTGAGTGCAGCCGACACAGATGTTGCCGAGCTCCTTCGTCTCCCATCTTCTTCTGCATCCACAGCATACCCATACGCAATCGGACACAGGTTCTGCACCGGGGTAAGGAGTGTGCTGTAATATCGGGAGCGCTGAGCTTCGTTGAATCATGTCAGAAATTGCTTTGGCGGTGGCGCTGGCGGAGAACTGTGATCGGAAGGCTTCAGGTGTTATTGATGTGCTTGAGTTAGGCACAATGTCGCGTGGCCTTCGAGGGTATTGAGGAGCAGAAGGCGTAATTAAAGACGCCGATGCCGTGCTCGGTAGCAAACGCGCAAATATACTCTGAGAATGGACGTGTGCCTGTTCGTGGGTTCTGCTGGAAGATTTTGTCGGCATTGTGACTAGCGATGTGAGTGATTTTGAGTGACAACGTAACGCGCTGTGAAGCAGTGTTAACAAAATAGAGAAGTGTGAAGGATCGCTTGCAAGTCTGTGTAAAACCAGTGCCTGGGTTGCAGTTGCCAAAGTGGACTGGAGGTCAGAAGAAAGAGCCCACCATCACGCCACGCTTCACACCTTCCTCTTAGATCATGCACCTTGACTACACCATCTACAACCCGTGTTTCGTTCTTTTTGGTTTCTTCTACATGCGATAGATATAAGAATCTACTCCATTAACTGTCCGTTCCACTCGAAGTTTGTGGTGGTCGCTATGTCCACAGATCTTCGCGACACAGTATCGTACACTAGGAAGTCGCTCGGCTTCATGGAGACGAGCTTGAGAGGGACCTAGATGACTGTATCAACTTACAGCGACAAGAGCATTACCTCCTGGAACTAGTTTTGCGGCGCAGTGCCTTAGCCGCGCGGCCCGCTCAGTCCCATCCAGTCTGCAGCTTCTGAATTGCTTCATCCTCAGAAACAACATCAGCCATCTTTGCGTTGATATCGGAAAGGTTTGCTTTGTGGACAGCAGGTGATAAGTCACCGCATGCTTCTCCAACAACCTGGAATAATTATTAGTGACGTTTACAGGGACTCATGCGCTGCCAAGTCGTTCCACACCATTGGTCGAAATCCATAGCACATGGCATCGAGGGCAGTCGCGCGGACGCAACCACTTGTACTGACACCACAGATTATGACAGTGTCGACGTTGCAATTTTGGAGTTGCGCAGCCAGATCGGTCCCAAAGAATGCGGACGGGTAGCGCTTGGAGACGACAATTTCGCCAGCGGCGGGCTCTAAACCAGTATACCAACTTTCGAGGCCGTTCCCGCAGCCGACTTGAAACAGCTTTAGTAGCGGTACTTTGCTGTAGAAGAGGCCCGCATCCGACATGTCCGGCTTCGTGTATTCGACTCGCGTCCAGATCAACGGCGTTTTGCCTTGGCGGGCGGCAGAGACGAGTTTTGCGATGGACGCGGGCGCCGCCGCAGACGCAGGGTTCGACTTGGTGTCCAATGGGCTGGCATCGTTCCAGTAGGCGTTGCAGACATCGACAAGTAGCAGCGCCGGACGTTTACCCCATCCTATCCTCCCGGCGAAGCCATCCTGATAGTCGCGATGCGCACTCTGGGTCATTTCGTCGTGGTTTGAGGCACTAGAGGTGAGTCATGATTAAACTTGGGCGGAGAAGAGCGAGGAAACTATGACGGTAGCGTCGCGCCGCTTGCTATAGCCAGCATTCGAGGGTCATCACCATTGCCGTCCATTCGATTCGAGGCGCAACGTTGACATTACGAACTTATCAGCACTGGTGCCGGATGGAGCTTCGGAGCAGTTCCGCCAGGGCAATTAGGCGGCTTTCACGCCCCCAGACCATCGGGAGTAAGCAACCGGTTCCAAGCGGACCATCAATATACCGACATATACTACCCGAGGTATCTTGATCATTTCGCACCGCCACATAGACGGGCCCTCGGCGGAACCAATTTCAAAGGTTCTTGTTTTGAAGTTGTGCCGATGCAATGGCTTGCGGCATTGTCTTCCGCCCTGCCAGCATAGCGTTGATCTCTGGTGCACCCGTTACGCGCGTTTGAGGGACTCAATTCACGACTGAAGTTTGACCCCGGACTTGGCACCACATGATCGGACTTCCCCACATGAGCAGCCTGGGTACCCAGCCGGAGGCCGATGGCTCTCCTTCCCCCAAGACTGCCAGTTCAGTCCCCGCCATGGACGCAAAAGAAGGAAGGATAGGGAACGCCTTTGCGTGTGAGCGCTGTCGAAAACACAAGGTTCGCTGCGTCCCATCTGACACGCCCGCTCTCTGCCAGAGGTTTGTTTACCCCAGCCATATGTTTGCTCCACATTGAATGACACGTGCCCCAGATGCCAAAAGGCAAGAGTCGAATGTGTGGAACATGTTGCGCGCAGACGGCCAGCAAAAGCGCGCAGCGATGGCCAAACACCCACCAAACTCCGCGACTTCGACAAGAAGCTGGACAAGTTGTCTGCTATTGTTGCGACAATGGCACCCACTCCGACACAATGTAGTCTGCCTTCGGTGGCCACCATTCCATCGCAGCTCTTAGATTCAACACAGCAAATGCCGACTCCGACACCAATCACCGCTCCGCCTGCATCAATACCAGCCGCTCCCAGGACCTTGAGTCTTCCAGCCCATGCAAATCAATCGGAGAGTTCGGCACCATTTTGGGAATCAATGAATGACACTCTGTCATGCCTTGGCCGACTAGACCCTGTTATCAGATCCATCAGCCTTGTGCATATGCAGATGCTGCTCGATACGTATCGCAGCATGGTGGACTTCTTTCCCTTTGTAACACTACCGAGGGATGCCCGCTGTCAAGACCTCTTCCAGAGCCGGCCGATGTTGATGTTTGCTGTGCTAACAGTCTCTTCTTACGATTCGGTCCCGCTTCAGAGAGCACTGAGCCTAGAGTTCCGTAAAGTGGTCATGGTCCGGATAATGAAAGGCGAAAAGAGTTTGGACCTCCTACAAGGACTCTTGGTCTTCATAGCCTGGCACCACCACTACATGGACGTCCAAGCCGTTTCGATCACGATGCTTCTTCAGCTGTGCTTGGGTATCGCACACGACCTGGGTCTAGACAGCATATCGAGGACGGTGAGGAGTCCTCTACAAAAGGAGAGCCCACGAGATAGAGAAGCTAAGCGGGCTTATTTGGGATGTTACTACTTATCCTCCAACCTAGGTTTGATGGAGCCCGTGAAGGCAAGGACTATGACACACACCAGCACACTCCGGAACTACGCGTCAGAACTGGCCTCTTCCTGGGAAAATACATCAGATGCTGTCCTTCCGATACTAACGGATGTCTGCCAATATATGGAAGACGTGGAGGAGACTTTCCGTAATCAGTCAGAGCAAGCTGTGGTGGTCCGTACACAAGTCAAACGACTGAGTGATAAGTGGGAAAATATTCGTCTTGCATCCAAGCTGCAAGCGAACGATTTCAGTAAGCAACACATCACTGTAGAATACACGATTACTGATTCTTGAATAGCAATACTGCAATGGCTACAGCTTGCAGCACGTATACATCTGTACCGAACGGCAGCTTCCATCGACCTCGTAGACCGCGATAGCACACCATGGGCATCAGGCTTCCAGCTATCACTACGTGTCACCTTGGTCCGATCGGTCGAACAGTTTCTCGACAACAGCACGAAGCTCCCCACCAAACACTTCGATTTCGTGTCCTTGATCGATTGGCTCAACCTGATAAACACCATCACCAGCTTGAGCAAATTGGCCATTCACGCCTCGCCCATGCCGGGTTGGGACGCTAGCGAGCTCCAAATAGCGAAGTCATTCGACTATTATCGCGAACAGCTATCCTCGCAAATGCCTCGCCCTCGCGATGCTCAAGATAGTCAAGAAGACGCGTTTGAACGCTTCCGACGTATCACTTCAGTCATGAGACTAGCGCTGCACGATGCAATGGGCAGGGGGAGCCCGAGCGGCAACACATTCGAGCTAGCGACAGGCTCGGGACGGACTGTGTCTCTCCTCCACAATCTGTCACTGCCTAAAATCAACGGGAGTGGTACGACCAATGGAGTGGAAAAATTACCGAGTCTACGGGACGTGACTCCGTCGCTCGATATTACCAGCACCGATTTCCACTGGAAGTTCCTCATGGGCGCGGTCTGAAGGAAGATATGCCAGAAGCCTTGTACGCCCACTATAGGGGTGTCTGGCAGTGGTTCGATATGTTTTCGCGATTCTTTTCGCGATCAGCCTCGAGACCGGTCAGAGCACAATTACACACCTCCACATTCCGGTCGCCATGACCACAGTATTCCACATCTGCATCAAATGCCGGTGCATATTCTGCGGCCGTTCTCCGGCGGCATTATTTTCCCAGGAGAGACGATCGCGCATTACCGACTGACCGGTGGCTCCGTGTCGGTCCTCCCATCCAATGTCCGTCCGTGCCGAGGCCCAGTCCGCCGCACGCCTTCAAGGCACTTCCAAGGCAGTCCATCGGGCTGAATCCACAGAAAAAAAGTCACTTGCGCGCCTCCGAACTTCTACATCTGCTTTTGCTCCGCAATTCTTCCGTAATCTCTTGCGACGGCGCGGATTGTTTCCGCTTCTGGTTGTTAGCGTTGAACTACCTGTCGCTGTGCATCTCTTGTCCTGTCGCTTATATACCCAGCATCAATTGTTGCATCGAATATAGATTCTTGAGATGTTCCTGAAGTGTGCCTTTGGCTTGTGAAAGTCTGGACCTGAGTTGAAGCCAAGTCTTCTTACATGGAGCTTTGAGCGAAAGCATCAATTTATGCGAAGAGGCGCACGCCACAGGCGTTGTCAGACGACCCCTCTCGTACTTGTCGCACTCACACTACTTTCAGCTCCATAGTGAAGTTTGAGAAGATATATGATGGCACATTCTCAGCGACCATGATCTGATTATCATATAGCAACTTTTCGGTCAGCGATCGCCGCGTCAATAGTAAGCTCACCACGCAGGCCTACAACTCACTGCTCACTACTATTTCGTACAGCCCCATCACCCGTCTGTACTACACAATTAATCTCCTGAATTGGGTTCGGATACAAACAACACGACTCCAATCGCCAGCCATGGGTTGCATGTCGAGCAAACTCGCTGGATCGAAGCACGATCAAGACGGATATGCACCCAGATCAGCGAAGCCTCAAGGCCCTCCCTACATACTTTCCGATGGGACTCACCCCAAAAACACATCCGGTAGGATGTACTACAGTGGCTATGGCGGCGATGGCGGTGGAGGTGGCGGAGACGGTGGTGGCGGAGGTGGTTGATAACGACAACGGCAACGAAGGGCACGATGCTTCCATGTTTGTTTGATCTATTTACTGTCTTGTGTTCGCTTCTCTCTTTCTCACAGGTAGCTAAGCCGTACGGATGTGCTTGTAATGGATCAGCTGCAACTACAACTACGACTTTCGCCCTGCACAGCCACCGTCTCACATCATATCAGGCCCAATACAACCAAATTATGAATACTTCTCGGGATTTTCTCCTCAATTTTTTCTTCGTCTTCCTAGATTTTGCATAATTCGTCAGTTTTTCTTCAGCCATTCTCCTCCCAGATATTACTGCCATCATCACTTCGCCGTCCTCCAGCCATCTGAGCTTCACACGCAAAACGCTCGAACCACATACACACGTTCACATATTCACAGCATCCCTTTGGGCTAGAAAATACCAAGGCATGGGCTCCTATCTAGCAAAAGTAAATCGCGAAGTCGAACGCATGCAAGACGAAGCGAACCATACATCAGCAGTGTATGCTGCCCGCAGATACAAAAGAGCCGACGAGTACAGAGAGCGTGCTAGGGCATACGGGGGCTACAATGGTGAGTATGGAGGCCACAACAGTAAATATTGTGGTCATGGTAGTGCTCCCCCAGCTTATAGCATGGGTGGCGCATGCAGTGGGGGAGACAGCGGGTTCAGCGGTGGAGGAGGAATGTCCAGTGGAGGAGGCGGAGGTGGGTGGAGTGACTAGTCAGACTTGAACACTGAGGAGCTGTACATATTAGGATGAACGAACTTCGAATGCGCGCAGCGAGGACGCTGGTGCTGGCAGACCTATTATAATGTTATCATTCAAAGCTGCAAATGCCACTTCGTAACACACTCACATTGTATACTTCACTGCGCTTCCTTCCATTGTTCATGTATAGGACTTGGATAAAGCTACTTACTTCTTTATCACTCGAAATATTCGCCTCTCGTATATATTCATACAAGTTTCCCGATTTCTGCAGTCAAAAAGTATCTGCGAGAGGGAAAGTCTGTAATTTCTATATCCAGTGAAAGCTCCACACCTTTCGCCCAAAATTCCTCCATGGGTTGTTCATCCTCCAAAGCAATCCCCAAACCAGCCACTAAAGTAATTACTGCGAAGCCACCGACCCCTTCCCCCACGTCCACCAAGCCAGAAGGAAAGACTCAGCCTGGATATTTGGCATCGCGCAATAATTCCGCCCCTCCGTTCATTACAGCACCATCTACTCCTGTTCTGATGAAAGGCCCTTTAGCAAGCCAGTATGGGTATTACGATACGGGGTTCACTTGGATCAGCACGCGGGATAAGATGATGGAATGATGGATGCGCTCAGCAGGGTGTGGAAATGACAAGATGCGAAACCGAATACAATAAGTGCTATATGAACTAGAGAATTGGCTGAAAGTCTTCTGTGATGTAGTTTAGCCCTAGAAACTGAATCATCTGTCTCCATAACAATTTCTCAAAGCATCGTCTTGCTGATTGCAGATGTGAAGTTGTGAAGCGATTCTTCACTAATCACAGCGGATTCACTCCTCATCTTTACTTTGTCTCGGTTCGCAAAACCCTGTTGCGCACATATATATCTACTTCCCCAATACTAACCATCATTCAGAAGATAGACTTCCAAGCTCCATCATCAATCATGGGTTGCACATCTTCCAAAGCCGCAGAACCTCTCTCTGCCCCTCAGCCCATCGAGACGAACACCACTGCTCATCTTACTGCCCCAACTGCCAACGAATCTAACAACATCGTCAATACCACGCAGGCACAGTCTTCTCGACCCACCATCCGGCGAGTTTCTCCGGACGACCTTGCCCTGACTGACGCCAAGCTTCACGATTCTCAACCTGGATCGAGCAACATACCGTACTACGAGAACAAGTTATGGCGACGAGGATAGGGTGTATGTACCGCGCTATCAATACCGACGTATGGAAGACATCAATCCAACTCTTGCCAACACCTAAATGATTCAATGCTACTCTCCGCTCGCAACTGCCACGCCTCGCCTCCACATATCCTCCTCCATGTTTCCCATCAAACGCCTATACCAACCCTTCTCCATACTTAAACACTTCCCACACTCCACATCTCACATCTTCCAACTTTCTAACACCTAAGATTATCCAAATCCTACACTATGGGCTGCATACCATCAACCCCCAAACCCACCACTAACCCCATCCCCGTACCGAACACCAAGTCCACTAACCACCCACGACCAGTCCAGAGAAGTCCAGTTTACGATCCGCCTGCGTACAAGGATGCTAGTAAGCTGATTTATAACCGCGGAAGTGGTGGTGTGTATAAGGGTGCGTCGGGGAGTGTGTATAAGATTAGTAGAGTGTCTGATGCCACAGATGTAGGGGGAGATGGAAGTGGTGATGGGGGTGGAGTTAGTCATGGGTATGGTCATGGCCATAGTGGTGGTCATAGTGATGGAGGTAGTGGTGCGCATAGTGGACATAGTGGAGGACATGATGGTGGATATGATGGTGGACATAGTGGTGGATACGGTGGCGGAGGTGGCGGCGGAGGAAGCTAAGTGTTGTGAGCGACGGGGTATGAGAAATGACGGAGATGACGAGGAGCGAAGGAATAGTACAATAGTTCTTTATTTTTGTCATTGATGCGAATCTGATTTTGGGTATCTTTGCGCCGTTACCGGTGAGCTAGCTTTGTGCTTCTCCACTATGCTTGCGATCTGTTGTAGGCCCTCAGAGCCTCTCTGGTCGATTTGTTGCCCTATCTTCTGACGAGTGTTGTCTCCTCTTCTTTCAAGTGTACCATGACGGCCCCGCTCACCGCATCATACGAAACGGATGCCCCTCAGTGCTAAACACCCAGCTATCCAAACTCGCAATCTCCACGTCCGAAAACGTAAGCCAAAGATACTTCAACGTTTCCGCAGCCCAAAAGCTTTCTTGCATATCCACCCATTTATCCTTGCCCTTCGACTGTGTATCGTACACATCAGCAAGTTGTGCGTAGCCGAACGGCGCTTTGCAATGCTTTTCCATAGCCGAGAAAGCTTCCCATGCCCATTCACGGTAACGCTTTTCGCCCGTTATGCGCCATGCGTAGAACAAGCTTTCTACATACTCAGGCCGGCCTTTGTATGCTGGTTCTAGTGCCCAGATACCGCTAGCCATCGCTTCTCGCTCTTGACGGGCGGTCTCGGGGATAAAGAGCGGATCGTCGTATCCGAATTTGGGTATCCACGCCCATGTTTCTGGACCGATCTTGGTGGGTGTGGAGGTATACGAGTGGCGGCAGCCTTCGAGGAGCGCGAGCGCAAAGGTACGGAGGTAGGGCTCGTCGTAGAGTCTAGATGCGAGGAGGATGGTACCGGGTGCGAAGCAGGCGAGATGTCCTTGTTGATTTTCATAATCTTTGTTGTATCGCCCGATGTAGAGGTGCTGCATGTAGTGATCGGGCGCTGGTGCGGAGCGGGAACTGAGGTGTTCGCGTAATGAGTACGCCGCATCTGTGAAGCGATGTTTGTATGTGCCCATGTGAGGGTCTGTCGGCGGTGCTAAGAGCGTCATCTTGACTAGGTACTCGTAGTATGAATCGTGTCCACCATCCCAGTGCCTCTGGCGGCCCACTGGCTCTCCTGTCATGATGTCGACAGGCGCGTCAACCATGCCCGCCCACGGTGTCTTCCACTTCGACCACACAAGTGGTGCCCACGCATTCGTCGAGTTCTGCGTGTATACCAAGTCGCCAGTCAATCTGGTCAAGACGCGGTTCTCGAGGATCGAAGAGCCGGTTCGCGCAGGGCCAATGGCGGGGTGTTGGTCGTAGCCGTGTTTTGTTGGGTCGTCGCTGAAGACGAAGGAGGGATCCGGCTCGCCCTGCTCTGTGTCAAAGTCGACACGAGGCCATGGCATGCCTGTAGGGGTATCGTATGCTGGAGCGAGCTTCCCCGCTAGGGTGACGGCATGTTCAAGTACAAGATCGCGTGCCTCTTCGCTCAGTACGTCTTCCGGGATGAGCCCGGCGTCGTACATATCCACAATAGACACAAGCCCACCCAAATATCGTATCGTGGTCTCGAAAGGGTCGACGAGGTCCTTCGCTTCGGTGAAGTCGATCGCGAGTATATGCTCGAGAGAATGCGCCAGCTCGTCCCATAACCCCATGAGTGCCAGTGTGCTTGCCGAGTCCACGATGAAAGCTCCCCACCCATTTCTAGATGACGAGTTGCCTCCTGACACAGGCAAGATGTCATCGCAGCCCCAGGCGCTTTCCCTGTACTTCCAAAATGTATATTTCATGGCATCCCGCACGCTCTTTGCCCGTGCCTCGTCCGCCTTGCCCGTTCCATTCCAATCCGCATGTTGTATTTGTGCGCCGAACTTCGGTATGTCCCTGTCTCGAACAGTCGGGTTCTGGAACTCTTTGATGAGGAGGTACAGTGTAATGACGATGATGGCTGCGAGGAGCTTAAACGACGACTCGGGATTCCGCTCGAATTTCGACTTGCCCCAGCGGCGGAAGCCGGGCATAGTTAAAGAGTGGTAGAAGCCTTATGGTGCTGGCGGAGGCGCTCAAGAGGCGGGTGGTAATAGCGCGCACATCTGCCCAGGTGTTCTCAGGGTGCGGAGCTGGTGCGGAGGTGCGGCGATCGATGTTCAAGGTTCCAAGCTATTACAGCATGCTTGGCTCGAAATGGATTTCTATTGTGTGGGGAAGAACAGGGCGATTCTCAATGGAATTGAATGAATGTACGAGATGAGTTTACACATGTGAGCGCTGACGTCGTGTCGCCCTCGAGTCCGAGAGTTGCTCCAGGCTTGGCGCTGAGCCCTCTGCGTCGTCATCGCGAACTTTGCGACACCAACGCGTTTGCACATCCTCATCTTCGACATGGCTGTCTGGCAGTACGTGCACACGCTGCGTATGTACGTTCCCACCACTAACATTGAGATAGATGGTTCAAGAACATACCGCCCAAGACGCGCATGATCATTGGCGTGGGCGTCATGGCGTACGCGGGCGCTGGCCTCTACATATCCGACAAGGCTGAGGAGAAATTTGGTCTTACCCCAACCGAGAAAGATCGAGAGCAACTCCAAGATGTGATACCCAAAATCTCAACTATCGAGAAGCGCACAACTTGAATCACCACATCCCATCCTCCGTAATATACATTACCTCCTAGGTGACACCACAGACAAAGTACGGATAACCGGCCTTTCGAGTTTTCACCACAGCGAGACGGATTCTGACAATTCTTAGGCGCATACACAACCTCGATCCCACCCACCGCTTTGGGATGCCTATTCGGGTGATGGGGCAAAGAAGCATCCTACTGCAACTGAAGATACCACAACAGCTATCGTCCATTATCGAGATACTGAATCATGATGGCGTCGTCTCGCGAGGCGATGCTCGGGAAAGCATGACGTCTACCTACCCGAACTTCCTTCAGCCTTCGTTAATTCAGAGAATAGTAATTGACCACTAGGTTTTGTTACTGGAGATTTTCACAACAAATATGGGAGCTATGCAAGCGGCGAGGTTCAACGTTTCAACCCGGCGTAGAGTTGAGCAAAATGACCGCTATACCAAACTTACGTGCATGCGTCACAAGATAATCTTGGCGCTTACTTAAACTGCCCCGTCAATTCGACAACGCAGCCTGATTGTGTTCATTGCCACTTAAGTATCGCTTCGATTGACGTCGATATGCCACGCTGACCATGCCCGAACTAATGGACCCTTCACCGTCGTCTGCGCATGAGACGAGAGGGCGAAAACGCCACCGCGCAGATTCGCCATGCAATCACTGTCGACCAACATCGGCGCGATGCTCCCCAGCCCCCAATGATTCTGAAGGTCGATGTACCAACTGCATTGAGCTGGAGAGGGAGTGCGACCGGGGAGAGGCTCGAAAGAGAGCGACGAAGGCAATAGAACAAACTTCAGACACTTGTGAACGATGCCTCAAGGAAGTCAGGGCAGGCCTAGCCCCGAATATTACAACGCCCTGTGTCGATTGCAATGCGGCTTTGCGGAACGATGATACTCAGGACATTTTCACTACTGCTACCAACTTTGCTGCTGCAGGATACACCAACACAAGGCAACCTCAAACCAGCACCCGAGAAGCGCATCTCACAATGAAGGAAGCGCTCCTGGACCAAGCGGATGACTGTACGTCACCTGGTGAATATTCAGACAATGAGAGAACGCGGTCACAGTCGCCAGCTCACAGTTTCTATCATGATGACTCGCCGGCTCCAAAGCCGGTCCTGGCCCACCCTCGTGGTCGGGATTTCACGCCGCAATTCCCTCTCGCTAACGCAAACACCACCTTTTCTGAAGAAGTCTTTCCAGATCCCGTATACACGACAGGCTGTGCAACTTACAAATACACACCACTCTGTGATAACGAGATTCGGCTTCTCCGAATCACACCTGATCTTTTCGACGGTCCCTTGCAGTGCTCCTTGAAAGTCGTTTCTATGGAGAAAATCACAGCAAAAGTACACGAATTCCAGGCACTTTCGTATGCGTGGGGCAACGATGCGCCCTCGTACAACGTCCTGCTGAGTGATCTTCCAAAAGTATCCGATGGATCTTCTACAGCGCCAACGCAACACCTGACGTATCCCATCCGCAAGAATCTTTATCAGGCGCTAAAACATATCCGTCTCACAGACGATTATCTATGGCTTTGGGTGGACTATCTGTGCATTGAGCAGACAAATCAGGAGGAAAAGAGTCAGCAAATTCCAAAAATGCCATCCATCTACTCCAGTGCATGGAATGTAATCGCGTGGCTTGGGGTTGACGATATGTCAGGAAACGTTGAGGAAGCTGTTCGCCTGATACCAAGTATTCTCAATCTCAAGAAGCTCGACCTTGACCTACGAGGAGAACTGCAGGTTAAAGATATCTTCTGCTATCACTCTTGGATCGCTTTCGGCCAAATTCTGCAGCGGCCTTGGTTCAGGCGTAGGTGGGTAATCCAGGAAGTCGCCTGTGCAAGAAGACTGTCTGTTCGCATTGCAGATAAGATCCTGAGCTGGTTAGATTTCGCAGACGCAGTGGATTTGTATTCGGACCATTTCGAGCAGATGCGAGCCCGTCATCGTAACTCGGGATTCTACAAGGAAGGCCGCTCTCAATTCGATGATATTCACATTTCAGAGGCGGTGGAGCTCATGCGATTTTCGCGAATCGTGTTTCAAAGGTCCCCCGATTCGACAATTGCTTCGAAACTAATGCCTCTAGAGTCTCTGGTGCTTACAGCTTCGTTCTTTGCAGTATCAGAAGTCCGAGACACTGTCTACGCTTTATTGTACCTTGCCAATGACATGCACGACGTCATTGACACTTCATCTGAGTCTCGAAGTCAATTCATTCTTACTCCAGATTACTCCAAGCATCCGATTGATATATTCAAGGAATTTGTCCGCTATAGCATCGCGAAATCCAACTCTCTTGACGTGCTCTACCGGCGATGGGCTAGTTGGACTATGTCGACTGCTCGGAACCCATCTCACGAAAGGAGACTTCCCAGTTGGATTGGATTAGCATTGACTGGTGCCGATGGTTCCTCCTCTGGAAGTCGGATTTGCACCGACAGTTTTCTTGGGCCAGTGGGCTCTTCGGAATATCACGCATCTCATGGTGTTAATTTCCAAGGACAATTGGTACGATCAACAAATGACGACGTCATACAGATCGATGGCATGCTGTTAGGCACAGTAACGACGATATCGTTCGCTCATGTGCCCGGAGGAACCATCAAAGCCGACTGGCTAAGAATGCTTGGCTGGCGCGGAACTCTAGACGAAGGCATCGGAGATCAGCTCTGGAGAACACTTGTTGCGAATCGCGACCCGGATTCAAGAGTAGCCCCTACCTGGTACCGACGCGCATGTGCCTTGGCACTTACACAGCTTGATGGCTTCGGCAACCTCAATCTGAAAGACCTACTAGCTGATGCCTCGCAGCCAGGCACATTGGTTAGTTACCTCAAACGCGTACAGGAAGCAACTGATCGTCGGTATCTCTTCCGCTGTGAACGTTCCGACATGAACGTGAGCCCTATATCAGTTCAGAACAAGACATCAGAGGCTGTTGTAGGGCTAGGACCAAAACGCATGTATCATCACGAAAAGAACTTGGTTTGCATCCTGTATGGTTCCTCAGTACCGGTGATCGTCAGAGTGATCAATGACAAGAGATCGAAAACCGACAACACTTATCACGTCAAGCTCGTCGGACCTTGTTATGCACATGGGTATATGGAAGGGGAGATATTCGCAGGGATGAGCCAGATGGAAATCAAGAGTAGGACGATAAGGTTCAGTATCCATTGAACTTTGCTTTGATACCTCAACATATGAGCTCTTATCATATCTCCTCTTACGCAATAACACGATGAATAGACAACCCGCTCTATTTCTCACCTGGCTCTTTCACTCGCATCTCTTATTTCCATTCCTTCGGCCACTTATCCTTGTCATTACTATAATCCGGCAGATCCACCCTCTTTGCCTCCTCTCCTTCTCCAATCGTTCTCGTTTGTGGAAATAACTGCTCTTCGCAAAATGTTTCTAGACCCTGCTCGTTCTTTCTGGAGTACTTGTCCCAGGTGTCAAATCTTCCCAATCTCCTCCATAGCCTGATCTCTTTCACGCTCTCAGTAGTCAAAGGGTTCTCGGCAGCCCAAGTCTGAAATGTCTTCTTGTAAATGCGCTCGAGGTAAATGCGTGTGTAATGTGCCTTCGAATCTCTCAACTTCCCCCCAATATCGTCAAGCAGTGGTTTTCTCAAGCCAGACGGAAGTTCCTTGACCCAAAGGACGAGATCAGACTCTGCCATATCGCGGAACTCTGGGGCTTCGCCCTTACGCCTCTTCTTTGCCCGTGCAGCTGCATCTGCCTCGGCACGCTTCCGTTTGGCACCTGGAGTAGCGGCTTTACCTATTAGTTGTGTTGTTGCGCCGTCGCTTTCGAAGTCCTCGAGGCTCTCAAGGTTGTCGTCAGAGAGATCTTCATACTCTTTTCTGCCGCCTTGGCCTTGGCCGTTGCCATCTCCGCTGTCTTTCTTAGCATTGATCAACGTCTCTATTAATTCCTCATGTTCTTTTTCGAACCACGCCATGTAGAAATCGGGATAGTACAAAATTCCACTCTTTAATGCGCCCTCACTACCAAACTCTTTGACGGTATCTCTCAGCGCGCCAGCCACATCGTCGTCTGCCATGTTATCGTCCAATAGAGGGTGTTTCTCTCGCCAAATGCGCCTGTGCTGTGGGGGTATCGCATTGAAACCACCGAAAAGATGTTGAAGAACAGCTTTTTGTGGCCACTCATCCATGTCCTTGATACGAGCAGCCATTTTGGGCGGAAAAGTTTTGATCCACTCCTGGCGTCGTGCTTTTATGGGATACGTGAAGTCTGGGGGATACATTTCAAGCAGGTCTCCAAGTATCTCCGCATCGTGGAGCTTTGGCTGATTTGAAGACCTTGGAGGATTTGGAGACCTCGGAAGATTTGAAGATCTTGGAGGATTTGTAGGTCCGGGAGATCCTTGGGACCCACTAGAAGTTTGTCGTCCTTGAGGTGTTCCTGTAGCGGTCGACGCAGGCTCGCTAGAGGCCTTCTCATACTTCTCCTTCATTCGCTCCAAGATCTCTTCCGATGTGGGTCGGATGACCAGCCTGCCATCTTTCGTGGGAAAGATGTCACGTTTGGGGGTTTGATCCTCGTGACCTAGCGTAAAGACATTGATATCACGTATCCAGATAACAGCACGTTCTTTCTCATCTTTGAACTTGCCACCGTTTCTTACGAAGAGAATGGCTCTGTACGTGTAGTCGTTCGATAGCTCACCAATCCGCGGGTCCTCTCGAATTTCTTTTTTCACATGCTTCATGAGCATAGCGTGGTCGATTGTGGCCCACTGGATAGTTTTCGGATCTGGTTGCGCAACATTAGATGCATTGTCAGGGTCGGACGAAGGCTGGCCTGCGTTTGAAGCATTACCTCCATAAACTTCATCGCTTCGTCTCTTCCTCTTCTGCCCATGCGCCTCTCGATGCTCACGTGGCGGCCAATGCAGTGGACTCTCTGCCAGATACGGCAGCTTCTCCATCGCATCACCCTGGTAATAGTACCATGTCAACCACCATCTCGCGACCTCCCGGTTTTGCTTCCCAGCTTCTAACATTTGAGGATCGTTCGCGCGCCACTTATCGACATCCCTGTCCGTCATGTCTGTGAAATCGCCAACGAAAAGGCGATACAGAAGTCCACGGGCGATAGTGTACCTAGTGACACGTGCGGCATCTTGTATGACCCTCTTCGCAGTAGGATGCAAGTTCTTGACCCAGATGTCTACGCTTGCGTCGGAAAAAGAAGCGAACAATGGCAGAGCTAGGTCTAAGTAAGTCTGGTCTAGACGTTCTGCGATAGTTTCAGATGTCCAGTTTTGAGAGCGTTCTGGAAATGTGAAAGCATGCGCATCTTTCAGGTAATCTCGGAGAACCGCCGCGTTTTCGCCTTTGAAGCTACCTTTGAATATGCTGTGGAGCACCGCTCTGGATGTTTGAAGAGCAAGGCTTCTATGGTCGTCAACCTTGAGGAGGTCGTCTTCATATGTTGTGTACCACGGCTCCTCACTGTCCATCTTCAGTTGGTCGAATGCGGGTAGGTTATCTTTGCTGAAGCCTTGAGGGAACTTGTATTCTGGATTCTTCGTAAGAACTCCACGCTTCCCTCGTTGGAAGTTGCGCTGAAGGTCAGTCTGGCCCTGTTTGAACGCAACTACGGCATCTTCCAGACGTTTCCTGGAGTATGGCTCGCCTTCTTGTAAATACACCTGGTAGTCGGCACGCGAGACTCCTTCATGCTCGTCTGGCCAGCCATCGTCACCGTCGTCACTTCCGTCATCATCATTGTCTGGTCCCTTTCTTGAGCTTCTGCTGCCATCTGGTCCAGGCGAGGCCCTCCGACTCGGATTCAAGGATGCGACCGCATCGCATAGTTGACCAGTACTAGGAAGGCCTAGGATCTGCACAATGCGCGCACTCATTTTGTACGGTAAGTCATCCGCACCCAGTCTCTTATCAGCCTCTTTGCAAATAATCTCCTGCATATCCCTACGTGTTTGAAGCGAGTTGAACGCCATTTTTTGTGAATGTCTCCTCCTATATCTCGAACTGAACGCACTGTAAAGTCCGCCCGGATCGGTGAGGAACTTCTCGTTATCGAGTATGTATTTGAGCATGGAGTATACCCATGGGCCACATGCCGAGTGTTCATCACCTCCATAGCTGTTATTCTTAGTATCGTGAGGGACGTGTTTGAGTGTGGCTGCCGTGAACCCTCCACGCTCTAGATCCATAACCTTGTCGTATCCGCAGAGAATCTTTCCAGCAACCCACGCCGGTCCTTGTCGAACCATTTTATGTATATACCAGTGCTTGTTAGCTTTCTTTCTTACGTCGACATGGCCGTCTAGCCATCGGGCATCGTTTCTTTCCTTATCGATCACCATGAACCCCCAATGCGTGCCGCTGCGAGATTGCATCTCTTCCTCTTCCTCTTCCTCTTCCTTATTTCTCGCATCTCCACCTTCTCCATCTATAACACTCGCATATTGCCCTGGTATGGGTTCTTCTGTGACTCTCCGCTCTTGTTCTACGGCTTGTTTGTTCCTCTTAGCCTCCCTGGCTTCGGCTCTCGCGGCTTTGACACGTTCCACTTCCTGTGGACTAGCCATACCGTTCGTTACTGGAATCACAATCCATCGGACGTCTTTTCGCGTCATCGTATTATAAGACTCCATCGATCGGTCAAGAGTTTTGAACTTTTCTTTATTGGTCAGACACAGGCCAACGCCAGCCAGTATAGTCGCGGCACCTGCTGGCATAATGAGTATATCGCGCCGCTTCTTTTCAACCAGTGCCAAGAGTACTGTAGCCAAGTCCAGCTGATTGTCCCACAACCAACTATTATCAGCGTCCGTGTTCCTGGTTGCAAGAATGTTGACAAACTCCCTCATCGTGACTGCCAGAGAATTCCCTAGATGAGGGTAGTCGAGATATATTCGGTCCATCCATCTGCTGATCACATATTCGTTGGTTTCTCGCACGGGTGCGACTGGTGCTGCGGGTACCGCAGGAGCTGGGGCACCTTCGCCATTATCGTTGCTGGCCAGCGGGCCCTGTTCGCCGTCTGTGGACATGGCAGTCTCGCTATGATCATTCGCTGAGGTATAAAGTAAGATATATTGCTAAGGCTTTGGACGTTCACGAACACGGGTTGCGCTCGAAGAGGATATGTAGCATCTTCCTCGAGTTCTTTGAACAAAGCCTAAGATGCTTGAAAAAAGAAAATGGGATGCGACGAACAAAGACACCAAGGTAAATGACAATGCCCTTTGTCGAGTATCGGACGACACCATCATTATCCGAGTCTCTTTCACGTCCGTTTTGAGATGGCAGGGTGGTTAGCGACGATATGGAATAAGGCGAATTAGAAGTGGCAGTGAACGTCGTAAATCGTCAACAACGTAACTAGCGAATTATGTGGTCTATCTCGAGGAGCGTCAGCTATAAGACCAGATTGACAGCGGGTGTACAGTGATACCCGAAAAAAATGGTAAATGTCGGTCCATGCTGCCGGTACACCTCATAGCACCTTTGTCACGCCCGTTTACCTCCATTGTCTTGCCGGCTCTAGCGACACAACACCTCCTTCCCTGAGCAGATTCGCCGGATCCGTGAACGGGTTTGCATGGGCCTCTGGGTCCTCCTCCTCCGCCTGTGATCTCGCAGTCTTGGGTTGCTGACCACCTGTGCCGTCAGTGCCATCTATGAATGTAATGCCGAATTTGTTCATCGGGATGGGGGTAGCGTGTTCACCGAGGCCAGAAGAAGGGAAGTCGCGAAGATTTTGCTGAGCGGGGGTTAGGGAAGAGGAGCCGCTGAGATCGTGCAGTCTCATCGACTGTTGCGCGTCGGTCTTTCGGTTGATGTACGCCGCGGCGAGGGCGAAGCCGAAGTATATGACCATGCTGTTACTGATTAGCTCATTGCTTAGGGCACTCCTTTCATGCCGCATGGTGAGACGTACCAAACAGCGCCCAACATCCCCAAAACCTCACAACCCCGTTCAATCCCCTTTGCCCATCTACTCCACCTATCCAACGTATACATCGTCCTATCGTACTGCCAGCACGTATCCACACTTTGACTGATATCACTACTGGACATACTGTGATCGATCCTGCTATTGGGGAAAGTGTTCATCCAAACAGTGCTCAAAGCGACCAGGATGAAGTAGACAACGAAGCAAGTAGACCAGAACATGCCTGCACGATTGGAGATGCGCCCAGATCGGTAGTGGCTCCGAAGGAGGAGGAGGAGATCGATGACTAGGAGGAGAGGGTTGAAGATGAGGGTCGCTACGATCATGCTATGAGGATATTGGTTAGTATCACTACAACAGTAGAACAGCATAGCATATAGGTAAGAAAACTCACAAAATACCCCCCCTCTCCACACCACTCAAATACTCAGGCCCCACCAATCCCTCATCTGGATTATCATACCCAATATCCACTCCATGCCAGAACTTCTCCCGATCCACATTCGCATACAGCACCGGCAACGTCTTCACCACCTTATTCAACACATACCCATCGGTATCCCCGTATAGCCCAAACTTGCTGAAATCATAGTTGTTACTAGCACTCACACTCCAGCATTGGACTTCACTTTGGGGGGAAACGAGCAAGCGATGTGCCATGGCGATGCACAAACCGAGTTGCGCGGCGGCGAAGAGGATGGAGAGGAAGAGCAGGATGTCGGTTGCGAGGCCGGTGCGGGAGGGCCAGCGGGTGGAGCGGGAGTGGGTGAAGAGAGTGAGGCAGGAGCGGGCTTCTTGGAGGTAGGTTGTGCGGGGGCGCGTCATGGTGGTGTTGCTAGAGATGAGAGGTTTGTAGTCTGGTGTCGTTTTTTCTTGGAGGATGACTGCAATACCTATCTGAAAGTTGACAGGAGGAGACAGAAGGTGAACAGAACAGGATTTATCCATCCCTCAATCTCTCAGGGTCTGTGGTGTTGTCATCTGGTAGCGGTGCAGTGAGTACCGTGGGTGCGACGCCGGAAGCGAGGGGGAGCCATGATACTATCTTCAAATGTGAGGACATGGGCTCATCGCATCTCTAAATAGAAGCTGCGACGATTGCGCTACCGATAAACCACGTGGAGGGAACGAGGAAAGGGCAACCGGTCGGAAAGGTATCAACTTGAATTGGCAGCTACATAGAAACATTGATCGGGCTCGGGGCTTCGCAGGGGTGTGTACATGCTTGCGTAAAGCAAAAGGACAAAAAGGGCTCATGACAGGGTAACAAGGAGATTAAGATCGTAATCAAAAGAGGTATTGCAAGTTGTTTACATGCGGCTGCGATAGGGCCTGGGGACAGCCGGCTGGAAGAGCCTATCCGGCAGCCTGTTTCCATACTGATCGAAGCGGTAGTCCTCCTTTTGTTCAATCCACATCTGCCCAGCAAGTTAGACTTGTGCTAACAGCTAGAGCTTGCTACCGTAGGGGCGGGGCGGGTAGCCAGCAGTGTTGTAACCACTCACCTCGCGGTCGGCGTAGTTCCTGTCCAACGGCACTGGTTGTGGATTTAGTATTTCTTCGTCGCCAAAGCCCGCGTCTCCTTGGAACCTACGCGAATAGTGCGCTGCACCAATGGGTTGCGGGGCGCCGTATTCGGCATACGCAGGGGCTCGAGGGCCGTACTGACCTGGGCGTTGGGCGCGCGCATTGCTCTGCATCCAGGAGTCGCGCTCTGGGAGGCGGTCCTCGTAAGATTCAGGGCGGCGTCCGAGGGGCTCGGGGAAGCGCGGGTTGTAGTTGCCTTGCGTCTCGATGGGGTACTGAGAGCGGTAGTGGTCTTCCTGCTGGTAGCGCTCGTCGTAGTGGGTCTCGTAGCGGCCGTCACGACCTTGTTGCTCGAAGTGGGCGTCGTAACGGGGAGCAGGGCCGCGATCGTCAAAGTGCTGGGGTCCACGCTGGTGCTCGTCAATGTACACGTCGCGACGCTCCTCGTAGTGAGCTGGGGGCTGACGGTCGCGCTCAACCCAAACATCGCGGTGCTCTTCTACGTGTCGCGGCGGCGCGCCATCACGCTCGACCCAGACATCCCTCTCGATGTGCGTCGTGTGGGTGGGCTGGGCCTGAGGCTGGGGAGGCTCCTGATGGATGTCGATGTCAATGTGCGTCTCCTTGGTGGTCGACTTGGGCTTCTTGGGCTCCTCGACAGGCTCCAGAGCAGTCAGGTAGCCGATGACCTCGCTGAGACTGGAATGCGCGATGGCGAGCTCCTTCTCCCGGTTCTCCAGCTTCTCCTTCTCGCTGAGCAGCCAGTAGACGCGGTGCCGCATGCCGATGCGGCGGCCGTCCTCGACATCGCCAGCGACGCGTTCCGTGTGCGGCGTGATGTTCTCAAGGGCGCCGCGCACGTCGCGCATGCATCCATAGACCCACTTTGACTTTTCCGGGTTGGCCTCGAGGATGTCGTGGATCTCGCGGATGGACAGAAGACGTCGCACTTCATCAAGGTCGGATCGGACGCGGCCAATGATGCGCACGTAGACGGCGTTGGATGGGCCGACGTCGCGGACACGCTTGGCCTTGGTGAGGAACTCGGCGAGCTTGTAGGCACCTCCAAGGGCGCCGGCGGCAGCACCGAGCGTGAGGATCTCTCCTTTAACCATGACGGGCGGTGAGGTGATAGCTGTCAGGAGCTACCGGCAAGGTGAGGGTGAATGATCAATTGAGTGAAAGGGTGCCTGCGTCTCTGCCTGTACCTGGCGCGAGCATCCCGCGCAGGTTCAACCGGCGTGGAAAGTGGGGATAGACGCTTTGGTGAGGTGTGAAGAGAGCAGAGTTGTTGTCGCTCAGCTACTCAGGGCAGCATTGACAGGGGCCCAAGGTGTTTAGTGTTATTCGGGGGCTGGGTGCTAGCCACATGGAGGCGCTCTAGCCTGCAGCTCGTCACTCCTCGCGACCAACCCGAGGTCTGAACTCCCCCAGAGCTCCACCCACGAACATGTGGCTTCCATCGCTTGCAACCGACGAGCTGATCGTGTTCATCGGGGAGATCCAAAGCGGTGAGGACACACGCTGACCTCACCCAAAAAGAGCGTAATATCTGTGGTAAACAACATCTCCACGTCTTGTTTACTCCGATCTGATACGCGCCTGGATCATCCCAGCTCGCCATGTCAGCTCCACTCGACAACGCACCGACCTGCCTGAAACTTGACACTCAAAACCTTGCTTTATTTACCGTATTTCGCAATGAACGCGCGAACTTTGGGATCGCCCAAACTCAATTCATTGCCCTCTGCATCCAGCAGCTCCCGGTCCTTGTTCTCCAGCTCCATCTCCATCGCCTTCAACTGCTCGTCCAGTTCCGGATTTGTCAAGCTAGCCTGGTGGAATGGTGCGTGCTTATATAGCGCACTCAAGATCGCCCTCAGTTCGGTGTCTGCTTTGCTTGTTCGTTCGGCAATTACATCATGAGCCGACGTCGCGGTGGATTCGTAGTGGCTCTGCAGCTTCTTGTTTCGCTCGAGTTGAGCTTGTTGCAAGACATCCTGCAGGCTTTCAATCTTGTCTTGACTGAACGATATGCCTGCATAACGAAGCGCATCTTGCAATGTTGTCGGAAGATCGAGCGCTGATGTAGGCTTGAGCTTGACCATGGGTGTAAAGGCCGACGTGTCAGACCTCATGCGCTTCAATACCGGCGTTCCCACCGGTGGGTGTGTCTCCGGTATACGCTTCGCTGCTGCTGCTTGGACGTGTACGAGTGCTTGTTGAAACTCGTCAGTGTCCCTCGTGCCAGTGGTGACTATGCTGAGACGTTTGCCCATATACTCGAGGGTTGAGAGCACCTGACCTGTTAGCAATGATCCAATGACATTCAGATGTTACTCACATAGTTGAGCCACGCCGTTCGTGCCTGTGTTCTGTCCCTATCCTTGCGTTCCTTCATCTCAGTCATCGGCTTGCGTATCTCGTGCTCGACGACCATTTCAGCAACTGATGCGATCTCGGAGTGGAGCTCTTCAAGCTCAGCCTGCAGAGCGGCCTTTCTCTCTTTGAGGTCATCCTCTGCTTCTGCAACACCATTTTGGGAATCGCCTGATGCGTTGGTGAGGAACACAGTGTCGACGCGAGCTTTGATCTCCGCCGCGCGGAAAGAGATAATGGCCTTGCACCACTGCTCCATCGACTTCTCATCCTCGCTGACTTCAGGTTCCGTGACAATCTGTGATACTAGCTTAGGAAGTCGGCTGAGAATCTGGTCGTCTGACGCAAAGCGCTCTAACAAGTAACCTTTCAGTGTTGACTTTTCAGAATCAATTTCTCGTTGGGCGTCGGTCATCTGCTCCGTGACCGATGCGACAACATCATCAACCTACTCAAGTTAGCGAAGAACCATTTATGGCGGTCTGAGACTAACAGAGACGTCTAGTCGAGTCTTTTCCTGTCCCTCCTTCCTTCTTCGCTCGTTCCTTGCATGCTCGACATCCAAGTTGGGCCTATCGAGAGCTTTAAGCTTCATCAACGCATCTTTCTGACTCTCCAAAACTCTGCACTGCTCCTCAATTGCAGTAGTAGAGATTTTTAGTGATTCAATCGCTGCAGCAATTTCGTGGTCCAATACAGGTCGGATGGGCTCCCCCTCGCTTTCATATTGGTGCAAGAGACCCTTCTTCTTCAAAGTCTGGTAGCTAGAACCTCAATTAGCAAAGACCAGGGTAATTGAGTTCTTTACTCACAGCTCTAGCTCTTCTTTGCTCAGTAGCGTATCCTCGTGTAGATACTCGTCGACCCACACCGCAGCTTCGTGCTTTGTATCCGCATCCTCAAAACCCAGAAGAATGTTGTCGAGATCTACCTTGAGCCCTCGCTCTTCCACAACATTCAGCAGGTGGTGAGCTGCTTGTTCTTCCTCCATACTACTCACGTAACAAAGAGTGTTCTTGCGGTGTGGGTGTTTTGTTGCAGATGCGAAAGCAGTTAGGTCAGCGGCATTCGATACGGCACGCCATACGAGCCACTCGCGCAGTCGCGGTTCACGGCACCCTTCGTGCCCTCCCAACGCGCTCGCGACTTAAACTTCGACTCCGACTCACGCCCCCCCCAAACCAAACTTCAACTCCCCAAACAGACTACACAATGCCTCCCACTGCTCTCGAACCCGTTATTACCCCCGAACCCGCCAAAGAGACCGCCAAACAAACCTCCATCCAACCCACCCCACTACCCACTACCGCCATGCCGTCCAGCAACCCCACCCACGAAGAACACCAATACCTCTCCCTGATCCGCGACATAATTCAAAATGGCGAGCACCGCCCCGACCGGACCGGCACCGGCACCCTCGCTGTGCCCTTTCCACCCCAAATGAAATTCTCACTATCGCGCCCATCCAGCGACCCAACGCAGCCACCCACTCCCATCCTCCCCCTCCTCACCACAAAACGCGTCTTCCTCCGCGCCGTAATAGGCGAACTCCTCTGGTTCGTCGCCGGCAGCACCCACAGCAAATCCCTCTCAGACGCCGGCATAAAGATCTGGGACGGAAACGGCAGTCGCACCTACCTCGACAGCGTCGGTCTGTCCCACTACGAAGAAGGCGAACTTGGCCCCGTCTACGGTTTCCAATGGCGGCATTTCGGCGCAGAATACAAGGGACATGCGGAAGACTACACAGGCCAAGGCGTCGACCAACTCGCCGAAATCATCGATAAGCTCAAGAATAAACCGTATGATAGACGGATTATTTTGAGTGCGTGGAATCCGGCGGATATCAAGAAAATGGCGCTTCCGCCTTGTCACATGTTTGCGCAGTTCTACGTTAGCTTTCCAGGACATAAGCAAGGAGAGGAGAGACCAAGAGGCGTGTTGCATAGTCTGCTGTACCAGCGGTCTTGCGATATGGGTCTTGGTGTCCCGTTTAATATCGCGAGTTATGCGTTGCTTACGCATATGCTGGCGCATGTGTGTGATCTGACGCCGGGCACTTTTACGCATACAATGGGGGATGCGCATGTTTATCTCGATCATGTGGAGGCGCTCAAGGTGCAGTTGGAGCGGGAGCCGAGGGACTTCCCGGAACTGAAAATAAATAGGGAGATTGGGGGCAGTATAGATGGGTGGAAGGCGGAGGAGTTCGAGGTGCTGGGGTATAAACCGCATGCAAGTATTGCGATGAAGATGAGTGTTTAGGATATATATGATGTATGATGAATGTAAGAGTACGTCTCCGTTACCTGCTTTACAATGGTACTGCACGTTTGCGCGGCTGTTATACACACGAAAGTATGCAGACACGCTATGAACGCTACAAAATCAACATAGATACATTCTATGCATGAGAAAGAGGGACATAACAACCAGCCAATCTACTTCATCTCCAAAAGCCCCCATTCATCCCCACCACCACCACTACCATCCCCCTCTCACGAAGGCATCTCCTGCGGCTCACTCTTCGGCACATAGTTGTGCGCATACTTCGTACTAGCCGGCAGCTCATTTCTCGCACCTGAATCCAGCGCTTCCGCTTCCACATACTGCGGCGGCACAGCACCGTACGAGCTCTCACTAGACGGATTCTTCTCCCCCTGAGCCATCTTCGCTGCCTTTCTCCTGCGCCACCAGAAAATCGCGAAGCCAATCAGAGCGAGACCCACGAGTCCACCGATTACAGGGCCTGCTATCCATGCTTTGCTGGGAGAGGAGGCGGGTTCCGAGTCATCGTTGGCAGCTCCAGGTGCAGAGGAAGAAGACGAAGAAGGGATTTCCGCGTCGAGCAAGACGGCGTAGGTAGCACCAGGCTGGTCGCTAATCACACTCGTAGTGTTCTGAAGATAGCAGTTTTTGAATCCGCCTTTCAATGTCGAGTCGAAGAGTATGGCTTTACAACCTACGTCCTCCTCGGCGCAAGCATCCATACATGCGGTGATGTTTTGCGTGTGCAGACTCGTAATATTAGTCCCCGGATTCAATCTCCCACAGTGAACCTCAAAGCCCTTGGCATCCGCTGTGCCCGCCGCCACTGTATACGATTCCCGCTCTGGACATTTCGTGTCGACTTGGTCGATTTGCGTCATGACTGCGGAGTGGAAGAGGATGGGCCCAGCACCCACGTCTAGGCTATCTGTGTATCCGGAGTCGTCGCCAGTCTTGGGTATGCAGTTGGCGAAACCGATTTCCATGGTGGGATTCCACGACACAGCGGTGCAGAGCGGTTGCTGATCGACGCATATTTGCATGCATTCGTCGAGGGATTCGGCGTGGTAGAACCATTCATACACATCGGAAAGATGCGGGTAGCCATCAAAACTGGCGGCATTTGCCTTGATCATGTTGCCGCAGTGCGTGGTGTATTGCATACCGTGGACACCGGGGAGAGTGTTGGTGGAAAGATCCTCATGCGGACATGTTTCGTCGAAGCCTTCCATTTCGCTCCTCTCGACGAGGGCGGTGAAGCGGCGGGGATTTGGTTCGAGGAGTCCGACGGTCGCGCTGCTGTTCTTCATGTAGCAGACGTTGTCGGGTTCGACCCAGAGTACGCCGAAGCATCCTTCGCCGACGCCCCAGTACCGTGAGCAATGTTCTATACAATCTGCGAAGCTGTCTAGTTGAATTGCTTCGCTTGTCGCGTCTGCTGATTGTTAGTTTTGATTTCTCTTGCGGGATGTCGCGAGATCTGTTGCTCACCATTATCAAGTATGTATTGATCGCAGTATGTGGTGTAGTTGGCGCCGTTCAGTGTCGTAAAAGGGCTGCCGCATTGGGCATTACTGTATTGCCGTGCCTCGAGGGCGTGACCCTGTACATATTCTGCTAGACCTACTCTTGTATCAGTAAGCGTTTTGTCTGCTACCACATCATCCCCACACTTGCAGACATACTTGTAGGTGAAGCAAACGTCGTAGTCGCCAGCACCAGCGTTAATGTACTCCACATCGTCACGTCTAGCATGCTAAAATATCCCACAGTCGAAGATCCGTCCTTGTACGACATTATGAAAGGTGACAACGAGAGATCCGGGGATCGTGAGTGTATGATACCAGGTTAATCCAAGCTGTACCGTTCCGGTACGTTGCCAAGGAGCACTCATGGGGCGAAGTACAGCGGTTATTGAAATTGCAGTCGAGGCCAGACGGCTAATTCCTAGGTAAGACATTGCAGCTCATGTTAGAGGTGGGATCCGACCAAGCCTGCGACATGGCTTGAGGCCGCAGCATAAGGATGCATCCCGATTCGTTGGTCTGTGGAGATCCGCAAGGATAATGAGTGGTGTGGACGAATTTGAAAGCCTCATGCTTGGCCAATGCATTGTTAGGCGCGCTACGATGGGCAGCGCATTTGTGGTGTTTAGGGTCGTTGACCCACTTTAAGGTACGAACGTACAAATGAGGGCTGGCTTCGTCGACGAACTGAAGCTGAGGCAGTGCCCTTTGCAAAGAACAACACCTGCTAGCAAGGCGTTGTTGAATAATTTGTGCCTAATAGAGCAACGCATTAAGCCAGAGAGGTGCACAACGATCTCAGGGAACGGGATCTAGGAAATAAAAAGAGGAGGGTAGGGAAGGAACAACTCTACGCGCCCGCACGCGGGACGAGACTAAAGGATTCAGCCATGCTTACGCTCATCACCCATGTGTTGTCCCTGCTGGCTGTTGCTTCGAGCAGCGGCTTAATGTCGTTACTGTACGTTGAGACTCCTTCAATATTTCCTGACGACATTTCGGGCTTGTCAAAACATCGTGAGAACCCGACGGCGGGTCGACGGTTGTCCCGACTTGAGAGGGCCTTCCAAATCAAGCTCTGAAGGATCTCGGTAAGCAAAAAACCTTGGCAGGGCGTAACAAGGCTGAGCGCCTGGATCATGCTATTTCCGCCTTGCAGGATCCCACAAGGGTGCGGCACATATTCGCCGTGATCATGCTGCGAAGCGCATGCCGCTGTGTCAGGTTGTCTATTTTAGTGTTGACTGCTTATGAATACTGCTCTTCATCAAAATCATCAAAGATCCAATGCTCTTCGAGCCTCGCTCGTTCCTCCTCTGACTCAGCTGCAGCAAGCGCATCAGCCTTGAGCTTTCGTTCACGTTGTCTAGTCTCTTCGTACTGCTCTACGGGTACCCAGCCCTCAAGACCGACGCCAACAACATCCCTACAAGCCTGGAGCTGCTCATCTGCCTCTATCTGCGCAGTATGCAGACGCTTACACTCAGCCACCTCGTCTTCTGTGAAAGATATCGGACAAGAAACCTTCGAATCACCTCTTGCGCTTGATTCCGGGGCGGTAATGCGCGACCAGTTTTCCATTGGATAAATCAGGTCCGCTTTCAGTGTCACATTATCGCCTTCCCAGGGTTCACTCGCGTGACCAAAGAGTTTTCGCCTTACGATGCTGAAGTCGTGGGCTAGGGCGTTGTAATGATCCGAGTTTAGCTGTGCAGTCTTTGCAATATAGTAGTAATGCAGTTGACGCCGTCGTAGGAGCACGGCCTGCTCGAATTGTTCCCTCTCGCTTAAGTCGTCAAAATTGGGTGGTAATTCGGGCACTTCAAGTGATTCTGAACTGGCGTCACCGTAATTCTAGAGGCTATTTGGGATACCGCACTACAGGAAGAGCGGGAGTATTGCGCAGTGTTGCCAGTCAATTAGACTAGTGATCTCAAGTTTATCCGAGACGATTATATTGTTTGGTTGCGGATCGGGATGTCGTAGTGTCGGTCGGGCAAGAGCTTCGTTGTCATGCGGGATGAGATAAGGCGCAATTTGTAGGTATTTCTCCAGGCTGGCAACATGATCCAAGGGCGATTGCTTTTCATAGTTGTAAATCTCTCGCCGCACACGTTGGAAGGGGTGAAGCGGTCGGCCAAACTTGGTCAAATATGCGATTTCTTTCTTGGCCCCGGCTACAAGTGCCGATGTTGGATCTGTAGCTTTGGAATAGCTAATTGAGATGGCTTACAGCAGATGGTCAACAGAAACGTGAATCTGGCTGTGTAAATGGAAGAGCTAGCACGTACGTGGTCCGCGATAAATATGGAGATCGCCCCGTTTCCCATACCACATGCTGAGCCTTGTGTCAGGACCAATGCAAAAGTCGCCATCGCGGGCAGATTTGGCGATAGGACCCTCGAATTTATCGAATCCAGCTGGCAAGTCCGTGGTGTAATACAGACTACCACTTGCTGGAAACTCAAGAGCAAACAGATGAGACTCCAGTTCCACGAATTTAGTGACAACGGCAATTCTAGCCTTTCCAGACAGGTCAAACCATATGTCACCCAAGTTCGTGCCCCGGATAGACTCCATGAAGATGTATTCGGTGCCAGCAGCGTTCTCTGATGTAGCTGAGTAGCTGTAGATCTTGGGGACAGGTATGCCGTGTAAACGGAGCAAGTCCATCGTCGCGACTTCGCTGGCTACGACTAGGTGCTTCGGCTCTGTAACGGGATAAAGGATTCTTCCAACAAACTGGAAGCCGTCACGCATAGTGATTAGAAAGGTTCGATTGAATCCCCCTTCAGCTAATTTTTCGAAGGAAGTCACGTCTTCTACGTTCTGATTGATAGCTGCGGCCGCCAAGCGCTTGAGCTCCGATACATCAAAGACACGTCTTCGTTCAGAGTGCTTCAAGGCATCGTTCCAGCTTCAGTCCATAGTTAGCAATGAGCGTTGTTTTTAGTAGAAGGGTTTGACAAACATCCATCGCCCTGATGTATATTCAAATAGCTTGGCAGGTTCGTCCCTCGAGCAGTGAGCCAGATATCGAGTCGATTTTGAGCAGAAACTCCCGGCGGTTGGGGATTGTACCGTCCGGGGGGAAAGACGACAGAATCGGTCTGTGGATAGCCGGATACTTGAGTTGCGGTAAAATGCCATGGCACAATCGCGCAGTGGAGTGGCGTAGCGCAAGGGAAGGGATTTAGTCGTTGCAGCGGATTGCGGAGCAACCCGACCGAAACGCTTGGCAGAGCTTGAACATGATCACTTCGCGCAGGAATGGGTAGTGATGGAAAGAAGTATTGCATTACCACGCTGCTTTCATCAACAGCGAGTTGGTATCTAATGCATCCCAAACGCCAACCATGATTTTTCCCACCTGCAAACACGCAATGCAAGAACGGATAGGACTCCAGTCCGCTTATCTGTGGCTGGTCTTTCCGATACCACGCTTTCCGGCAGTCTAGATATTTGTTAGCAGCTATGCTGAAAGCGAGAGAATTCGGAAGTAAACCTACCAGATGCTTGATCAAAGAACCAGTCTGGTGCCTATCGGCCTCACCCTGCCTGGCCATCCTGTTCATCTTCTTCTGCGACAACTTCTGCAGCTTCTCAGCCTTGGTAGCGGCAGCCTCATCCGTAACACCATCATCCCTCCTGTTAGTGCTTTGGCTGCGACCCCGGCTCTTAGCACGTGCAAGCATTGCAGCACCGGGCGTATCGACCTCCATAGCATCGCCACCAGGAGCCTCTGATCTTCCACGAGCCAAGCTGCGGCCTCGCGCCTCTGCCTTTACAGTCGTACGCTCGACAGCCTTTGAGGGATCGTAGCCCAAACTCTCCAGATGTGACTCCATCTTTGACATTTGCATGGACTTCTTGGTCCTGGGGATGACTGCCCTGTTTTTGAGACTCTTGCGCATCTTGGCCTCGTTCCGGATGAGTTGCCTCTTCTCACGAATGAGCTCTGCCTTGTACCTAATGTCCGCTTCCTCTGCGTCTTCAAGGTCGTCGTCCGAGTCGTAAAAACCCTCACCCTCGAGCTTCTCCTCCTCAGCCTCAAGTGCGGCAAGCTTAGCCTCGATATCAGGGTCGATGAAGTCGTAGACGTTCTGGCCCTTGAAGACCTCAGGAATGCGGTCGTGTTTCCACTCGTCGTTCTCGAGAAGGTAGTTCTTGCGGAGATCAATGTTGTACACACCAGCTCCACCGTCTGCCTCTTCCAAATCACGCTCAAGGAGCGGCCTGTCAGGGTCCTCCTTGTCGTACTTCTTCTTGTTGAGTACCGCCTCTGGGATGGAAGTCTCGCGAGTGACGCCGCCCAACGGCTGGGCAACGTGAATACGGCGAAGCAGTTCACCAAGACGACCAGAAGGCTCGCCGGCGCTGTTGGTGCCGGCCTTGAGCTTCTCCGCGTTACGGGCAGCAATCAAACGATCGCAGACCGAGTTTCGCACGGCCATGACGCCCTCAGTAGTGTTGCAAGAGAGCTCCAGCATCTCAACCTCACCGGACTTGAGCATACCCTGTAGCTGTTCCTGGGTCTCGGGGTCGAGCTGGTTCGGGCGCATAAGATCGATCTTATTGATGACGATGGAGATCAGCTTGTTGGCGAACAGAGGCTTAATGTTGTTGAAAAGGGCGATTTGCGAGGCAACAGAATAACCGCACTGCTCGCTGAGATCCATAAAGTAGAGAATGTGGGCGCGGAGATGGGCAATAGCGCAAATAGACTGATGTTCGATGGTGTTCATGTCCTCGAGCGCGTGGTCCAAGATACCGGGAGTGTCAACGGCCTGGAACCGGAGCATCTTGTAGTCGAAATGTCCGACATACAGACTCTTGGTGGTGAAGGCGTAGGGCTGTACCTCGACATCGGCTCTTGAAATGGACTTCAAGAATGAAGACTTGCCGACGTTGGGGAAGCCGGAAATGACAAGTGTGCGGGTGTTGGGGTCGATGGACGGAAGACGACCCAGATGCTGCCTGACCTGCTCAAGGTAGACGAGAGGGTCCTTTAACCTCTTGCAGATGGTGGCCATACGACCCAGCGCCGCTCTCTTCAGCTGCTTGCACTGGAAGAGAGATTGTCCGTACTTGAGAAGACGGACATAGTCGCGCGCAACTGTCTCAATCAGCGACTTTGCGGTCGAAAGCTGACCAAGCGCGATTCGGAAGTGGTCCGCATCGTATAGGGTGTTGAGAAGATCGCGGTGGAACGGGTGGATGTCGGCGAGGCGCGGGAAAGCCTCGATGGTGGTGGAGAGGCGCTCGGTAAAGGTTTCGGAGGTGTACTTGACTTTTCGCGTGTAGAAGGCTCGAATTCTGCTGATTTTGAATCCAGCACGAATCTGTGTCGGCAATCTGAGTTCGAGTCAGCTTGATCATCCTTTGTGCGATATGCATTGCGCCTGCAGAGTCGCAAAGCGCAGGGCGGTAGAGAGAAGGCGCTTTGCGCGATTGTGTGAAGGAGAGAGCCTACCTCCTCTGGGTCCTGGAAAGCACAATATCCAGAAACTCCTGGCTCGTAGGCACAGCGGGGATATCCTTCCACTGGGTCTTCATTTTGGCGACTGCGGTGTGTTGATGTCGAGTAGAGCCGTCTGCGCGTTGGAGAGACTTCAGGGCAAAAAAGTTCACGACGCTATCGATACCGGTGGGGAAAATCGTTCGCCTCGCCGCCGCGCTAGTCCCGCATCCAATGTTAGCGTCGTTTGCCAGGGCAGTTGCAGTCATCAGACGCCTGGCAGCATTATCGCTCACGTTTCTAGCTGCAAGTTCTCCAAAACAAGCGATACATTCGAGCTGCACAAGCCGGAACTTTTATTTAGTCAACAAGACTACACTAACCTTGGGGTAAATCACGAATATGAACAGATGTATACTTCGGCGCAACTAGTACTGACCGCCGGCCTGTTCCCAGGACAGTGGCATTTCGAGCGGCTGATGGCGCGAGCCATACTTTTCGTGTTGGCACTCCCAGCCTCTGTTGCTGCTTCCACCACCTCGACTATGGTGAGATAAATCGACGATGAATACCACTGTCAAAGAGGCTGTGACGCGCTGTCGATTGCCCAGTTGCGCGTGGCTCTCTTCAACTAACTTGACAAACCTTACGAACGTGCCACCTCTGTTACCAGATTCAGATCTCTCAGGCATCGGGGTGAGTATCAAGACTCAACCTGCATTAATCCGCCTAACTCCGGCACGATAGGTCATCCTTGGTTTTTCAGTCTCAGCATATCTCACATTACTACTCCTCCTCATCCACTACATCACCGTCCACAACGTCCTTGAAACAAAGAGCACAACAAACACCCACATCAACGCAGTCGACAACCGAATCCTTACATTCATACGCTCCCGCATCTTCTCATGGACCCCCAGCCGACGCTTTCAATACGCCATCGAAAAGTCAGTCCTGATCCTTAGTGACCTAAACCTAGTCACCGGCACCGCCATTCTCATAGCCGGGTACTCACAACTGAAATGTGGCATATCTGCGTATCACTGGCAGATGATGGTCTTCATTTCGTGGTTCGCCAGTTTCGCTTTCGTGTCCGCTACGGCGTTTCTCGAGGGTTGCTCTCAGACCAACAAAAGTATGAGACTCGTTAGACTGGTCTTTATGGTTCTGCTCGCTTCTCTATTGATTACGGCTTTGCTCCCGACGGGGTCGAGGATGTGGCTCAATGGTTATCCTGATGATGGTGAGGGGTTCTATCCTAGTTTGAGCGCTATTTGCTTTTACAAAGAGCTTGGTATGCGTTCGTTCTTGCGGCGAGGTCCTAAGATTTGGTCTATGATCTTCTCTGTGGTTATCGTTGGTGTGTCTTTTGTTCGGTGTGGTATACAACTACTTGACCGAGGCGGGGACGTGTCTCGCACATGCCTTCGGACGTTACCTGGATCGAAGTTCAAGCGGTTCCTCAAATTCATGGAGGACAAGACGTCATCTCACACGATCCAGGCCTATATCTGGCACGCACCATACCTCCTCTCATATGCCGGCTTCATCATCGCTCGGGCGGTCTACGATGTCTCCGAGTCAATGCTACTAGAGATCCTCTGGTTGGCCTTCGCAATGGCCTGGGGAACAATCAAAGTCTGGGATACACGCGCTGCAGCCTCATGGAACTTTGACGGCTACAACTTTACTCTCAACCAAAAGGTCTCCGAAGAGAACTCCTGGGGTTTCGGTCAGACCTTGCCGTTGATCTTGCTCCTGCTACCGCTTCTCTCAATGGCCCAGGCTTACCTTGATGACGACGCAAAGGCTCAGGATACCCTGCGAGGGGATGGGGATACATCGTCTCCGCCTGGAACGGCAACGGTGGAAGAGGTGGAAGATCCGGGCGTCGTAGACCCGGATACATCGGAATCACAGAATTGCGATCGGCTTGTGAAGCTCCCAACGTATCCCTACGCGAATTTCGCCTCACACTCGTGGTACCACGATCACTTACTTCTCCTGGTCTCTCAAGTCATTATGGTCGGTACCGTTGCGCTCTTCTTTCTCACGCGCTTAGCAGATATCTTGGGCATCTCTTCAATTCTACGAAGTAGACTTTTCGTCATTTGGATTCTAGCCATCTTACCACTGGCCTCTTTTATCCACTTGACAACATGGTATCTAGCAGCTCTGATGATCGGTAGGTGGGTCGATGTAAGACGGTGGCTATCTAGAGAGGAGACAAGGGGGAGCAAATCAGTGCGAATAGTGTACTGGACATGCAGACTGGGAGTCATAGCAGGCTGCCTACTGTTCACGTTTTTTGTCAGTTTGGAGTCGGCTGGACCGAATTCGTTGTGGTCGTATTTGAGATGAACTCAAGTAGCGTTGGAGCGAATACATGTATGGTTGTTTGAGTGAATCTATCGTGTGGCTCATTTTAGTCTTTGGTGCTTCAGTCCAGGACCTGGTAATGAGCATCTACAGGATTCTTCCCATTAATCGTCAGAACGTCCTGAGGACACGCACTCATCACCACAACCACATCCCTAAGCGCCTCCAGAACTACATAGTCTCCCGGCTTCGTCTTCGGCTCTTCAAAACTAATACCTCTCTTCGCTCCCTCACCTTCCTGCGTAACAGGAATGTTCATGAACAAATTGAACGGATCCGGGACTCTGTATCCCATCTTTGCTTGGAGGCCTTCAAGAACCTCCTTGTCCTCAGGCGACAGAGAGGAAGATGTAGTCAACCCATGCAGAGCATCCCAGAAATTGTCTGTGCAAGACTCATGGTATCCATTTACACCCAGCTCACTGTACCGCCATCGATCACACGCCGCGACCAAAGTGTCATGCACACCTGGACTTGTATCTTCCACCAGTTTGACCATCGGCGCCCTCTTCTGACTGACCATTGTATCGCCCACTGCAGGTGTCACTTTCAAGAGCGTTGCCCGGCAGTGGCACATGGACATGTATTCGGGGGCGCTGGCAGCGGCGTTCGCAGTAGCGGAATACTTGGATGGCGAGTCCGAGGTTGCGTTTGGGTAGAGGGGTGCTTCGACTTTTGACGACGTGGTTGTGAGGGTGGAGGAAGGGAGCGCGAGCGCCCAGGTATCGACGACTTGGTTTCCGTAGGTGTTTGTTATCTTTATCTTTTGGCCTGTCTTAACGAGGGTGGCTGCTCCGCGGCGGGCGGGGACGGTTTGGAGGGTGGACATGGTGCGGTTGTGGGGGATGCTGTTGTCTATATTCTATGATAATTGAGGTGTGAGTATGTAGTAGAGTAGAGTTGCTACTTGAGAGCAGCTGAGGTATGCCATTATTTGTACATGCATACCCCACTTGTGCGGTCGCGTTAGGTCGTGGGACGGGAAGATAGGGAGATAGGAAGATGGCGTCCGAAGCTTATTTCACCCGTATGGCATAGATTAGCACAAGAATGGTGAAGTTGTCGTAGTCGGCCATGACAGCTTTGGTCTATGTCTACAGTGGAGCGATTGAGTTCAGACGCGCGGAGTGAGCGCGTAGCATCGAGTAGTAACCATGGTTCTAACCTCGGGAGGCCTCTCTCATCCACAAAGGTAACTCAGCCGAAGACTTATATGAATAATGTAGACTTGAGCGCAGTACATGAAGTGGGAAACGATTGGTGAAAGCGGAAGCAGAAATTGAAGTTGCGACATCGAGGTACCGCCTGCACCTGCGATCGTGTGTATCACGTGTCAAGAACGCGGCTTCCAAAACGACACCCTAGCATTCCCGAGCGCCGCAACCCAAATTATCCCCACCACAGCTCGACTCCTTTACCGCCAATCCGCACCATTCCTACCCACTCTCACCATGGCTGCCCTCGCGACCAAGACCGAGTCGCAGAACATCTTTACCAAATTGAAGTCGAAGCCCGCGAACAAAGTACGTCTTACCAGTAGACAGACACCACTCGGTCAATGCCTAATACAGCCCTAGATATGCTTCGACTGCGGCGCAAAGAACCCAACATGGAGTTCTGTACCATTTGGCATCTACCTATGCCTCGACTGCTCGTCCAACCATCGTAACATGGGTGTCCACATCTCCTTCGTACGATCCACCAATCTCGACAGTACGTTCACTCCGAGTCTCATGGCTATACAGTACATATACTGATAGATGGTAGTTTGGCAATGGGATCAATTACGAATCATGAAAGTGGGCGGTAACGAGAGCGCTACCAAGTACTTCCAGTCGCACGGAGGTTCTGCTGCGCTCGCGAGTAAAGACCATAAAGCCAAATACACCAGCAATGCCGCCACCAAGTACAAGGAGGAGCTGACTAGGCGCTGCGCTGCGGATGCCAGGATGTAAGGACAAATTCTCTTACACGGTAAACGGGGCTAATCTGAATATGCAGGTACCCCAACGAGGTCGTGATTACAGATGTTCCCGAGATTGGCACTGACGGCACCAACACGCCAGCCAATGACGAAGACGACTTCTTCTCCTCATGGGATAAGCCCACCATCAAGCGCCCGTCGAACCCACCCTCGCGGACCGGTACACCCAAGGTTGGAGGATCACCCTTCCTGAAGCCTGGCGCCAACGGCAACGGAACAGATCGTCCCAAGTCGCCCCTCGTTGGCGGTGAATCGAGCACACCCGTTGCAAAGCCCGCTGCCGTACGAAAGACGACCGCAGGCGCTGCGCCGAAGAAGAACATTCTGGGAGCCAAGAAGAAGGGTCTCGGAGCAAAGAAGGTGGTTGCCGCAGATGGAGGCCTAGACTTTGAGGAAGCAGAGCGAAAGGCCCGTGAAGAGGCTGAGCGCATCGAGAAGTTGGGCTATGATCCCGAAGCTGAAGCCGCTGAGGCCGCGGCGGCCACCAAGTCGAAAGCCCCCGAAGCATCCGCCATTGTCTCCCCGACTCCCGTATCGCCGCCACGAGGTGGTTTCGGCTCCACCTCCAAGACCGAGCGCTCCAGCCAGGATATGGAGAGGTTAGGCATGGGCGTACAACGTCTGGGCTTCGGACAAGTGGGTGCAGCGAAGAAGGCTGCACCGCAGAAGAAGATGGGTGGCTTCGGCAGTGTCGGCAAGCCTGCGCAGGATGACGGCGAGAAGTACGCGCGCGACAAGTTTGGCACACAAAAGGGCATCTCCAGTGACGAGTTCTTTGGGCGCAACGCATTCGATCCTACTGCCACTGCACAGGCCAAGGAGCGATTATCAGGTACGTGACATCTGTTAAAGCATGCACGTTTCGATTACTAACTTGCTATGTAGGCTTCGAAGGCGCGAGCGCTATTTCCTCCAACGCATACTTTGGCCGACCCGAAGACGAGGTCGGTGACGAGGACTACGGTGACCTTGAAACTGCTGCCAAGGACTTTGTCCGCAAATTTGGTCTTACTGCTGGCGACGATCTCGAGAACCTGACGAACATGCTTGGCGAGGGTGCGACGAAACTGCAAGGCGCTGTCCGGAACTACCTCAACTCGTAGGATGACTTCGTGGATGACTTTGTGGCCGTACACGATAGCCTTGAGGCCGTGTACTGAACATAACGATCCGGTATACGGAGAGCAGGGCGTATTACCATGTGCAAAGCTTGTCGCAGACGTCGAACAACAGGTGTGGGCGCTTGGTGTATTGCATGGAGCGGGCAGATGAAAGACTATGAAGCGTGGAGTTGGCCGTACATTTCTACTGCGCTGAAGACGTGGGCTTGGGAATGGGTGTTTGGGAGTATAGACAAACGCAACTAAGAGTCCTTCAATTCAACCTCGTAATCTCATCTGATCCCATTGATACAATACACAACTCTGAACGCCAGGCATAAACAACGGTAATGTGAACTGAAACCGACTTCCAAGATCTAACGCTAAACACCCTGCTCAATCCTCTCTATCCCCCCAAACATCAGCCTCCTCTCTCGCCACAGCATCTAGATCAATCATGCCTTTCCCCTGTCCTCTCCCCTCATCTTCATCATCCTCTTCATCACTACTACTCTCCTGTACCCTTGCCTCTTCCCTGCTCATAGACCCCCACCCCGCATCTTCATCCTCGTCGTCCTGAGGGAACGCAGGAGACACAGGGACGAAGTCGTCCATGAGGTTACTCGGGAGACCAGCAGGCGCAGGGCGCGGATGCGAAGACGATGGTGGGGAGGGGGAGAGGGGCATCATTGCCATTTCGGGGTGGTTGGATAGTGGGGGTTGTGGTGGTGGTGTGGTCGCTCCGTCACGGAGACGAGAGGATTCCGCCTTGGGGGGAGGAGGTATGGTGACATGTTGTTTGTCCGCTTCTTTCGAAGCAGGTCGGACTTCTTCTTGCTTCCTCACCTCCTGCCGTACGGGAGCTGTCTTCACAGCCGCTGAAGTATCAACTTGTTGTGTAGGTGGCAGCTTAGCATGATGCTCCTGCTGCTGTTGCTGCGAGAATGGGAAAATGGAGAAGAGACTTGAGCTTAGACTGTGCCTGTTTGGTGCGCTGGGCCTTTGTTCCTGTCGGAGTGCTTCTTCCCTGCTTCGGTGTAGGTTGGGAGGTGGGTGCGATGCGGAATGTGAGTGCGAAGGCGGCTTTCGGCCAACGACTGGACTGGGCGGTTTCGCGATTGTGGCTTCTGGTAAAGAGGCTTCGCACATTTCACAGGCTGTGAGGGCGGGGTCGTTAAGGAAGGTGCAGCGCGGACATTGCTTTTTGAGGTCGGGTGTTGAAGGACGGTGGGATAGGGAGGGTTCCTGGGGTGGTTGTGCTTGTGGTCGGGGAGGTTGGCGGGGAGGTGCTGGGTCGTTCTGGGTGGGCATTTGGTAGCCTGGACTGTATCTCTGTGCAGTTTTGGAGTTTGCTGGCGCCGAGTCGCGTTGTCGGCTTGTAGATGATGTGCCTGCACTTGCTCCAGCGTTTGGATTCGGGTCCACTGATATTACGACCTGTACATCTCGTTTCGTACCACACTTCATACACTGACACTGCCGTACAACGCTCTTCGTATACGTATCTGTGACCTCGGTAGGTGCATCGAACCGGATCTCGAACTTCCCTGGCTCACCGAACCCTGGGGTATTCCTGTCGTTCCCTCTCCCTTTGGCGTTTGCATAACCTGCTCCTTTCGCTACGATCGGTATAATAGGGTCAACCGCTCCAAAGATGAGATGATCCACAAAGGGTATCAACATCAACTTTCCACTGGTCTTGATGTGATGATCAATTTCAGGACGGAGTTGGAACGAGTCGATGGACTGTAGGACGCGGAAATACTTATTGAACATGTCGCCATACCATTGGCGAGCCTGAACACCCTGTTGCAACAAATCTTTCGCAATGTTCCGTGGTGCAGGACTGGGCCATAGTGCGTCGATCAAATGCTTCTCTTTCAATGCCTTCCTCACCATTAAGTCTAGTCTCGCGCATTCATATAGCCTCTTCTCCAGTCTGTCGTGCAATTCGTACTTTGCGATTCTAATGACCAAGCCTCTCACAAATCCAGCATCGAGGTTCCATTTTCTTGTAAAGTAGTCTAGAGATTCCAAATCTTTCTGTGCCTGCGCATTTGCGGGTCGGACAACAAGCGGTGAGAGTTCGTGGCCCATGGAAATCCATCGTTCGGTTTGCCGTGGAAAGGCGGTTGCTGTCGACCAGAATGAGCGGATGGGGTAGTACTCGGCTTTGAAGTAGTTGTAGATGAAATCTAGGAAGTCAGCGTCTGTAAGCGGCATTGCTGCGTGGCCGCGTGGAATGTCCATGGTGGATGGTGGTCGAAGGTGGCGAGACGTGTGAATGTCTCAGGCTTGGAAGGCAATCACAAAATCATTCGTGACAGGAGACAAGGAGTTTGGCCGCAGATGTGAAGGTAGTTGAAGCGCTGTCGTGATCTAGCGGCCTGAACTGTGCGAAATGTTGCTGCCTGGACGGAGTGAAAGATTACGCGTACAGGAACAACGTAGAAACTAACAAAAGTGACGATGTCTATTTGAAGCTGCGCCACAGCATGTGATGTGTTAGAAGCGCTTGGAAGTCTGATTGCTCTGCTTGTTCTTGTGACCGGGTTTCTGGAGACGCACGTCATTGTGTGGCGGTGGCTGTGCTCGCACCCTCCGCGTCGGATCTGAGCGCCCTCTTTCCTCGACCTTCCAGAACTCCAGAACTTCACAACAACACGCTCGTCCCATGTTCGCAATGCGCCATGATATCCATCAAGATGAGACATCAATATGCAACCACCTGGCGTCGACATCTTCGCTTTTGGGAATAAGGACGAGATACTGCGCAGGTACTTAGTTGGCGGAAACGCACAGAGAATGGGCTTTCGACGCAACGTTGGAGCGATTACAGAGCATCCTAGCCATAACACCTGCAATTCGACTGCCTTCTCCTGTGGAAATACCTCAAACTTATCAGGGTCATGCCATCTGGAAATAGCTCAGCCTGGTCAAGATATCCCTTATATCTGCGTGGAGCATTGCCTCGGCTTGGACATATCCGCTCAAAACTGACCTCCTGAGAGATGGAGAAAAAGCCCCAGGAACGGCACATCTCGAAGAAAACTCTCCTTGCCCCTACGACACTAACTATGTTTGAAGGTGGTAGCATAATCGTTCTGGCCCAAGTCTTGCGCAAGGGTTCGTAGGGGTAAGGGTCGCGCAAGGGATTTCCTATCCAAACACGATCTGACTGATCGGTGTGCCACATTTCACTTTCGAAGCTCTCCTATACGTGGAACCCCTCTCAATTTATGTTGGAGCCGGTGTTTTGATCCTGATAAGAGCCTGTCGACATCGACGCACATGGCTCGCATGGGGTATACAGCGATCGACCAGGAGATTTCGGCAGCCCACGCTGCCTGCTGCATTTGTACCCGCATGCGTCTATCTAGCACATGCCCGATTACTAGACGCCGTTGACTAGTTAAGAGGCGGGCGAATACACTTATACTTGGCTTGGTCCCTCATGATCACACAACCACATTAACCGTTCCAATCCTGACTTGATTTCGGCAGTCCATACGTACAATGTCTACAGTGTCTACCACTACAACGGAGAAGGACGAAAAGCCAGAGAGGCCGGATATGTCTGATGGTTTGCAGATCGCTCAACCTGAGACATATCCCGAGGCTGTCAACCGCTACTGTGCCAACGGCGATACGAAGCTACCTCAAATCAACGATGATGATGATGATGATGATGATGATGATGATGATGATGATGATGATGATGATGACGACGAAGGTGGACGTGGTCGTCCGCCGCGGACGCGATCATCACGCCTGCGTGGCTCTCACGATATCATATCATGCCGCACTGCAATGGACAGCGATCAGGATCAAGCTCCTCACATTCAGGTCCCGCCTGATATGTGGAAGAAGTTTTTTGCTCACCGGCGACGCAAATACTGGTTCACTCTCGCCATGTCGTTCACCATTGTGGCTGCACTTGTGGGCACCAGTATAGGTGGAGGACTTATGGTGCAAGAGAAGGCTGATAAGTAAGACACTGTTCTGTAATATATTGTCATTACCTAATGCTTTATTAGGAAGGCCGAAGCACTTGCCGCCGCGCAAGCTGCGGCGAGTTCGAGCATGGAGCTGATACCCACACCCACATCGGCGAGTCCATCGGATAGCTCAGCGGATGCTCCATCAGATACTCCAATGGAAACCCCATCAGTCGGATCTGAGGACACGGGGACGCACTACACCGCGAGACCGTTCGGCGCCATACAGTCAATCAACGCAACATGCCCATCGACGCTTCTTATCTCGAGTCGACTGTAAGGCAAGACGTCGGATATCAGTGGTCGGTACACGTACAACTGTCTCGACAGCACTAATATCCTAGACACCACCCTCATGAGCTTCACCGCATACACTTTGGAGCAATGCGTCGACGCGTGCAGTCAATACAGCGCCATGAACGCAAGCAATACATGCAAAGCCGCTGTGATTAGCCCTGACTTTAGCGCGAGGTACGAGACTGAGAATGGCGCGAATTGCTGGTTGAAGAGTGGGAGCGGGGATGCGAGTACGGGGCAGAGTGGGTATACAGCGGCGGTGCTGCGGGAGGATTGAGCGCAAAAAGAAGGTGTCATGTCTATCGTTTACCATTGTAAAGATCGTTGTCGGCGTTCTCTTTGTCCACATAATGGACGGCTTGGGATTTTGTACCTAAAGAATTAGCGAGCGTTTGAAGTGACTCCATCACGATCTGTTCGATACCAATGTCAGTCGTTATAGTTTTTATGTTTTAACAGCACCTCGGTTTTGGTGAGCACCTCATTCCACGAAGTACCCTAGAGTCTATGTTGACGTTAGTTCGCCTGATTTACATGTTTTCACCTTAATGTAGGCTGCAGACCTGTTCGGATTTTCCTTTCATAGGGTGTGGGTATGGGTGAGCTACTAGTTCGCTGTAGTTGCCTAGGTAGTTTAAAGCCAATCTACACTTCTAGCAAGTCTCATTCGAATGCCATAACAGAATCCTTAGAGTAACATAGGCTAGCAATTGCTAAGTGCAAGTCGCTTCATAGTGGTAGAGCAGTGTTCGTGGTAGGGTAGAGTATGTTTGCTCATACCAGTATGTCACGTGTACTTAAACCAGGCGGTGACTTTACATCATGCAAAGAGCAAAAGGGAAGTGTCGTACTATGTTCTAGAACCTATCTGATGCATAATTCGCCTTCCAAAGCTTCCAGGTCATCCCCGCAAAAAGATTCACCCAGCAAAAAGATATACCAACCCATTTTCGAATCCCAAAAGAGCAAAAGAGATATTTCCGACACCGGGAATCGAACCCGGGCCTTGCCGGCACTGCGCTGCAACAGCGAGCTAACTCTGCTATGAGAGCGGCAAATCCTAGCCACTAGACCATATCGGACTTTGATGGAAGGTGAAGAGGACGTCAACAATATAAAGAGAACCGAAAACATTTGGCATAGCGACGATGAGATAAGACCAATCTTTGTCAAGAGAGATGGAGACGGTGAAAAACCACACTGGCAAGTCCGTAGAAGATTTTGACCTGTGGAGGGTGATGGCGGGGAACTTTTCTGCAGACCCCTGACTACCCCCACTTTGCGAAATCTCTACCACCAACATCCCGGAGGCACTGCGGATGTGCTACAACGCTGTTTGAAGCCACTGAATTCGCCGCACGAGTGCTTGGGGCGATAGAGTTGGTAAATTACATACGGTAAGCCAGTGCGGTGAAGTTTTACCAAGCCACATGTCTCTTGTACATCTTGATAAAGATCTTCAACGCGGAATACTTGTCAACCCTTCGCATTTTCGCAGAGCATCTATTTGCATGGGAACATCCCGGCTGTTGCCTGTGTCAAGATGGCGCATTGACTTCAGAGACCTTAACTTTGTCGATGCGACTACTACCATATCTCATTACAATGGCGAAATCCATTCGGCATCTCGATCTATCAAACACATCTACAACGTGATGAGCCTACTATGCTTTCCGGGCGCATTCATCCAGGGTTCTTGTATAGTTTGGCCAGCGATGGCAAAGCATTTATACTTTATCGACATCCAGGTTGTTAATAGACATAGGGTAGAAACCTGCTTGATACACGGCAGTTACCGAATTCCGAACCCTGGTACGAAAGTACTGCTGCAATTTGGCCTTCTCAACATGTCACCATTACAGCAGTAGTATTGTATGGTTCTTCCATCAACGGGCTCGCAACCACCTCATTCAAGACAAGGACTGAACACTCTAGAGCCTAAGTTAACTTTAGACTATCTACAATGCATGCAATCATGTTGATGTAGGCTCTAGGGTATTCACTGTTTTCCTTGAATAAAGTGCAACGTGAAAGTTAGTCGACAAGCATAACCTCAGCCATGATGATCAAGTCCTCATTTACCAAGACACCCATAACACGATACATTACTGTCATTGAGCCCGCGATCCTCTTCGCTACAGTGCAAATCCCCGAGGTTTATACAGTCTTCCTGTCAGATTTACTTTCATCGAGAGATGCATAGCAATCGTTATCTCATCTCCAATCCATGCGACGAAACAGGGAAATGCGACGTCCGGTTGGAAACAATCTTCTAGTGTGTCGCGTACGGATTGTCGTCAGCCCAGATCTGCTCACTCTGGGCGAGACAAGGTTAGCTTCCACTGCTCAGCCAGATTTTGAGTCTGGTACTGCACCCGAGTTCAGTAGTTTGGTTGAACTGCTGACGGGTAATTTAGAGGCTTATCAGATCGATAAGATCGTCATGCTCGATCCGTATGTCATATTTTATGCTGAGTAAACATACTGCTCGCGCTCTACATTCGAAGATAGCGAAGCGATAAGTTAGTTCAACATGGTGTTTCACTTGATCTCCTTCGCCATACGCTGTAAAGAGTGGCGAAGCATCAATATTGCGTTACACCATGTCGTCAAACAGTACGTCCCAGTGCGCATACGAGTGACCCAATAGGAGACGCACGATGTTCAGCGACGAACCAGGGTCTTGAAGATCAATGCCTCCCCTTCGAGAGCTTGTGAGGTCGGGTAACGCTCGACGCGACTCCGGCAGGCTCTCGAACCGAGTAAAAGCAATTGTAGCATACGTACTTGGACGGCAACGTACTTCGGTACTCATCGATGAGACTAGTCAAGATTGGAAGGAGGTGCATGTCGTAGTCTCTCTTCCAAGAAGTGGAGAAATGCAGGTACGAAAAGACAATGCGATGTGATGGTCCGGCAGTTAGCAACAATAGTTCCGTTGTTGTTTGACTAAGCCACACAATGAGAGCTATCTGTGCTGTTTATTCGTCATATTGTTAGATTTCTTTCTGGTCTAGACGTTATTTTCATCTCGCCCTACTCGAGTTTTCAGCTCCGTTGGTTTGTATTGGTGCGGATCAATTTGCCGGGTTTGTTTGCCAAAAGGAATGTAGAGAAGCAAAGAATGGTTTCCATGCAGAAATACTCTAGCTGCAGTAGCAAATGATAGTCTGCGCCCCAGTGGCGAAGTTCGTAAGGAGTTCGCAGCAGAAGCAACGACTAGCGGTATGCAGATTGTTTTGCTATAGGCCTTGATGCGATGACCAAGTTGGATACGCTGGATACGCGAATAGCAGTCGCGGAGTGAATTATCGGTGACGAAACTAGAAAAAAGAGAAGCATAGCAGTAAGGTTTGCATTGCTCTTGCGTGCTAAAATGCAAAAATAACATACAACAGCGGGGATTCGCCAGTGGTCACCCACCTGACTACTAATCCGCCGTTCACAGGCTTGAGTACCGCTGAGCGAACGGGAAGCGCTATTTATCCTGAAACTATGGTCGTATGTGAAGAAATTGGTGTGGTAGCGCCGTAATATAGTTGGCATTCGAGAAGGTTGACAGAAGCACCTGCAGTGGTTGTTGCCATCGCGCCAAAATGGATTGGAAAACCAGAACTTGCAGTTGTAATAGTATCGGTACCGTACCTGCGAAAGACGTTCCTTGTATGAGACCGCGTATCGTTACAATGACATGCATGCAACCTACCAGGATCGTTGACATGGGTAGCCGATCAATGTCACCGAAGCTTCCTTCGGATGCGCCCCGTTCCTTCGGCAGGATCCCGAGCACCAGAACTTGGGGTGGGAACTAGTTGCTACGTCAATGACGACAAATCGGGTCTTTTGGAAGGGAGCCATGTGCAGTGAAGGACGTTTCGCATGAGGCAACGCTGTCGGCTGATGGCGTAGACAGTGGCGTCGGGAAACTTCGCTTTAGCCGTGAGTGAAATCCGCTCGTGTAATATGGGATGCTGTATGGCTGCAGGTGTCGCTGCACTAGCAGTGTCGTGTACACGCTTCCGTTACGGCGGAGTCGTACCTGCGCAAGCTACAACCCTGAGATGGTTCACGGTATCCTGTGGCTGCGCTTGAGGACAGCGGTGAGCGAGGACATACTGTGCTTTAGGAAGCCTGATATATCAGCCGTTGCTACTTTACTGCCTTGTTGTGGTTGACCTTTCCTCTCGAGAAGGTAGTAGAGGAGACGACGACGACTCTGGTACTAACGTCGCATAGGAACAACCTTGGAACGACTATACGTCTAGCGGGTATAGGCTGCGGGGTCAGAATGTTCATGGTTGCAGACTACTGACTTGTTGAATTGACCTTGTCGTCATCTATAAGGGCGCATCTCCGAAATGACAGAGTTCTCAAGCATCAGCAGCACAACAGAAGAGATCCCATACGACCATGTCACTTTGAAGGATGAATACTTGGATCGCAGGTCGCAATCAAGGCCTTGCTGCACTCAACAGCCGCAATTGACAGCCGTGAGGAACACCCGGCATGGCAGATATCCTAACCGAACATCGAAGCAACCGCTTTAGACGTGGGTGTGCGGGTGAGCATGTCCGCAACACTTCGTGCGGCTCTCGAATGCAAGTCGTGTATACTTCCCCTACCCACGACGTCAGCGCCTCCATCCGATCACGTGCACTTCGCAATAACTTACAGAAGTGACTAGCGAATGTGGGGAGTGCTGTCAATCCCCTTGTCGAAAATGGCAAAGCGGATGAGGGGCGTAGATATGGCATCAGCCCATGTCGAAAATCAAGCTTTGGATCTAGGGTCCAGGTCGCTAAGGTGAGCCCATTGAAGTAAGGCGTCTTCAGTAGTCGCCGTTCACATACCACTACACGCCCAATGCTGTTCCGTCTCTCGTGGAAGCCACAACAGAGAACTCTTTCGACCCCTGCATCTCGATTGCAATTGCAAAATGTGCTTCCGTCAGATCGTCACCGGTGTAGTTTTCTATGAATGGCTGCCCGGATCCGGTTAACCACGCCGCAAGCTCAACCGCATCCCGTTATCTTGGAGAGCTTTGTCTAAAATTGGCCTTATAGTTCGGTCACTTCCGTAAACAGCCATGATCGGGACATACCGATGACTCGGAAAGTGGTTGCTTTTGCAGCCAGGATGTGAGGTGCAGCATCTCGGGTCCAGCACCTTGGTAACCTGGGCTCAACCCCTGTCTGTAGGGTCTTCACAATGACGCCCAAAGTAACTGTACTTGCACGTCTTCCTTTTCATCTGATCCTTAATAAGCGGGAAGAGTACCCGCAGCCGTCGAACCGGTGACCCGTTTGATAGACCAGGACTAAAAAGCACAAGAGACCGCGACTGCGCCGAGCGGACCAGTAGACAGTTCTCCCGGTGAACGTCTGACACTGACTTTGAAAAACAAAACAAGGCAGAATTATGTCTTTGCCAACCCTGAGTCGTGCATGCGTGCAGCACTAATGCAATCGTGGTGTGAAGATGCTGCATTAGCGTGCTGGGTGAGGCTGGTCTGTCGCATCCGTACCCGCGATGTCGAATGCGAAATTCAGCGGCCATTACTGGAAATAGAGGTATTCCGAGCCCCACAAAAGTCCACATGATCGTCATTCCGCACTGCTCATCAGCACATGGCATGAGGAGGCATAGCGCCGAGCTCACAGGTATCTCGCTCCCTTGACCCCGTTGAGCCCTGAATGAGGCAGTTGACGAGGCAGTCGACTCGTGGGCTGGAAGTCATCACAATCAGAGGCTGATGATGCCCAGCTGTCGGGTTCGCGATTCCTGGACGAAAATCATAATAGAAGCGCGGGCCCCCGCGGCAATGGCTCTTGATTGCGGAGCTTGGTATTCCGCTCAGCTTGCCCTGAACCGCCACCAGCGCGAAGATGCTTTGCATGCCGGCCACTCTAGTAGCAGTTGTGCCAGTGACGTCGAAATATGTCCGGGGTGCTCGGTGAATCAAACGCGCGAAACCAGACAGAAGGTCCGGTAGGGTGGTTGATGGTATAGGTTAATTGGCGGATGCTTAAGCTCGTTGGCCGGCGCGCGTGAGACGACGCCATCAGTCGATCAGCACCATGCCTCTTCAGGTAATGATAGAGCCATGTATCAGAGGCAATCAGAGCAGACCACCGTGGCAATTGCGCGATTCCTGGAGGCCTGGCAGCAATAGCGGCTAGCTAGGCCATTGGCAATGTCCACAGCTGTTGAACAGGGCGAGTACAAATCCGCTCCAGCTGGGCCAGTCACTGTGATGGATTGGGATGATATGTACGTGAAGACGCGTCGCACACGAGATGTCTTTTGCGCGGAATAAGGTTTGTGTCGTGGGAACAGAAGCATGGCCAGCTGTCGCCCGAGTCCCACGTTCCACTCAGGCTCCGCATGCGAACGGAACCTCCACGCGACTGAGGCTGATGACAGCTGCCCAAGCGGCTAGCAGGCAAAGCACGCTTCAGGGTGGAGCAAAGTGTCAAAGAGGTTGCTTTGCCGACGTGCAGTGGGTGGGAGCGAGAAGGGTGAGGATCCTCGGCAAAGCATCGTGGCCGCTTCCGAACTCGGCAGCGTACCAAGTGATTGCAGGTTAGCTCCTCAGGCCGACGTCCCGCCGTCCATCTCTCAACGCTCGCAACCAAAGAACCCCCATCGCTTCGACAGTCGTGTGTCTATATTGGGCAGATTGGCTGGGAACCCACGTCCAACGCAAAACATCATACCCCCCTCATTAGCCTACCCGGCATCAGATCCGTTGATCAGCCGCCAATTTTCTTCTCCCACTCTCCTAGCGCAAGCCCTTCAATACCCCCGGTCCATTGGCACGCACTCCGACAAGACCTCGCACGACAGGTGCCGAATCGAACTTGACTTCCTGCCCTGCTCTGAACACTCCAAGTCCGTGTCCGCACCCGCTGTTTCTGCATCCGATTGCTCACCCTGATCCAACCCCCATGTACCTTGTCGCTCCCCAGAAAAGTATAGTTCCCATTCTAGTCTAGAACGCCTTTGCTCCTATGGTCATTCCATGCCCGATGTAGGTACTGTGGACGCGCTATCATTTTACGTACAGCCTTCCGTACCCACGAACAGCGGCGGGCTTGCCGCTCGCTCCCCTTTTGGCCTTCCCAGCGGCCTCTGACACCTGGTGCGTGCTCCCCACTTCGTTATAACTAACATTGAAGCCCTGACTCCACATGGCTCCCGTGGGCTGAATGATCGACTTTCCCTGAGTAGATTTGTTCTTGCCTTTGAGCCCTGGATTCCTACAAGACGACACCATCACTTTCATCTTTAACCAAGTCGCCCGTGAAGCTTGACTGCCTCGTCACTGGCGCCCCGCAGGACTCAACCATTCAGATCGGCACTGCTGCGAGGTTAATCGATCTTGGCTCCGTACCCACTTCCAAGCGGACAAACATCAGCCCGCCGATCCTGTGCCCCCATTCCTCAGGATCGAAGATTACTCAGGTATGTCATCTACCTAGGCTTACTCCCTTATATGGGCCTTGTAGCTTCGTACTAAGTACTACAGACTCGCTTGTTGTACCTCTCTCTCTTTACTCGAACCCATGGACAGTATGGCGCCGGCATCAATCTCGGGTGGTCCGGGCGACGTATCACCAACAGGCCTCTCAGGGTCTGCAACCAACTCCAAGATGAGAAAGAGGACCAAAACTGGATGTCTCACCTGTCGAAAACGCCGCATAAAATGCGGTGAAGAGAGACCTACTTGCAACAACTGCATCAAGTCCAAACGCCAGTGCGAGGGCTACAACCAAAGAGTCATCTTCAAACCACCGATTGGGGACTGGCCAAATCACCCAGGCGTTGTCAGCACTATCCAATATCACACCTCCATGCTTCCTGGCTCACGCAATCAATCATATCGAGTGCCCGAGTCAACTACCGGCATGCAGGAGGGCATGCTTGGTCCGATCCAGCCACGCCCGCACGGTAGCTTCGACTTCTCCCACATCGATGCGAACCAGACTTCAGCGCCTTTAGAACCCCCACAAGTTTACGCTGGAGGTAACCACGGCTATACACACGACCAGGCTTACCAGCAGCCTCATCAACAACCTCTGCCATCACCTCTTCACCAACAGCCGCTTTCTTCGCCAAACCACCCATCACACGGTCACACGCCAACTACATCATATTTCCCGCCCCCTCAGTCTATGCACACCAGCCCACAGACACAATATAGGCACGATTCACACGGCACTTTTCAACCTCCCATCCAGTATACACAGAGCGCGCCATATCCACCAGTCTCGGTGCCGTACAGCCACGAATCCAACCTCAAACCCACAATTCATCAGCCTCCGCCAAACTACCCGCAGGCCTACCGATCCGATAGCCAGCAAGCCGAAGGTTCCTATCGGGATCATTCGAGTGTATCGCCGCGAAGCGACCAGTATCCTCATTACACAGAGGCACCACCGGGCATGCAAAGATACGACAGTCATCCGCATGCTCCTGTACACCCTCTGCAAGGAGGTCCCCCGAGCTTCAACCACGTTGGAACTCACAATTACCCAGCAGCAGTTTCTCACGCTGACTTTAGTCATGCAAGCTATCCTCCTGTGCAGATGCCCATTCATGATATGACCCCAGATGTAAAGTATATGTCTCAGCCTGTCCTCGGTATGTCTCGTGTCTAGTTAAAACCTCATATACCCCAATGACTATCATTATTCTCTTCGTGTCCCAACCCATTGTCAGTCGACAAATTCGTGCATGTCTTTTAAGCCTGGGATTCCTTGAATCTTCCCAGGTGCGACAGCACGTCACTCTCTACCATCTATACTTGTTCGTGAATGTCACCAGGCTGACCAGTGGTGTATACAGACCAAGCTACTGCCGTATCGCAAAAACAAGTGCCCCAGCCGCAACTCCTTCTCGGCGGATTCGATATCGACGACCACGTCAGTCCCACACAAGTTCTCGACGAAGCCGCGATCGAAAACGAAGACGACGATTACTGGGACGTTCAATCAGACGAAGAGATGTTTGATGCGGAGACTATCGAGGATGAGAAGGCTCTACTCGCGAGCAAGGAATTCAGTAACATCCGTCGCATACACCTTGAGAATTACAACGAGCTTGGAATCAGACGATACGATACGTTTTTGTACGACGGCTTACTGTCGCACTATAGACCGGAGTATGCAGCAAGCCCCTTGCGCAACCCCAAGACTGCGAGGGTTTTCGCGCACTACATTCATGTGGTAAGTTTGACGAGACCGTTAGATTATGATCGATCGAAGTTGTGTAGAGCTTACTGACATTTGATAGACCGGACCTACGTTGTCGATGTACGAACGAAATCCCCGAAACCCCACCCTCATCTTCGAAAGCACTACGCACCCAGCTCAGCAAGGACTCTGGACACATACACTACCGTTGAAGGCCCTCAGCCACCAAGGACTTTTACACGCCATGCTAGCGCTCGCGAGCCTGCACATTGCAAGACTACAAGGTGCTTCTATAACGCCGTCTTACAAACACTATGCATACTCTCTAAAACGCCTCGTCCGCTCTCTCGGCAACCCTACAAAACGTCTATCGACCAACACACTAGCGACCTCCTTGCTCCTGGCCTTCTACGAAGTATGGACTGCAGAGCACGTGAAATGGGGAACACATCTCGTTGGTGCCCAGCGCCTGATCACCGAGCTCGACTTCCGGTCACTCACGCGAGAGTATAGACGAATGCGAGCAGCGCAGACTGCGATGGAACGACAATTCCCACATCAGAATCCGGAGATGTTGTTTGACCAACGACAATTCGACCAAAGGCTCAGAGACAGCGCTTTGATGCCAGACCAGAGTCTCGTGAGCACGATCGTGGGGAAGAAGGTCAATTACGACGACTTTGGAATGGTGTTTGAAGACAATGGCGCGAGGCACGACGCGAGGCAAAGCATACCCGCAAAATTGGACTTGCAAAGTTACGAGACACTGCAGGATATCTACTGGTCATATGCTAGGCATGATGTTTACCAGAGCCTTGTGAGCGGTCATCGTCTTATGTGAGTAACTTCGGACAGGATCTAGGAATCGAGACTGACATTGAGCAGTAATCCCTACCGTAAATGGTCCGACTGTCCTCCAAGAGCCCCACTCGGCCGCACCGATGCCCTCTACGGCTCCCATGATCATATCATTCTCCTCCTAGGTCGTATCGCAGATTTTACAGTTCGGGACCGTACTCGCAAACTTCGACAGGTGGAAGCGGATGGTGGATGGCGACCCCGCCCTGGTATGCCCGGTTTTGGCAGTATGGGACCATCCCCCGGTGGCCCACCTGGTCAACAACAGATGCATGCGGGCTTCGGTGGACCTCCGCCTCAAATGCAAGGCCCACCGCTAGGATGGAAAGGACCACCACCTCCAGGATGGATAGGTCAACCTCCACCACAGCCTTCACCCGGCTATGGCCCACCACCCGGAACAACTGGAGGACCACCCCCGGGCCAACCACCACCATCCATGCCCAATTTCTACGGTATGGCTCCCTCAGCAGGCCCAGGCCCAATCCTGTCCAGTTACGAAAACCCAAACTACGAACGCTCACCTCCCACCCCCAATGTACCCAACCCACAACACGCCGACCTACCCACCCTATACGAGAAAGCAGTCTCGGAATGGGAAACCATCATGGATGCCCACACATCCGTCTTACGAGTCTTAGAACAAAGCGAAGCCTTTGCCCCTTTGCCAGAAGATACCTACCCACCAGCACCAGGAGGTCGGCCCTACGAACACGGTGGAAACATGACACCCTTCGGCCCAGCCATCCTACATAGGAGCTACGACATATCCATCCTATGGGGCCTCGTCCACCTCTCCAAGATCATCCTTTTGAGATCACACCCGGGCATGCCACCTGCTGCGCAAATGGCAGCCGGAGTCTGCGCCTCTGCCACAGCGCCGTACTGCATGCTCATCGGCCGTATATGGGCTGGCGTCAGTATACCAGTTACCTCGGACCTCTCCCCTTTCCTCGGCGCGGTCCTGACTGAATCCACCCTCTCTCTCTTCTTCGCTGGAATCACGTTCCAGGACCCGCGGCAGCGCGAGTGGCTTATCACGAGACTGCTTGAAACGGATAAGAAGACGGGGTGGGCGAGCGCGGGGATCATCGCGAAGGGGTGTGAGACGGCGTGGGAGAAGGCCGCGGAGATGGGGAGGGGACCGCCGTATAAGAGGAGGACTAAGAAGATGCAAGTGGCTGATGTTGAGACTGAGGTTAATGAGGGGGGTGTGAAAGGAAAGGAGAGGAAAGAGGGGAGGGTTCAAGAGCTTGGCGAGACGAGGTTTGTGGTTAAGAGAGGTCCGCCGCCTTGGGCTATGAATTTGTTGGGGACGGAGGAGGATCTTAGGGTGGGGATGGAGAGGTTTGGACTTTGAAGGGGGAGGAAGGATGGAATGGAGGAGAGATAGAGACAGATGTGGGTGGATAAATCAAGCCAAGAATACAAGAAGGGGGGAGAGAAGGTACACAGAAAGCAGGTCGCGTAGCACCTGGGCAGCTACTCATCCAACGCACCAGAAGCACAAGCTTCAGGGCCGACCAAGGACGCAAAGAACTAACTTCGCCAGCTTCGCTAGCATACTATAGGCTTGGTCTCCAAGTGGTCGAAAGCGAAGATTCATCTTACCCCTCCATCATTCATTGAGGAAGAACACGACCTACACGCCTCACACCGACAAAGCATAGCATCGCCTCAATATCCAGCCATCCATCTTTTGTTACCATGGCATACGCACCAGCCTGCGACCGCGCAACGTATCCCATCAAAAAGCTCTCTCACACACCCTTGCTTCGAGCAAACCTTTCGCTTTCGACTTGCTTCCCATCGATAAACATGCTTCACGCCTAACGCGATAACGACTCGTTACGAAAACATACCCGCATTTTAGAAAAGACATGAGAGGCATCATTACAGAAACGCCAAACCTAAAGACAAGACAAGATACGAAGAAAGTAGACGCCTGTTGCGTTGGAGTTTAGAAAGTTTGTGGAACCCGGAAAACCATCGTCCGATTCGAAAATGTACGTTGGTTTGTTGTCAGGGCAATGGATATATAGTGTCGATAAGTTTGCATATAGAAGGACATTAGCGTACCAGACAAGTCGTCTGTGTGTTCTGTTGACACCGGCGCCCCATCGGGTGGAAAGAGACGAACGATACCTGTTTACCACCGTACCAACCTAATACACGGATATTTTCCGCAAACGTTAACGTTGATGGCAAGTGATGTCTTTTAAGCTTCGCGCACGAGCGTAAAGTGGTGTCGCGACTAGCTTCGGTTGTGTACATTTGTGGCTTAGACATTCAGTACTGGTGGTTTGCCAGAGGTGCTAGTCTGAAATGTCGTCTCTAGGGAGTGAATGTACAATGTGAGCTTGAAATAAAAACCGTGAATTTGTCTACATATGCCGCCCCAATAAAGATACCAGAATCGCGCCCCCTCGCTAAACATGAGAGGTTCTTCTTTCTTGACGATTCATGTCCGATGAGCTGACTGGATGGATGCCGCCAAACGCCTCTCTTCCTTCTTGAACACCCAGCAAAGATCATGTCATGTGAACATCCAAATAGCAAAGACTATGCTGCGTTGCCATGTGATGTTGATTATGCCAAAAACTCCAATATTGCGCCCAGTCCCGTCATCGTCGCGATTGCGCGACTGTTGCTCCCCAACTGCTGCCGTTATTTCTTCGTTACGTCTAGAAGAAGTAGTAAAGGAATCCTCCACCCGCAGTCATGAAGACACCGAACCACCACCACTGATCAGCCCTGACGGCACCGGTTGTTCGCGCGTAGATGATTTCGTGGTTCATGGGTAGTTCACCACGCTTGGAATTCTTGGCCGCGGCGGTTTGAGTAACGAGGGGGTTGAGTGTCGTGGTGGGGAGCATCTTGGGTGACTTCATGGCGAGGTAGAGAGGCATCATGGGAGCGCCGTCGGATTTGAAGAGGGTGATGCGCGGGGTGCCTACGTGGTACTGGTCCGAGGCGACGTATTCGTACGTCTGTGGAGGTTAGTATGGCATGTTCAGGTGTCTGATCCGAAGTGCAGAATGGAAGGCGTCTCGACATACCTTGAACTTCTCGGTCGCGTTGTATCGTGTGTAGACAGCAGTCTTGTACGAGCACGGGTCGGAGTATAGTTGTCTGCCGTCCACCTTGATGGGCTTGAGGACGAGACCTCCCTCTGCCGTTTTTTCGTAGCTTCCGTGTTGCCATTGGATTATGCCCTGGGGGCATTTGGGATCGGTGGCTGTGATACTTGTCAGCGATTGCTCTGTCATGGCGCCTATCCGGGTAGTGTCGAGGTGACTGCGGGCCACGTACGATTTGCGATGGCGCGGTAGTATGCTGACTCAAAATGGCCATCCGCGGTAAAGGAGTAGCTGATGCCGGTGTGCTTGGGCTCGGTGAATTTCTCGTTTACGGGGTCGTAGAAGTCCTACACGGGCGGTTAGTCTTGTCTCCTCTGCGGACATCAATAGAAGCGCGTACAGGTCCGGTCATGGTCGAATTCGCCTTGCTTGTCCATGTGCCGACGAGCTCTGCGGGAACGGCAGCGGTTTGGGCTTGCGCATGCAGGACTGCGACTCCTGAGAGCAGAAGGGCTGCTATCCGGGACAACATGATGCGTGCGGTATGTGGGTGTGGATGCGTGAGAACGAGTGTGGAGGGTCGGTGGTGTGCGAAAGCGAGCGTGGGTGCACGAAGGCGGGAGGGCGTAAGGGTGGGTAGATGAGGCGGTCGTGGTTGTTGAGGGAGGATGTTTGGGAGTGTTTGAGTGTCGCCGCCTCCTGGCTTGGGACCAATCGACAGGGATCACGCGGCTACTTGCAGATCATCACCGGCCTCCGGTGGGCAAGCCCGACATCATCGCCCGCACCCGCAGCGGATCTTTTCGCTGTTTAGGTTATTCTTTGCTTTGCGACGACTCCCTAGATAAACGCCGGTGCGATCAGGACATCTGTTGCTCACTGCTGCATTCCATCTCAGTACTACAACACCAGACTCGACTTCCGGAGTACCGGCGCTATCTTTGGACATCTGGGACGCCGTTACGCTTGCAATCAGAAGACGCTATGGCCGCTTCACTAGCAGCTGTCAAGAAGGAACTGCGCACCAAGATTAGGGATGTCTTGAAAGGAATACCCGAAGCGGCTGCTGCTACGCAAAGTACGTCATGCATCTGTCTTGTTGCTGCTTCTACTGATGCTACCAAGCATCTAATGCAACAAAAACCCTACTGTCCATGCCGGAGTACAAGGCAGCGCGCAGAATAAGCGTCTACCTGTCTATGCCGGGTGGTGAGGTATCAACAAGCGAGATCGTGCGCGATGCATTTGATGAGGGCAAGAAGGTTTTCATTCCCTATACCTATAAGTTGGAAGCACCCAAAGATGGCCAACCAAAGTCCATTATGGACATGGTAGAGCTGCAGTCGATGAACGACTTTGAATCTTTGGAACCCGACAACTGGGGTATTCCAACTCCGAGCAAAGACTCCATAGCGTCACGTGCAAACTGCTTTGGTGGTACCGGCATCACGAATGGAAAGACCGATGGTCTAAGTGCCGGCATCGATCTGATCGTCATGCCTGGTATGGCTTTCGACTCGCAGTTCGGCCGGCTGGGCCACGGCAAAGGCTTCTACGACTATTTCTTGACGCGTTGTCACCAGGTATCGCGCATGCCTTTTCGCGGTAAGAACTACTGGTACTGTGTATTTGGAGGGCTAACTAACCAAGTTGAAGTTGGCCTCTCGTTAACAGAGCAGTTCCTGCCACCAAACGAGTCGGTTCCCATGGATGCCTCCGATTTCCGCCTGGACGCCTTAATCACTGGTGATGGCGAGCTCCGTCGCGTGGAGCCTTGATATCGTCCCACAGACTTTTGCATGAGATCGTCCGCACTACATGGCCTTGTCTTCCTCCCAGCCTGGCGTATGCGCCGTGTCCATTATATGTCTTTGCGACTGTGCGGGGTTGAGTTGGCGTTCGCGCTTATTGGAGTTGCTGGATGAGAGAGATGTTGTCGCCCTTCAACAGGATCTGGCCGACGTTGCGCCTCTCCTCTGGTGTGTCCTTCCTCGCGAGGGTGACTTCGATGGCGTCGTCGATAACGAGGTTCATGAATTCGTCGAAACCCTACACAACTATTAGCAGCAGTCATATTGAGGTAGTTAGGCAGTCGTACCCTCAGCTTTCCCTCAATGCGCATGCCCAGGTTCTCGTACAGCCATACCGAGATGGTCGCCCGTGACTGCAGGAGCTTGAAGATGAAGTTGATAGGAGGCAGGAGAACTGCAAGGTGATTAGCTGCTGTCGCGGCGCATGCTTGTGGGAGCTGTCGTACCCTTTCCTCCACCGCGGCCTAAACAAGTTAGCTAGACGTCTTTCAACAGCGCAGATATACTGACCACCACGTCCAGTCATTATGAAGATTTAAATGCGCGTCTCCGGTAATTCTCGTAGTCGTAAGGGCGGAGTCGGGGCGCAATGTGGGGAGAAGCTCGGGGAGAAGCTGTGGTTGCAGGAACATTTCTGGCGCGACGTGAGCGGTCACAAAGGCCTTGGCACCAACGTGGGGATCTTCGTGCTGCTTTGACTATGCGACCGAACGCAACTGCCCGTCTCCGAACAAACTCTCCAACACCACAACAGCAACTGCCGCCCTGCCTGCCTCCTTACCGCTTGCACCTTCCGTCCTCTGCACCCGCTAATAAGTCAGTTGATGCGCGCAATATAATCCACGCCCCGCCGCCTTGCTCCGAGCAGTATCCGCATCCGTCCCCCCACTACCACGCCCAATTCCCTCACCATGGCTGCCAACGGACAGCAGGTCTTCGACCCCGTGCTGGCGGCGCACAACACCATGTCGTCGCAGGCGGATCGCGCGCAGAAAGAGCAGGCACATCAGTTTCTGGAGCAGTTCCAGAAGTCGGTACGTAGCATGGGCACGCGTTCAGGAGCATGAGGGGCTGATATGTGACAGGAAGAGGCATGGACAACCACACTGGCTATGCTCGAGGCAAACTCAGCAGATGCCGCTGCCAAGCTTTTTGCTGCTACCACACTCAAGGGAAAAGTGAGTTGTCGCTACTCCATACCTGGGCTATTCTAACATGTCAGATCGTATACGACCTCCACCAAGTGCCTCGCGCACAGCTCCCAGAGCTCCGAGCATCCATCATGCGGAATCTGGCGACATTCCACGCCGGACCCAAGCCCATACGTCTGCAGCTATGCGTATGCCTGGCGAATCTGGCCATACAGATGACTGAGTGGAAGGATGTCCTCAAAGACGTTGTCAACGCCCTCGGCTCAGATCCAGCAACGCTCCCTTGCGTCTTGGACTTCCTCCGCGTTCTCCCCGAAGAAGTCACGCATGGACGCAAGATCGCTCTCACAGTACGTCCGAACGAGCCGCGCCCCGTCATCAGCCCACGGCAACTATCCCCCGCGGCCTCGACATATGATAGTAGAGTTGTAGTCTAATATGTGGTGGTCAGGAACACGAGTTGACTATGAGGACGGCCGAGTTGATCGACGACAACGCCCAACAAGCCCTGGAGCTTCTCATACGATATGGCACATCTTCACGTACGTCTACAGCCTTTCTTTCAATCCACTTCTACTGACTTTGAACAGCCGCTGCCGCGCAAAACCCACAGTTACTAAACTGTATTACTTCCTGGATACGCGAGATACCACTGGATGCCATCATAAACTCTCCCCTTCTCAAGATCATCGTCGAGGATCTGTCCATGGATGATCCATTTGAGGCCGCTGTTGAGTGTTTGAGCGCCCTGATCGCGGAGACCAGAGATGTCGACGAGACCCTCCAGTCGATAATGGTCCTCTACCCTCAGGTCATCAACCTCCAAACCAAGCTCGCCGAGGCAGCTCAAGAGGAGGATACAGAAAAGTTCAAGGGCATCGCCAGGATATTCGCCGAAGCTGGAGAATCGTGGGTCATTCTTATCGCACGCCTGCCGACCGACTTCCGCGCCCTAGTACAAGCCATACTCGCGACAGCTGCATTGGACAAGGAGAGGGATGCCATATCCCACACGTTCAAGTTCTGGTATGATCTCAAGCAGTATCTCACCATCGACAAATATGCCGAAGCGCGCAACCAGTGCTTGGATATCTACTCTAAACTGGTAGACATCATGATTGGCCACCTGGAGTTCCCCAAGCCGGAGTCTGGCGACGAGAAGGATCTTTTCGAGGGCGATCGCGACCAGGAAGAAAAGTTCCGCGAGTTCCGTCATCAGATGGGTGACGTGCTGAAGGACTGCTGCGAAGTTATGGGCGTCGTCGAGTGTCTTCAAAAGCCCTACGACCTCATGCAACAATGGGTGCAAACATATGGCGCTCAAGCTAGTGCAAACAGCGTGCCCGAGTGGCAGAAGCTGGAAGCGCCATTGTTCGCTGTTAGGGCTATGGGTCGCATGGTACCTCCGGACGAGAACGTCATGCTGCCTCGCCTGATCCCCCTCATCGCAGGCATACCCGACCACCACAAGCTACGCTTCCAGGCTGTCATGGCTCTAGGAAGATACACAGAGTGGACCGCACAGCACCCCGATACGCTTCAGTTGCAACTGGATTACATCATGGCAGCCTTCGATCATTCGGCCAAGGACGTGATCCGAGCCGCTGCATTATCGTTTAAATTCTTCTGCAACGACTGCGCGAGCCTGCTGGTCAATTTTGTCGGCCCTCTTCAACAGTTCTATGCGAAGAACCTTAACAAGTTGCCGATCAGCAGTCAGGAAGAGATTACAGAAGGTGTCGCGTCAGTAGTCGCTAGGGTACCCAACGACCAGCTTCTAGCAACACTCAAACTCTACCTCGACCCGGTCATGGCTCACCTAATCGAAGTCGCGCGACAAGCAAAGGATGAAGCGGACCAAAAGCTCATCGCCGACAAGATCAATTTGTTGACCATCTTCTTCGAGATGGTCAGGCCAGAGATTCCAGCTGGTCAAGAGCATCCCGCTGTCAAGTACTGCCAAGAGATCTTCCCTACTCTCGCTAACATGATCACGCACTTCAACGCAAGCATACCCATTCTCGAACGTGTCTGTCGATGCTGGCGGTATATGGTGCTCTCCTACCGTACAGCCATGCGTCCGCTCCTGCCAGATCTCGCGACTAAGCTGATTGAGGGCTTCGACAAGTCAAGGCAAGGTTGCTTCCTTTGGGCCACAGCTTCCATAGTACGAGAATTCTCGCAGGGTGTAGACGATGTCGATCCAAGCCTGGCAAACGACGTCTACCAGTTCTACGAGCAGCAAGCGAAGACCTTCCTACGGATATTGAGCGACCTGCCCCCAGAGGAGCTTCCTGACCTCATCGAGGACTACTTCCGCCTTGCCGCCGACATGGCACTCTACTTCCCCTCAGAATCGATCATGTCACCACTCATGGACACGGTCCTACTCGCGGCCTGCAGCTCCCTAACACTGCTCAAAGAGGATCCCATCATCGCAGTGCTGCACTTCCTACGCGATTTGCTTGGATACGGTCGCAACTCATCGCCCTCATCTAGCTTCGACAACACGCGTCACGAAGTCCCTGAGCAACTTCGAAACCGCGTCAAGCAACTTGTTCTTGGTGCTGGCGTCCAATTAGTCCAGCGTATCATGACTGGCATGATGTACAGCTTCCCTGAGGGTTGCTTCGCAGACTCTTCTGGCGTACTCCTCGACCTGTTCGAGCTTATGCCTGAGCAAGTCGCTCAGTGGGTAGCCAGTACCGTTGGCATGCTACCGCAAGGCAGCATCACACCTCAAGAGAGCGAGCGATTCCTGAATAACATTCGACAACGTATCCAAACTGGCGATGTCAGGATGATAAGGACAATCCTACAAGACTTCACCACTAGTTACCGCCGCCGGAACGTTGCACCCCGTGAAGGCCTCGGTAGGCTGGAAGCTTCGCGGTTCAGGTTCTCCGGTTAGATGCTGGATGCCGAAGCACGACTACTGTTCCAGAACGTGGACGCGCAGAAGACCACAGAGCCACTCACACGTTCTGCGCTTCTTCTCCACACGATTCAGTCTAACGCCTCCCGGTTTCGGTAAGATAGTGGTGGTATGTTTGGTTGCGTGGTGTAGTGTGTATCGAATAGCATAATTGTACTTGAAGCGTTAGTGTGCGGGCATTTGCATGGAAGATCGGGACATGGAAGGACAGGATACCATTGGTGGGACAGAGTGGGGATTATTTTTCAGATCTGCTTAGATACCGTTTACCTCTATACTTCACATTGTTTCGTTATCTCTGGTTGGCCGTTCTTGTCTATATGACGTGATTGCAATATATCGATGTTCGCTCCTGCACTTCGAGTGACGTCGGGCAGCGCTTCTTCTTGGCTAACAACGAGTGTGCAAGATGTCGATAGGATGGCAGCGACGACCTATCGTGGCCCCAACAAACACCAACTTCGTCATAACAGCTTCCTCGTCACTCACAATTTGGTCTATTGCTGAGCGCTTACCAATACCTAGGCACAGCCTTTCGGCTATCGAACGGTATCCTCTCTGAGCACCTATTACCTCAGTGTTCATCTCATCCTTTGGCCCACTGCCAACAACACTACCTTTGAATACCTGTTATTACGCGGCATACACTACCTGCGGCCTTTTCCGCTTCTACCATATACGGCGACAGATCTGCCTCTCCATCTGAAGTTCGTCGGCACCGAAGGTGACAACTCCGCGTTAGGTACGCGATCGATTCCCAAATTTCATGGTACCAGAGGTGAGACCAGAGCTGACAGCAGACATCCAGCAGGGCCGATTCGCGAACGTAACAACGTTCCCATTTACCTGCGGTTCCTGCGCACCTCCAGCCTGGTATTGGCAAGAACAATATCGGCAGAGCCTAAAGCTCGCAACCATACAAGAAACGACCATCCTGGATCCCCCATACGGGCGACCCGGCCTAGCGAGAGCTAACTCCACAGGATCCGGCAATAGACCCATCTCGATCAGATCAAGCACGTCGAGCGCATCACAAGCCTCTACACAAACCTCAAGCCGATCAAGGAGACACTCGCAGCCAGCTCTTCCTCCAACCCTTGCGGAGAGAATTGCACTAGGACCTCAGCTTAACCCATATCATAGCAAGAACCCCCATCGTCTAGACCGATACACCAGCGTTCGGGACGTCTACCTTGCCAGGCAGGAGCAGCGTACGAAAGAAGCCGCACATCAGGAAGAGCGACTTCATCAACTTCGGCTCGAAAAACGCAGGAGCACTCGTCAATTCGACGGTTCAAGATCAGCTGGGACCTCACCAGCCCTAAGTCGTACAAACTCAAATTCAGACCTCACTCGAACATCTTCCCTCAAGAACTTCGCCAAAGAACTGACGACGTTCGACAAGTTTGGACCTGTCAGGCGCGCGGACACCGGCGACTCTACCGCATCTTCATCGGGACAGTCGAACAAATCCAAGAAGTCGAACCTCTCTCGGGTATTGACGGCTGACCGCTATGATCGAGACACTCAAAGAAATGAAGCACGGCAAGAGCAGCAGTTACGAGAGCCTGGCGCTGGAACGAACGGCGAGCCAGATTCTCCATCGCATGGAGGACAAAGACTCAGAGGACTCTCTGGAAAGCACGCGGACAAGAGTACTCGGTATGACCTTCTGAATCTGCATACTGTTGATTGCGGGTGACTGATCCATCCCAGCGAACGCGCGCGCGATATATGGACCGAATCGTTGTCTAGACGTGATAAGTTTCGCTCCGACTTCCTCAAGAAAAATTGGAGCTTGCATCGTCGAACACAATCCTTCGAGTAGATCGTACGTACACTGCTGCTCTGCAAAAGAAGACTCACGTCTCAGTGCCATGGAACACTTGCTCGTCATCACCGAAGATCTGCTCCAGCGACTTATGGACGCCGAGGGCATCACGAGTAGTGGATGGTTGCCCGCCACGCCACAGTCACATCATGCAGCAACGTACGGGAGTGCTCCGGGCAGTATAGCGGGTGGGAATGGTAGTGTGGCAAGCAGTGTACAACCAAGTCGAAGGGGCAGTGCTCAACCACAGGAGTAAAATCACCCTTCCTACAATGACTGACCGGGGTATACTCACAAGACATAGCCTCCTCATCGACTACGCGCAAGGCTCACCACAGCTGATGCAGCAGTCACCTCAATTTTCACCGTCCGCACAGTCGATACCTTCGCAGACACCCTTTGTCAACGACTTCAACACGCCGTGGTCGCCTCACCACATCCAAAAGCCCAAGCTCCCTAGAGGCAGCAGTGACACGGTGTTCCACACCACCGCCAACACTTCCAAGCCAGTCGTTCAAACGATCCCTAGGAATAACAGCGATATTATTCAGCAGCCTAAGCCGGTGCCAATCGGCCAGTTCCAGGGACCTGGAAGAGGCAGGGTGCAATGGAATCTGGGCTCTGAAGGATAGAAGAGTCGGGTCTTGAGTCATCGGCTGGTCGGGGTCAGAGAGACGATTTGATGGATGTTACGTTTCCTTGAATTGCTGGAGGATGGTTGGACTTGTTGGTTAGGTTTATTATTATCAACTTAATGCTATCATCTTGAGCTTGAGTATGGTTCTACCGATCCGGCTTGCTCAAGTCCCAGCTATGACTCACGGGTGTATCTGAAACGAGACCGTACAACCACTGAGTTGGCATGGCTTACTGTGATGATTGCTAATCTACTTCAGTATGAACAGTGACTTAATTGGTGACTGAATCCTGATATGGGCAATGATTGTGAAGCTGAAATGTCTAGATGATGACTCACCAGCCTGCAAAAGACACGATTTTCTGTATCTTCAAAAGGAACGTGACTATCTTCTCAGTAATGCAACGAAGCCTATTGAGCGTACCATGGTTGATGCAGTTGGGGAAAGGGACTGATGAGTCGCAACACCCTATTAGCGCGAAATCTTGGCGGCGCACCGCACACATTGAATTGCCCCACCGGCCGCCGCCACTTCTCACTTTCTGTATCATAAGGGATCCCGACTACCTACCTACCCGACACCCCCAACAACACAACCACAACCGCAAATATGTCCAAGACTGCAGGGTGAGTTTATGCGCACCTTTTCTCCGGATTCCCACGCCTATAGCCTTCCTATATCGCTCCCATGTCGCTCCCATACCGCCTACCAAGCCGCGAGCTTCTACATACATCTCCCCGGATTAGAAAGCGTTAAGCTGACAATAATGTTACAGCCGCACCGACTGGGCGGAAGAAGAGGACGAGGAGTCCTCCCTCACCTCCCTCCCTCCCCAACAAGTCATCAAGAACAAAGACGGAACCGAAACCGTCATCTCCTACCGCATCGGCGAAGACGGCAGGAAATACAAGACAACACGGCGCATTAAGAAGACCGTCGTAAAGCAAATCGTAAACCCACGCGTCGCCGAACGAAAGCAATGGGCGAAATTCGGACAAGAAAAGGGCAAGCCCGCAGGCCCACAAACAGACACCGTCTCGGTCGCCGAAAACATCGCCTTCCGCCCCGTCTCCAACTGGAAAGCCAGCAGCGAAGATAAGGGCGACGAAGCGAAGAAGAAGGCCGAACTCAAGAACGCAAAGATCAAGTGCCGTATCTGCCAAGGCGACCATTTCACCACAAAATGTCCCTTCAAAGACACCATGGCCCCCGAAGGCGACGTCGCCCCCGCAGAAATGCCCGACGACGCGCCCGGCGGCGCAGGAGGCAGTCTGGGCACTGGCTCTGGCGGCTACGTTCCTCCTCATCTGCGTGGCCGTGCTGGCGCAGGCGAGAAGATGGGCGGCAAATTCGACCGCGACGATAGCGCTACCCTGCGTGTTACCAACGTGTCTGAATTCGCGGAGGAACAGGACCTGCGCGATATGTTCTCCAAGTATGGTCATGTTACTCGTGTTTTCCTTGCCAAGGATAGGGAGACTGGACGGGCCAAGGGCTTTGCGTTTGTTAGTTATGCGGATCGGAGCGATGCTGCAAAGGCGTGTGAGAAGATGGATGGATGTAAGTTTTCGATCAAGTCTGTGAGTGGGGATGTTGTTGCTAACTCTTGTAATCAGTCGGTTTCGGGCATCTTATCCTGCGTGTCGAATTCGCTAAGAAGGCTTAAGCTCGAGTTGATGGGAAAGACATTTGTGATGGTGACATGATCATTGCAATTTGGCGTTCTGGGTGGTTTACCGGGCTATGATGTCTGTAGATATGGGTCTCTCCGTGGTTGACGATAGCTGTCTGTGACTTCAGACGTCAGACGAGGCTGCTTTTCATGAATATCAATGATAGAGTGCTCGCTTTCAACTCGATCCCTTGTGTCAGTTACGACCAATTCACGCTAACAGGCAATCGAGTCAGTCAAACGAACAAAACACGCGGCAGTTCCACACCCCCTTCTCGCTTGGACGCATTTGTTCAAATATATCATTAACTTGGTCTCCATTCCATCACTTCATCCCTACATACACATACACACATACACAGTACACATCACAGTAGCCCTCGCCCGTCCAAAAAGACAGCCGGCCACCATTCCCAGTCCAACACCAACACCCAGACCTTTTTCTAAGAAACTCTCGTAGAAAAACAGGGTCTTGATCCTCCGTATAATGAACGCCAGCCTTATTGTACAAGATTGGGCAGGAAGGCCCGCAGAGTGGTGAGGAGGGGCATGCGCTAAGATCGACTCGATCGTGTAAATGCAGGAGAAACGTCGAACTGTAGACGAAGGTGAGAAGGATATCGCTGGGCCTACTTCGGTAGGGGGAGCGGTAGATTGTTATTTGTTGCTGGGCGCAATCGCTTTTTATCTCGGGTTTAATCGACTGATTTCAGGTCGGGCTCGAAGAAGACTTTTCGTGTTATCTGGTGGGCTGTTAGCTTTCGTCAAGAAAATACCGAGATTTGATTGAACGTACCGCCCATCCTCCCGCTACAGTCGCGCAAATACCCGAGCTGATAGCCATCTGCCTTGTCCCTCTCGTGCTCTTGAACAGCGCGCCGCTCAATGCGCCCGCCACCACACTGTTACTCATATCGTGCTTGCCCCGGTAGTACCCAATCGTGCTATTCATACCATTATACACCATAGCGATCACACCTGCGCTGTTTCCCAGAAAAGGTCCTCGCCGTGTTATCGCATTGAGCACGCCGTTGATGCGCAACCGCGGGGGCATGCTGGGTGGGTTCTTTTGCAGGCCCTCGGCTAATCCCCACGCTCCTCCTATCGTCAGCGCAGACAGATACGACACGCCCGTGCCGTAACATAAGTCGTCAGACCAGCCGCGTGAGGGGAGAGCGGATTGTGCGCCGGGCAGGTCCGAGAGGACGCTGTCTTCGAGGTTTAGGTAGTCGAGTGTGTCTTGGTTGAGGCCGGCAAGAGGATGCAGTTGTGAGGGGTCGAGCAGGAATTCTGAGGGGTTTTGAATGGCCGTATTGGGGTCGAAGGGTGTGGGTTGGAAGGTGTCTTCTTTTACGAAGTCGGCATTTTGGGGCGAGGCGGGCGCGGGTGCCGTGTCCTTGGACTTGCGCCCTGTTATCGAGTCCCAGCTAGCATTGAATTAGCATTGCTATGGCTTTGAAGGCTGTATTGGCTGCAAGGAAGACATACATTGCCATCTTGAAGATGTCAGGTTGTGATGGCGGCGTAAAGAAATGTTGCGCCTGATTGTCAACAGCCGCACGAACAAAATCCCCCAGACGCCCGAAAAACCTCTATCAGACCGACGAAGCTAAGGGAAACAGTAGACAGACGCAGGTGGTAGATGCGCGGGTAGCAGATAGCGTGGGGCGGCGTTCGTGATGCTCACGAAAAGTTCTGGCGAAGCAACTTGGGCAATGACGGTCTCGGTGCACGGCCCACCTTCTCGAAGACTCCCTGCTTCCGAGCTCGGAAAGGAACGAGATCGGAAAGAAAAGTTCAGATAGCCTCACCCACTTCAGGATAACTACAAACAACTACAATTCCAACCATGTCGCTCCCCGAATTCAAGCAAAACTTCCTTAAAGACTGCGTCTCAGCCGGCGCTCTAAAATTCGGCACCTTCACTCTCAAGTCCAAGCGCATATCGCCCTACTTCTTCAATGCTGGCCTCTTCCACCGCGCCGACCTCCTGCGCTCCATCTCCTCAGCATACGCACACACACTGAAGAACCACGGTGACTCCGAGCCTTCGTTCCAATGGGACATTCTCTTCGGCCCAGCCTATAAGGGTATTCCCCTCGCAGCAGCATCAGTCGACAAGCTCGCAGATCTGGACATGGCCAAGTACGGACAGAAGAGCTACAGTTTCAACCGCAAAGAAGCCAAGGATCATGGTGAAGGAGGCAATATCGTCGGTGCGAGTCTGAAGGGGAAGAAGATTGTTATTGTGGATGATGTCATTACGGCTGGTACGGCGATTAGAGAGGCTATCGATATTATCAAGAGGGAGGGTGGTGAGCTTGTGGGCATCATCGTCGCTTTTGATAGGCGGGAGAAGATGCCGACAGCGACTGATGACGATGGAAAGCCCGGCCCCAGTGCGATTGGCGAGGTTAGGAAACAGTATGGGATTCCTGTGCTGGCTATCTTGACGCTGGATGATGTTGTGGAGTATCTGAGGAGTTTGGGTGGAGAGGAGGATCTCAAGAGATTGGATGAGTATCGGGAGAAGTACAAGGCGAGTGATTAGGCATATCTGGAGGGATGTTTACGAAATTATGATTATGGGACTATTGATGATGGGAACGGGCGGGTGCTAGAATACCCCGCGTGCGTTGCGGTCAATGCTGCAAGCATTTCAAGTTCACATGTTCTTTCTGACTGCTTGAGACTGTGAGGCGATTCTTACGACAGAGTACTGCTGTGTCATTGGGGTAGCATGCTAGATCAAAGAAAGTAAGCTGGTTATTGTTGTACTTTTATGGTACAGATACAGGATTATACATGCGTTCAACACAGGGTGAGTATGTTCTATCATCGCTCCTGGCTAAAACGAACCGTCTTGTTCAGAAGAGCACTCCATCATAAGATCAACCTGGACAGCTAGCCTGAATCCGACGCGCCTACTTCGCGAAACTCATCTCTTTGATGGCCCGTTATCTTTCTTATCAGCGCATCGTCGCTGATGTGCTTGTGTACAGCAAGTCACGTGCCAAAGGGCTGTTTTCCAAGGTTGGGACAAGCCCACGACGCACAAGCCTATGCAGAGAGTGCGCCTCCCCGAGGCTGTGTTACTACTCCGGCATCAGCAACCGTCTTTCGCTTGTATTGTCATGTAGAAAAATGAACTTCCATTGAAATCCACGCTTTTAGTCGATTGAATGCAATGGTGACCGCTCTGCAAGCAGGGCAAATAAATGCACGGACACGTCGCAACAACGCGTCTCTAGCGCGCCGGCACAGCTAAACACATGCGCCTCACAACGAAGAGTACACCGTCGCTTGTACGCACCTTCATATATTTCGCCGACACGTGCTATAGCCACTTCTGGCGCTACGGTTACCGGAGGTGATTCGACCTGTAGCTTCTGTTTGATCGGCAATGGGTCTTGCCTTGGCAGATGGGTCACTTCCGTTACATCCCTCCACACTGGAGAGGTGTCCTTGCGCCGGCTTCACCATGGCGGTTTCATGAACAACACACTTTTCGGTGGCATCACCACACCCGGCATATTTTCCTTCATCATTGCATGCCACCTTAGACGAACTACATCGCATAAAACATTCAGGCCACCCACTTGGTGTTGGCCGCTTACCTGTCACGACATCATTCCTCCCATTGTATTTCGATGAGAGACTACAGGTCTCCGCGTTTATCTCACAATGCGTAGGATTAAAGTGCCCCGCGGGGTGCCATACCAGCGGCCAATGTCGAGACAACATAAGCGGACCCTTATATATGCGCTTCTTTCGGCCGTCGCGTTCGGCGGGTATTACTGGCTGTACGCGCAGCCCACCGATGCGCTCGCCGTCCCATTCGAAGTGCACGAAGCGTATATGCACGATGGATCGAGTCTCGCGCGCATCAAATCTGAGCAATCATATGATTGGCGAGAAGCGCCCTTTGTGAACACGATCACCTCCTACATACCGCTGCCGACTACCACTCCTCGCAAACTCCCTCGCGTCCAGTCCGAAGACTTTCCCGAAACAAACGCGCAAAGAAAACAGAGAGAACAACGCAGAGTCGCCGTGCGAGACGAATTCAGGCATAGCTGGAATAATTACAGGAAGTTTGCATGGGCACAGGATGAGCTTAAGCCAATCACTGGTGAGGGCGAGGAGTCGTTTGGCGGCTGGGGTGCCACACTCGTCGATTCATTAGACACGTTGTGGATCATGGGACTGAAAGAAGAGTTCGAAGAGGCCGTGGAGGCTGTCGCGGCCATAGATTTCGGCAAGACCAATCTGACCACCGTAAGCGTCTTCGAAACGACTATCAGATACCTTGGCGGGCTGTTGAGCGCATACGACATGAGTGGGAAGCCCATCTTGCTCAAGAAAGCGATACAACTTGGGGAGATGTTGTATCGAGCGTTTGACACGACGAATAACACACCTTTGGGCTGGCTAAATGTAGAGGGCGTCAAACAAGTACCGAGGGTAGCCTTCTCCGCCGAGAGTAATATCTGCTTCGCCTGTCTCGGAAGCTTAACCATGGAGTTTACGCGGCTGGCGCAGGTTACGTCAGAGCCAAAGTACTACGACGCGGTCGCGAGAATCACCATAATGATGGATCGCGCGCAGGATAGTACGAGGCTTCCTGGCCTATGGCCAACCATGGTGAATGCTGCGAAAGAAGAGTTCAACCAATCTCGCTTCTTCTCAATCGGCGCGCTTGCTGACAGCACGTACGAATACTTCCCCAAGATGCATGCGCTGCTCGGCGGGGTGGAACCTGCGTATGAGAAGATGTACCGCGACTCAGCGGAGATGATTGACGCATTCATGTTGTTCCGACCCATGGTTCCTGACAAGTTCCACGGAGAAGACCTACTACTGTGCGGCGATGTCTTCACACACGGCGAAGAAGCCAAACTGGACCCAACTATGCAACATCTTACGTGCTTCATTGGTGGCATGTTTGGTCTAGCGGGTCGTCTGTTTTCCGACCCTGACCACGTGGATCTCGGCGCGAAGCTTACCAAGGGATGCATATACGCCTACGCCGCCACACAAACTGGCATCATGCCCGAGACATTCGATATGGTCCCCTGCGACTCCCGGAAAACCTGCCCCTGGAACCAAACAGCTTGGGAAGAGGGTGCCCTGTATCATTACAGCAGCAAATATGTTGAATCTTTCAACGACGCAGTAGAAAAGTACAAGATCCCACCTGGCTTCACCAACATCCGCGACAAGCGTTACTTGCTCAGGCCCGAAGCCATTGAGTCCGTCTTCATCATGTACCGTATCACTGGTGACCGGCAATATCTCGATGACGCGTGGGACATGTTCACCAGCATCGTTGCCGCATCCCGAACTTCATACGCCAACGGACAAGTCCGAGACGTTACTTTTGTGGCGCCAAAAGCTCCAGGACGGGCTTACAAATCCGTTCCTGGTGTGGGCGATGTACCCTACACACGGGATGACAATATCGAGAACAAGATGGAGAGTTTCTGGACGGCGGAGACATTGAAGTATTTCTACCTCATCTTCAGCACGCCGGATATGATTAGCTTGGATAATTGGGTGTTCAATACTGAGGCACACCCTTTCCGGCGGCCGAAGCCGAGATAGGAGAAGGTTGTGGATGATGCTGGGGCCAGGGCCAGGGTTGATGAACAGCGTAAATAGGATCGCTGGTACCACCTGACATGAAAGGAAACATCTCATCATCGCTATCGCATTTTGGCAGTGCATAGCCGGAGTATTGCATTTGTTGGCGTTGTATGGTAAGCTTGGATAGCTTTGATGAACTCTTTTCATTACACTCTTTGCTGTTTGATCCGTATGACTCTTTCGCTTCTCTTTCAACCGCGTCTCTTTCTTTGACCGTGAGCTTTTCCACGATCAAGAGGGCAAGGCACTCGTACGAGAGGCACCAGTGACCTAACCCCTCCTCCTCCGCTTATTGCGATACTCATCGTCACTTGTAGGTAATTTGCTGTCTCCCTTCCTCTTGATGCCTTCATTTTTTCCTTCCACAGCCAAAGTCGTCTCCACCGGCTCGTCTGCCACCACCATCTCATTCCCCACCATCTCCTCATCCTCCAGAATTACCTTCTCCCGTTTCTTCAACATCTCCTCCTTTTCCCTGATCTTCTTGATTTCCCCTTCATCTAAAAGCTCCTCATCCCTCATAATCTCTTCCCCCTCAAAATAATCCTCCGGCTCCGGGGTATCCCCAACCACAGTCTCAAAGACCACCTGAAATGATCCCTTTTTCACAAACCGCGAATCAACGAGCCGATCCCATTCCTGCGCCACACATCTATACTTGTCTTTCGTGCTCAACCTGGGATTCACATGTACCACGCCTCTCGACACCGATAGTAAGATGGGATCTTGGTACGGAGATAACTGCGGATGGTCTTTCAACATGCCCTGTATAGCATCCCAGGCTGCGTCGTAGATCGCAGTCCGTGTACCAGTATACTTGCCTTCAAGACCGAGATACCACGAGCTATCTATCCAGCTAGGCCAGTAGTCTCGCACAGCCCCGCACTTCCCATTGCGCAGGCGCTCGAGGAAACCAGATGCTGGAAATGTATCGCGCGATGTGCGGACGCCGGTTGGAGGTAAGACACGTGTTGGAGTGTCTAGCGACGACCCATAGACTGTTGCGAGATCAGAGTCTTTCCACGCGCGGTCGAACGCCGGTTTGATAATGTCGTCATGCCAGATCTTGAGGAATTGGGGATCGAGACAAGGTACCATGGTAGCGTGGGGAAAGATGACGAAGATGTGCGGATACAACCCCATTGAACCTGTCATCTGGTCTTGGTCTAGTATTGTGCTTCCGAAGAGTAAGGCGCATTGTACGTCTCGAGCCAAGACTGAGTGGCCGCGGAGGGAAAGGTAGGTGGCGATGCGGTGTGCATCGGCTTCGTCGATTGGGTTCGCGGATTTGTAGTTTAGTGTGTGGGGGATCCAGGGGGTTTGTTCCCAGGTTAGGCGTTTGGCGAAGGCGAGGGAGGTGGGGAGGCAGAAGGAGAGAGAGCTACAGCATTGTTCTGGTTTGACGGTTGGGGAGAGGTCAGAGAAGCTGGGGATGGAGCGCTCGTGCGTGGACATGGTGGTTTTGGAGTTGACCAGATTCGGATGGACGAAGGACTATGTGGGAGGGCTTTCGCAGAATATGTCTCGAGAGAAGGTTTCGGAATGTGAGGTGGACACGAGAAACGACTAGAGCATTGTGGGTATGTATGTTTTACTTGGATACATAGTGAATGGTGTAGATGTTGCTAGCCGATGGCACACACGTTCTTGGAGATTTGAAGCGGCTGAGTGAAATAATTTTGTGTTTGTGTGTCCTCTCTGAATCGCCATTCGCCAAACGTGGACTGGAGAACAACAGAAGAGCATCAGTCATGAAAACTAGCTTCTCTAATAACTCGCCTCATCCTTTCGTGTATCCGAGAACGAGATGAGAAGGCGCTTAGTTGAGGTGAAGTGACAAGACTGATAGAGCGTTGGATCAACGATCGGGCTGCGTTGAATTGATGGAGACTGATATACTTCATGTATCAACGGAGATATCTCTCAGTTCTCACGTACCTAGAGAAAACAATTATAGGTCGTGGCAATTGAGCAAAGCGACGTTTCGAAGAATATACTGGTGTACGTTGTACGGCGTAAAAAGGTTGATCCTTCCTCTGGAGATAACATAAACATGCCTAGAGGGGATACAGGCTATGGACAGTGCAAGAAAAAAAAGGCTGATGCTATTCGACCTGAAGATAGTATGAGCTGAGGGTGTATCCCTTTGATGTTGTTGAAATGCAGCTTCGCAGAGTGGAACAGCACTTGGAAAAGGTGGGCTGATGAGCTGGACGAACTTGAGGTCAATTGACGAATGATACCTTGCAGCACACGTTCCAAGAAAGCGGTTCCCGGGTACATAAATGCAGTCAGATCATGAACTCCGCTCACCATCTTGAGGCTCGTTGCTATATTGCATGACTTGTATGCAGAGCGCTTGCCTGCAGAGATGAGTCAGCTTGTTCAAGTGCCAAGATGGCTGCCTGGATGTCAGCACTAACAATTTCCTAGTACTAAATCTTATGTACACTGCTGCGCGCTCTCACATACGACAAACCTTGATCCTCTTTCACTCATCAGGATGAATTATCGTTCGCGTGGAAACCGTCGAAGAGCGGGTTGCATCGACCGGAAATCAGACTAACGGCATCTCGGGATTCGGCTGCTTATCTTCGCGCACCACGGTACCACTGCGGGCCTAACTACCGCATTTCGAGCCACGACGCCGCAGCTCGCGGGAACCCCGTCCATAATGGCAAGCTTCAACCCACAAAGGGTCCAACTTGTGATGGACAAGCACGCCTAAGCAGGCGCCACCCCCACTTGGCAACGCTTATCGTCGCGTGCTCGAGGACAACGCCAAACGACCAGCGCCCCAATTGTACGAGACAGGATCGTCCGTAGCACGAACGCCGAGGAAACTTCCCTAAATTGCGCTGCAGTTGTTCGGCGACACAAAGTCAGACCGCGATTGGCCTGTCGCGCGGTCATAAGCACGGCGAATGCTTCTTCCGGACACATTCGATATACGAGATCATGTCTGCGAATGATGCCATCCCAGCCTCGGTGGCGACAATTTTTCCGTTGTCTATCGATCGCTATCAGCCTGGGGTAGTGAATGGGCGCCAGACCATCCCCTTTGGAACGGCATCTCCGACACGGGATGGTGCGACCTCGCTATCCCCGCAGTTGCTTGCCCAATATACGGTTGAAGACTTTGTTTCCTGATATGCCGGGAGTTCTAGAATACGAAGGGAAGAAGTGATAGGACCCACGGGTTGCACGATTAGGTTACCTGCCGTGCCACCAACACCGCCTTGCATGGCCTTTAGACACCCTTCTGTATTCGGCCGCTTTGTGACATGGGACACCTGCCCTTTCAAACCTAGGAGTATGCCTCCTATCGCTCGTGCAACAGGGGCCCTTATCTGACGTGCTATTGCGCGCAACCTCGCCGCAATCACACAGGTGAAAGAACCACGATAACGCGTTTGCACTAGAGCACGTGAACTTGTATATTTGAGGAACAATACTCCCCGCTCGGACAATGAATCAAATCATTACCACGCGCAACCATGGCAGCGAATCCTCTTGGTGATGTGATGATCCTGGGCAGGCCCGACGCTGTCGAGGGCAAGGCCGTCAATCTCCCGAGCCACGAAGCGATCAACGACTTCAGCGAAAAGAAGCATGCTGCTCACGACGGAGACATCGACATCAAAGGCCCCTTGGACCCTGAGATCAAGGCAGCTCTTCCCGAGTACGATGGCGATGGGCACGACAAGGACGGCGACGATGAGGACCATGTCATTGTTACTGGCGCCGACGCAGCAGCCTATCTACTGCCAATGCGAGACGACTTTGTGCCTGCGTTGACTTTCCGAAGTCTGCTTCTGGCCACCGTTCTATCAGGATTCCAAGCCGTTGTGTACCAGATCTACCAGGTAAGTCCACATCTCCGCAGGCTGCGTATCTTGGAAGCTGACGAGACCAGTTCAAACCCACTCTCGTCACCATCCAAGGAACATTCATCGTCCTCATGGCCTACTTCCTCGGCAGGGGATGGACCAAGCTACTACCCCGCGGCGACAAGTTCGAGGCTCGGTGGAGGGAAAAGGGTGGAGTTGGCAAGGCGCCTATGTGGATTACAATCATGTCCTTCTTCAACCATGGCGAATGGAACTTGAAAGAGCATGCCATCACATCCATCACCGCAACCTCCGCATCGATTGCTGCTCCCGCCAGTCAGGTCTTCGCTGCATCTGACCTGTTCTACGACATGCCTCTGAGCCCTGTCACAGTCATCTTCAGCACCATCTCTATTGGACTCTTCGGCTACGGTATCTGCGGTATCATGCGCCCCATCTGCGTATGGCACGTTGACTCGGTCTACTGGAGCAGTCTTCCTACAGTCAAGGTCCTTCAAGGTCTTCACTGGCAGACCGTCAAAGACTCAAAGCCTCTCCGATGGTTCTGGATCGCCTTCTCCTGCATGTTCGTCTACGAGTTCTTTCCTGCCTACATCTTCCCCTGGCTGAACTCCATCTCGATTCCTTGCCTGGCTGCCATGCACGCGACTGGAAACACAGCAGCTACGCTTACCAACCTCTTTGGCGGTGCTACAAACAACGAGGGTCTTGGTTGGTTCAGCATTTCGCTCGACTGGCAATATGTAAGGAGACATTCCGAATCACTTGTACTTCGTAGACACTAATATATTCCAGATCACTTCTTTTCAGTCGTCACTGCCTCTCAAGCTGCAGCTCCACCAGACTGCCGGCTTTGTCTTCTGCTTTTTCATCATGCTCGGCATTTACTACGGCAACGCTTGGGGTTCAAAGGACCTCCCTTTCATGTCAACACGTCTCCTGACACAGGAGGGCAAGCAGTACCCAAGCGAAAGCGTCTTCATTGGTGGCGTTTTGGATGAGAAGGCTCTACTGCAATACGGTCTGCCGAGGATCACTGGTACTTTCGCCTACGCCATGTTCATGGCCAATGCCGCGATCGGTGCTCTCATCGCCCACATCGTGCTCTTCTGGGGCGGCGACACAGTTCGAGCGTTCAAAGATGCTAAAAAAGGAAAGTTTGATGATCCTCACCACGCGCACATGGCCAAGCACTACAAGGACGCGCCACAGTGGTGGTACCTCGTCGTCCTTGTCGTCAGTTTTGTGCTCGGTCTCGTCGTTGTCATCAAGGAGAACGTCACTCTCCCCGTCTGGGCCTACGTTATCGCACTGGTAATGGGCACTATCATCTCGCCTTTCAGCACACTCCTCTACGCCCGCTTTGGTAACGGTATTGCAACGAACAACCTGTCCAAGGTCATTGCCGGATTGATCCTCCCCGGCCGCCCCATTGGCAACATGTACTTCGCCGCGTGGTCTCACAACGTCATCAACAGCGCCGTGCAACTCAGCATGGACCTGAAACTAGGCGAATACCTCAAGATCCCTCCTCGCGTCATGTTCATGACACAGATCTACGGTACAGTCCTTGGCGGCTTCATCAACTACGCCGTCATGATCTCCATCGTAACAGGAAACAAGCACCTCCTCGCTGACACCGACGGCAACGCGTCGTGGAGTGGCGCAACCATCCAATCCTACAACACCAACGCCTCCACCTGGGCGCTCGCCGCGTACCTGTACAAGCAAGGAAAGGCCTACTCCATCGTTCCCTTTGGCCTTCTCATCGGTGCCGCCATCGTCCTCGCTCATCGCATCTTCGTGCGCTTCGTGCCCAAGATCGGTAACTTCTCCCTCCGCGAGATCAACTTCCCTCAGTTCATTCAGTACGCGGGATACATTCCTTACAACCAGAGTCAGACTTGCGTGCTTCTCAGCTGGACGATTGTGGGTTTCTTCACGCAGTTCTACCTAAGGAACTACCGTCCCCGCATCTTCAAGGACTACTCGTACCTTATTGCGGGTGCCTTTGATGGCGCGAGCTTGACTTGCTTGTTCATCTTGTCGTTTGCTGTATTTGGAGCTGGAGGCCCGGCGATTCCGTTTCCGCAGTGGTGGGGGAACAATGTTGCTGGTAACTACGATTTGTGCCCTGTGGCGGAGTAGAGGATGTGGACAGGTCGGCGTTACGCCACAACTGGAAGTCACAGCCAGATATATACAGTTCACTGTCGATTTAGATACCATCCGACTATATTCCGAATTACTATGCACACCACCCCATCTCCATCTTCTCCCCAGCCATTACCCAATCTACCACGCCACAGGCACGCCGTCATACCTAAAAAACTTCCCACTATCCTGTTCCTTCAACCCACTCACAACCTCCAACATACTCCCCACGCTAACTTCCGCCTCAATCATCGCGCCCTCCCCACCCATCCTTGTCTTGACCCACCCGGGATCCATACAAATCACTTTAACCCCACCCTTCTTCAAATCCTTCGCCTGGTGCACCGTCAACATGTTCAACGCCGCTTTACTCATACTATAAGTACAGCACTTTGTTACATCCGTCGCTACGGTTAGACTGCCGAGGCCGGAAGACATGTTCAAGACGGTGGAGCCACGAGCGAGGTATTTCCTTAGCGACTCGACGATCTTCGCGGGTCCCAGGACGTTGGTTTGCATGTGCTCGTTCATACTCTTGGGATCCAGCGTCAGACTCGTATCACTGGAAGTCGCGTTGATACCAGCGACGTTGAAGAGGTAGTCTAGACTCGCTCCGGTCTTTGATAGGATTTCTGCGACGCGGAATTCGATGGAGGAGAGGGAGTCGAGAGAGCTGACGTCGCATTCGATGATGTGAATTTTGGGATTGCTCTTGCTCAACGCTTCCAACTCGGCGACGTCACCCGATTTCGAGCGTACGCCCGCAATGATGGTGTTGGAGCCGTTGGCAGCGAGTTGCCTTACGAATTCCAACCCAATGCCGCGGTTTGCGCCTGTGAGGAAGTAGGTTGCCATTTTGGGTTTTCGGGAACGACTTCTCGACGTGGAGGGAATGTGTGGTTTTGGTTTTATGATGATGGTTTGGGCGATGGGGGCGGAGGAGTCTGTGAGGGCTCTGAGAGGAAGGGTCGCTGGAGCAGATTTCCTTGGTATGGATTGTAAATGTGGGCGCGAGAAGTTTTGGGATGCGGAGGAGCGACTTGATGATGTACTTCGCCTCCGCGGACGGGTTGATGTGCTGGTGGACGTGGTGTGCCGTGTGGCATGCATGGGGGCTGCTTCCACCGGGTAAATCATGGTAGTGACGTGTGGTGTGGAGCGTGGGAGGGGAAGTTGGATGCGAGTTTGGCAGGTCGTTGAATATTAGATATTTACTTAGCAAGATGGCTATATGTGTTCGTCGGTTTGGTTATATGTATATATGCACGTACCATCTGTTCGCTTGAAGGAGTTGGTTGGCGGACCCGTAAATCGGGGTCGAACGTGTCAGACCTGTCAACTCTGTTACATGGGGCTTCATGCGACACGGCGCGTCGACCAGAACGAGGCTGCGATGTTATGCTTTCGCGGAAATTGTGTCTCGAATTCCCTAATTCTAAGGCTGAAATGATCGTTTAGTCGTCGTGAGATTGGCAGGATCAAAATGGCTCGGGCGAGCCCGACACCAGCTGGTGGGATTCGTCATGCGATGGACACGCGACCATTTCTTGGATCGTAACAATCCATTGGACATGCAGACAGGTTAGCACATGTTGAGAGATGTGAATGCGTGAGTTGTAGAATTACTATTTCGTGCGTGACTTATAAACATTACTCTCAGCATTGGGACATGATGAAAGGGAAAGAATAGCTTCACTCTCTCATCGGCCACTGATAACATCGCCGCCTCGACTTTCTGACGCGCGTAGCGTGCCTTTCGTCTGGTATCTGACCCACTCTTGACATCCCCGCTTGTTTGCCACCTCCATGTCCAATGCTCCATCATCCGACCGTACAGCGTCAAGGTATCGTTTACTCCATGTGGTCGACCTTGCGCTTCTCGCTGGCTCCCTTGACTACACTGGATAGATCGACGACTTTATCATGTTAGCAGACGATCAGACGATTGCTAGAAATATGGGCAAACTTACGAGGTAGATCGAATGGGAAGTCGACACTAGCCAGCATAATGGCGAAGAAGATATACCATCCACAAAGACATGTGACGAAGGTGAAAGCACCAGCAGCTTCGGCAAGTTTGACTGCAAGAGCTGCTCGGCCATTGGCAAGCTGGAGGTAGCTTCCGGCAAGGAGACCAAAGGCAGGTACAAGGGTGAAGAAGATGAGGAAGAAGACAAGATTTGTGCGGATAGAGCAAACGAGGTAGACGAGGCAAAGAATGCCCATCATGATGAGGAAGTATGCTATATCAACCGTTAGAAAACAGTTCCGTATCATGTCGTAGGGAACGTACCAAGACCAACATTGAAGCCCACAGACCCGAGACCTGTGTCGCCTTGGACGCTTGGATCCGCGTATGCGCCGTACGAGTTGTAGAAAGGTTGGAGAGTTGCGGCGAAACCGAGCCAGAAGGCACCGAAAGAGCAAAAGACAACGAAGGGAAAGGTGTTGCCGAGAATCCACTGTGACAGCTGTTAGCGTTTGCTATTACAGGTTCCGGGACAAACATACTTCACCAAGGCCACCGAGGATCATGAGCAGACCACCGCAGAAGTAATACCATCCGGTGCTTGCAGCTCCACTTCCACCGGCGCCTCGCCATCCCATAAGGGTCATGCTCAATGGGTGTAGCGACAGCAAGAAACCGATCAAAGCGCTGTGCAATGTTAGCATCCACGAACCCGAAGTATGTGATGAGAACTTACAGAGGTGTTGGGTTACCGAACGTCTTGCGCAGATCTCCCTTTACTTTGTTCGGAGGTGACAAGTACAGCTTCTCGAAAAGCTCTGGCGAGATGGAGATGCTACCTGCTGTTCGGATTTGATGCAGCGCGGTACCAGAATCGGCCGAAGCATCGAGGTGTGCGTGTCCGCCATATCCGTTGCCGTAAGCTAGAGAGTGTAAGCTGAATTCGGAAGTACGCGTCGCAAAAGTGTTTTACCATCTTGCCGAGAAAAGTCCTTCTCCAAGGCGTTGGGGTTGTCCATCATTCTTGTCGTCGACTCGTTCCTCGCAGTTGATCCGGCTGATAGAGTCTCCGCGTCCCGAGCCGTAGTCGCACCGAGATGGGCGTCGTTTGTTGCGTACTTGTGGTCGTGGTTGGAAGTCATACAGGCGATGTGGTTATCGAACAGACCGCTTCCGTTAGAGTTAGTATTAGACGAGGATGTTTCGTGATGATGGCCAGTGGAGGAAGTGGTAGTAGCTGAGGAGTTCTCGTAACGTGACATAGGAGGCTAGAAGATGGAGGATAGGACTGATATAGGTGGGCAGACAATCTTCATTAAGAGTGTAGGTAACGTAACGATGGTGCTCCGCAAACCTTGAGGCACGGATTCCAATTCCAAGAAAGCGTAGCCGCGGACGAAAGCAAGGGATCATCACCAAGTATGTGGCAGGTGCAGCCAGGCCACCCCGGTAGAACAAGAGTTTGAGGACCAACCGCTGCGGCTCCGCGTTGGACCTGATGCACGTAGTCGAATTGGCGGGAGGGCAGATCTGCCCAGACTAGAGCTCGAAGGGCGGCCAGGTCTTGATTCGCCGGAGTCATGAGGAGTTCATCCTTAGCTGCGGACGTGGCTTCCCTGGCGACGCATCCCCAGAAACAACAGTGGCGTTCCGTGCAGTCACATTGCACACCCCAGAGGTTTTGCCTATAATACCATCGAGGCTTATCCAAAAGTGCATGGTAATGAGCGTCCGAATGAACAATTGGAGATGTAAATTCCGATCAAGGACTCTACGATAAGCATGCTTCTTCGTAAAACACAATTGATCACACTCGTAGCCTCGCCGTATGGGCAAGACCTCGGCGACCCTAGTGCCCAAAACGGTCGCAATGCAAATGGTACGCGTTGAACGTTGTAACGTGATCGTGATCCGACTCAGTGACAACCAGTAAGGGATCTGCAGCTGCAGGAAATAAGATCGGTTCTGCGGAGTCGAGTGGAGATGAAGCGCGCGAAAGCTGGGGATGTGTGCGGAGCCTAGACTTTGGAGCTAAATGATCGTCGGGCCGTCACTGATTGGGGTTGACTTTGCGGGGAAAGCGTGCTAGGAACGCTAGATCCGGATGAGTGGTGCAGGCGTTATTCCCAAACGTCATGTCGCTCACGGCATCTCTGAAGCCGTGCATAAGAGTTCCTTTTGACGTCTCGCAAACGAGTCGTGTAGGCGACATCGATTACTGATGGTGTCGTTCCGAAGTGCAATCGCGTGTAACGTTGCGATTGAAGCAGTTGCAGATCTGTGTGACGAGAACGACCAACTCCTTCGACTAAGTCCAGATCGTATGCAGTCCGGCCTCGTGCGGCGAAGCTGTTGTGGTTGCATGTGCATCTTATGATCGATAAATCAATTCCGCAGTTGGTGTCAAACTGCAAGGGAGGGCCCAGAGCCAGCCCCCCGCGTTCCACTACCGAGGTGTGCATGGTGGCCTCAGAATCCGGTGTGCACGGTATCGAAGCGTAGGGCATTTGGCGAGTAGCTTGCGCTCATCCGACCACGTAACGGGAAGGCGGCGGATTGATTCCGCGCGGAAATCCGCCTAACCCAATCTGGCCTACGATGGAGGAAGACTGGTGTTTCTTGAAACCAAGCCCCGGGAATTAGTAGATGCACAAATACTGGGCTCTTGGTTGGAGTTAATTGTGGCTGATGTATCGTATAAAGTGTTCCGAGGGGGTTGCAATGTTTCGTGCAGGCTCCAGTCGCATTCGAAATGTAAGCCTGGTTGACCGCACGTCGCACGACGATTTCCATAATTCGTTCCGATTAACGCGCTCTTGCAACCTCTCAGTCGGTAATAGGCAAGTTTGCCAGGTGTCCAAAAGGCAGACCGCATCTTCCGTGGATCCGAGCCATCAGCATCCCAGTAAGACTGCGACCCAGGATCCTAGCGGCGTATGCCGTGCCCCCTCTGATCCGAAGGAATTCGGGCTTTTCGCGATTACAGGGAACGACGCTTCCGGTCCAGCACAGAGTTGTCCATAGAATCTGCATTGCCTTATCCATTGTGAAAGCATGCATTTGCTCTGCGGGACATCCCTCCACTGCGTACAGGCTATCGGCAACCGAAATCGGCATCCGAAGAACGTGACACGAGACTGCGACTAAGAGTCCTATGCGAAGTGTGGAGCATGTGGCATTGAAGGTTCATGTCGGTGGTCTTCGGAGGGTTTCGGTCCTCGGTGCTTTCCAGTGTTGAAGCGCCGAAAGCTGGTGAGAACGTACAAGGAGATATAGATCGTCGGTACATTCGGATGTTCGATGGCTCAAAATCTCCTCGTGGTCGTTCGCACCTTCTGCTCCTGGGGGCCCCGTACTTGTTCAGCATGGACAGGTGCGCGTCGCTCCTGCCTAGTGCCGAACGACTGTCATAACCTCGTTCGCCAGGATCGCGAAATGTACCGATGATCGAGTCGAGCAGATTGCGTACAGCGGCAATTAGTTGGTTACTGTCTTTGCGAATGGACATGTGTTCCGCGCCAGTCAACATGATGCAACGTCAACAGAAGTGCTGATAGAAGAGGAAGGTGCATTGCACGTGCTCTCAGAGAACATGAGATGGATCAGTTTGAGAGAAGGCACCAGAACGGCACGTCATTCTCTTTATACCTGAGCGCATGACGAGATGGATGGTGATGATGAGAAGATAAGTAATCTCACCCGGCTGGCTTCTTCGCCTTATCCCCCTTCCCCGACTCCGATCCCGCTGGATGATTAATGCGAAAAAGAACGAGAGCTTCAACAGCTGTATGGTCATCCGTAGCGACCTCAAGCTCCACCAACTTCTTCGATAACCTTCTTGAGATTCTTGATGTCATGCGCGAAACGACCCAAGAATAAGCCATCTACCCCTTCGGCAATCTTTGCAAAGGTGCCAGGCCCAGCACTTCCTCCGTAGACGATTCTTGTGGTGCCCACTCTGCCAGCAGCCAGCTTCCTAAGCTCTTTCGTGACATTGACAACGTGGTCGGGGTCGGCGGGCTCTTTTGCGCCAATGGCCCAGACAGGCTCGTAGGCCAGAATTACCTCAGTGTCGTCCGGGACCGCAGCCAGCACTGACATGACCTGGGGCTTGCACTCTTGTATAGCTGCACCGACAGCTGCTGATGCGACGCTGTGGTGCGTCTTCTCGCCAATGCACACCAGCGGAATGAGGCCGTTCCTGGCTGCTGCACCAGCCTTCTTCGCGACCGTCTCGTCTGTCTCACCGAATATGGCCCTCCGCTCCGCATGTCCAATCTCTACTATGCGCGCACCTGCCTGGCGCAGCACCAGTGGGCTGACCTCGCCGGTGTATGCGCCCTTGTCCTCCCACATGGTGTCTTGAGCGCCAAGCATGATGGATGAAGACTCGAGGATGCGGGCAGATTCGGTGAGGGAGACGAAGTCGGGGATGACGAAGAGATCTATGCGCGAGTTCCAGGCGTCGCCGTCAAGCTGCAAGACGCCGCGGACGTAGGATAGGGTGCTGGGCAGGTCGAAGTACATTTTCAGCGAGACGCCGACGATGCGACGGGGGCGCGTGATGGGCGGCATAGCTGCGGTGTGTCTATGTGTGTATAGAAGAAGGGAGGCTGCCAGTCGTTGTACAAGTAACAGACACACTTCCTGCGCAACGATGATGATCCGGGATTACCGCATAGGGTAAACCCGGGGAAGAGATGAATCGGCCACCAGCGGTGGAGGGGAGCTCGTGTGGGACGGGACACGTTTGTGGGGCTCCATGCCACATCCATCACCACATGCAATGCCACATTATAATATGCGCGACTTGCGACCTGCCCAAGCGCTCTCTGCATCTCCTGTGACGAAGCGCGCCCACCGCATGCACATGTCACGCATAGCCACCGGATCAGCCCGTGGTGCCAGAGTAGTCATGGTAGACCGCCGAAGATGGGCCACACTTGGCAGGGCTGGAGGGCTCCGATTGTGCCTCCGTACTGCGCTAACCGCTTCAACGTCAACCTTCCGCTAAGGAAAACTGTACATCAACGCATCACTCACCTCTCGCCTACTGACCGACCGCAAGACAGCAGTGGTACATGTCGCGGACACTCGCAGATCGCTGGGCCCGCAAACGATACTTTGGATAGCTCGTCAACACCGCAGTACGCAGCATCCTTGCACATCTCCCGAATTCCACCGCGGGGTGCATATCTCTCATATACATTTCACTAACGTCGGGAGAATTGACGCAGACTCTACATTTTCCTCCCTCTTCTCTTTCTACTTGTCCTATACCTCCCCATCATGCACATCTCTCAGAAACTCGCCCAGGCGCGGGAGGAGGGAAAGCCAACCTTCTCCTTCGAATTCTTCCCGCCCAAGACAGCGCAGGTATGCCGTACCCTGATGTCGCTGGCACAAAGAGCAGGACGCTGACCTCATCTAGGGAGTCCAAAACCTCTACGACCGCATGGACCGCATGCATGGCTTCGGTCCGCAGTTCATTGACCTCACCTGGGGCGCCGGTGGCCGCCACTCCAAGCTGACCTGCGAAATGGTCAAGGTCGCACAATCAGTCTACGGCCTCGAAACATGCATGCATCTTACATGCACCGATATGGAAAAGTCCAAGCTTGATGACGCCCTCCGCGACGCATACAACGCAGGCTGCACAAACATCCTTGCGCTGAGGGGAGACCCGCCGCGTGAGAGAGAAAAGTGGGAGGCGACGGCAGGTGGCTTCCGCTATGCCAAGGACCTCGTCGTATACATCAAGGAGAAGTACGGAAACCATTTCGACATTGGTGTGGCCGGATACTCCGAAGGAAGCGACGACAATGACAACGTCGATGAGCTCATCGACCATCTCAAGGAGAAGGTGGATGCTGGAGGAACCTTCATCGTCACACAGATGTTCTACGATACCGATCTCTTCCTTGAGTGGGTCAGGAAGGTTCGTGCCAAGGGCATCGACGTTCCCATCATTCCTGGTATTATGCCGATCCACACATACGCGGCATTTTTACGCCGAGCTCAATGGACGAAGTGCAACATTCCGAAGAACTGGACCGAGGCTTTGGAGCCTGTCAAGAACGACGATGTGGAAGTCCGTGAAGTTGGCAAGAGTCTGGTCGCAGACATGTGCCGGAGGCTGATCGATGCTGGTATCATACATCTGCACTTGTAAGTTGGCGCCTAAGACTAAAAGATTGCCGACTAATTCTCATATAGCTATACCATGAATCTCGCACAAGCCACTCGCATGGTCCTTGAAGAACTAGACCTCCTACCAGACCCCGAGTCACCGCTAGAGAAGCCCCTTCCATGGCGGCCTTCCCTGGCCCTCAACCGACGCGACGAGAACGTACGACCCATCTTCTGGCGCAACCGCAATCGATCGTACATCGCACGCACACAAGATTGGGACGAGTTCCCGAACGGTCGCTGGGGAGATTCTCGTTCACCTGCGTTCGGTGAATTGGACTCATATGGCATTGGTCTGAAGGGAACCAATGAGCAGAATATCAAGCTATGGGGCACACCAATGTCGATTAGGGATCTGTCCGAACTCTTCGTACGCTACATGGAGGGAAAGCTCGACTCGTTGCCATGGAGTGAACAGCCCATTACGACTGAAGCTGGATCGATCACTGATGATCTCATCGACCTGAACCGTCGTGGTTTCCTGACCATCAACTCCCAGCCTGCTGTTAACGGAGCCAAGTCTTCGGATCCTGTCTTTGGTTGGGGCCCACGCAATGGTTACGTCTACCAGAAGGCATACCTAGAAGTCTTTGTCTCTCCAGAGCACATCTCGGAGATCATCACACGTCTCGAGCGCGACCCTGAGTTCACATACTACGCGGTCAACAAGGATGGCGACTTGAAGACGAACGCTCCCAACGAAGGACCAAATGCTGTCACATGGGGTGTATTCCCTGGCAAGGAGATTGTGCAGCCGACTATTGTCGAGACAGTCAGCTTCCTTGCCTGGAAGGACGAGTTCTACCGTCTCGGACAACAGTGGGCCAATTGCCACGCAGGTGTAAGCCCATCACGTTACGTGATTCAGGATGTTGTAGACACCTGGTATCTCCTGAACATCGGTTAGTATATTCGCTTACTCATTCAGCTCTTTCAACTAACAATCCTACAGTCCATAACGACTTCCACGCCACTCGTGGCATCTTCCCCATCTTCGACGGACTAGAAGTCAAGGACATGGACAAGCCGTTGGTTGACCCCAACAGTGTCGACCTTCCTGGCACAAACGGAGAGGAAGCGAAAAAGCCAGTCAACGGCGAAAGCAACGTGAACGGCACAAACGGCGAGAAGGCCGGACCTCGCAAGGAAGAGAACCCAAGCCTTATCGACGCTGCCAAGGCGGCCGCCGTCGAGGTCACCAATGGCATGAGGAGCCTGGCTATGTCCAACTAGGCTTGCATGATCCGTTACGACACCCGGTCTTACTGTATTCAACACAGCAAGGCCCAGTTCTAGAGGAGCTCCCCTCAGACTGATCTCCACTTCTTATTTGATGTTCAACAACACGCAATAGAGTCCATCCTTTCAACAGGACTCATGCACTTCAACAAGCGCAAACTCTCCAATTCTTTCATCCTTCGGCGTAGCTCGGTAATAATTGGTGTTCAAAAAGGGGAACAACACATTACTTGTTCGCATACAAAGCATAAATGCATCTGGGAGGCGTCAATTCAACCCGACGACCGTCACACAAAACAGACTATATGGTGCGGGAACCCTAAAAAAGTTCAAGAAGCATAGTTACTGGAGAAGGAGGATGGTGATATGGCATGGCCTGCCTTTCTAAGATACCCGATTGCTGCCCTCAACGGCGGCGGTCAATTTTGATGATTACGTTCTTTAACATTGTGGTACATGTGTCGTTGATATACATATATATAATGGCATTTGATCTTTAACTTTTAACTTTGACATTTAGCTGAGTTCGTCCAAGATTCTAGGGAACATGCTGTAAAAGTGATGCTTATGCTGAGATGAACTTGCTTGTCTGTCATTCTACCATATTGGCATGTATGATTTGTTTGTAGAAAAGTGAATGTGTAAAGTATGTGAACAAGAATCGAAACCAATAGCGCCATCAAGACGTCTTCTCCCTCTCCTCCATCATCCAGCACATCGAACCTGTACCGGGCTTCATGAATCAAAGAAGCCAGGCATCTAAGCGCCGATTCCACTTCCAGCACCTTCACCAGCTCCAGCACCCTCACCCTCACCACCCTTACCACCGCCAAACAATCCACTGAACCAGCTCCACCAGCCACCGGAACCGCCATCACCACCAGGACCCTGCTGACCATCCTCCTGGCCTGGCAGCTCAGGCATACCAGTCGGCTTAGGCCCACGTGTCATCGTCTCCATGGTGGTAGGCAGACCGGGCATGCCTGTGCCAGGGAGACCGGGGAAACCGCCTCCAGGCGCACCGCCAGTGGGCATGGGGAAAGAAGGGAGGTCTGTTGGGAAACCACCTGGGCCGCCTGGTCCACCAGGTCCTTCAGGTGCGCCGGTTGGCAGACCAGGGAATCCGCCTGTGGGCGCTGGGAAGCCACCGCCTGGGCCTTCGGGGGCACCGGTGGGAGTAGGTAGACCAGGGAAGCCACCTCCGGGTGAGCCAGAGTCGGTCTCAGTAGGAAGAGGTGCACCGCCGTTCTCTGGGTCTGCGAGAGAGAAGCTGGGGAGGGGCAGGTCGCCGCCTTGGCGAGGAGCGAGCTGGTAGTCGATGGCTAGATTGCGGGCGGCGCGGGCGCGAACGGGCCATGAGGGGGGCATGTTGCTGGAGCCGCCTGGACCGCCAGGGCCGCCTGGGAAGCCGCCGGTGGGCATGGGCATGGGGAAGCCGGGTGGTGTTGGGGCTCCGGTGCCCATGGGTGGGCCCATAGGAGGGAAACCGGGGGTTGGTGCGCCCATCGGTGGGAGGCCAGAAGGAGGGCCCATAGGCGGGAAGCCTGGAGTTGGGGCACCCATTGGGGGAAAGCCTGGGGTGGGAGCACCCATTGGGGGAGTTGGTGCACCAGTTCCCATAGGAGGACCCATAGGAGGGAAACCTGGGGTGGGAGAACCCATGGGCGGCATGCCCATCGAAGGGAAGCCAGGTGGAGGAGGAGCCTGGCGCGTGTCCTTGGTGCCGAAGATGGCGTCAATGTAGTCGCCGAAGGGAGCGGCGGCAGCGCTGCTCGAGAGAGCGAGGACAACAGGGACGGAGTACTTCATGTTGATGGTATTTGTAGTGAAAAGTCCGTGTGGATGTTTGAGGCTGGAGTGTTGAAATGTAAAGATAGTGGCTCAGCCAAAAAGAATGTATATACCACTAGGATATCTAGAGAGGGTGAACTTGGGTAGAGCAAAGAAAGGCCTGCCCGAAGTGTAAGAGAGAGAGAGGAAGAGAGAGAGGAAGAGAGAGAGAGTGCTGGACAACTGATCTGTAAAGAACTGTGTTGATGATCCTACAAACTGAGGAAGGATCCTGCAGTATATATGCTCTTCTGTTTCGTTTCGGAGATTTCCAGGCCATGATCTACCCATGATCAACCACTCAATTCATCTCAAACGAGGTCTTCCGCGGGCCCGCCGCCCCCAGATTGCCCAGTCGTTTGAAGTTGCTGGGGAATCACTATGAGCAGCGTCTGTGCGCCCGCCTGCTAGTTACAGATAAGATCGATCAAGACATTGCGAAGACGCGGCGGCGCGGGCTTGGTGGGCAATCTCTGCAGGTTTAGCCAGGAACTACGTCTGCATGGCCTGATTCGTAAATTTTAGTATGGGGATTCATGCCGATCGCTGTGGAGTTTCATAACCTCTCCAATGGAAACGTTGTGCGCGCTATAAAACAAAGCAGTAAACAGTTGCGTGACAAGGGCCAAGTCGGTAATTTGCGTAAAAGCAAGGCTGCGATGGCCATGGATAGATTGGATAGAAAGGCAACATGTTTCGAGGGAGAGGTCGAGATGCGAGCGGGAGGGCCGATCGCATGTTGATGGTAGTGGTGGGTCTGTTTCAGGCGTACGCGTACCTCGACGCCAAGAGGGGAACTCGCTTGCTGATTGGCGCAACCAAATGCCGACCATGGTTGCTCTGTAACAGGAACGGGCACATCGTCTACTTGAGCATCGGGAGACCTGCTTGGTGTTTGAAATGTAGTAACGGCGTGATGTGTGACGTACTGCCGTGCGGGATGCAGACCTCGGCAATGAACTACGTCAGGCATCGAGAGGCATCGGGTTAAATCCATCCAATTCTCCTTGCAGCATATCCCCAGCCGCTCAACAGTGCAGTCACACCTGTGAAGACGATCAACGCTCCATATCCGCTGCCATAAGCAAAGCCTGCACGCCAATCACCAGCATGTAGCAATGCTTCTGAGAGCGGACCACTGCACAAGTTGCCTACTCCTTTCCCAGCCGATAGACACGCCCATACAAAGCCAGAATCTGCGCCTTTGCGCTTCTTTTGAGTGTCTGCGACAATTGCACTCCAGGCGCTCGATTGACAGCCAGCAAAGGCACCGTAGACAATGCAGAACATGTACAATGGCGCTAGTGATGTAGAGAATCCCCACAGGAGAAATATGCCGACCGTTGACCCCAGTGCAGAGACCATAAGACATGTCGTGACATGGTACTTGTCGGTAGCGATACCCATGCATAGACATCCGACAAATGCAGCGGCGTTGACGAGGATGACTGTAACGGTGCTTTCGATGCTACCTGCGCCAATGGACCGAGCAAAGGTGGGCAGGTAGATTGCTGGTAGGAAGAAGCCAAGACTTTGGATGATGTTGCCGGATTGCAGGATGAGATAATTCGAACATGTCCAGAAGGACAGATCAAAACCCCTGGACTGCGATGTTTGCGATAGTGGAAGACGAGGCTTGAAGAAGAAGACTATCGGAAAGTTGAGGGCCACGAAGCTGAGCGCACATACCCGTAGAGTCGTCCGGAACCCGTATGAGTGTAGGAGCCATTCGAGTATAAGAGGGAGGATGGCCCCGCTCAATCCAAGGCCAGCCATGGCGGCTCCATAGGCAAAGCCTCTTCTGCGTACCCACCACTCTTCGATGTTGAAGAGGATTGGCGTCCATGCGAGGCCGCCGCCGAGTGCGTACAAGATACCTTGAGTGACAATGAGGTGCGTGACGCTCGTTGATAGCGATCCAAGACCCAAAGCGAGGCAAACAACGACTAGACCAACGGGAGTGGCCCAGATGCGAAATTTGGGAAAGTATTTGAGCACGGCAAACCAGAAGGCGATATCCATGTACATGATACCCTGGAGAAGTGTTAGGTTGGAAGCTATAATGATTTCTACAACATACCATCGCACAGGCACCCACAACGGCGATATTGCTTTGACCAGAGAACTCCTCACTAGTAGCATAATACTCTTGGAAGACGCCATAGCAGGAAGGGAAGCCCCAGATCATGGCTTCAAGCATGAAGCAAGCGAACAGACACAGCCAGGCATCCTTACCACCATCGGTAGGCGGAAGGGAGAAGCCATTGTCGCTGTTGAGACGTTGATCGTCATCTTCGTGTTCGCGTAGTATTTCGATGTCCGTTGTCGCCGCCGAAGGCTGCTGTGGGTAAGTGGTCAACTCGACCTGTGTGCTCTGAGTAGAAGCCATTGGGCGCTCGGATTGGATTCTGAGTCGACGGCAGCAGACTCATACTTATGTACATCCTCAGTAGTATGTTGAGGTAAGTAGTGACTGTGTTAGCTTGGGAATCACTTGTAGGGCGTGCTGGATGCACGGTCGGGTGGGGCTCTGAGGCCTTGGGCCCGTCGGAAAACGCAAAAGTCACGACGAGAGCTCGGCCGCTGAGTCATGATGGATCGTTCTACTGTCTGCTATGGATTATACGGCTAGTACTGACGCTCAATCGGTGTGGTGTTTGGTGCTCGTCTATGGAGAAGCGAGGGTGGATGGCTCTTGGTATGATGCAGGGGCACCCGGGCGGGAGCGGAAATGTAGCGCGACGCGACTTGTGGATTGACGCGCCTTGACCAGCGCTTTCAGCATGTCGAAACGTTTGGCACATACAACCATCACGATGCATTCCCAATAACGAACAGCCATCAACTTTACATACACGATAGCACAACGCCTCAATCACTGCCATGGACGAATCGCCACGATCTTCTAAGCGGAGAAAGCTTGACACCCCGAAGCGCACCGAATCGAGCCCATCAACAAAGCCGTCAACCAGGAAAGCCTCTGGCAGGCTTGCAGCCCGAACCACGACGAACACGAATGGCGACTCTGTACGGAGTGTGGAGAACAAGCCAGCGCCAGCGCGCAAAAGCCAGGCGCTGAAGGGCGCAACAAATGGCACTGCGACAAAGCGTGCGGCCGAAGAAGAGATTGACGTCTACGATGACATTGAGGGCGCATTAAACGTCGAAATCTCCTCGCGACCAACCCAGATCCGTAAACCGTCGCAGAAAGCGTCCAAAGAGAACACTCCAATTGCGGCGCAGGCAAAGGAGGAAATACAGACAAACACTCCACCAAAGCGAGGAAGGGGGCGACCTACAAAAGCAGAAAGCGCACGTCGGGCCGCTTTGAAAGAGGCATCGACGGATGCCATCACACCTGCTAAAGGCGCAAAGGCTGTACGGAAGCCAGCAGCATCTGCACGCAAACCAGCTGCTGCACGAGCAAGCGCGCGCAAGAAGAGAGACCCGAGTCCTATCGCAGAGGAGAACGAAGAGACGGATGAGCTGCAGAACGAAACCAAAGCGGCTAAGCCCTCGAAACCTCGCTCAGTACGAAAGCCGGCTACCAGTACACGAAAAAAGGCAGCAGCGACGGAACCCGAGTCTGAAGAGGCAGTCGCAGCCACGCCTTCCAAGTCCACCAAGCGACGAAAACCAGCAGCAGGGCAAACAACCATACCGGAAAGCGAGGACGAACTCGGCGATGGCTCTCCCACAAGTAACAGGAAGCTTACTGCTAGTGCACGAAGACGCTTCAACCGCACCGATCATGTCACCAACAACGACGAGGAGCGCTGGTCGAATGCGGAAGAGCAGGTCAATGGTTATGACGAGGATGATATGGAGGTAGATGGGAACAGCATCCTGGACAGTTTGCTGGATCCCACGGAACCCAGCCCCTTCAACAAGCCTACGTCAGCACAGAAGGAGAAGGAGAAGTTCGCTCTATCGGCCATCTATAACGACATTGCACCGGGCCGCGAACTTGATCTCTTAAAAACGATCGTCATGGAACGTATTACTGGGAAACGTCCCTCGCCCCTGGTTGGTTTAGACGAAGAGTACAAATCTGTACACCAACTTGTCGAGCATACCATCACTGCTGGCGAGGGCAACTCAATGCTCGTCATCGGAGCCCGAGGTAGTGGAAAGACGGCACTCGTCAACAAAGTCCTTTCCGAAGTCTCCAAAGACAACGGTGGTCAGTACCACGTTGTTCGACTCAACGGCTTCGTCCACACAGACGACAAGATTGCACTCCGTGAGATCTGGCGCCAGCTAGGGAAAGAGATGGATATCGAAGAGGATAGTAGCGGCCCAGGAAAGAACTATGCAGATACGCTAGCGACGCTGCTCGCTCTGCTTTCCCACCCTTCCGAACAGACTGGCGAGGTGACCGACCAAGTCGCTAAAGCCGTCATCTTCGTCATGGATGAATTTGACCTCTTCGCTCAACATCCCCGTCAGACTTTGCTCTACAATCTCTTCGACATCGCACAGTCACGAAAAGCGCCCATCGCAGTCTTGGGACTCACAACACGCATCGACGTGACTAACAGTCTCGAGAAGCGTGTCAAGAGTCGTTTCAGCCACCGCTACGTGCATCTCAGACTGGCAACGACATTTACCGCGTTTCAAGAAACATGCAAAGCCTGTTTGTTAATACAGCCAGAGCTGCTAAGCGTCGAGGAAAGAGGTATACTAGAAGGCGGTACCAAGACCACACCAGGCCAGAAAGCAAAGAAGGGCGACACGAGAGAAGACGCATTATCCCAATGGAACGCCAACATCTCCGTAAGCCCATCCACCCTCCATCTTGTCAAACCACAACCCAGCTAACCTTCCTGCAGAAACTCTTCTCAACCTCCACCTTCCTAACCACGCACCTAGCCACAACCTTCTACCTCAGCAAATCCGTCCCCAAAATCCTAACCACCTTCCTCCTTCCCACCGCCACCCTCTCCCCCACCACGCCCTTCCTGCCCACCACCAGCCTCTCGTCCCCAGACTCAAAACTCTCCCTCATCCCCTCGCTCTCCCAGTTGTCCCTCTCCCTCCTCATCGCTGCCGCCAGATTAGACATCATTCACGACTCCGACACGTGCAACTTCAACATGGCCTATGACGAGTACGTGACGCTTGCGTCGCGTGCGCGGATTCAATCGGCTGCTGGTGGGTTGAGTAGTAGTTCTGGTGCGAGTAAAGTGTGGGGGAAGGATGTGGCGAGGCGCGAGTGGGAGGGGCTTGTTGAGTTAGGGTTGTGTATGCCGGTTTTGACTGGGGGGTCAGTGGGTGCGTTTGGGATGGTGAGGGTTGATGTTGCGTTGGAGGAGGTGGGTGAGGTTTTGAGAGGCATCAAAGGCGGGGATAAGGGGTTGGAGAGGTGGTGTCGGAGTATTTGATTGATGGACAAGGGAAGAAAGAGGTTGGAGTTGGTATTGGATACGGGTCATGGGGATGGATGGGGTTTTTGTATAATTAGCATAGCGGGACATAGTTAGCAGGGTGGATTGTTGTTTTGATAAACCTAGCATAGCGGAACGGCGTATTCATATTATAGATGAGGAGAAGGGTTACAAGATAGAATCGCGTTTGTAACATAAGCATATACAGCATATCATTATCTCAACATCGCATTACATCCCCTTTCCCCTCCCCGTCCATTGCTAACACCCCCAATAACTAGCCCAACGACTCTTCCCCCCAAGCACGCCCACAAACTCCCTCGCCACAATCCGACTCGTCTGCTCACTCGGATGCAATGGATCAAACCACATGAAACTATCCGGGCTCGTCGTGCTCGTACAATTACTTCCCTGTTCATTGCACAGACTCTCCACGCCCTGTACATTCAACGGCGCGCCCGTCCCATTCAGGTAACTAGACGGGTTGTAATACATATCCGTCATGAGGGCGTTGACGTCGAAAGAAGCTACCTTGGCATCTTCCCAGCGCTCTTCGATCTCCGCGGCAAAAGGTGTGCGGTACGCGTAGACTTGGTTGAGAGCGGCGACGGTGTTTTGCATGCGGCCGTGGACTTCTGTGAGGTTCTTTCCGGGGGTGTTGGGGTAGTACTGTGTTGATTGGAGGCCGCCTCCACCGGCTTGTTGGTATTGAGGGAGAAGATTTAGCGGCGCAAGATTCATAACGACGAAATACCGGCCGCCGTTCTCGTACAAGCGGTCGATTTGCGAGTATACGCAGTCCATGTAGTCGGCTACGGTCTTGCCGGGGGCTTGGCTGTCGGTAAGGAAGGCGCCGTTACCGAGGTCGTTGGTGCCGATCCAGATTGCGTAGACAGTGGAGGAGGGTTTGCCGGTGAAAAATTGCGTGCCGTTGGACGTGGTGGCCGTGGAGTCGGCGATGAAAGCGGGGAGTTCGTAGCCGGCAATGTCGGGGAAGAAGTCGTCGATGCCGGAGAAGTAGCGGGGGGTTATTTCGTTGGAGCACACGGCGCCTGAGACGGCGTAGTTGTAGAGATTGGTTTTGGAGTAGATGCTTGCGTATCGCGCCCAGGAGAGGCCGCCGGAGGCTGTGGCTAGACCCTGATTGTTATTAGTAAAGATTGGAGACTGGTATCATGACAGTTTTGACTTACCACAGGTTGCTGCCATGCTACAGGTGGTGCAGAACCATTGTTGTTGATGAAGTATCCTAGTCGGTTCTCATCCGTGTAACTGTCGCCAAACGTCACTAACGTCTTGAACTTCCCATCGCGCCAGCCCCCCGCGACTCCCCCAGTAATCGCTAGATTAGCGACGAGCAATCGAATTGACCAAGAAGACACCATTGTGAGACAGCCAGGTTGCCGGTGACAGCATCTGCGCCGAGAAACCCACGGGTACTTATATCGCTAAGCCTGTGGAGGCGGGCGGGACTTCTCCAAAGCACTAAGCATTCCTTTCCGCCGATACATGGGGCTAATCCAGGTCGGCAAATCTTTCATAATGAATTGCAGCTGGTACGCGGGGAAATTGGAGACGCGAGCCCGGTTGTTCATGGGAAATGATGCCGGTCGCGGGAGCTATACGCTTTCCGGGTGTGGTTGGTGTGGGATCAGGCTAAACAGGTGTGCAGTTCGATCGGAGGCTGGTGTCTATGAACCGGAGATTGAAACCTGGGTCGATAACAAGCATGTCGCGGTATCGACATGAACTTGTGTTTACCGTGCTCTTCGTGTTTTTGTTTGTCGCCAATGTACTGACGGGGGTGACGGCTTTCGACCTGCCATGCTCGATATGTTATCGCGACTTACGCGCCCGACAGTGATCCTAAGCTACCGTTGCGAACACACGTGGCGCGTGGGTCTGGGGCAGACTAGATCTGGGAAAGTATAGTGACGTCGTTGTTGCTTACAACGTCCTGTAATGTTGGTATCGGTCGGTAACCGCCGAGGCATGCTTGATGTTCCTCCAGCCGAGGTCTCGATGCGCACAAAACCCGGGATCGCAGTCGAGAACCAGTATTCGGCGAGACGAGCGAGACTAATGTATGCCGCAGGTCGTTCACGCGAATCCAATTAGTTCGCGTAGGGTACGAAGGGTACCTAGGTATGTTTTGACGTCGAAGCTCTTGCTCGAGAACTCTGTGGAGAGGGCACCTTAGAAGAACGGCGCAAGCAGGTTGACCTGGCTCATCGGAAAATGGCCCGGTCGTGTGTTGTCCTCATATGCTTTTTCTGAGGTTGAAGGCTATGGATTTGTTTTTCCTGGTACCCATTCGGCTTGTCACTAGGATGCTCAGATCGTGTACTGAATGTGGATCGAGATTTTGACGAGACAACCTTTGTGCACGCCAATACTGGCATGGGAGTGTCTCGTCACGAAGCCGTTGATTCAACGTGGGCTCCTTGACCGTGCCCGCTTCCCCGGTGCACGCGTCTTGCGCAGGCCATCGCTGGTGGATACGTCTAACCATATTGGAACAAAACAGTCGATAGTCCAACGTCAATAAGCGGTAGTGCCTGGGATGGAAGCAACACCATACTAAAGTTGTAGTGAGAGAGCAGAGACTTCTTGTAGCGGAAACTTCGGCATGCCGAGGCCTGACCCGAATGAGGCGACTCGATGCCGGTGGGGCGACATGCTGCTGTTCCGTCGCGAAGTCGCAAAGCGTTGGAGTCTAGCCAGGAAAGCGCCCCATTAGAGCGCGTATCTCGCTACCAAACTGTCGGGGAATTGGCCTGCAAATAGACAGATGTACCGATCAGGTCCTGGGCACATCAGATAGCTCTGTTTATGCCCCTTCCTCCCCGATCTTCGAAGCAGAGACGCGATCTCGACGGTTGACGTAGGCGGTGTTGAGCGTGGTAGTTCCTTCCCTACAACGAACCCTCACTCTCCAGGGCCTCTAGCGTCCCGTAGCCTGTTCCTTGTTCAGTCGCCCCACCTTCCCTTGTTATGTGTTTGACCCTCTCTGTCTTTTCAGATTCTCATCTTCAGCCCCATCACCAAGTGTATCGCAGCACCCGTGCCGAAGCTGTGCTCTTCTGCTGCGTATCATCTGCAGGCCCGCACTGTCTTGTCTTCGCTCTGACGCGGCCTGGATCTGGCTAGGTACTGGCACACAGACAAGTTCGATGAATCCACCACGACGCGCCAGTCCCCTTGTCATCACCTCGAAAGAGTCTTTGACTCCACAGCATAGCAACACCTCTGCAACGACCAAAGCAATAGCTCTTGCAACCAGTACGATTTCCTACGTCGGTGGCAATGACGAATGTGCTTCAGGCGTGCCTTGGGTCGAGGAGCTTGATGGAAGGAAGGAAGGACGGCTGCCAAGAGCCTGACCATGACCTCTAGTGAGTGGAATTGTGAGTGTTGGGAGGACTTCTGACGTGCAAGTCAGCTCGGCTAGCTTGACAGCATTCTGAACCAACTCGATGACAGCTACTGGTTCAGATAGAGCCGTGCGGATTGCTCGAATCTGAGCATACGATTCTAACTACCACAGGAAGATACACTCTCTACCGCCCATGTCGACCGTCCATCTACACTCCATGCGCGCACAAGCTGCGCATCCATAATTCCTGCGACGTCTACAGTGCGATTTGTCACCTACGTCGATGCGAACAAGCGCACGCGATATCACCGAGTGCTCTTCCGGCCCCTAGCAACATACCTAAAAGCGGGTTAGACACATTCTATCAAACAGGACGAGTTATCATTACAACTCGATATAGAGGTTCAAGCCCACGTCCTGGAGCTCTGCACGAACGTCTTGCATGAGCTCTTCGAACCGCGCAGCTGTCCAGCCCAGCTTGGATGTGAAAGGCCACAGCCCAAGTGACTCGAGGAGGTCGCCAATCATCTGGACGGATGGACGCTTGGTCAGCACGTATGCAACTTCTGCAACCGGGACGCATACGTACTGCGACAGAATCTCTACCGATGCTAGCCTGGGCCTCATCTATACGTCGATTTTCAGTACTGCTGTCTAGTAGGATGTTCCGGAACACTGGAAGATGGCCAACCGCAGTGGAAGATCAATTCCCTTGCTTGGCCGGACAATATGCAAAAGGCGAAATAGAACGGAAGACTTACTTTTTGACCAATCGCCTATGTGCAGCTGCACTATATCGACGTCGACGTCCCGATATCTATTATCGAGCAACAGCTGCTTCAACCGACGACCTATCCGTGGGTCACGATCCATGCCCGCCATGGCGCTTTGGTACTCCTGCCACCATTTTCGCACAGCATGCTGGTCCGTTAGACGTCCATTGTGCGATTGGATAATGGGCAGATACTCCATTATCTGTACCCAACCACCCGGCCGTAACAGTAATCTCATATCTCTGATGTATGTATCCCATCTGCGGATCTTGATACCTGGGAACACGAACCGCGAGTGTATGAGATCGAAGTGGTTCGCTTTGAATATCTCGGGATCGCGGAGAGGGTCGTTGAGATTATGAACGACCAGGTCCAAGTTCTCGGGCTCGTCTGAGACCTGCCTAGACACGGGCCGACGATTCAGTTTTCGCATCCGAATGGCCCAAATACAGGGTTGACTTACATGGGGAAAATGTCAAGCGCAGTTACCTGAGACTGTCAACACCCTTTCATCGATACGAGACGCGTTGGAAATACCAATCCCACCATACGTGCTTGTTGTGGGGTCAAGTACGCACCTCACAATCCTCAAATTCATCTGCGCATTGGACAGCCCAGTCGCCACCCCCGTAGCCGCACTCCAGTATTGCTTCGGGCTCTCCTACTGGTATTCGAGGGCAGAACAGTCCATCGCCAAAGAGCCGGGACACAATGTCATGTTGAGCTGTCAGTCTGCTCTCTTCGCGGTCATCGAAGGCCACCGGGGCGAAGTAGACACCCTCGTCAAGGGATGTTCTTTGGAACACTCGGCCGTGGACGATAGCTGTTTCTGCATCTTCGCTCATTGCTACTCACGCCTCTGAGAACACCATATGATACGCAGGCAACACCCAATAACAGAAATGGCGGCCCAAGACAAGTAATGGTATGTAGTAGCGACGATGTGAACCTCACAGAAACAGCACGACGAAAGCACGACGCTGTAGACTTTGCGATCTGCATATGGCTGTGAGCTGGCAACAAGCTCGGCAAAGGCGCAAAATTATCCGATATCGTGGCGAGAGGAAACGTCACTAAAGCAGGCTGACGAAGTAGCCGCAAGTCTCGAATCGCGAATGACCAAGGTTGATCACATCTGATCTCCATAAAACCAAGCGCTACCTCTCCAGCTTGCCTCTGAATACCAGGACGGTCCCCACGATTCGGTGACATATGTAGCTAGGGAGGCTACTGCATCGGCGGGAGTAATATCCGTTTTGGAACGTGGAAAGATGAGCAGATCGTTTCACTGCTTTCATCCAGCACATCCTACTCGCTAAGAGTCGGATCAAAACGAGGCGTATCGCCACTGGGGAATAGGAGTCAGGGGTCTATCACTCGAATACGAAGGACCTATCCGAAGACTCTGTCACTCATGCTGCTGCGAAGCATCATTGAGACCTCGTATACGGCTCGCTACAATTCTTGACACATCGGCATTTGTGGTAAATGCCCAACGTTAGGTAAGACAGGGGGAGGCCCACCATAGGAGCTCTGCTTACCTAGATTTGCTTCACTAGGACATCTTTGCTACTCACATTAGACAAAACTGCCCCGGAAGCTATTCCGCTGCACCACAAGCGATTCGCCGTGAAGGCAAGCATTGCTTGCGCTAGTGTATAGATTCGGTCGTTGATGGGCACGTGGTGCATGTCCGGACGGATGGCCCCGCTGACAGTCTTCTCGAAAATGAAAACCGCGGACATGGCCTCGGGACACAAGCCTATCGAAGCCAAGCCACATCGTCATTCCTATGGCTGTTGGCGGTGTTCACTATACCCGGACACGGTGCCTAGGGGTTCTCCTTGTCGCCACGACTATCAGAGTCTTCAATGGTTATCTTGCCAGGTGTTGCAATCCTGCTGCCCGTGCGTTCATTAATCCATGGATCTTAACACCAAGCTGCCGGATGATAACTATATGGGCTTAGTGTAGCCTACTCTCGGCCTGCTACATATTTAGGCAGAGAGTACGCCGCGCAATATTCTCCGATTTTTTTAACGTAAAGACGGCAACTTCACACAGCGCCGATGTGCTCGTAAGTAACACAGCCAATCAACACTTCCGCGTCGCAACCCACGCGCATTTGACGGACGGGATCGAGGACGGACAAGCTACGCATGTATGCAAAAACGCACAGTCGTTGTAGGCGGACTAAACCCCCACACATATGACTTCCATCCCGTTGAGATAGGTACGATCTGTTGACACGACGCTCGGTGTCATTCGATCACCCAGCAACGTCAGAACCCGAACACTGCTGGTGCCAAAGAGTTGCCCGCATAACAATGGCCTTTCAGCTACGACTCTGACCAGTACTTAATCAACATTGAATGCGTACCAAGAGAAAAGATTATTCAACCCGGATCAGGTAAGTGGCTTCAGACCTGCGGATTACACTGGCTTGCATCTACAAGCGTTTTGTATCCACAATCGCACGTCGAAAACCCACATCAGTATAATTCTTCAGGTTGGTCTGTCGACAATGATTACTATACCGCCTCTTCGCGAGCTGTATCAATTTCGCATCAGGCGAAGTCATCGACTACGATGAATTGAACAGTAGTCTATGATTTAGTCACCACGCGGGAGAGCCTTTGAACACTTTCAGCCCGCACCAACAGAATTTGCGAGTTATTCCGCGGGAGACCCCCAGAGCAACTGTGCCGACCATAACATCGTTCCCAAGGAGACCCAATATCCATCGCCGGCCACAGACTGGACGAGATACTGACGTCTGCCTCACTATTTGATATTCGTTGTGTAGTAGTCGGTGTGACGTCGGTCATGGTAGCGTCCGGCGCACAATCACCCGCTCGATACTTATGCCTTAGCCCCCTACTCAATTACAGTAACAAAACATAGCATGTTGCAGGCAGACTATAGAAGATCACAACGCTCGGTAAGGTAGGTACGCGAAGAATTACGGCGGTCAAAGCCGTCAACGGGCCGAACCGCGCATGATGGGAGCCAGCGTAGCAAGACTGGTGTCCAGTACGCTCACATACGAAAGCGCTATGGGCGCTCTCGGCCTTGACTTTGAGCGAGCGAGCAAATAGTCGGCAAGAAGCGGTGACGACGAGGGTCTGGATCGACGGTGTCTTCGGCATGGTGCAGATGTGGACTGGGCGGAATGATCCTGGAGGAGAATCGTGTTTGCAAAGGATCGATGATGATGTCGACTGTACTTAGTCGCGTGATAAGGTTTGGGTCTGGCGTGTGGGTATTTGACTTCGCTGGCTTGCTGCATTTGAATAGCGGGCCTCTAACAAGACCTAAGTTCAACAGCAGGCTCTACCTTATCTGATCCAGCGACGTTCAATAGATTGAAGTCAATCGGAATGCCATCACACAGCACGGAGAGGTCTACGAGCTCCTCTGTACTGGATATACTACTGTTGCTAGTGCTTTACTCGGTGCATTATTCGGGTAGGACGTCCATGTTCTGGTGACGTGACCAAGAGGAAAAAATCGTCGCTTACAGCACATCATACAGCTATGATGGAAAGACATATCCGCCATCGCATCTTTTCCTTTCCCAATACACTACAATATCGCAATGTCTAGGACGCGTGCAATACGTGTTTGGGCCTCACGCGGCGCATTTCGCAGCCCCACATCCGCTCAAGAATCATCATCTCATCGAACCTCTCCAGCCAAGACTGCACGCTCTGAATATGCGAGTGTGAGATTGCGCCCTTTCTAATCATTATCATGTGATACCCCAGACCTTTCCAGCTGATGATGGGGTGCAAGACGCGGACATGTGAAAGCATGAGGTGCACGGTGCGCAATCCCCACACATGACCAACTGCCGTCGGGACCGAGGTAACTCGTCATCATCAACAGCTCGGCTGCTTTCATGAGACACGACCGGGTCAGATCGCGAACGACCTTACAACGAGCCATCCTCCACGCTTCCAGCCACCTATCCTCTCATCCTCACACTTTCCAAATCTTGCACCTTTCTATCGTGGGATCTTTGCTGATACCCATTTGACTTTATAAATACCTTTGTTGCTTTGCTTGCATAGGAGATTCCTCAAGCGCAACTTCTTTCCGCGAAAGAACGAAGGGGTAGCCTCTTCGAACAGCACAGAGAAAACACATCATGGCTGCGCAGGAGCTGCGATATGATGGCCAGACCGTTGTGGTCACAGGCGCTGGTGGTGGTCTCGGTCGCGAGTATGCTGTCTTCTACGGCAGTCGCGGCGCGAACGTCGTTGTGAACGACTTGGGTGGCAGCTTCAAGGGCGAGGGCGCTGGCTCAGCGGTATGTCATTCCATCCGTAGATTCTCCTTCATAGCTAATTCACCCGACAGGCCGCAGACAAGGTCGTTGACACCATCCGCTCCGCTGGCGGTAAGGCGGTCGCCAACTACGATTCGGTCGAGAACGGAGAGTCCATCATCAAGACTGCTATCGACACTTTCGGTCGCATTGATATCCTCATCAACAACGCTGGTATCTTGCGCGATGTCAGCTTCAAGAACATGAAGCAGGCAGACTGGGATCTGATCTACCGGGTCCACGTCTACGGAGCATACAAGTGCGCGCATGCCGCATGGCCATACTTCAGGAAACAGAAGTATGGACGGGTTATCAGCACTGCGTCTGCTGCCGGTCTTTTCGGATCTTTCGGACAGACAAACTACTCTGGTAAGCACATGCATTGTGTGAAGAAATCAACGTCTACTAACTTCAACAGCTGCCAAGCTCGCTCTTGTCGGTTTCACCGAGACACTCGCAAAGGAGGGCTTGAAGTACAACATCCTCTGCAACGTCGTCGCTCCCATCGCCGCCAGCCGAATGACCGAAACTGTCATGCCTCCGGACGTTTTGGAGAAGATGAAGCCTGAGTGGATTGTCCCGCTCGTCGCTGTCCTTACACACAAGTCGTCCACCGAGACTGGCGCTATCTTCGAGGCCGGTGCAGGTCACGTCGCCAAGCTTCGATGGGAGCGCGCAACTGGTGCTCTGTTCAAGGCTGACGAGACCCTCACACCCGAAGCTGTCCCAGCCAAGTGGAAGGACATTGTCGACTTCTCCAAGGCCGAACATCCACAAGGCCCAGCGAACGCGCTTGAGCTCCTCGAGCATGCCAACCAGCTGCCACCCAACCCCAAGGGCGAGCCCCTTGACTTCAAGGGCAAGGTCGCTCTTGTCACTGGTGGAGGTGCTGGTCTAGGTCGCATCTACTGCTTGCAGTTGGCGAAGCGTGGTGCCAAGGTCGTCGTGAACGATTTGGTAAACCCCGACAACACTGTTCAGGAGATTCAGAAGCTTGGTGGAGAGGCTGTTGGCAACAAGGGCGATGTCCAGGACGGCGAGTCTGTCGTCAAGACCGCCATTGAGACGTATGGCCGCATCGACATCCTGATCAACAACGCTGGTATCTTGCGCGACAAGGCATTCGCCAACATGACCGACGAGCAGTGGGACATCATCCACAAGGTTCACCTGTTCGGTACCTACTCCTGCACCAAGGCCGCCTGGCCTTACATGCTCAAGCAGAAGTACGGCCGCATCCTCAACACCACCTCAACCAGCGGCATCTACGGCAACTTCGGCCAGGCAAACTACGCCTCAGCCAAGTGCGGTATCCTCGGTTTCTCAAAGTCTCTTGCTCTTGAGGGCAAGAAGAACAACATCTTCGTCAATACCGTTGCTCCCAACGCCGGCACTCAGATGACCCGCAGCATCTTCCCAGAAGAGGTTGTTCAGGCCCTCAAGCCCGACTACAACGCTCCTCTTGTCATTCTCCTCGTTTCCGACAAGGCTCCCGAGCCGACAGGTGGCCTATACGAGATGGGCTCTGGTTGGTTTGCGGCGACCAGATGGCAACGCTCTGGCGGACACGGTTTCCCCGTGGACGTCAAGCTCACTCCCGAGGCTGTCCTCTCCCAATGGGAACGCATTACCAACTTCGACGACGGCCGTGCCGACCACCCCTTCGACAACGCCAGTGGTCTCAAGTCCATCATGGCGAACATGGAGAACACGAGCAAGAAGAGCAAGAAGGAGAAGAAGCCTACCAAGAGCAACGAGGAAGTCCTTGAGGCTCAGAAGAAGGCCTTGGCCGCTAAGGCTGAGGGCACACCCTTCGAGTACACCGAGAGGGATGTCATTCTTTACAGTAAGTCAGTTTCATTCCGCAGGAGTAACCACATCTAACACTTTCTCAAGACCTGGGAATCGGCGCCAAGCGCACCGACCTCCCCTTCGTCTACGAAGGCGACGAGAACTTCCAAGTAATCCCCACCTTCGGCGTCGTTCCCCCCTTCAACGCCGAACCCCCCTTCTCCTTCGACGAAATCGTCCCCAACTTCGACCCGCGCATGCTCCTCCACGGCGAGCAATTCCTCGAAATCCGAAAGTTCCCCATCCCCACCGAAGCTAAGCTCGTTGCCGTACCCAAGCTAGTCGAGGTCGTAGACAAGGGCGCAGCCGGCCTAGTCGTATACGGAAGCGTAACCAAGGACGCTAAGACGGGCGAGGAGATCTTCTACAACGAAAGCACAGTCTTCATCCGCGGCTCTGGCAACTTCGGCGGCCAGAAGAAGGGCGCTGACCGCGGCGCTGCAACAAAGATTCACAAGGCACCGGAGCGCGCACCCGACACTATCGTCGAGGAACGCACAACGGAAGAGCAAGCTGCTATCTACCGTCTCTCCGGCGACCTCAACCCCCTACACATCGACCCTCAGTTCAGCAAGGCCGGCGGCTTCCCCACACCCATTCTGCATGGCCTGTGCAGCTTTGGTATTTCGGGTAAGCACGTTCTGCAGACGTATGGTCCGTTCAAGAATATCAAGGTCAGGTTTGCGGGTGTTGTGCTACCCGGTCAGACACTGATTACCGAGATGTGGAAGGTGGGCAATACAGTGCTGTTCCAGACTAAGGTTAAGGAAACGGGTAAGCTGGCTATCAGTGGGGCTGGTGCCGAGTTGATGGGGGGTGGGAGTAAGTTGTAGATGTGAAAGAGCATAAGAGGAGGAGGTTCATAGGTGTCGACGGCTGTTGATGCCTTGTTGTATATATGTAGTGTTTATGTCATAAGTTCATCTTCCAGAATATGCGTTCAACTTCCGAGGCTCAACCATGACCACCACCTTCATTCCGAACAAGAGATTAGTTCCCAATAGAGTAGATCATCTTCCCACTTTGACTGGGGCTCCTGAGGAGGGGAAGGCTCGAAGTCACGTGGCTCAAAAAAGGTCCCGTTTAAAGGGTCTCCCCGACCCAAATGCGGAAGACTGTTAACGTCAATCTCCGTGATGAAGTTACTGTCATTGCTTGCAGTGGGTTTCCAGCCCTCAACATCGTCATTAGGATCGTACTCCGACTCGTCGGAATTTTCTGCGTCCGCTATGTTGCTGGCTTGATGGCAGACCTTGTGTATTGAGCGAAGCCGGCGGTCCTGTTTGGATTGAAAGAACGTGTTAGTATTTGTAGATTGAAAGAATTTATTAGTATTTAGGTATATATATATATATATGTGTGTGTGTGTGTGTGTGTGTGTGTGTGTGTGCGTGAGAGAGAGAGAGAGAGGGAGCGACGAAACATGGAGAGAGGGAATTACGCGCTTACAGAGTTTAAGTAGCGTTCTGCTTCTGCGTGCCAGTCTTCGTTGCCGCTCTTCAGCGCTGGAAGTAAGTCCCAAGTCATCTTCGGACTGAGACTTCCATTGTCGTAGGTAAAAATAGATTCAACGTGTGCGCCCTCGTTCTCAAACATAGTGACCACATGGAGGGAAATTTCTCAGGATTCAGCAGGCTATCGCCTGCTAGTCACAATCGGGCAAGGTAATGTCTATTTCATGATGTCTTCCAGGAAGTATACGTCTGTAGTAAACGAAGCTCTGGCAAAGATATTAGAGCTTCACACAAGCAATGCCGCCATCGTGACAAATTGACAGGCTCCCAGCCTTCTAGTCATCCTCCTCACCTTCGCTGTCGTTCTCTTCACTCCCGCTATCCAGCTCAAACCCCTCTTCAATCTGATCCTCTCTAAACATAGTCCCATAATACCGTTCCGGGGAAGGAGGAGGCGAACAAGGAGGACTCCACCCGATACGATACAAGGTGCCATCATCTTTAACTCAATCCTAATTAGGTTCGGGTTCTTCATATTCTAGGTCATCGCCTGACTCCCAGCCGTCCTCGCTGTAGTACATGCTCTTTAGTCTCTCCGGATCATAGTCTGCGTCGTTTTCTATGCGGTAGTGTTTGTGGTGCTCACGGACGCGGAAATCCTACTTTGTGGGTTACTATGTGTGAGGCAGCGAGCGATGTAGAGACGCTGTCGAAGTAACGAGGGGCTTTTTCTTTTCAATTGGATTCGACATTGAATGGCGCGATTGGTGAGGGTGGACATTGAAGGTTGGAGTCTGGTCGCCAGGAACATAAAGTGGATAGGCGTTCCCGAGGTCACGCTCTAGTGGCATCGAAAAGGCCAGCGTTCAGAAAACTAGAGTCCCTGCACTATTGAGATGGTTGCAGTATATCATCCATAGAACATGGTATTTATCAGTGTTCACGAACGTCTGATGGTTTCGAGAGATGTATGTCTCATGATATGTATCGAAACGACTAGGGAGCTAACTGGTAAGGGTAGTAAACGCGATTAATATAAACAATCAAGTGATACTATTCTGGCCTTCTCAATCGGAACCTAAATCTGTGTCGTACTCAGGTCAATCCGTACTCTGGCTCGGGGAAGACACCCACCCAGCATGGCGGGTCGAAGTCGTCGCAGTAGTCGTACGTATCCTTGAATTTCTTCTTTTCTTCCAGATCGAGATCGTTCAGTAGGTCGTTCTTCCATTGTGTGAAATCACTTCCGTACTGACGTGGCGAAGACAAAGCACCTACATAATATTTTCGACCATCTTGACGATAATTTTCAACACTGTCGTCGCTATCGCCTTCACCACTGTAGATATCCTCATCCGTTCCGTAAGGGGTATCGCCATCGTCGGGATGTGAAGTGGGGTCATAATCGTTGTTGTTTTCGATACGATAACCCCTGTGTACGTCGCACAGACGTGTAGCCTGGTTCACGCGTATGGTTAGAGTAAGTGAGTAGGATTTAGATGATGCGAAGATCTTACGTTGTCAAAGAAGCGCACTGCATCTTCTCGCCAGTTGGATTCTGGATATCTCAGAGCGGGGAGCATGTCATACTTCGGTACTCGACGCGGGTAGAAGCTGTCATATACGAATTGGACCCGCACACGAGCCCCTTCTTTCTCAAAGATGGTGACTGTATCCCTACACATGTCGAGGATCCGCCGCCAAACGTTGAGCCTGACATATTTTTGGTGGACCCGAAGAGTCAGCATAAAGCCCGTTTTCTTCTTGATGGAAAGAAGCGTTTTGAAATACTGTTCGTAACGCTGCTCGTCGGTTGGGTCATTTTCGAGGTCCGCGATTAATTCGTCAGCCTTAATGACGACAGCTAGCCTTCGCAAAGTTGCTGCAGGCTTTAGGCCAACATAAAATCTGTCTTGATGAAGAATAGACACAATCTGAGTCAACGGTACCCCCATCGCAATGGTGGCATTGCCGCGAGTTAAACGACTATACCAAGCTTCGACCATTTCAAGTGCAGATTGTTGCCCAACAAAAGCTGGCTTTATAAAATATGGTACCAGGCTATGGTGGCAGCTGTCAATCGCATCCGATTCGTCGCACGTCATCATGTTGTTCTCGCAGTCTTGCGGCGAATTACGGCAACCAGATGACATGATGGCTATCATACTACTGTTTGTATCGTCCAAAGTCTTACGGTCCCAGATGTGCGCGTAGACCATGTCTCGAAGCTCGCGGGGTAGGTGTTGTTGTAACACTTCGAAGAATGGAAGACTCCAGGCTGCAGTGTAGCGCCGGAGCGCTTGCGGAAGAGTCCTGGTAGGTAGGGATAGTTTAGACTGGAATTGATCTCAAGTTTCCGAGTGCTATGCACTTACTGGAGAAGCGCATCGATCTTCACTTTCGTCATCTCTTTGTGTTGTTCCTCTAACGCATCGAGCTTTTTTCTGGTAGCCGCAATTTCCTCTTCGACTGAGTTGAGCCTGACAGTCGTTTAGTACAACTTCTAAGGATTGGAGAAGTTCTGGGATTCACGCACTCTTTCTGAGCAGCGAGGTCCTTCCGCTTGATGCTACCAACTAGTTAGCATAAGAGCGAAGTGGGGCCGAATAGTGCGTCTATACTCGCGCAGACAGTCAAGCGCTGATTTAAGGTTTGTATTCATATCGTGCCTATATGTGGCGGCGCGCTCACAGTGTGGGGAGTGTGGGAATTGTGGGACGTATGGAGGTTAAGAAGTTAAGACTTGGGATGACTGTATGTTCGTCGACTTCGGCACAGCGGCAACCTCGGAACATTCCGAATCCTTGTCTCAGCAACAACCCTGGGAATGCAGCGAGCTGTAACTACTGAAGAAGGCTTCGCATCCATCCATAGACGTTGAAGTTTTCGTCACCGCCTTCTTGTCTAGCATTTCCCCGCAGCCCCCGGATATGTGACGGCTCCAATCGACATCGCGTACGACACACGAGCAGAACCCCAATTACCATCGCCTCCCGCTGCCATCGCAACCACAATTGTGTCTTGACAACCCTCTATCAAAATCAGAAGGTCGTAAACCTGTATCCTCGTGCAAGCCCCTGTCCCAATAGTCCTCCTCCCCATCGTCTGGATCGTAACCCGGCTCATCCTCCCCGCGATAATGTCTATCTTGATGTCTAATCCGACAGAAACATATCTGCTCTGGTTGTCAACGCCGCCCTTGCATGAAGACAACGAGGGGTCCAGTATTACCGAGTCAAGATATTCGCTTACGCTCTTCTTCCACGTCGCTGGATCATAGCCTCTAACGATGCTGTTCAAGTCCACACAGACATACGGTGCGGGATACCGGGCATGGCCACAATGTATAGCGTGAACGTCGACGATAGCTCCTTCGTCGTCAAAGGTCTTGACTATGGGCTGCATGAGATCGAAGAAGTCGGGCCAGCAGTTCAATCGGAACTTGGGAGTGCATATACGGAAGTTGAGTCGAAAACCACTCTTTTTCTTGATCCGGTGAAGAAGATCGAAAGACTTCCGGCGCGTGTCTGCGTCTAGCCACTTGCAATACGGACTACTGATCCTGGATGTGGTCTCGTCGAAATCAATGGTAAGAGTCCGAAGAACTGTTGCTGGGTCTAGGCCGACCTGGAAACGATCTTCACATACGGCTTGTTGAATCGACTCTTGGGTATCAGAGATCGTGAAGGTGTCTGGCATGAGTCTAGCTGCTGCTTCGTACCATGCCTGCACCATCTCCAGTGCTGTCTCTTTGCCCATGAAGTCGGGCAGAACGACATGTGATTGGCACCTCGGATCGGAGTGGCCTGGAGAGCTGGACTGCAGGCTTTGCTGTCTTGTCGTGTTGAGGTATTCCACATCCCAGATCTGTGCATATATCATCTCGCGAATCTCGACAGGCAGTAGCTCTTGCATCATTGCAGAGCATAGCATGTTCCAGGCTTTTGAGTACTGCTTACAGGATGTTTCGAGCTTGCTACATATGATGCAACTTCAGCGACTGAAAAAATCATGGAGAATTGGCGGCGACTTACGCCTGTACTTTCGTCGTTTTCTCCGCTGTTGATAGCCACTCATGTTTTGCTGCCGCACGCTCACTTCGCGTACTATGTTAGGTTGTTTGGCTACTCAGTATCGTTGTCTAAGCATTACCTCTTCTCTACCGCAACCTTCGCGCGTGCCAGGCTAAGCAGGTCAGTTTCTACAAAGTCTAGGCAGCAGTGTATGAGGATGGAGGTACAAACATCAACGTTCGAATACACGTGTCGCGTACACCTTGTTCCAAGTCGTGTAAACTTCTCATGGTGATGACTACCAGGAAAGAAGACAAGATTGCAGTCTCGGTCGAAGGCGAAGTCGCGCTAGATTCGCGGTTTGCCCCACTTACGCGTACTTCATGGGTGGCCTCACGATTATTGAACGCTTCCTGTGCGAAGCTTATGACATTTACACGTGGTTCAAAATGCTTAGACTGACATAGTATCGGCACAATGACAGCCACGCATCCTTCCTCCCAAACGAAGTAACCCCTTTTCATCGAACACGAGAGGACTCGACAAAACTTTTCCAGGCAGCGACATTAGGATCAAAGCCTGGTCTGTCTTTTCGCCACGATAGTAGCGGTGATAAGATTTAATTTGCTCATCATCTAACCAATTGACTCGTCAGATGTTACCCTCCCAAATGAGTTATAAACGTCTTACCTTCTCAAAATAATCGATCAAACCCTGCTTCATATTTTGCTTCCAAGTCGTTATATCATAGTTCCTCACCAGGTGTTCGATGTCAGTGTAGACACCGGGGCTCTCATCAGTGCAATCCGTACCGTTAGGATCATAGAGAGACCTAACACTGACATGGGCTCCTTCATGTTCAAAGGCCTCAACGATAAGTCGCAGAAGGCCAAGAATTTCCGGCCACATATTGAGACGGATGCAACCGTGTTATATCAAGAAATTGAGCTTGAAGCCGGCCTTTCTCTTGATGCGAAGAAGGAGACCGAACGCGACTTGATGCAACGTAGCATCCTGGAAAGCGAATTCTTCAGGGCCAAGTACGCGACTGGTACCGGGCACTCCCAAATTTCAGGAATCGCAGAATAGTGGCAGCATCTAAGCCTACCTGGAAATTGTCTTCGCAAATGACCATCCTGAGATTTTCTCCTAGGTTGTGTGCCGAGTACGCGCTAGCTGGAGTAGTAGGTTTCAGCTGCAGTGATCTCGTACCACATCTGGACGTTCTCCTTTGCAGCCTCGATTCCTGCGTACTCTGGTCGGACGACGTGTGAGATGTGTAAGGTCCGCTGAGGTAGCTGTGTGTGGCTAAGTGTGCTGTCGCCCTTAGCCTTCATGGCTACCTCAAAGCTCTCTCCGCCTTTCAAATAGTCTTCATCCCAGATTTCGACATTGGTAATGTCTCGGATCTCGCGCGGTAGACGGTCGTGCATTCTGGCGTAGTATAACTTGTTCCAGGCTTTCGAATGTGATTCGTGAGACGCTTCGAGTTCTTTGTTTAGACTATGTCTGTAACCCATTGCTCACCGTTGAGCTGCGTCTTCTCAAGATCATAGGAACTCACGCTTTCCACTCGTCCCAACCATCGTCACTCCAAGAGTAGCTACTTTCCATCCATGGTTCGCTTGAGTCCACCGTCAGCTTCTCTTGAGTCTTTGACAGCACCTGGTGTGAATGTGTTCACGAGTTCTGACGCCGTTTGAACCTATGCGAATTAGTTGGGAAGAGCAGTGATACAGTATGGCAATCACTTACTTGAATACTCGGTCCTGTACGCGTCAAGTTCTTGGTGTAGCTCACGTAGATTTGCCATGGTCGCTGTTGAGGGTAAAGAGAAGTGTGACGTTTTTTCGAGGTTACAGGTTTTCCTTCCACGCGTTCTTTGTTTGGTCCTGGCGTTGTGGAAGCGAGCTGACAACCACAATACTGAAGGACTCGGAGCCAGCCGGAGCTCTGTCACGTCGTGTCATGTTCACGTGCGCCACAGCGCATCAGCCATCTTCGCTACCTGCGCCATCTCCTTAACATCATGTACTCTCAGAATCTGCGCACCACCCCTGATAGCCGCCTCTACAGCAACAGCAGTCCCCCAGATCCTATCCTTTGCCTCCTTAACTTCCGTAATATCCCCAATGAACTTCTTCCGACTCGTCCCGACAAGCCAAGGAATGCCTTCCAAACCCGGATACCTCATCAACTCATCCTGTCGGCGAAGCAGCTCAAGATTGTGTTCCTTTGTTTTCGCAAAGCCAATACCAGGATCGAGAACAATGCGCCAACGCCTCACACCTGCCCTTTCTGCTGAAACGACACGCTCGAGGAGTTCGCGGCCTACGGTCTCTACGATGCCGTCGGGGTAGGATGTCATTTCAGGATCGGTCATGGTTTCGGGCGTGCCGCGCATGTGCATGAGACATACTGTGCAGCCAAGTTTGCCCATGGTGGAAAGCATCGTATCGTCCATGGCACCTGCACTGACGTCGTTGATCATGTTTGCGCCGGCGTTGATGGCGGCTTCGGCGACGCTTCCACGGTATGTGTCGACGCTGATTGCGATGTGATTTGCCTCTGTCATTGAGCGGATCAGCTTTACAGCTGGGAGGACACGTGCTAGCTCTTCTTCGGCGGAGACCTGGACCGCGCCGGGTCGTGTTGACTGGCCGCCTACGTCGATGATTGTGGCTCCGGCCGAGATGTGTTCGCGGATGGTGTCCGCTAGGGTTGCTTCATCGATATTGTAATTTTGGCCGCCATCGGAGAATGAGTCTGGTGTGACATTCAGGATAGACATGATCCTCGTGTTGTTCGCTATTCGAGAAGACGATATTGGGGATAGATCTGGTCCAAGTGGCGTCAACGGCACCAGCGGCACTTCTGATTTGGGGAGTCTTTTGAAATGACGTTTGATTTGACCAACGAATGGGTAATTTTTATGCTCATTGCGCAAAAGTCTAGAGAGGATCAGCACCGTTTCACTAGGCAAATAAATGATTATCTTACTCAACAAGAGGGCGTAGAACAAACTCCCTCTCGAACATCAACGCATGCGGGATCGTAAGTCTTTCGCTGGAATACTTCTCGTATCCATGAAGTAAAATGTCCAAATCAATATTTCTGGGTCCTTTGTCGATGACTTTGACGCGGCCCATGCCATTCTCCACTTTCTGAAGCGCGTCTAAAAGTTCGATTGGTGACAGTACAGTCTCTATCTGCTTGCGTAAATTTGATGTTTGGAAGAAGCAAAATTATATGGCGTACCTGACAAGCACCATTGACGAAGTTGTCCTGATCGAGTACGTACATAGCTTTGCTCTCCCATAAACTACTGGTTCGTACGATTTTAATCTTTCCACTTGACTCCATCTCTCTGCATGCACGTTCAATCATGGCCACTCTATCGCCCATGTTGCTTCCCAAAGCAACGACGGCAAGGTTCTTCTTAGGATAGACTTTACCAGCAAAATGTTTCTGCACATTTTGCGATGGGGGCTCGCGCGGAACGTGAGAGTCGGAGGGTGTACCACATTCCTGGCGTCGAGCGGGTGACGAGTGAAAATTCGATCGATTAGAGTCCTTGCTGTTGATGGTATTGACTGTGAGCGCTACACGGCGTGGACACCGCAAGGGGGCGGCCCTGAGCGTAACTAAACATTTGGATGCATTAGTGAACATGTTAGCATGTGACGCAGTGGGACAGACAGAGGCAGGCGCGCGATGCCGATAGCCTTCCCCGGATGGCACTAGATGATAAGCGGTTAGCGCTCTCCGCGTGAGACGTGCGTCGTGCCTCGGCTCACGGCTTACAGAGAGTCGACCAGGACTCCTCAACCATAAGAAAGGGCCCGACTCCTCAAACCTTAAGAATTCGCCCGAATCCTCGATCCACTCGCCTTCCTCTCTTGCTGTTGAAATCCTTCGCATCTTCCCTTTCTCAACCGCAAACCTCCATACCGTCATCATGGCTTCTCCACGTACGCATCCACGCCTCATTCACATGTTCCTCAGCTGACACACCTCAGAGCAAATCCGCACCAAGCTTACCGACCTGCTGAAGATCCAGCACCCCGTCATGCTTGCGGGCATGAACGTGGCTGCTGGACCTAAGCTCGCCGCCGCCGTCACCAACGCTGGAGGTCTCGGTGTCATCGGTGGTGTCGGATACACACCCGACATGCTTCGCGAGCAGATCGCCGAGTTGAAGGGATACCTGAATGACAAGAATGCGCCATTCGGTATCGACCTGCTCCTTCCTCAGGTTGGAGGCAGCGCTCGCAAGACCAAGTACGTACGGGGCGATGCATCACATGCAAGGCACGAGACTAACGGCATATAGCTACGACTACACCAAGGGCAAGCTGAACGAGCTCGTCGACATCATCATCGACTCCGGCGCTAAACTATTCGTCTCCGCCGTCGGTGTCCCACCCAAGGCCGTCGTCGAGAAGCTACACAAGCACGGAATCCTCTACATGAACATGATCGGTCACCCCAAGCACATCAAGAAGTGCCTCGACATCGGCGTCGACATCATCTGCGCACAAGGAGGCGAGGGCGGAGGACACACTGGAGACGTTCCCACATCTATTTTCATCCCCGCGGCGGTTAAGATGGTCGAGGGCCACAAGTCGCCCTTGACCGGCGAGCAGGTACAAATCGTAGCTGCGGGTGGTATCTACAACGGCCAGTCGCTCGCTGCGATGCTCACATTTGGTGCCACCGGTGTCTGGGTTGGAACACGTTTCGTCCTTTCCGAGGAAGCCGGTGCGCCCAAGGCCCACCAAGAAGCCGTCCGCACAGCTGGCTGGGACGACAACATCCGCACCATCATCTTCACTGGACGCCCACTCCGTATCCGCACCAACCCATACGTCCAGAACTGGGAAGAGAACAGGCAACAAGAGATCAAGGAGCTCACTGCCAAGGGCATATTGCCTGTCGAGCATGATCTCGAGAAGATGGGTGACGACCTCGACGACGAGACCATGGACAACGCGCGGCCGTTCCTCATGGGCAAGGTAGCTGCTGTTGTTAACGAGAGGAAGAACGCCAGGGAGATTGTTGATGAGCTCGTCACAGATGCTGTCAAGTGGTTGAACATTGGCAACTCTATGATTGTGTCCAAGTCGAAGCTATGAGGAACCATTTTACGTAGTTAATTTTGATGCATCTTTCTCTGTTCTCATTCAAGGTCCATGAGTATCCGCTATCTGTAAAGTACATGGTTCAAGTTGATTAACTGCAAGATAATGCGCCTCGGTATAACCTTGGAGCTAGCCAACGAGCTAGTGCTGACCTGATGCGGCGGATGCCACCGCATATGCCCCGATGCCGCGGTCCGAAGAGCATCTCTTGCAAGGTTCCGTTATTACCACAACACGTAACCAACGGCATGACGGCACAACGACAAGGTTTTCTGCAAAGGCGCGAGGCTGGCTTGAATTTAGAACTCGCCGCCGCAGAAAAGCGGATATCGGAGCATGCCATGCGACATCAGATGATAGCAGTCTATCTCTCTGCGTTCATGCAAATAAGGATCAACACGATTGAACAGGAGGAAAACGAGAGGAACAAAGCCAGAGGGATACTTACAAGCACGGCTGCACAGTCGGCTGCCTCTCTGTTCATGTGATGTAAGATTGGAGCCTGACACTTTGACAGGAACTTAGTCTGGTCACATTACAATAAAAAGGGAGAATGGGATGAAAGGAAAGCGATGTGTGCTCGCGGCTTACTCAGAGGAGGGTACGCGATCTTAACAACATGTCTGGTGCTTATCAATGTACCAATTGACAGGGTACAGTGCATTCAATCAAGTCACTCAGAGCTATGCGCGGGTAGCATGCCTCTACCTTGCCACTCTAATACAAGCCCGACTACTACGGGAACTGCGTGATTTGATATACGACTGCATCTGGGACGAGGACTATCTCGGGCTAACATCGGGCCACATGTCTCTCGCATCGAGTGGTATCTACCTCTGGACAAAACCTCATCTTCATCCCAGGGTGGGCCGTAGTACCAAACCCATCGTCATAGACCCTGCATACGTTGACCCGGACAGGGCCCAAGAAGCTCTGGAGCGCTATTACCGCGCTTCCCCACACCGCAAGGATGCTTTCTTAGTCGGGTATTCCGAGCGCTTGCATACGCTGCTTCACGATGATGTATTCAACCTCAGTGTACTGTCAACAGAGCATCTACGAGCAATGGATTTGCATCTTACGCAAGACCAATTTAAACGGGATACACCGGCAGAAATCAACGAAGCCATGTTAAGCACAACGTTCACCCAGCTCACCAAGGGTATCCTCCGGAAGAAAGACTTCAAACTGCGTATCACAATCATACAAACAGAAATCCGACTCAAGTAATGGCACCTACTATTCCGCATTCTAGTCCCTTTATATCATGCCTTTCGAGTGGAAGGAGCGGAAGTCAGTGTATCTTGGGCTTGCACAAGGACGAAGGATTCGATGATTGGGTGCGTGTATTCGCTTGATGAGATCATTAGGGCGTGGACTCCGTATCCAGATTGGGAGAAAAAGGCTATTGAGTTTCTGCACGGGGAGAGCGAGTTCCCAGAGTGGAAAAGGAAGCACCGTAATGAGGACGAAGAGGAAGATGTGTCGTATCCATATGAGTCGGATTCGGATGGGTTTAGTTGTAGATGATTGAAGCGCACTAATTGCGACGACTATTTAGTCGATGATAAGTGACCAACTAATCCTGTTGAAAAGCCCCCAAACTCTCATCATTCCAGCTCAAAAACTGGCCGTTAAACCCCTTGACATCCTCCCCCTTCGCCACAGCCAACCTCGCCATAACATAACCCGGCTGCTCCGGCTTCAACAAATCACCATCTTTCTTAAATCCACTGAACTTGGCCCTGTCTTTCTCGCTCATACGCTCATGGTGCACTTCGCGGATCTCACGCTGCATCTCTGTGTCTACAACACCGGGACGTATGGAGATCGTTGTAATGGAAGGTTCTTCAACGGAGAGAGTGAGGGCAAGGTGGTTCAACACGGCTTTCCCAGCACCGTAGCAGCCCCAGCCTTGGTAGGCGGACGTCGCGGCGCCGGAGGAGGTTAGGAGGATAGTGCCAGAGGTTTTGCGGAGGGAGGGGAGAGCGGCTTGGACCTAGAGGTAGGTAAGGATACGGATTGAAAGGGAACAGCACAACAAATGAGACGAGAAGCAAACAAAAGACCCAACTTACCATGCCCACTGCACTAAACACATTAACGTCGAAGCCCTTTCTCCACTCCTCGGCACTGCTATCGGCGACCTTCTTCACCGGATCCAACGTGCCGTGATTCACAATCAGCGAATCAATGCGTTCCCACCGCTTATTCGCCAGGTCGACTGCTTTCTGCGGTAGAGACGCATCCGCCATGTCACCGGCAAGTACAGCTACTTTCTCGTTGCCATACTGCGAGCGTAGCGACTCGAGAGCAGACTCCGTCCGCGAGACAAGGACGACTTTGTGGTTGCGGGAGAGGAGGTGGTGGGCAATGGCTTGGCCGATGCCTACGAGGGTGGGTTAGTAAGGAGACTGTGAATACCAAAGTCCTTGTTGATTTCGACGATGCATTTCTTATGCGGCTTTTGTTACACGTCTTGGAAGTTTGCAGACTACGAAAGTGTAATGCATGTTTGACCAGAACAGAAAGCTAGGTGATAGAGAATTCAGTGAATAGACACATACCTCGAGAAGCTCCTGTAAGTACAATGACCATTTCCTTGGATTCGCTCATCTTGACTGTTGTTTGGGTGGATAAAGTTGATAGGTCGGGACGGATCGGAAAAGTTATGCTCGTGTTGGAGGGGTACGTCATATTAGTCAGCCTCTTGCCAAATATTCCTCCCGAGGTCGTGTCAGTACTTCGTTATCGTGACATTCGCAGGATCAAAATCTGCGATTTTCACTAGAATAGGCGCTGGTATTCTACCAACCCACCAACGTACACATCCAAAGTCCCTCGCGAAAGGACTTTAAACTCGAGCGCGAAGCCTGGAGGACTATCTTCTCACCCGGGGTAGTAACTATTGCACCAGGGGTACATATACTCCGTCAAATCTTCACCCGTGGGCTGCCTATCACTCTTTCAGCGAACCGCCCCATGGTGCAGGTGATGAGTATTAATCATGTATCATTTCAAAGTCATTTCGTTATCATAGGAAAGGCCATATCCATCTATCTACACAAACCATACTTCATAATCATAAACTCTTCCTCGCATTCTCCAAATCCCACGCCCACACCTCCTAATAGCCGTAAGCCTTGCTCGTAGCTCTAGGCCGTCCAGCCAACGTATCGATATCCGCCGGGTTAACAGGCGCCTGAGGTCTGCCACTCAACGTATCGACCGTCTCCTTGAGCGCCATCCAGAACTCATGCTTGGGGCGGCGGCGGTGCCACTCCGTCTCCCTCTTCTCCACTTGCTCCATGGGAGAAAAGAGAAGCTTGCTGCCCTTGATACCGATGACGCTGATGGACATGGAGTCGTCTTCGATCTCGTCGGGATCCATGCCGGCGTAGTTTTCGAGATGTTGCATGGCCTTGATGGCGAACCTGACGGCTCGGACGCGATCCATGGGGGAGGGGATGGTGCCTTGTTGGAAGTGGCCGGGTACTCCGTGGCGGGATTCGAATTTGCCTTGGCCGGCTTCCGCGATCATTTGGGCGATGATTTGCACGGAGTAGGTCTTGGATGCCTTCTCGTTGACTAAGATTACCTTACCAGACCTGCTGATACCCTTGTCCTTCTTGAAGACCTCGCGGAGGTGGTCGATGTCGCGGTCGAGCATCTTGAGGTTGATGCCGTCTTCGGGTGTATATACGGCCAATGCTCCGATGCTGAGACCGGCGACGGTTGCGATGTAGCCTGACTCTCCACCTTGAGTCTCAATGACGAAGACACGGCGCCGAGACGCTGATGCCGATTGACGGCAAGCATCTGAGTATTGGATGAGCGCGTTCAGGCAAGTATCGGAACCGATAGAGTACTCTGTTCCGGGGACGTTGTTCGAGATGGTGGCAGGGATGATGACCTAAAGTCTAGTTAGCATGCTGCTTATCGAGTGGTTGAAACTACTTTATCAGGATATGCACTCACCATAGGAATCTTGAAAGACTTGTAGTACTCTCGTGCTTTCCTCAGCTCCGAAACAGCTGTGAAAGCTTCGAAACCACCAACAACGAACAGAGACTGAATGTTGAACTTCTTGAAGACGAATGCAACAGTCTCGAGATCCTCACTAGGGAGCCCGCGGTTTGTTCCAATCTCAGAACCACCCTTGGAGGCCCAGGTCTCGGCATCAATCCACTTGATGTCTCGCACTGCACCTACTGGCTCATCGGAGTGATGGCGGATTATACCAGGGAAACCATTGTGAAGCGCGACTGGTGTGTGGCCGCGGGCGATGCAGTGTGCAACCGCAGCACGGGTCGCTGCGTTCATACCTCCAGCTGGGGCTCCGACATGAATAATACCGACGCGCATGCGCTTGTTCTCTGGTAAAAGTAGGTCGGGCTGATCTTGTGCGGTGGTGATCTGGTAGGCCTGATATTGTTGCTCGAACTCGGTGTCACGGAGTTGCATGGCCCTATGGAAGTTCTTGTTCTCGATGGCTACAGCGACCTCCTTGGTTTGTGCAACAGCCTCGAGGAGTGGTCGTCGGACAATCTTGTTCTCTTGCATACAGATGACTGGGCTGGGGGTGTCGGGGGTAGCCTCCAAAACTGCCTTGACAGCCTCAACACCCTGAAGTGTCGCAAGCATACGGTCGTAGGCGCAAGGCGTACCTCCACGTTGAACGTGTCCGAGAGTTGTCACTCGTGTGTCGAGCTTCGCCTCCTTCGACAGAATGTCCTTGACCTGTTCTGAAGTGATCTTGTTCAGGTTGCGATCGATGGCACCCTCGGCGACAACGACAATGGTCTTCCGCTTGCCCATCTGTCTCTGCTTCTTGATCTGTTTGCACATCTGTTCTTGCCAGCCATCGCTTGGTGGGTTCTCGGGTGTAAAGACAAAGTCTGCGCCTGTTGCGACACCGGCGCTGAGTGCGAGCCAACCGCAGTGTCGGCCCATAACTTCGATAACGAAAGCACGCTGGTGGCTGACGGCGGTGGTGTCGACCGAGTCGATGGCTTCGCAGATACGTGCGAGCGAGGTGTAGCAGCCGATGGTAGCGTCGGTCATGGAAAGATCGTTGTCGATGGAGCCGACTAGACCGACAATGTTCAGGTGCTTGAAGGGCTCAACCTGCTCCTGTGTGAGCTGCTTCTCTTGCACCAGCTCCTTCAGCAGCTCCGGCCACTCCGCGCGGAACTTGTCAGCACCTGTGAGGGAACCGTCACCACCGCAGATGATTAGCGCATCGATACCCTTGATGATCATATTCTTCGCGGCCGTCCGGCGGCCTTCACGCTGCATGAACTCCATGCATCGTGCTGTGCCAATGAGAGTACCACCCTCTGACAGGAAGCCTCTGACATCTTCCCAGTGCATCTCCTTGATCATGTCTCCGCCCTTGACCAGACCATCGTAGCCCTCGTATATAGCAAAGGCCTCGCAGTTGTTGTGAATCGCCATGCGCACCACAGCGCGTACTGCTCCGTTCATACCGGGCGCGTCACCTCCGCTTGTCATGACTCCAATGCGCCTCTTCTTGCCATCGAGGGGCGGCGGGATCTCGGTGGGCGCCATGTTGTGAGTCTGGGTATTGTTGATTGGGGTATTAGGCGGGGTGAGGGGTGCAGGTTGAAGTTGAGGTGGTAAGTGGAGGCTGGAGGTAATCGCAGCTGGATGCGAAGGTCCGAAGAGATATTTGGCCGTGGGTCAGTATGAGGTCAATGTGGATTCACCTGTCTAGTTGAAAAAGTTAAGACGCCGAGAAGAAGCGGGTCCCTACGTGTTGGGAAGATTCAGGTCTCAACGGTGGTTGGAGGGGTAGCTTTGCCGAGTGCTGGGTGGTTGTAAGTTGCAAAGGTAACACGATTAGTTGGTGATTAGCGAGCTTCTACGCGGTGTTTATGTATCATAGACAACAGTTGTTGGTATTACTCAAACTGGCGATAAGGTGATGGGAGTCGGAGCATGGGTCGCGGCGTCGCGCGCATATGACGTGGGAGCTCCAAAAGAAAACAGCTCCCCGGTCCGTCAAGTGGGGTCACACCACTCCGCCGATCAGCCCGAGCCTCGAAGGATCGTCTGGCGAACATCAACACCGGCCACCGGCACGTTCCTGGCATCGGACGACTATGCAGTTGCCTTAATCTGCAGAAGATGCATGCCGACAACAGTCGAAATGGCGAGACAATGCCCGCATTACGGTCACCTTACTGTCACTGTACATATTGGCCTTGGCCTTGGCCGTCACCCCACGCGGCCTCTTCCGGCAAAGGCGTCCTGGAATCGTGATCACTGGTGCGGTACAAGTGGGTAGAGATTACAATGATTTACTGGTATCACTCTATGTCGAACCAAACACGTCCAGTCGCTGCGCAGATGCTCAATCACCTTTTCCTCACGAACCCAAGCGCTTCCACGCATATGCTATTACAGCCTTGCCAAATCCAGAGACTCCAACCTGTTGACACCTATCGTTACCACCCCAACTCTAGAAAGCACCAACCTCCTGACCCTCCCTTGCCAGGGTCTCGAACACCCTCGGAGGTAACTTGTACTTGATCAATCCAGCAAAGACCATAAGGTCCTTTGCCTTTTGCAGCAATTGATCAGCGAGAACCTTGCGCATCTTGTCCTCGAACTGTCCGGACAGAAGACGCTCACGATGTCTCGAGCAGCAGCCAATGCACCAGAGAAGAACGTTGCCAATGTTGCGTGAGATCTCTTGTGGGTATGAGTTGAAGCTGTTCGCGGTGGCGCGAATGTCGCTGACGTTGCCTCCGGCTGATAAGGGAAGAATGCGGAGGTTTTCGATTTGCTGCGGGATATTAGTGACTGATCGTGAGAAGCAAAGAAGTCAGAACTTACGCCGAGAGCGGCCATGTAGTCGCCGGCTTCGATGATTTTCTTCGCGTTGTTGAGCTGGAACAGTATTCCAACCGTGTCGCGGTTCATCTGCGAGACCTTCCTCCACCATAGGCTGTTCGCGTCATACAACGCAAGAACCTTCTGCGCGAGCTCGACGGGATCGTCTGTTCCCAGCATGCTCAAGCTCGACGAAGTCAGATCGGTTCGTTGCTGTTGTTGCTGCTGCTGTGACTCCGCAGCCGTCAAACGTGGCTTCAACGGCTCTAGACGAAGTGGCTCTTGGCCGAGTTCTACAGAGAGTGCCTCAGCTAGCGCGCGGTTCAGGATCGTTACTACACTGTCATACTCGCCAGCAAGATGGCAGAGTAGGATGGCATCGTTGATGCGTCCGTTGTCGTCTGCCATCCTCGCGGCTTCGCTAGTGATGGTGTTCAACAAGCCCATCTCACCGTCTAGCTTGAGCAATGGCACGCGTTCCTGGATAAGACCCGGTGTCGTCTCACCGTTGGATTTGACGTCACCCAACAATGTAGAGAACTCGCGTGTCTCAAGGACAAGTTCGCGAAGAGCTTCATGGCAGAGCTCTGCCTGTTGTCGGCCTGCTTCACCTGGTAGATCCGCATTCATGCAAATCAGCACCAGATAGTCGGCCGCAGCATCAGCTCGTGCAGCACGGAAGTCGCTTGTGTAGTGGCCGACGATGCGTCCAAAGTTGAGCTGCGGTTGTTGTCGCGTAGTGAAGGTCATGATCTCTCCACCTGCAGTTGTCCAGTCCGACACGCGGATGAGGCCGTAGTAGTCTAGAGCGACCGCAAAATGAACCGCAGAGACGTAGTTGTGGGTGTACAGGTAGTTGATAGCTGGCTCGAACAGGCCAGCCAGCGTAGCGAGATAGAAGTAAACTCCATAGCCGCCCGATGATTCAGCGTCGTCGTTCATGAAGTGGCGCTGGCCGATGTCTTTAATGACTGTTCTCAGTTCTTCCAAGCCAAAGATCTCGCCAGCGTTCTCCTCAGCGCGGTTGCCTTCGCGAGCCAGGTTGAACTGCAGCCATACCCAGTCGTCCATGTTCTCCCTAATTGGCTCCAGGTTGCGCTTGCTCATATCACATCGACCGACGATCTTGTAGCAAGCCATTCGGTAAGGGTCCTCTGGCGTCTTCAAGCGGGTCCTCTGGGCATGTGTGTGAGCGACCTTCTGTTGCGTATCGGGGTTCAGTCTTCGGTCTGGATCGGTGGCGTATTGGGATGTCGCCGCCTGGAAGTTTCGGTCGGTGTTCTGGAAGAAGTTCCTCTTCTCTCGTACATATTCAGCAGCCTCGGTAAGTAGACCACCCTTCAGAAGGAAGAATATGATGATCCACGGGAACTCTTCGCCAGCTTCGCCTATCCGTTGGAATAGCTCAGTATCTGCGCCAAGCTCTTTGAATGCAGCCTTTGCTCTCACGAAGCCTCGGATCTTGTTGAGCATAGAGGGAACACCACCAACGAGCGCCTCTGCAGGGTTTCTCCGCAGAACATCTTCCACTTGGTCCAGAAATCTGCTTTCCAAGTACCTTCGAGACCCATCCAGTATGCGCTTGCGCATGCGAACGCTAGAAGCAGAGTTTGGTTGTTCGTCCAGGTAGTCTCTCGCGAAACTTCGCTCCTTCGGTTGGTTCGAGCCAGGGTTGGATGCCTCCAGTTCGGTCTTCTCGCCGGTGATGGAGATAAGCGTTCCGTAGGCACGCGTGAAATGGTCCGAGTATTCTGTACCAGCAGCTTTCTCTACATCGGAGAACGCATGAAGTACCGAGAATGTACTCTCCCGCAGCCTGGACTCGTTGAGCTTCTTGACCTCTTCCATAAACTTCTCTTGCTTGTCACGAGCGTATCGATCCTGAGGAGCAGCTTGTCCGCCCATGACTGACTTGTCGGACGAATCACGCCCACCAAGAACGCTCTGGGAAGCACCGAGAACAGGCGGCCCAGCAGCAGATGCTCCAAAGGTCGATCGTCCGTTGACAGATGCACCGTTGGGACCCATGGAACGACCCTTACGCCCTGTTGCGCGCCCAAAAGCCCCGCGAGCTGTGCTACCGAATGCGCCGCTCTGAGATGCTGCCATGTCTTCGCTCTGTCGGCCAAGCCCAAAGTGTTCGTAGATCCTTTGCCTCTGCTTGTCCCATTCAATCTGAACATTGTCCTCGAGGAACGTGTCGAAGTCGCGCTTGGATTGCTCGAGTCCTTCCTGGATAAGCGCAAGGGTTGATTGCGAGTGCAGGTTGGAGATGTAGCCGTCAACGTCGTTATCGAAGAGGTTCTGTGCCTGACCGGGTGCGGCGAGTCCAGCCTGCGAGGAGAATTGGTTAAGGTCGCGGAGGGTGCTACCCATCTTCACGCCTGAGGCGGAGAGTAGGTAGTGTCTGGAATCGGTCAGTACACGAGCACATGTCCCGATCATATTCAACTTACGCAGCACGATCTTGGGAGCGGTCCTGGACTTGGTCGGCTGAGGGACCGCCAGCGCCCAGGTTGCGCACCTTGCGTGCGATGTCTCCAAGGCCCAACTGCAAAGACGGCAACTCGTCGAAGTTCGTCGTGCCATTCTCACCAGCATTGCGCTTTCGCCCTCGCTCAAGAAGATGATCGAAATGGGCTGAGCGACCGGTTCCAGCGTTTGCCTGGGCCAGTGAAGTACCCTGTTGCTGCTGCTGTTGCTGTTGCTGTTGCTGCTGCTGTTGGGGTTGCTGTTGGTTCGAGGTAGCGCCGAAGAGAGAAGATTGACCGAAACCGCTCGTTTGTTGCGCGTTGTTGGTTGTCGATTGCGACGCCGTGTTGTTGAACAACCCAAGGCTGCTGGGTTGCGTTTGTGTTTGCGGCTGCGAAGTCGATCCGGCGCCAGCGAACAGCGAGGATGTCGTGGTCGTAGCTGGCTTTGCTCCGCCCAATCCACTGAAAAGTCCGCCTCCTAGGCCTCCAGAGCTTGGTGCTTGTGTCGTACCAGATTGCGCATTCGAAGTGCCTCCGCCCAGGTTGCCAAACAAGCTTGATCCTGTACCGCCTGATCCGCCGGTTGATGTTCCAAACAGTCCTCCACCGGATGCGCCAGTAGAGGCGGGCTGCGAGCCTCCGAGGTTGCCGAAAAGCGACATGGTGGTGTATTGGGCGGTGTTGTTGATGGTTCCGAAAACAAACCTGGAGAAACGAGATCGCGTTGTTCAAGCTTGAGAGCTCGGACCCTCGCGATCCCTGTCTTTCAGGTACCGCGTTGTGTGAAAAGACTAGTACCATCTTGTCTTCTCAAGCATCACTAGATTGAAATACAATCTGCGCCACGTAGATGCTTTACCTCAGTTTGGTGAAAGTGGGGTTTACATGCTTGATGAAAAGTTGGCACAGCAGGCGCAAGGTCACGCCCAGCAGTTCAAAGAGGAGCCAAATGAGAGCGGGTGCATGCCCGAATGATATAAAACTTTGTATGCTAGATAGTAGCGGCACGCAAACGACTATACACACGCTCAGCCTTTGCCATGCTATGTATAACGATCTCGTCTTTGCAATCAGATTGCAAACGACTGACAGTATTATCTCTACAAAGGCGGATGTCCGTCGCTAAAGGTACGATACTTTCCTCCAAGAAAATAGCCTTTTCACTGCGTTCTCTACAGCATGGCGAATCCTAAGCCTCGGTTTCCCCACTTTGTAGAGAGCCCAGGGAAATTGAGTTACAAACCAGCTCGATATATTCGGAACCCAGGCTGGCGGGGATGGTATCAAGACGATCGGAAACTGCATGATGTCAAAGCTTCGAAGGCGTTCATATGGCCGAAGGACGGAAGGAACGGCTCGCGCTGGGGTCGCATGAAAGACGTATTCAACAATGAGGGCCCGGACATGTACGTTGCGTTTGGCGCACGTAAGTCGGAATGCGTATCGAACCGTCCTCGCAAATCTCAATGGGCCGGACACTACCATTTGAATGGGCCACACCAGCCTTTCAGCTTCAATAGCTCGAAGTACTCCCCGTGGACCAGGGACGATATGCTCGGTGGACGAGACAAGGGCAAGAGCTATGACTTCCGGACTCGAGAGTACACAGATCCAAGCCTGGATATGTGGACAAATGCTGTTTGGCAACCAGAGCCATACGGCAACCGCGAATGGAACTGTTACCCCAAAGCGATGCGAGACTACTTCGGCGAATGGCACCACGACTGCCAGTATCTACCGCTCGGGTTCAATGGTCTGATCGACAACGAGTTCGGGAGGGGTTGGCGCTTCCGCTAAGACGTCGTCCCCTGGGGGAGTCTGTTCAGATGCAGCCTTCGTGGAAAGCTTCCCATATTTTTTCGAGAGCATCAGTCGTTCCAGCGACCTGTTTACTTCGTCTCGCGGTAGGCATCAACGCCGAGCTGTCAAGCAGTTTCCCGCATTTAGCACACGATGTTCCCTTCACAGCCTTGTACGCAGCAATCATATCCTGTAATAATTAGCACCCATTCAGAACATCCCCATGCCACAAAATTCCATGTACATACCAACAGATACTTCAAATCGTCTGGGTTCGACCGTGACGCAATACATCTTGTGATAGCCAAAAAGGGCTCCGTAGTCCCCAAACACTCTGCGCTGAGCTTGTGCCGTCCGTTCGAGTCACGCTCAATGCCAACGCGGAATTTCAGCATGAGAGAACCGGATACGAATCGTGTATGGATGCTACGATCCTCATCCTGTGTCTCAACCTTGAGATTCGGATGCGCCTTCCTAAACTCCACCACGATCCTCTCAATATCCTCGTCCGTAAGAATAGCACTGCTATCCTCTTTATTCTCCCCTCTCTGACTTTTCGTCGATTCTTTCGCTTTGCGCGCTCTTTCCGCCCATCCATGAGACGGTATCGAGACGCTCTCTGACAGATCCGCATTTGCGCCGAGGCTCTGCTTGACGTGTTCGAACGTGCTCTGTACGTCCGGTGACTTCCAATGGCTCTTGAGCGCATCGAGGTTCTTCTGAGAACCGAGTACGCCGTCGGCATAGAGTTTATACGTCGCGGAACTGCGAGGGCGGTGGAAGGGCTCGATGATGCGGGGGATGGCTAGGCGCATGTCGCTGATCTGTCAGACATTAGCATGAAGTATTCAGAGAAGACGGCATGATATTCTCACCTGCGCCTGGAGCTGCTCCAGTTGCGCGAGTGCTGCTGTACATTGCGCTTCGTCCCAGCCAGCGCCGGGCTGCGCTGCAACGTCAGAAGCACCCATGGAATAATATCAAGGTATAATCAAGAAGTAAAAGCGATGATGCGAAGGCGGTTCAAAGGCGGGAGAATGTGTAATAATAAGGTGCGATAAATGTGAATGGTTGGTGGCTTGCAATTGAAGTGGGAAGAGCAACCCATGGTTCAAGGACGCTTGACGATCGGAAGGTCCACCGGGCGCTCCTTCCCCACTCGCCGAACGCGTCCACGCGCAGTCACGATGCGACAAAGGGTGCCACATGAGCATACTTGATAGCGAAGAGCTGCGAATGATGGCACCTGTTGAAGTGGGTAGAGAGTTCAAGTAAATTTTGATTCGGTTCAAAGACGGCATCTTGCTGATAATATCGATTGATAAGATTTGGAGAAATACGCTGCGCCTAAATATATATACAATGCAATGACAAGCTTCTCTATAACTTGGACTTCTCCTTGACAACACTTTCTTGAGGGCCAATGAGCGGGTCATAGACATTCATACCCAGAGTGTCGTGAGGCACGGTGGCAGTGTGCATGCTGAGTCCTCTTGTATCAAGCATCGAAGGGTTTAGGTCTGCAATGCTCGAGGCACCAATGAGGCGCATGTTCATCTCCATCTCATCCTTCAACAGCTGCATGGCACGGTCGACACCTGGCAGACCGTATGCCGACATGGCGTAGAGGAATGGCCTACCAATGCCTACACCCTTGGCGCCCAGTGCAACAGCCTTGATGATGTCTGTTGCGCGTCGAATACCGCCATCGATGTAAACTTCAATGCGATCTTGCCAGCCGCGTGCGCGGAGAACTGGCATAACCTCTGCGAGTACCTCGACACCTGAGCGAGCGAAATCGAGTTGACGACCACCGTGGTTCGAAAGGACAACGCCATCACAACCAACCTCGACGGCGCGGATAACATCTTCAACACACTGCACACCCTTGAGGATGATAGGCATCTTGGTGATGCTCCTGAACCAGGGGATGTCTTTCCAGCTGAGGCTCGGGTCAATGAAGGACGAGATGGCTCGTGCGGCGCCTTGACTACGGTCAACATTGTCGCCGCCGGTGCTCTGGACGTTGCTGCCGACATCATCAAACTTGCTCCGCATGTCTTTCTCGCGACGACCGAGCTGCGGTGCATCGACGGTAATGAAGAGACCCTTGCAGCCGCGTTTCTCGGCATGCTGCACAATTCGCTTTGTGACCTCCCGATCCTTGTTGACGTATAGCTGCAGCCATTGGACTTGACCGTCTTTTGCTTCGTCCATAATCTCGTCGAATGAGCAGGATGCCAACGTTGGTATCATCTGAACAACATTGTGCTTGTGTGCGCCGCGCGTAAGAACGACCTCTCCCTCTGGATTACCGAGCTTGCCCAACGCTGTCGCGGTGACATAGAAGGGTATGTCTACTTTGGTGCCGAGCATTGTGGTGGACATGTCGACCTTTTCGACGTCGATGAGTACGCGTGGTCGGAACCAGATCTTGTGGAATGCGCTGTGGTTTTCTCGTAGTGTCTGCTAAGGGTTAGTTCAAGCAATCGCGGTGGTTGTCGGAATGGACCTACAATCTCGTCGTCTGCACCACTAGAGTAGTATGCCCATGCCGTCTTCTTCATGACCTTGCGCGCGACCGCCTCAAAGTCCATCAGGTTGTAGCATTGCTCCAAGATGGGCATGCGCGCAATGCGCTCCTGCCTCGCTTCCTCATCCGGATCGATCTCCTTCGCTTCTTCCTTGACGGTGTTCATGTCCACCTCGCCCAAGTGCTTGGACTTGTCGAGATACTTGTCAAGCGTGTCGGGCGGGTGGATTGGCTCGAATGCCTCGGTGCCATCCTTGCCAGCATACTTCAAGACAATCTTTTGGCCTCCAGGATGCTCAGGCAGAAACTCGGTGACATCGTAGGCGCGGCCGTGGATGATAACCCAGCATGATTCGGTGTTGTTGTGCTGGGCAACCTGCTCGCCGGTGAGCTTCACCTTCTGGGTATTGTTGCTGTCGTGGTTCATCGTGGCGGCGGTGTGTCGAGCGCGAAATGTTGAAGGGTAGGTAATTAAGTCGCGAAGATAGGCCAGAAAATATATGGAGCCGATCTAGGTTATTTCCAGACACTAGAGGGCTTGGACGAGCGGAAGGGCCAGGTTAGTGACGGCAGCATGTTTGGGGTAATAGCTCGGTACATTCATCCCCACGGGCTTCGGATGCTGGTCGCGGAGACGCATCTGAGTTAGCAACCTATAGCTTATGAGCTCAGGGCGAGATCGATCGATTCCGGGCTTGTCGCATTAGGCATCCCGTCTCGGTCTTTTCCAGGCGGTTTTCTTGAGGATATATCTTTCAGCCAGGGACTGTCGTTCGTTGAGGGAGCTTAGTTGGGGTAGGTAACAACGTTCTCGTCGGTCGCGTGGAAGACTCCGTGCTGCTCCGAAACGCGGGGAAGAGCGACAGCTGTCTGGGCATGACGTGCATTGTTGACTGCCCGACACACAGCATCAACATGGCGCGTCATCCCCTGGATGATTATCAGTCCCCAGGGCTGCGATCACGATGGGCATTCGTCTTCCCATCTGGGACGCACCCTTCTCACATTTGATTCACATTGGCTTAAGGCGCCTGTCACATGGCTCACTTAGCCAAGAGAATCGGTGCAAGCGCCAAACGCAGCTGGGCTGTCATTCGGTCACTCACCTCCTGCCTAATATTCTCAGATACCCTCTACGTCAATCCTCTGCCTCTTCTCACATCTGCCGGCGACTCTTCTTCACTGCTCGCCATGCAACTTGTCCTGCCGCCGCCTCCCACGCATTTCCTTTCTTTCTGGCTGCCCGAGGCACCGCGCATAATCTGAGCCGACCCCACAACACCGCCTGCCGCCCCATCCCTGCACCGCCAACACCGACGTATACAAATAGATTTGGCGTAATACAGCGACATGTCCAATAGTCTAGAAGCGAAGATCGTGGTCCTCGGCAGCCAAGGAGTTGGAAAAACTTCTCTCGTTCACCGATACGTAAAGAACGCTTTTACGCCTCCCACGACACAGTCCACCGTGGGTGCTTCCTTCTTGACAAAGAGGGTTGTGGATATCGACACCTCGACCGTGGTTCGGTTACAGATATGGGATACCGCAGGCCAGGAGCGCTTCCGGTCCATATCCAAGCTATATTATAGGGGTACGTTGGTATTGTTTCTTCCGCAGAATCAACTCTTTTATTCTGTCGTGATGCATATCGGGACTCCTTGCGCTATCTGGACACCCCACATTCGGCTGCCGATTTTGGATCGTCTACTGTGAATGGACGTTCAGCGCAGAACTAACATTTTCGTCTAGGTGCAAATGCTGCAGTACTATGTTACGACATCACCGATCCTTATTCGTTCGAAGAGATGGGCCGCTGGTTCAAGGAACTCAAGACGAACCTCGGAGAGGACGTGATCCTCCATGTTGTAGGAACAAAGTCAGACGTCGTAGCCGAAGACCCTACCAAGCGAAAAGTGCCCTTTGAGCGCTGCATCGAATATGTCGCCGAGAACCTCCACTCCACACAGAACGGACAACCACACAGTGCTGCAGCAAGCGGTTGGGGCTCTGTACCGGCAGCCCTCCACAGCGGTATGGCTTCGCCACAGAGCAACCGATCGAGCGGCTTCTGGGGACAAGACTTGGGCTGGGATTGCTGTCACGAGATCAGCGCCAAAGATGGCGAGGGTGTAGACGAGGTCTTCCGCGTCATCACCCGCAAGCTGGTGGAACAGCAGCAGAAGAAGCTCGAGGAAGAACAACGGCAGTACGCCATGGCTGGTGTCACCCCCGCTATGGACAACAACGGCAATGTGGCTGGATACTTCGACTACCCTGGAACGGGTAACGGAAGCTTCCGCCTAGGCACAGGTGACAAAAGGCGGAGCTGGCTGGGCTTCCCTACTACACCCAACGTCGCTGGACACCAGCAAGATTGGGAAGAAGACATCAACCGGGCGCAGAAGAGCAAGAGTGGCAGGTGTTGTTAACATCTGCCCCAATTTGGCTCTTCGTCATATGTGTACGCTTGTTCGTACCTTCCGTCATCATATTTCTTTCTCAGCGGGACATTATCACGACTAGATTCGTTAGAGGATATCCGCTTGCGTTTTTCTTTCTCTTTTCCTACGACTCTTGTCTCACGGCCATGCATACTGTCGTTCCTCGATTACATCTCGGAGGCTTAATTTGTTGTTTCCTGTCTGTCTTTTGCAGCGAAGCGTTCGAGCGTGTTGTTGTGTATTGCATTTACAGCGGTTATGGGCGCATTTCCTTCACATTCTCTCACTTTTCATCTAACGACAAGCTCAACACATTTTACACGAGCGTCACCGAAATACAACACGAATAGTACTGCGTCACTCTCATGTTCACGCTATGTGTGCATAAACGTTTATTGTTCTTCCACTTCATGAAGAATTCGAAACTACGTTACTACTGAAGTTTCCAATGAATACCACAAGGACAGCGCAGTATGCTGCTGTCCCTGCGAAAAGCTCAGCCCGTTTGGCTTTTGTGAGCAGGCCCATTGCCGCAGAGAACAAGAGCGCGAAGACAATCAAGAGTAAGATGTTGAGATACGTGCTGGAACGGGTACCCATCTCTGTTATACGGTACATGATGAACATGGGCACAGCTAACAAGAGAATGATAACAAACGCGACAATCAGAACAGCCAGAGGTTCGACTCGAGCGACGTTGAAGTAAAGCAAGTGCTCATCATTGAGCACGCCGTGATTGTAGAAATATGTCTCGTGGATCGTCAGCCTTGTGGTTTCATTGCCATGGTAGGTTCTGGGACACTTACGGCGACTTTACCCTCGGGCATTCTACCCACGACGCGCTCAATCCAATTATCGATCTTACCAGCATCATTCCTGGGTCTCAGGGTGATGAGGTCGTCTTTCATTCTGATAAATCTCTCTTCGTCTTCAAACCCTAAAGGCTTCCTGTTGTTATACCATCGTCGAAAGTTCAACCATTCGTCGTTACTAGGCCTCTGGAATTCGACAAGTTCGCGGGCCTTCGCCAGGATTTCATCGTACTTGATGAGCTTGATTTGTATCTGATCGAGTATTGCGGCTCGTTCGCTAGGGGGAGATTCTTGGCCAGGTAAGCCATTCTGCTCACGATCTGGGGACTCGTCTGTTTGAGGATTATGACTGATGTCACTTTCAGACTCAGCGGCAACTAGATCTCTTATACGAGAGCTGACACGCCACTTCTGCCTCGAGTCGGATGATTCGTGATGCGCTATATCTAGATCTCCGAGCTTATCCTCAAGCTCGCGAAGTTGATCCTGGAGCTCAAGTATTACACGCGAATGAAGGTAATCGAAAGATCGATAGATTGAGAAGGCAGGCTTGCTGGATTGAAAGGTTGACAAGAGTGGATAACCTGTTGGAACGTCGTCGACGACTGGAGACGGTCTATGGTAAGCAAAGCGTTGCACAGCTGGATAGGACACTAACCAGACACAGAAAAGACCTCTCTGATGTGTCTCTCAACTTTATCGGCTTGGCTTTCTTCTCGCATCATTCTTTTAAGGCTGGATTCTTTCCCGAACGGTCTTTTCCAAGACTTCTCTCCTCCTGTTTACGTCAGTTAGTTATGGACAATTTGGACAGTCGGCCAAGGCTGGAGTACTATGGCTTGCATCATTCCCGGCCGCCTCAATGTCTCCATCTGCTGCATCATGTGGTTGCGCTGGTATAGCCTGAAGAGCTACTGAACCTGCACTAGGGTCGTTCATCGGGATGGAGCAATTGCCAGGGCCAGCCAGATCAAGATTACGGAAGGATAGGAAGAGTCAATCTCCGGATAACACAGGCGGGGAAGCGGAGAAGTAGTCATGTGTCGAATGCGGTCAATTTGCTGCAAGCCTCTATCAGGCTGAGGTGATGATGGTGTGCATGAGCTGAACGCCTGCAGACGCACCTCGAAACGAAAACTACATGAGCTTTGACTCCGCTACCCAATTACCGTTTTCCCAGTGCTCGCCAGTCGCGGGATCAACGAGCCGATATTGCCAGTAGTCGGTACCTTCGTTGAGTGATTTTCTAGACACCTTCAACTTCTTGTATTCGCGCCGAGTAGCCCCTTTTTCTGTAAGTTTTGTGATGAGTATCTTAACATAGTCTCCCTCATTAAACCCCGATTTTCGCTAGTATATGTGTTAGTCGTCGAAAATTGCCAGAGGAACACCCAGTGAGCTTACAAGAGAAGCCTTGGGATCTATAGAGACCTGAACGCCGCTCATCCTATGAAGGCCAGATGGTGCGACGACCAGAAGAATGGCACCAAGAGATTTGAAAAGCCAGGAGCTCAGCTAGACTGTGACGGAAGTTGATTCGTGGCGATGATAGCGCTATGTGGCCTTTCGGAAGAAATGCAACGTGAAGACCGCCGTAATACTGAAGGTCTTGGCTTGATAAGTATCTGCTTCAAGGTCGTGTTGATTATTTGAGAACTCGGGCTGTGAGGCAGTGTATCAGCTGAAGAAAATCCGTGCGTCAAGTGTCTTGGACGGTGATGCAAGCCGCCTAGTAATCAGCGAATCAGTGTGTAGTACGATAGCGCTGATGCCTTCACCTATCGCTTGACTTTATTGTTTCAACGACGAAGAGAATGCGCCTTCGACACAGACTGGGGTCTGGTCTTGGTTCGGGCTGAGTCTTTTGTGATCACAGCCTTGTGTAAGTCTTTTGTTACTCTCAGGGCTGGATGTACAGCCCTGGCAACGTTTCACTAATGGCTTACCTTTATTCCCGCTCTTTGAGACGGTATCCAAAAGATCCACAGTGTCGTCTTGATGCCTTCCACGATATTCCTTCGTCGTGCGGTGACTGAGACGTGGCCGGCGCTGAAGCTATGCACAACGCCACTGCTTACTTGTGACGAATTCCATGCAAGCCCGCTTCATCAAAGGGGCACTCGACAGATGCAAAGAAGACGCATAGGTTGTACCAGGCTGAGAGGCGAGGTAGGCTCGCGCATTGCCTCAGAGGTTCATCGAAGGGTACTTACGATTGTCTAATTCCTTGAACACGTCGATGCGATCGTATGGCCTTCCATGGGGCCCTAACTCTTGCTGCCTGTGTTGGGCACCCAGGGCGTCAGGCGCAAGGCTGAGAATCTGAAGCGCAGCGTATGAGGGAATAGATCACAACGCATCTGTCGCTCTTCCAAGCCATTACCCCGCAGTCCAGCGCATAAATCTCCTTCATTCAGCGCAAATCGCATTTGTTTCCCATTTTCGTCCATCGGGGTTTCACAACGAGGCCAGCACGTAGAATTGCCACTTGAGGAACCATGGATGAAACTCGACGATATAATCTCAGCATCGAATCACGTATGCAGTCCGCCATCTTCAGACAATCTTGATAGTCTGCAAGTTTGTGTATCCCAGTACCGGCTGGTATCCCCCGTCTCGTAAGACCATGATTTATCGGGATATTGGCTTGCCTCTTATCTGATAGCAATAGTCACCGAGCTCGAAACGCGCAGAGTTAACATCGAGACAATGTTGAAGGCCATCAACTCATACTTGATAATCGACACAGGGACCCATATCGCCGGCGATGCTCTTGTATACATTCACCGAACCGACAATCTTATGGACAGGATGGTCAACCTCAACGAGGGTGATGATGGGATTTCCAAACGCAAGGTAGCTGCCCGGCTCCTCGACCACATGGAGCATGATCTCGAAACGATTCAGCCGAATCCAATCCAGCTCATTCTAGCGACAGACCAGACTCATTGGGTATGGGACACCAGTCGTAACCAATACTATTACTACGATAGCGCAGACCGAACGTACAAGTATCATGGCGGGATGTGGCTGAGACTAGACGGATCACAGACGAGCCAGAAAAAGGAAATCGAGTTGTCCAAGATTCACAACCTGGTACCTCCACGTCCACTGGGCTATCATGACAGTAAACCCTCGGCGGCGGCTTCGTTGAGCCCAATTTCCGTCGGCCGATATTAGGAAGCAGGACTGAAATGACTGCATTATTGTATTTGGATGTTTCCCAGCATGAAAGTCCATTGTATGAGTGCGATTGCTATGCTTTCGACTCAATCAGCTCAGCTCTGCGCTTCCGTATGTAATATCCGTTCATCGGAAAGGGGGGAGGAGTTTATATTGTGCAGAGATATCGAATCTGGTTTGCTGATCGCATTCCGTAACGCCTTATACGATGCTGTCTTATATGTACATAGCACAATTATACAAGTGTGCCATCTGGCTCGCCCGGTAGCCGCTTGACACGCCTCTGCTCCCAGTCGTCTATATCTTTCGCCTGTAATCTCTGCGCAGTTGTCAGCCCAGGCCCCTCCAACCATGATTTTGTCCAGTATACGCACGTAGTACTCGTCCTTCATGTTCACCTTCCTCCGCTCTCCTCTCAGGCCCATAGCCTGTTCATGTGTGATTTGCTGGTTCTTGCGATCGTATCGCTCGTATCGTAGCGCAGTGGCGGGAGTCAACATGAACGACCCGAGAAGTATCGTAGACAGGAACGGAAGGCCGAAGAGTAGGAAGGGGTGCTTTTGTAGCGACTTTCGGTACTTTGCGGCGAGTGAGTTGGGAAGCGTGGCGCTGAAGGATTTGGAGGTGAAGGGGCCAGGCATGGCTGCGGTTTGGGGTGCGCGGAACCCAGAACTATGCGATGCGGGTGCTGGTGTGCTTGCTCGACGTATATACTGTTCGGGACTGCGGGCGCAGTGCTTTAGGTGAGGGCGGTTCGATGCTTCCAGATCGAATTGCGGAGTATCTAGCGCTCTTTCCCAACATCGGGCTTAGCGCGGTCCCGTGACTACGTGATTTCGCGTCGATGTAAACCCATGCATCTTCTTAGCGGACCCTACACACTCGTCAAACCACCGGCCATATCGTGAACTTCGCGATCGGAGACGGGGCACCGCATCAATAACGCGAAACGACACTCTTTGAAGGCCCGCGAGCGCCACGCCGGAAATTGCAGACAGGAACCCCACCAGCGTCCAATCAGGCGAATTCACCGTCAATACCATCTTGAATCAGTCAAGACTGCTACGAACGTTCGCTTGAGTCTAAAGATCCAGCATCATCGCCAGCAGCCAGTTGCCAGAATTACATCATCTCTCTTCCTGTCCGACATGCCACATCGGTAACGTACATCATGGCCCGCAAAGGCGGGAGCTCGACTCAGCGGATGGCACCGCCACCTGTGACTAACGGCAACTCGAATGGCGTGCCCCCTCCTTCGACCATTGCGGCCCAAATCGTTAACAATGCGTCAAATGTCCATGCGTGGCAAGGCGAGGCAACCAAAGTTAGCTTTGGTGAGCTGGTCAAAGAGTTTCTCCAACATCCAAACACGGACGAGCCCGATGCACAGCTCGTAGCGCTCATAAGTGTCATCGCCGAAGCAGGACTTGAAGGATTGTTCAAAGACGATCCATTCGCTCAGGACCAGCAGAGACAGCAGGGTATCGACAGTATTGCGGCGCTCACTTTCATCTTGCAACAAAAGCCACATCTTCTGCTGAGTGTTAGAGAAGGCGAAGATGACAGTATTCCCCGTCCTCCGCTCATCCTTTGGTTATGCCCTAAATTATTGGGCCTGTTGGCACATGCAGCACTCACCTATGTCCACGAACATGTACACCAAATACTTCATCTCTGCCTAAGCGCGCTTGCACGAACATCTGCCCTCTGGCGCCCCGCCGCAGCTGTCTCACAGCTTTACAGGTCATGTGTGCAAAGTAAGTATTACCCTGAATTCCCTTATCCGATTACTCACATATATCTAGCTATTCTGACAGAGCTGCGGTCCATGGATGATCCAGCTTCGGCAGCCGTGCTGTATTTTAACCTGTTCCTACCGTCGTCAAGCAGCATCAGCGACTTTTGGCCAGATAGCCAACAAATCATTGCTTTGCCCCACGACCTACAGCGAGCAGTTACTTCACGACTTGGAGCCATCCATGCCGGCTTTTGTCTTCTTACTACCTTGGCATGTGTTGCTCCGCCCCAAGGTAGAGCATCGGCGACGCCTAGTGTCCTAGATCACCATGTACCATGGATCATCGACAGTGCGCAAGATTTATGGAAACATTTCATGCGTTGGACAGCAAGTTCGGAGAGAGGGCTCCTCGTCGATGAAATCGCGCTCGCATATTTGCAGCTACTAGAAACTCTGTTTCTCCCTGCAGTCGCTCCCGGAGATCGTTCCTTGGAATCACTGAAGAATGCACAGTCGCTTGTCAATAGTCTCAGCGATCTTGTTGATGGTCTATCGTCAGCGCCAGCTTTAGCGTCAGAAGTCAATCAAGTGCGACTGGCTATCATGTTCACCCGGTTACGAAGTGTTCTTACTTCGCCGTCGACGAACGACTCAATCACACGACGTCGAAAGAACATGAGCAGATCGGCCGTTCTGAACGACGTTGAGGCCATCGTAGCTAGAGCCTGTCAGGATGCTGAACACTTCTCTCAGCTTCACAAAGACTTGCAGGTATGAGTGAAGCACCGCAGTTTTTGTCTATGCTGATAGAATCTAGCTCTCCCTTTGCCTCTGGACGGCACCAGGTACATGGCCTATACACATTGCGGACATACGAAGAGAGCTCTGCGAGGGTGATACTGGCAGTTTCTCGGATGTTCAACTTTCCGAAGAATCGACAACAATCCTGAAAGCTTTCCGGGTGCTGAACTTGGGCAATGAGGAAAGGCCTGTGAAGCGGCGAAAAAAGCTCCTGGAGGTT